ATTTGCCTCATTATCATAACTATAATTAATCTGAAAAATCTGTGAAAGAATTAAATTGGACCATGCATCGAAGTCCAACAATTTAGAGAGACGACCCAGAGGTAGACTGCATGCAACAACATTATTGTGAAGGACAAATTTGAATACAAGGACAGGAGGAGCTTCATATTATTCCAACCAACCAATTCAGTGCTTCATGGAGGAATATTATATACCCTACACATTAGGATTAGGAGATTTCGTTTTTTTCCCTTTTAGTACTCAAGTTGCACATAAAAAGTCCTCTCCAATCATGCATGCACATGAGACGGGCCACGTAGGATCTGGTGGATGCCGACACCAAAGTGACTTTACGCGATGACATCGGACTACATGTCGTTCGATAGCAATATGTTCAGAACAACCACGTGGATGCTAATCTATGCGTAGACTGCATATCATGCATGCATTCTTTATACAGTGGGGTCAATTACTGTGACTCGAGAGTCTTCATCACTAACATGAATAAGCTATCTATTAAGAAAGTCTTAGTGAAGCCAGGCCCCTTCGTCACCAATTTTAACAACCAATATTTTCACGTAGTCTCATATTATCGTAAAAAGATTTCAAGTTTTATTTTTTTATTAAATAAATAAAAAGATGGATGAGTGTTAACAGACAAAAACTAATCATTATAGGATAGTAAGGCATTTCGTATCTATATAATAGGCCAGGCTGTGCCTCAGTTTCCTCAGGAAAACGATTAACACATAACATACAGTGCATGCGTATACACATATGGCCTTTCAATATGGGATGCTTATGCAACTTTCAATGTTGCTTGTACTTTTACTAGCGGCTACAAATGCTGTAGCAGCAGCAACAACAAGAACAAGCGCAAGAGAAGGAGGAGCAGACGATGGAAAAGCCGGCGGGTTGATGGCCAAGCCTAACTGCATAGCCAAATGTGGTAATATCGAAATTCCATACCCATTTGGCATTGGTCAAGGTTGTTACTTCGGACCACGATTCGAAATCAATTGGAGGAAAAGAAAGTGAGAACATTAAGGAGGTCACTCCAAAAAAGCTTTGGCCCGTGATTGTGACTCTATTTATTTGCCATATTACAAAAGCTGGTCACTCCAAAAAACTGGACAACGCATTTGGAGGAAAAGAAAGTGAGAACATTAAGGAGGAAAAATCATGTTCACACTAAGCTTTAGTAGTGAGCAGCTTAGTGCTTCATGATCATGACTAATCTGAAAAAGTTGTGCATGAATTGGACCATGCATGCATGTATCGACGTCCAAATTATTGGAATTTTGGTGGGACTAAATTATATTGGATGTAGTTCATGGACTTCCAACGAGTTAGAGACGACCCAGACGTAAACTGCGCAATTTATTATATTATTGCAACAGACAAATTTGTACCGCTGGAGGAGGACAATCATGTTGAATTGTGCAATGCCAATGTCATGATCACTGAGAAAGTATGAAGCTCTACAAAACATGTAGAGCATTAAATAAAGTCGACCCCAATTCAGACAAGATGCTTACCAGTCTTAAGAGCATCCAGATGCTTTCAATTTTTTCCATCTTGATTTTCATCATGGACGACAATGCCGGCATTCTTTCTAGTGGGTTAATTATTATTCACACTTTTTAGTAGTGAGCAGCCTTGCCTTTGGCCCATGATTGTGACTCAAGTCTTCATCACTTATCTTATCTGAAGTGTTTGTAAAGCCACACCACTTTATCTTGTAGGTTCAATCACCATATATAATATTTCGACTTCTTAGATCTAGGTCCAAAATGATTAATTGCTATTAGGTTTAGTCTACGTGTTTTCGGGTTTAGATGTAGGTTCTTTGATATTTATTACTTTTTTGTTGTGTTGATTTTACTATTTGAGGTGAATAAGGAAAACACATTGAAAATCTAAATTTAATGCATTTATTTATTTGTAATTGAATTTTTGAATTTAAATTTTGAATTCTTTCCTTGAAAATATTTACCTAATATATGGAAAAAAAATACAATTTAATCAATCAAAAGTAAAGACCCACATATTATACCAATCGATCAAACAAGCACCCACATGAAATTATATACCTGACATATAAGTAAATAGTGTTATTATTAGCAACGAAAAGACTTAGTGATAAATCGTGTACCTATAAGTTAGGAACATAATTAGAAGACTACCTATAAGTCAGATACAAAAATAGACAAATAAAATTGTATATTACCTATATATATTTTTTTAAGTACATAAATACTATTACACGTTGTCGAAAATGTGAAAAAACACATATATACCTATGCAATGGGAAATATAGGCTATAGGACAATATACCTACACCATAGGATATATATATATATATATACACAAGAGTATATAATATACCTCTACCATAGGATGAACAAAAATAAAAAAATTATTTTATTGTATCTCCAAAATAATAAATTGTCCTAAAATTATGAAATTTATTAATCTATGTATAACCTTATATTAAAATCATAATAAAATCTCGTAATTATGGTCCTATAAATTAATTAATACACAACTTATACTTCAGGGACATAATAAAGCAACTATATAATTTACAAATAATAATAATAATAATAGATCTACATACAAAAATACTTTAAAAAGAATGTAATCCTATTTTATAGAAAAGTTAAAGGACTTATATCAATAGCAACAAAGCTAGGAAGCCAATTATGTTCTAAATTTGGACTTATTCCAAATTTTCTATTAATTCACGTCATGTAGACCCCGAAATAATTTCATCAATCAATTTTTATTTTTTTTTTTTTTTTTTTTTTTTTTTAATTTCAAATAAATTATGCAATATTTATTATATTAGAACATCTCGGTTTGTCGTGACACGTTAATTTGGTGAATTATGGTTGATGAATTGTTATTATGAAATGTATAAAAAAAAGCAAGTCTATTCTATTTTGTTGATATATTAAATAAGGTACACTACTTACCCCATACATGTTTCCACAATGATGCCTCTAGTCAAGCTTCTCATTTATTCAAATTATGTGATGCACGAGGTCATCAGGTATTGCAAGTTGTTTTGTAAACATATAAGTGCAACTTAGGTGCGATGCACCATCCATAATTTGCTTATTAATTCCTTTTACTTATATACTGGAATGGTTCAGTCCATGAATAGAAGTAAAAACAAGCATTTCGTGAAATAATTTGATGTCTCTAGTCTTATTGTTATGCTAATTAATTACCCTAAAAAAGATCTATGATTTTAGTCATTTTGACTATGCATTCCATAAATAATAAATAAAGAACGACCTCAATTCAAACTTGACTCGTGAAAGCCTGCCTTGGAGGAGTAACAGCAGGAAATTGGAGCGGAAAATATTACATTAACGGAACTACCAGTCTAAACAGCAGCCAAATGCAGCTTTCAATTCCATCTTCATCATCAACGACAATGCATGCATTCTTTCTAGTGGGTTAAGTATATTATTCACACTTTTTAGTAGTGAGCAGCTTTGGCCCGTGATTGTGACTCGAGTCTTCATCACTATTACTAATATGAAAAGCGTATCTATCAAGGAAGTCTTGGTAAAGCGAAGCCACTTTATCTTGTGGTCCAATCACCATAATATTTTCACTATCTTAACAACCACCACCAAATATTTTCACACTCACATATTTGGGAAATGTTACATTTTGTGGTTCTGTGATCATATCAAAAGACATGTACAAAATGAATTGATTGATCAATTATACTTAATAGCCAGTGCATCAACTAGGCTTTGGGACATTACTTGATTTTGCACTGTCTCAAGGTCTTAATTATTACGCATACGTAAAATAACCATTTCATTTTCTATTTTTCATTTTTAAAAATTGAAAATTGAAAACTTTTGTTTTATAACTAATTTCAGTTTAAAATAAAAATGAAAACTGAAAATAAAAGTTTTTGGTAACTAAGTTCAGTTTTATGTGGAACTCGAAAATGGAATTGTTTTGGGGTCAATTGTGAATTTGAGATCATATAATGAAATGCCTGTTACAAAGAGTTCGTAGTATTTTCGGTGATATTTTTTGGAAGTAGGACGATATTTTGGTGAATTTTGGATATGAAGGTCTCAAGGCCTTGGACTGGGTTTGTGGGCGAAGCCAAGAATTGAGAGGTGGAGTCCAAGTTAGGAGGTAGTAAATATGATTTTTAATAGAAAACAACATAAACGTGACTAAATGTGATTATTGCTTCTTTTTTTTTTTTTTTTTTTTTTTAAATTAAAATTAAAATATCAATCAAATATATATAGAGCATCTTCAAAGGAATATATTACGCGAAAAAGGCATGAATTATTAAAAAATCATGGTAAATTAATATGCACGTGAGACGGGGCCACGTAGGATCCAGTGGATGTTTGACACCACATGTCGTTTGATGTTTAGAACAGCCACGTGGACGCTCACTAGCTGTAGACTACATTCAATTCATTCTTTAGTCAAGCCGCGCCACTTGGTCATCAATTTTAATAACCAACCAAGCCAACCAAATGTTTTCACATACTTTCATATTGTCGAAAAAGGTTTGAAGTTGGAATCTTTTCTCACTCGTTAATTAAATAAATAAAAAACGGATGGGTGTTAACAGACAAAAAATAATAATTATAGGTTAGTAAAGGCATTTCCTATCTATATAATAGGCCAGGCTTTGCCTCAGTTTCCTTAGGAAACAATTTACACATAACATACAGGGCATGCTATACCACAGATGGCCTCTCAATATGGGATGCTTATTTCTACTTTCAATAATGTTGCTAGCAGTACTTGTACCAGCAGCTACAAGTGTTGTAGCAACAACAAGAGCAAGCGCCGGAGGAGGAGGAGAAGAAAATAAAACAGCTATAGCCCTGCCTCCTGCAACCCAAATGTGGTAATGTCCCAATTCCTATACCCATTTGGCATTGGGGGACGGTTGTTACTCCCGACCAGAATTCAACATCACCCGCATAAATCCAATAATAATGACCACATTACCCCGATTGATGAAAACCCGTTCATTGTCTTCCAACATATCTCTTGAAGAGGGTGAGCTGCATATACTGCGTTAGTAAATAGAGATTGTTATAACCGCCAAGGTATCCGACTCCCAAGGGAAAACCAAAGCACGGCGGGCTCAGGGTGTATAATCCTTACCCATCTCTGGAGAAAAAACAGCTTCTTTGTGGTTGGTTGTGACACGAAAGCGTACTTATTCGGTGGCCGGGAAGACCAAAGTACACAACTGGCTGCGTCTCCGTATGTCGAAAGAAAATTGGTGGCTACGCCATTGACAAGAACGAGTCTTGCTCTGGCATGGGGTGTTGCGAAACGAAGATCCCCCTGGGCTGAACAACTGACTCTGTGGGTGGAAAGCTATAACAACCATATTTACGTATGGGACTTTAACCCCTGCGGCTTCGCCTCGTTGTGAGACATGGCTCTTTCACATTCAGAACTACAAGCTTTCAACAACTTCGCATACAAGCCGGCTTCCCCTGGTTCTGTTTGGCAGGTTAGGGAGGAGTCGTGGTGAACTTGCAAGTCAAAACCACGACACTTTTGCATGCAAGGAAATACCACCTGCCATAACTGGTCTATGGGTTTACATTTGCCGGTGTAGGAAGGCTTCGAAGGGAACCCATACCTCTAGGTTGCCAAGGTATACAAATACATACATATATTATATACTGCAGCTAACTAAAGCTCAAAATTAAGGATATTCTTCTTGATGGATCTGTGATATATGAGTTTTACTATTTATTTCAGATATTAATGAGTGCGATACAACCCCTGTAAGAATGGACAGTGCACAAATCTACAAGGAAATTACTCTTGTTCCTGTGATAGTGGCTACCGCAACCAAGACCAGATTACGTGCATCGAAGTTCCCTCACAAACACGCTTGAAAATCTCGCTGGGTATGTACTAGAGCTAGTTATTTACCTGTAAGCGTATATTCAACACACATGCAGTATATTATTCTGTTTGGCAATGAATATAATTAGTTTTGACATCGGAGCCGAGGATACTATAAGATAACATATATATGGTTTTCAATTTATTGCAGGCGTGTCATTGAGCTTCTCTGTTTTACTGGTTGCAATTTTGGGATATATAGGAAACAGAGGAAAAGCCATGTAGAGAAGCTCAAACAAAAATACTTTGACGCTAATGGTGGCGCAATTTAGAGAAAAAATGGCTAGTACGGGAGGAAACAGCCAAATCCTTTACTGAAAATGCACGTTAAGGCCACCACGAACCATTATCATAAGTAAAATAGTTGTGAGGGAAGATATGGAATTGTTTACAAAGGAATACTAGATAAACAAGTGGGTTGCCATAAAAGTTAGTGCCCCAATTGACCCAAACCAAAATACCGACCCAGTTGACCAAAATACCGACGTCCAAAACCAATTGTTAAAGAGATGACTGCTCTTATCAAATAACCATACAATGTTGTGAGACTCATAGTGGTTGTTTAGAGACCCCAATACCAATATTGGTTTACGAGTTAGTGCAAGGGCACTCTTTATGAGATATTCACAAAAAAATGGCGAGAAAACCATCACCACCCCTTAAATTGCAACAGCGGTTGAAGATAGCAGCCGAGACGGCAGACGCCCTAGCAATACTTGCACCACTCGCTGTCACGGGTGTCATACACCGTGATGTGAAAACCGCTAATATACTGTTAGATAAGAATTTAACGGCAAAACTGTCCGGCTTGGAGCTTCCACACGGTTCTTGAAGATGAGAATGAAACATCAACTTAGCCTATGAAAAGGAAAAAAAGACACGAGTCTATAGCTTGGACTGTGCTAGTGGAGTGTTAACAGGCTAAAGGCCAGAGGAAAAAAAGAGGTAAAACTATTTCTTCGCTCAGTTGAAGGAATACGTTGCGTCAAACTCTCGATGAAGAAATATTTGGCGAAATGTTCTGATGATGTCATCAAAAAGCGCTGAGCTGACAATAAAAAGCTGAATTCAAGAGGGGAGGAAAGGCTATTATGGAAAAGATGTACACGGAGGAGCTCCAAAAATTACTTGACCCCCCCCACAACATCAAGTGGGAGGAGAAAGAAGAGGAGATATTCTCCATCTCCCAAAGATACCGGCAACTAGTTGGTTCTAGTAGTGCAGAGAGTGCGGAAGCAGCATGCAAAATAACGGACTCTTCGAGATGGGTGAAATTAGTTGATTGTTCGTCTTGTAATTTAATGTTCCGTGTAAAATACAATAGACTGGAGAATGGAGCATGTGGCGTGCTCTTGTAAATTTGATGTGTGCTTTCGGAACTAAAATAAATAAATAAAGATTGAGTGGCTTCTGAAAACTAATAAGGATGATGCTAACAAAAACCATTTCCCAATTTCGGGGGAATCTCTTTGGAATTTTTTCTTTTCTCATGACTTTGCGTCTTTTGTTTTTTTTTTTTTTTTTGGGGGGTTGAGAAAAAACCCATTATTGATAACATAATCAAAGTACAAAGCCACAAAGAGCCAAAACGGGTACGACACCAGTTGATTAAAACACAACACAAGTTGATTGTATTGGAGAGAATTACAAACTAGACCAATAAATATCAACTCCGATAGACTTGAAAGATTCGGTAACACAGGGACTAACAATATATCTCCTTGGTGTAACGGCCAAATTATATTGTAACGCGCAAATAGTAATGAAAAATATGTATTTGTTGGCTATTTATCAAACTTTTGTTCAGATAAGGGAAAACAAAACCCCAAAGGAGGAGGAATGCTTCACTTTCCCTACTCTTCCTATTGTGCAGCCGACAACATTTATCATGCATGAACTTATTCAAAAATAAGAAGCAATTGATGTTACCATCCCATAACGTATTTCCTAAGAGCACTCCACCAGTTAGCCTTTGCCCATGGCAAGGGGAGACTAAGGCAGATACTATTATGTGGAATAATGGCCTGCCTAGCACAAAAAAAAAAAAAAAAAATATTCTTTCTTCCAGAGTCGAGTGCGGGGCTGCCATGGTAAATACTATTAATTTTTTTTTATTTTTTTCACAACTTTGTACTTAAACAATTAATCTTGGATATATTTTCGGATCAGATTTTGGGGTTCCTACATGGCAATACTATTCATATCGGATAAGATTTTCGGTTTCAATATTTCAAATAAATTTCAGATACATTTCAAATTCAATTCCAGATAAATTCAAATTTCAGATAAGATTTCACCTCTAAATTCATGTGGTTTGTTTATTTTTATGCTTTGGTGTGGGTTTGTTTATTGTATGCTTTGGTTGTAGTTGTTTTTTTTATGCTTGGTTGTTGTTGCTTTTATGTATGAAATGTTGTGAATAAAAAAGAATTTTGTTGAATATTTTTCCTTGAAAGTGATAGGAGAAAAAAACAACTTGAAAAAAAACAAACTTGAAAGTGAAAAAAAAATGAGTAGAAAAGGAAAAAATAGTCGAAGGAGAAGAAAATGTATGAGGAGTTGGTGTTAAAAGTGAAGAGTATGTTGTTGGGATATTATTATAGGAAAAAAAATCATTATTTTTTTGGTATTTTTAAAATTTTTCTGAATTTTTTATTGGGCAAAAAATGATGCCGTTGGATTGCTGGAAAAAAGGATCGGAGAGCCCGAGAAGCTTCCCGTGGCAGAGAGTGTTGGGGGTTGCTTTCAATTTTTTATTTGCAAAAAAATGGTGTGGGTTTGGATATGTTTAAAAGATGATAGGATGCTCGCAGAGACAAGTGGAAGAGCCCCGTTGGGTGGTCACTGTAGCGGCGTGCGTAAATGTTTTTTTAAGTTGGGTGTGCATTGCATTGCACTAACGTTAAAGATAATTTACTCCATGCAATGACGTATCGTGATAGTCAGCACAGCTGCGAGTGCGATGGGCCAGCTCAAGTATTGTGGGCCCCCTACTTGCCCTGACAGCGGAATTATGCCCGAAACCATTGGATCACCAAACAAGGCCACTTGTGCCCAATGCTTAATTAACAAACGGAGAGCGCAGGTCAGCTAACCGTTGATGGAGATGCGTGATGGAGATGCAGCTTATCTCAATGGTCCATGTCACGAAGCCAGTTCAGGAACGTCCGACGAATAATAGAGGCGACCCGGGTATTGCAAAGCAAATTCCATGGACACGTGACTGAAGCATTGATGATGAGCAGAGCACCCTCGTGAAGTTGCATGTTTATTCTCAATCACCTTGTACCTATTTCTTTTACTGTTATTACATTTTTTTTTTTTTTTTTTTTTTTTTTTTTTTTTTTTTTTTTTTTTTTTTTTTTTTTTTTTTTTTTTTTTTTTTTTTTTTTTTTTTTTTTTTTTTTTTTTTTTTTTTTTTTTTTTTTTTTTTTTTTTTTTTTTTTTTTTTTTTTTTTTTTTTTTTTTTTTTTTTTTTTTTTTTTTTTTTTTTTTTTTTTTTTTTTTTTTTTTTTTTTTTTTTTTTTTTTTTTTTTTTTTTTTTTTTTTTTTTTTTTTTTTTTTTTTTTTTTTTTTTTTTTTTTTTTTTTTTTTTTTTTTTTTTTTTTTTTTTTTTTTTTTTTTTTTTTTTTTTTTTTTTTTTTTTTTTTTTTTTTTTTTTTTTTTTTTTTTTTTTTTTTTTTTTTTTTTTTTTTTTTTTTTTTGTGTTGTAAATATTTTGGTATTTAAACATGGCAAGGAGGCTCACAACATTTTTATGTGGATTTGGGAAAGAACAGTCACCGCGTTACAAACTCTAGGACTCTGAGTCTCAGTAATTGGGGCACTGACTTGGACTTTTTATGGCCACCACTTTGTTATGATGATCTGCGGAGAAATTTCCTTTGTAACCTACTCCAGAGCCACCTTCACCAAATTTTCTCTCTTCATTGTAATGTTTGTGGCCTTATTCAGTTCTCTTCAGTAAAGATTGTGGCCGCATCCACGGATCCATTGTAACTAGCCAACTGTTGTCGTAAAAATAAGCCACCATTTTGTTTAAAGAACTTGTCTTGTTGTTTCTTAAACTGTCTTCTCTTCATTCCGCAGTACAGGCAAAAAAATACAGCCAGATAGATAGTTGAAAATCACAATCAACTTAATTACAATTATTTGGAAAATATCGTAAGCTCATATCATGGCATGGGTCATAGCCATTGAAATTTAATAAGTTGTTTTAAAATTTTAAAGACTCTAGATTTCAAGGGTATTATAGGAAATTTGGGCTTAGGAAAAGTATATCAATATGTATGAAATTAACTAGAGGGTGGAAAAACATGTGTGTCTGGAGAAATAGGACAGAGTGGAAATAACAGCACTAATCTAATATTATAGTTATTTTGCTTTATATGGATATCGGAGGCAAAGGGAGAAAGGGGTTCTCTTAAATAATAGCATAGATTATAATATGTATATCACTGTGAAATATTTATTAATTTTACATTTAGTCTGTCTAAACAAAAACTTGGGAGATTTTTACTTTTTTATTTTGAGAAAATTATTGTTTTCCTTTTATTTATACTTTATGTTGTTTTACTAGCAGGAATGCAAGCAGGTAGCTATTTCATGTTATAGGCTGCACATTAATTAATAGTAGCTAGTAATACATACCTACTGAAATTTTCAGGGAATTATTTGATGTAGGAGGGTTTTTTAAGCAACTAGTTCCATTCACGCTGTCGATTGTGTACCCTGTGGGGCATAAACAAGTGTGACATCCAGGTAAATTGGAGCACGTTCCATTAGTGCAGGGGATTAATGTTTGGAAAGCTGCATTCATCAATATCTGAAAAGAAAATCAGGAAATTCAATCAGTTAAATTTAAAAAAACAAAATACATATATTATAATATATATATATATATATATATATATAAGAGGCGGATTCGTGACACTATATTTACTTTTGACACAATTTGGGTTATTAGATTACTTAATTTTAATAATTAAGATTAAATCTGACATGACAAATAGTAAAGGTTGCCAAGGTGATACTTTTTGCACCTTTGCAACCATTTGGGTGGGCAAGGGTCGTTGTCAAACGTGTTGTTACCCTGCTTGTCGTAACAATCTCGGGCTATGTACTGCAGTACCTGCATCTCAGCCTCATCAAGGGAAAAGGCAGTGACAATGATGTTGCCCCAGAGTGCTGTTGGGGGTTCGGTGGATGTGTTGCAGTGATGTGAAAGCCTGCCAAAAGGGTATGGGATTGTGAGATTGCCACACTTGTCTGGGAAGCCAGGCAGGGCTTGAGACAAGGCTTGTGCTACTGTTGTTGTAATTACAGAACCTAACATCACATACACTCCCACCATAATATTACCAATGGGAGTTGCTCAATAAGCATCCTCTCATGTAACGATATGGCACAAATATTTGTATATGTACCACTCAATAATATTCTTTCTCACACAAATATTTGTTATTGCTGTGATAAAAGTAAGCGGTACCGGCATGGCCTTTTATAGATAGAGGGTCTCATAGGGTTAGGGGAAACGTCTTCCTCTACCTATAGTTATCATCTGTCTTTTATTTTGGGAGATTCACTATTATATCCAATATGGGAACCCAAATTATAAAATACCCTATATGAATGGACTTTAGAAACACACCCAAAGTCCATTTACAACATAACAAAAAAGCTTTTAACTTCTTACAAATTACAAAACTGCCATCAATTTCTTAAAACAAGCTCAACCCCAAAATCTCATAAAATACCCAAAACACTTAATAGGGCATCAAAGTAATTTAATGATTAATATTAAATTCAATAATGCCAGCTGTCATTTTTGAGTTTTTTCTGGGTTTGGGTTATAGAAATTCAATTGTGTAGGGTTTATTTATAATATTAGTGCTAGAAATGGGTATATCACTAAATATCTTTTTTTTTTTTTTTATTTCTATGGGTTGATAATATAAGTTAGGCTCTAAGCCCTTTTCTACACCTGTATTTGGGCTTCTTTTATTAAGCTCATTTGGCTTATTGATCTGGACGTTGAGTCTTCTCTATTATTTGAGGTGGGAAGCAATTAATAATACTCAATGCAGACTTGTTTAACCACCACCACAAACATGAGGGTCACCATCTACACCTTGTTATGCTTGAAGGAAGTTGCAGTTCCAATTTAAAATTAATTGGCAATGACGGGAAGTAGTCCAACTCTTTATAAGCTATTCTAAGATTTGTTAATTTTCTAATGCATGGAATATTTTCACCTGCACATTCTCAAATGCTCATGCATTGCTGGATGTCATTGAATTTGAAACAAAGGGGACTTAATTGAGAGGGGCACATCAGAAATAAATTAAATATTACAAAAAAGAAACAAAAAGCTATGTCCACAAGCTTATATAATATAAGTTTATTTGTTGGACCAAAAAACAAAAAGCTTATAAGTTTATTTGGGATGCGTGCTTATAAGTTAAATTATCATATACAGATGTTGAAAAACAATAATAATATGGGTTTTTATCATGAAAACGTAAGTTTATGAAATTATCAGATTCAATTCTTTATGTTTTTTTTCTTTTGGAGTGATTAATGATCCTTAAGATTTACATCCGGCTCCGATCAACAAAAGATTGTTCTATTCTATTGAAATGAGATCAAAACACGACTAAATAGACAGTAATCACAAGGTTACAACCAAATTAAAGAAATTCATAATCACAGGGTTACATAATCAAATACCAGAGAATTAACTTTATGACAAACATATTACAGCAGTACGTACTGATGACTGGAATTGAAACAAACTACAATTCAATAGACGATAAATGTGACTAGGAATTAAGGAGCTAATTAACTATCGTCCATCACCATAAGGCTTTACCAGTTGGATGTGTGAATGAATTGCATGCTCTGGTCGTACTCTGCACTATTTATAATATTACCATCGTCACCTCTAACATCTACAACGTAAGCAGGTGACCCAAGCAAGTAGTCGGTGTCTTCCGGAGATGGTTTGAAATCAGCCTGATGAACTCCCATGACCTGCAATAATACCCCGAGCTCGATGGCTATATTTTTCATGGAAGGCCTTTCTTCCCCTCTTAAGCTCAAGCAACTCCTTGCCAGACCGGCCACTTTTTCTATGATTTTCTCAGAGTTAAGTCCTTGCCTCACTATTTCAGCATCAAGAATTTGATCCAAGCTCCCCTCTTTCATTGCACAAACAAAGACATTTGCTAGGTTTGTATGTGCCTCATTCTTTTTACTTATAAGTGCCCTTTGGCTTGTGAGTAGCTCCACCAGGACGACTCCAAAACTATAGACGTCGCTCTTTTCTGTTAGTATGTGCGTCTGAAGATATTCAGGGTCTAAGTACCCGAGCGTCCCTTGAACTAAAGTTGATATGTTGTTTTGATCCTCTTGAGGAACCAACCTTGAAGCTCCAAAGTCCGCTACTTTTGCCCTGTAGTTCTCATCTAGCAGTATATTCATCGCCTTCACATCTCTGTGTACAATTGGTGGGTAGGTAGAGTGGTGCAAGTACGACAGCGCTTCCGCTGTATTTGCTGCTATCTTTAACCGTAATTCTAATGAAAGTGGTGAGTGTTTGTTGTCTTTTCCATGAATGTGATCATGAAGAGTGCCATTTGAGATGAACTCGTAAACCAGTATAGGCGTTTGGGTCTCTAAACAACAACCAAGGAGCCTCACAACATGTTTGTGGTTGATTTGAGAAAGAAGAATAATCTCGTTAGCAAATTGCTGACTCTCAGTAATTGGGGCGCTAAGTTTAGGCTTCTTTATGGCAACCACTTTTTTACGATCTCCGGACACCGTTCCTTTGTAGACTTCTCCATAGCCACCTTCACCAATTTTTACCTTTGCATCGTAATTGTTTGTGGCCTTCTTCAATTCTTCTTCAGTAAAGATTGTGGCTACGTCAATGGTGCCATTGTAACTTGCTAGTTCTCGTCGCAAAAGCAAGCCACCATTTTGTTTAAAGTTCTTTTCTTTCTCTTTCTTGAATTTTCTCCTCTTCATTCCGCAATATAGCCAAAAGTTAGAACGAGGAAAACTATGACTCCTGCATATATAAATCGAAAAATTGCGATCAACTTTCTTGGGTTTTACATACAATTTATATATTAAGCAGGCATATGCCTAAACTATTTCATGTTATAGGATGCATGTTAGTATGTAAGTAGCAAGGCTTAATGCATACCCAATGAAACTTTGAGGGAAGTGTTCTTTGATGCGCTAATGCATTTCTTCAGGTCTTCAGTATTTCTGTACCCTTTGGGACACGTACAAGTGTAATTTCCGGGTGTATTTACGCACTTTCCCATTTCGCAGGGGTTCGGGTCTTTGCACTCATCCACATCTGAGAGAAACAGGAAAACAAATGTTACACACATTAATTAATTAGTTAATCAATTTCCACTTCCAGCTACAACAACTATAGCATGCATATTACATATAAGAGGTCTACATATCATATTTTTATATGATAAGTTCGTACCTTGGCAACCGTCTGGGTGGTATGGGTTCCCTTGATAACCTGGCGAGCACTGGCAAATGTAACCAGACGGGGCCGCATTGCCCATGGTCCGGTTTACACACTTGCTATTTACCTTGCATGCAAAACTGTGGCTCTTGTTTTGAGCTGCACTCTCACACGACTGCTCCCCAATATCCCAATTAAGAATCATGGGAACCCTGCTTATTTGAGCCAGTTGGTCAAAGCTCTTGTTGGAAAAGCTGAACTGGCCTTCTTGCACAATGAAAGCGTAGCTGCACTTGTTAAAGTCCAATATACGGGTATGATTTTGGAAGCTACCCAAGACCACCGTACGGTTTGTCAGCCCGTCAGGGATGGAAGTTTGGCAGCAACCGATGCCCGAGCAAGAGGTCTGATCAACGCTGTCAAGGGCGAGACACCGAGACATGCACCCGGCAAAGAAGGGATTCTCATCTTTCCAGCGGAAGCCTTCGAATGTGGCGTAAGTGTCACAACCAACGGCCATGAACTTGTTTTTGGCACCGGAGATGGTGTAAGGAGGCGTCACCCTCAACTCAGGAACATTGTAGTCATTGTTGCCCTCCTCGTCATAGCAATCGCGGGCCAAACGCTGCTGAATTTGGATCTCACCCAGGTCAACCGATATGTTAGTAACACGAATGTTACTGTCCCACAGATATGCTTTTCCGTCATCCGTACAGTTGATACGAAATTCAATTCCCATGCACATTCATCGGTGAGCCCAAATGGATATGGAATTGTGAGATTGCCACAGTGGTCTAGGCAGCTGGGCTTGGAAATCTGAGCTCTGCTGTTTTTATTTTTCCATCCCTAATAATACAATTACAACCAAAGAGATGACCAATTGCAGAATAATAAGAGCCCTCCCATGGAAGGCCATGGTAGTACTTTCCGAGGATTTAATTAATAAAACTAAAAATGCATGTATTGCTTGTGATGAGAAATTAAGTGCTACCCAGGATGGTCTTTTATAATCTGCATGTGCATGGGGTTAATTAGGGGAAATGTTACCTCTTTACCTACCGCTAATGGTGATGTTCCTCTCCATGTTGGGGTGGTGTCTATTATTTCCTCTTAGTAAATGTAGTTGAAAATCCCACTTTGTATTACTCAATATTCCCACTTGGTTATGGTCAATAAGCCAAGCGGCAAACTCTTTTCTTAATTATATGGTAATTATAAGAGCAGTCACATCCAGCATATTACTAATTAAGGTCAAAGTCAATGACAAGCTTACACGACTACATTCCTGATAGATTGGACTTTGGACGTGCATATGATTGGCGATGAGAAGGCAAGTGGTGTTTTATTTGTCTTTGATTCCACCTAAACATCTACCTCGTCATGCCTTGCCAAAATAAAACTAATAACACAACTTGATCAGCTTGACATAAATTTTTGGGTTTTTAGCAAAGTTGCATTTAAACAATTACTCTTCATTTATTAAATTAACTTCATCTGTTCATATCATTCAGCTTTTACTTCTGATTTGTTTAAACACCCATTCACATAGGTCGAGCTGCTCATTCACATTTAATTTTCTACTTCTTAATTTGTTGTGGCGATATTATGCTATCAATTCGTCTAAATTATGCCTCGTATATACTCCTTAATTTAATTGGAATACCCCATGCTGGCGCATTGTTTTTTTTTTTTTTTTTTTTTTTTTTTTTTTTTTTTTTTTTTTTTTTTTTTTTTTTTTTTTTTTTTTTTTTTTTTTTTTTTTTTTTTTTTTTTTTTTTTTTTTTTTTTTTTTTTTTTTTTTTTTTTTTTTTTTTTTTTTTTTTTTTTTTTTTTTTTTTTTTTTTTTTTTTTTTTTTTTTTTTTTTTTTTTTTTTTTTTTTTTTTTTTTTTTTTTTTTTTTTTTTTTTTTTTTTTTTTTTTTTTTTTTTTTTTTTTTTTTTTTTTTTTTTTTTTTTTTTTTTTTTTTTTTTTTTTTTTTTTTTTTTTTTTTTTTTTTTTTTTTTTTTTTTTTTTTTTTTTTTTTTTTTTTTTTTTTTTTTTTTTTTTTTTTTTTTTTTTTTTTTTTTGGGGAAAGGAGCTGCGTTATAAAAATTATAGAATTAAATCTTCCCCTGGTATAAAATAACAGTGATTAGAACAAATCAAAAACATACAATTTAGATATGATGCAAGGCACATTAGCGCAGAACATACATCCCCAAGCTGGCCAAGGGAACAACAATTCAGCAATCCATTCTCAGTATGCACGATTCCACACTTTCAACAGCCGAGGAACAATGTGGCACTGGTCCATTCCCAGCTCGGATTTAAAGAGGAAAACAAGCAGGAGAAAAGTCCACGTATTATACCTAAAACCTCTCGGAACCAATACTTTTCTCACGATGAAAAGAACCAATAAACAAAGGGCAATGTCTAACCTGCTAACCTATTTTTAAAGTCAAACCTTTGAAAATTATAAGACATGCGTAGTGTTTGTACTGAACTTCAAACAAAACAGTCAAGAACGGTATCATTCGATCATTTCAGATAAAATTTGAAACTTGCAACTACAACAATCTATAAGCATAACAAACAGATTTTGGCCATCTCTACTGTATCACTCTAATACTATGCCAGCAGTATTATGGTTATTATAGCTAATGTCAGCACAAGACAAAAGACATTTGAGGAGGAGGCTAATCCTCCTTTTTTTTTTTGGAGAAGACAATTAATCCCAAAAAGTAATGAGTACATGTGATCAACTCTAATCATTAGTACAACAGGTAGGATATTAAGGAACAGTTCCAGTATAAGAATGAACTCAAAGGGTGTACACAAGGGTAACAAGTAGACCAGCTATGAGTGTCAATCTTCTAAGTCGTACACAGAGAGAGTAGGAAATTGAGAAACAAATCCATGAACAACTCCAGCAGGTATAAACACTAACTGTTGAATTGGCAACCAACTCCACCAAAGGATCGGAGACACTGAGATCCAGAGAGTGGAGAATTGGTGTAGACGAGTGTGATTGAATACCTAGGCACTGCAACAAAACTTCATTTAACACAAACAGGACAAATCACCGGTGCACACCCAAGGCACAATTTAGCCGGGGTTGCAATTCGTTAGCTTTATATTTGGAACAGGATAACGGAGATGAATCGAACTGCACTAGTCCATCGCAGTCTTGATAGGTAGCTCCTGAAAAGGCACCAATTTGAGCCTTTCTAAAAGAAATGTTGTGCAGTAGCTACAGGAAACCGCATCCTCAGAAATGGCATTTCACACGTGACAGAACACGTTTGAGAATGGCTTCAGATGGACAAATACAAAAAGAGCCAGAAGTATTTGATATGCTACGTTCTCGAGATTGTAATATAGATCTCAGGACCGTGAACTAAAATTGAAAATGCAAAAGTTGAAAAAACTTCTCTCCCCACAATATAAGCAACAAAAGGCTGCAGAATCGTCCGAACTAATGCTGATTAGATCTACTAATCTGCAAAAATGCTGTACGACATTTCACTTATAAACACAAATATGGTCAAACGCTGCAATTGATGCTAATACAATGCTCCTGCCACCAACTCATCTGTCTGATGCGGGTCGAGAGGGAGATGAATGCCATCACTAGGAGTTCACCTGGTGGACACTCTACCCGGGCCTCGGAAGATGCATCCTTACACACCAGAAACTCTTCCATTTATTAAGAAATCCTCAATGAGACTAAGTGATTCGTCCAAACAACCAAGTTCTGCAAAATATGCTTCTTCCATCCCCATCAGACATCACTGAAAAAAAGGAAAGAAACCATAAGTTTAAGGAACAAAATCAAAGAGAAACCAAGATGACATTATAGATTATACATAACATGATGTAGAACACAATACAGACCTGAGCCCACGTGTCGGGCAAAAGCCTCCAAACAGAGGTTGGACGTCCACTTCAAGCTCCCAAATTTACTCAAAGCAGCAGTGGAGAAGTTAAGCAGCAACACTGAGAAGAAAACACATACTTTTTCCCTAAACAAGACCACCAAAAAACATCAATTAGCCCATATGTCCACTATTTTACCTAAGTATTAGCCCTCTTTCATCTAAACTAAATTCGCATATGTTCAAGATTAAAAAAAAAAAAAAAAAGAAGGTGAGTCAACAAGGACAGAACAACGTGCTTAGGAGGAGGAGAAAAAGCGAGAGAGAGGGAGAGAGAGAGCGAAAGAGACCAACTATCCCAAATATACAAAAAATGTACCATCCTTGATTTACCATGAATTACTTACTTGGGAAAAGAGATTTCTTCAGTCTTGAGAGCAAGCAGAATTTCTCGAACCATCCAATCTGTATGAGTAGCCAAAAGAGCACTGTGTAATACAAGTTCTGGAAGCAGAACATATCCTAGAAATGCTGCTGCTGTCTTTAATATTAGAGAACACAACATAACACGTAAGGATATCGCCACCCGCATACCCAAGTTCACTTCCAAATGGGACCATAGCCTCCTCATTTCTAAAATTAGGAGCATTAGACATCACTTCAGCACCAGAGTCCTGGACACCACAATCTGTTCTCATTGCAATAGAATTACCATTCCCAGTCTTCCCTATTATGGTAAAAGAATCAACGGTGTCTCCATTCTTATGCCCTACTGAATTATTGAAAATTTCAGAATCATCAAAATACAAGTTATTCGAATTTATCTCCACATTGGATCTTTCAACACCACGAAACTCAATCTCGGGAAGTGTAGGAGACAGTGGCATTTCCTTTGCCATCCGATACAATTCCTCATCAGCAGCATTGTCCAAGTCTAACAGTTTCAAGTAGTTCCCATCAGTTACTTCATAAAAACTTGACATGGTTTCAAAATCACTTGTGCCATCTCTGCTTGCTTGAGGGATCCATACCAGCTCATTGGCCTTTTTTGAAACTTGTCTGCAGACATTTGCACATCCACAGACTTCATTTTCAAATTTATTGGCCTTCTTTTGCCTCATTACCATCAGCATAATTCTGCATTATTAGTTTCTCTTCAGTACTTTCCTTCCCCTTCTCATAATCCCTTCCATGCTTTGCATATGAATCACCCTGAAGACCAGGAAGCAGATTCCTCCCTTCTTCAAAAGGTTTTTCAATTTGCTTGTTCAACAAACAGTGCAAAACAGAAAGGTTCTCCTCTACCCGCAGGTGCAACTTCTTACCCTCAAAATATAGATTTTCAATTGATTCAACTGCATGAAGTATCCTCTTTCTCTTCCTACTCTGCTCATCAACTCTTCCAACCCCATCAGTTCTGACAGGACTTCTGACACTATTTTCAGCCACCACGGCAACATTTTCATAGCAATTTATTTTGGTAACCTCAGCAGACAAGTTGGATATTGTTGGTTGAACATTCTCTTCAACCAATTTTCTGACGCGGTAAAGAAAAGGCACCCTTATCCTGTGAGCCCACCACTGTCCATCAGAAAAAGATGCTGTACTGGAATTTATTGGATAACTCTGTAACATTTTTCTGTTAGAGCCTCTGACAGGAGACTCCAATATATAATCAATACCTGAAATAGAATCAGTGCAGTTTCCTCCAGATAAAGGAAGAAATGGTGCAGTACGTTGAGATGCATCCAAAACTGGGCAGTTCGGCTTCAGACGTTTAAATCCACTTTCAATGTTCATCTGCAAATTGCACAAGTCCATTTTAGTAAGCGTGATAGAATACAATCTTGTGAAAATAACGATCACATTGGGGTAAATAATGTAAAATATCCACGAGAGACAAGATTGAGACTGTTAAGGACAAGACATCAGCATAAATGTTCAATAAAAACCTATGCAGTTGGAAGCCAAACTGAAGTTTTGAAAAACTTGCAGAAACAAGTCTTGGACCGAAAACAAAGCCTCAAGTCACATGTCAAAGGAAATATGCAACTCATTGATACAAAACTATAACTAGACTAGTATAATAAGTGGGAGAGTAAAATTGTGATGCTTTTCCCTTTATCTTAAAAGTTGTTCAATCTAAACATAACAGACGCAAAAGAAAATAATAGAGAAGCTGAGGGTTTTCTTTCCTATATTTTCTACTTCTGGTTGGAGGTAGAAGAAATGTTGCAGGGAAAGACGGTACAGTTACCAACTAAAGGCAACTACTTTTAAGTCTAAACCTTATTAGTGTGATTCTGGTACTACTTTCCAAGCATTAAAGTACAACAATGAGCAAGCTTATGCTCTACCCACCAGATTACAACACTAAAAGCCATCAGATGAATAAGGTTCATTTGTCATCAACCACGCCTGAAAAAAGAAAATAAATCAACAGTAGCTGTAGCAAACTCTAAAACATGTATGCTATGTTTCAAGTATAGATTCCTCACCAACATCTTGAGAACTAACAATACGGAGTTATTAACTACAAAATCAAATTGAAGCATGGTAGCTATAAAGATTAGACTGCGGAAAACGAACCTTTTCTGGGTCATCTATACCTTCCGCACTATGCGAGAAAGCTGTATTTAGCATACCCAGGCGCTGTGAAAATTGATTGAACTCAAACTTCAAGCGACCTAGTTCTTGTTGCAGGATGCTGTTCCGACTTCTTTCCAGCTTGACTACTTCTTTGGCATGCTTCTTTTGCATTTTCTCAAACTTAAGTTGTTTCTTCAAATCTTTCACTTTCGCACTTTCAGCACCCATATCTTTTCCAAGTTCAACAGCAGATGCCTCAATCAATTTTCTAGAGGATAACTCCTCAATCTTCTTCTTAGCTTTGTCTAACTGCGTAAACAGATGATCAGCACGAGATTCTTCTTCCATAGCCTTCTTCCAATTCATTTCCACAAGCTTTTTCTGCTTTTCAGCTTTCGCCATCTCAGACTCTGCCCTTTTTTTCTCCTTGATTGCCTTCTGTTTTTCAGTTTCATACCTTTTATATGCTTCCTCAAAATTTGGAAGCTCCATTACCTTTCTATTATTATCAGGTTGGCCGCCAGGAGCCTCGTGCAATTCTCTTGAACACCTAATTTCATTTAACTCTTTCTGTAACTCATCAATCCTTTTCCTACTCCTACCAATTCCAGAGACAAACGTTCGGCGCGACTTTTTTCTTCTATACTCTTCTTCCTATTCACTTCTGCAAACTTGTTTTGCTCCTCTGCTTTCACCACCGCTGAATTTGCACATTCTCTCTCCTTGACCACCTTCTGTTTTTCTGCTTCAAGCTTTTTGTTTGCCTCAACAAGCTTCAATGTTTCAGAGGCCAAATTAGAACTTGCTTTATGCGCTTCTTTCTTCAATACCTCCAACTGAAGCCCATAATTATCAGCCTTCTCTTTTTCAGTATTGGCGCGCTTCCTTTCTTCATCAGCCTTACTTTTTTCAGCTTTAGCAACTTTGTGTGCTTCGCAAGCCTTTTTCTTCTCCACTTCTGCATTCTTACTTTCTGACTCTGCCCTTTTCTTCTCTCTCTCAATTAGGTCTTTGAGACGATTAATTTCTTTTTCGCAGTCAGAAACTTGAGCTTTAAGAAGGTTTACTTCATTTCTATTTTGAGCATCTGCATTTCCTCTCTGCTTTAGAGAATATATCTCAGATTTCAACCCAGAAATTTCATTCTCCAAAGACATCCTAATGGAAGATTCTTTCTCTTTCTCCCCTTTCTCAATATCTGCTCGAGCTTTCTCTTGATCATATGCTGCAAGAAAACGAGATTTGTCACTTGGAGAATTTATAAGACACTCTCCAACAGAGGAAAAACAAATATGCACTAACCAACAATAACATATCAACTGGACATTCAGTGAAGCATTTCATGAAAATTTTACTTTACTCTTGGCCATCTTGGCCTTTCCATTTGTAAGCATGCTACTGCATGATAACAGATTTGGGTGGCCTTGTTTTGCATCTCATTCATGTTTAACATGAAACACATAAGTCTTATAGGTAAACTAATAATAACCCTAAAGCATAAATTTCAACAGGTGGGGAACAAAAACATACAAAATACGTCGATGACTATCAAACAAAAAACCTTGTGCTCAGAAAACAAAAAGGTACTCAATTTACAACCACTAGAGAAGGAGCTTCAGACATGAATCTTGTTATCTAATCCACAATCCAAGTGAAACGGGTGAAGCAATGATTATCATTTCAACAGCTTACCCAATAATACTGAATTTTTAATGTCTGAAAGATACTTCAAAAATTACCTTTCGTAAGGACGTCCACAGCTTCCCGCAGAGCTTTTCGTCTGTTTTCAATCTTTGAGTACTTCTTTTTCCACTGCATAAAAAATCATAAAACTAGGTGAACATTGAAATCGAATACCATATTCAAATAAATTCACAGGAAAACGAAAATCAAAATTCGAAACCATTACCGCAGCACAACATGAATTGACCACCTCGAGATTCACTGGCACGTCTGCTGCCATTGCTACCAGTCGGAAAAGTAAACAAAATTTTAAAATGAGAGGGAAAAAGTTAACGTGTTCCTTAGTAACACGGGGAGAGAGAGAGAGAGAGAGAGAGAGAGAAGAGTAGTACTAGATTTATTGCCGTGGGACGAAGGCGCTGAAGAAGTCCATTAACAAGCAGCAAACCCTAAAGCCCCAAAATTCTGATTAATAGCTAAACCCAAAGAGAGCGCGAATCGAAGAAGAAGAGAACCCAACCGCCTCTGTTAATATTACAACTGACAACTGAGAACTGGCCGCGAGAAGAACCCTAATGATCTGGGTCGGAAGACCCGATTTCCAATCGGATCCTTAAACCCCCCAGATTTGGGTTTTTTTGGAATTTTTTGGATCAGACTTCATTTTGTTCTCGACCCAAGTTAGATCGGAATCGATTTCGTACCAGAACAGCTAACCAATTCAATATGGGCTGAGATTAAATTCTTATCTAGCTAGGCCCCCAGTCAGTTTTGTTTGTTATTGGCACACTACATACTTTCTTTTTTTTTTTTTTTTTTTTTTTTTTTTTTTTTTTTTTTTTTTTTCGGACAAAAGAATTTTGAGGGGAGAGCTTCTACAATAAGGAGTTTAGAGTGAGAAGCTTATTCGAGGGGTTCAATCCCACCATCAAACCATTTAAAATGTTTAAGTTCATTGATTTCCTTACATTTGTTGAAGATGGGATTGAACCCCTCAAATAAACTCTTCACTCTAAACTCCTCATTATAGTCTTTCCGTATTTGAGGGAGAAGGATTCATTCAAACACAGTAGCTCAAGTGCATGGATAACTTCTTTTAACCATTCCTTTGCAACACTAAGTTTTTTGGATAGAATGATTTGGCATATGCATATTACGGTTATGTTAGAATAAATATAAACATGTTTACAACATGAGAACAAACCCAGTCAAGGATGCTCTCTTATGAAATAAGCTTTTGAGTGTGACTGTCACATGACCATGTGTGTTTACCGAACCATTCATGTTATAACACGTTTATTTATTTAGTATCATGTCATCTACTAATATTATAACATGGGGACTAATAACATTAACATTCTCGACGCTATTATAAAAAATAAAATAAAAAAAAACAGTCAACAAAAGAGACATACAAGATTCATACTAGGGAATTGACATGCAAGAAAACTTAAAGGCTAAGGCAATATAGACAAGTAGGAGAAGTCTGCTCCCATAAACAACCAACGAATCCAAGGACAGTCAACGTTGTTAATTTATACACGACAGCACCACAAAAAATTGACACCTTCATCCATGACATGCCACCCACAAGACATAAATAATTTATGCGTACAACAAATTTAGGAGACAGCAAAAATAAAGAATATTAATGTTGAATTCCCTTTCACTTGCTTTTCCTAACCAATGCCACCTGTTAACCCTTGCAAAATTATCTGTCCTTTTTGGCTGCTTTTGATTGAGGAAGTGTTCCAAACACCCTGTCCCATATACTTGAAGTTATTCCAAAGCCTTTATCTTGGATCCTGAAGTGATGATTCAAGTGGTATTTCTGCCAAAACAAGCAAACATCAGCTCATTCTTGTTAGCATTCACCAATTCCCGTAAAACATACATTTTTCTGCTGTTCTTTCTGATGCTCTACTTTACAAGATTTATAGTTCCTGATCTGGACTACAAAGAAAACGTAGTTTTGGGTCTAATAGGTAAAATATCCTGCAAGCATGAAACCTGTACTGATATTTACCTTCAGGTTTCGGGGTACATCACTTGATGGCTGACCATGATGGAGATAGTAATGGGTACAATCATACATCACATAACCCAATAAACCACCTCCAAACAAAGCAGGAGTGACAGAAGGAACGGAAATCAGCTTCACCAAGTTCCAAAACTGGCAACAATTGACCAAAGAGTTATGACTGGTAATGATTTTGTTTTCTTACAAAAATGACTGGAAAGGACAATTCTACAATCACACAACAAAGATTAATACCTAGACAAATTTAAATCATAGTAATAATAATAATGTCCAAGTAAACCTCCCGATCACAGTAAAGTAATCTTAATACTGAGAACAGTAACTGAGCTATCCTATCTAATCAAATTCAAGGCAATGTATCATGGCTGTATGACGTGTAATTGTGTTTTCCATTAGAAAAATAATGAATTTGACGGCTCAAAATCAGTAACCATAGCCACAAGTGTATTCTTAAGAAAAACATAGTGACCATGTGGCAGACAATAAGTGATATGAAAGAAAAGACATACTGGAACACATAAAACAGCTGTTGCAGCAGGAGGGAAAACAAGTCGCAGGCCATCCATTGGGTGCTTATGGTGGCAGCCATGAAGAAGATAATGTGCAGTGTTCCCCCTGAACAATCTCAACAAAACTAGCACATTAGTCTCGAAGATTTTCCAAATATGCGTATAAGTGAACAAATACATAAACACGGAGAGGGAGAGATATGATAAAGATAGATACATAGAGAGAGAGAGAGAGAGAGAGAGAGAGAGAGAGAGATACAAGAAACACACCAGTAGCTCTTTGTTTCAATGTGGAAAAGAAAGCGGTGCAACGTGTATTCAAGCAATGTCCACACGAAAATGCCAGCGAAAACCATCAGAGCTATTTCAGGAAATCCATGGCCCATCCGTACAGACATGGAGATAGAATAGAACACGACTGGCAGCCATATGACAGGAACTGCCCACCACACTGTGCGGGTCAAGAACTATTTCAAGTAGTACAAATGAGTCAGAACTGGAGCTCCAAATTCTCAAGAAAAAAAATCTAGATGCATGTGCAACAATATCCGTAGTATGAACAAAAGGAGCAGGAAGTACCTCCCAAAATTCATTTTCAAAAAATCGAGGGCCTTCCTTGCAAACAATCGGCTGGTGAACCCACTCCTGGTATGCTTCTCCAAGATGGCCAACCTGTGAAAAATTGTCAAAGGGTAAAATTTACAGTAAAACCAATTACAACACATCAAATACAATAAATTGAGCAGGTAGAGGTAGAGCACTCTGCTCAAAGATTAATGAAAGTGGAAAAGGTAATTCTAAAACTAAAATGCAATGCTTGTTCTGAACTACCAAAAAAGGAAAATGAGGAGCCAATTAAAAGTTATTGAAATTCTTCAGGACAGTTAAGAAAGTTTTTCTATAAACTGGGCTATTGTTTAACAAATGTCTTTTTACTTATTCTTCTTTACACACAATCCGCTATTGCAGAAACCTAGAAACATGGTGCTGTCAAAATCTATGAGCCCCGAGATCAAACTTGAAATATAGATGTGACAATGTAGTCATTTAAGTCCATCAAATGCAGTGACCCAATGCATATAATCGACTCCCATGAAAGGATAGATAAAATAAAATGAAACATTTGACAATGTAACCTTACCTGGAATACGAGGGCTTTATTCAAATCAACTTTGAAGTCCTGCGCAACCATCTTCTCATGTACAACACTGCTGGAGAAACATGCACATAAAAGACAGATTAGGTAAGGAACAACTTTTAATTTACATCTGGAATTTGGAAAATGTCAAGGATTACAGATAATGACTCTTATAATATTAACCCACTCCAACTTCTTCTCAATCATTCTGTAAAGTTTTTTTATGCAGATCTATTGGGGATAAGAACCAAAAGGATCTAAGGACACAGTTGAGATAAGGATTCAGAAATTACAAAGAAGAACTTTGTAACATGTGATAACTTAGTATCTAAAAATAATGTCAGTAATTGACCTAAAGTTCAAGTTTTCTTTGTTTGGGAACCTCCTAGCACTGGCTACTGTAAACTCAATGTTGATGGATCTAGGCGTATGGCCTCTGGCTTAGTCTTATGGACTGACAAGGACAATTTAGAATAAAGTTTTCTTACACCTTCCTCAAATAACCGACCCTGATTGAAAACTAGTACCTGTCTAAAGGCCACAAGTATTTCTTTCCAAATTATCAAAAGTGAAAATTATGAAGGTGAAGCAGTTACCAGCACCACAAGCAAAATTGGATTTCAGTAGTGAATTCAACACATTAAATGACCATGACACGTGATAGTTATACTTCTAAGCTTAAGACTCACATTTTGAACAAATCAATTTTAACATGCATCAATGAGGGAAAAAAATTTTGAAAATTCTTGAGAAAAAAGCATCCTTCCAGTTTCAAAGCGAGCCACGTTATTCATAACATAATTCAGAAAGAAAATTTCCCCTAAAATGCCTCAAATGAAACTAATTAATTCATAAAGATCCAATTTTTTCTTGTTCTTTTTTTCAATGAATCAAAACAAGTAAAAGAGCTGAAAAACCCCCAGATAATCTCTCTCTAAAAATTCCCATAGAACAGAGTCTCAAGACTGATGCTTAAGTCTCAAAACTCATGCTTCTTCCCCTCAACCCCATAATTTAGCATTAGCATCATGAAATCAAAAGCCACACTGTTGAATAAAAAAAACCCCACAATGCGCGTACCAGACTCACTTCCAAAACCCACAAATCAAACCCGAAAAGCCACAATCTTCCAAAGAAAAACACGAAAAAACAACAAACCCAGATCTACAAATTGCACAAAAACCACTGAAATCAGAAAAGAGAGCCAATAGATAACCTCTTAAGAAGCGCGGGTCGGATCCAATGGAAGAGAACAACAGAATACGAATACCCTAGTTCCTCTGACTCTTTCGTTTGCCACGAACCACCACCAACACCACCACTGGAACAAGTTTCAGCGTTTAGGGTCAAGTGGTGCAGTGGCAGAGGGAATTTGAGTCTCTTTTTCTCTCTCCGTGTTTGTGGAAAAATCAAGTCGAACTGGTAAAGATTTAAGAGACGGAACGATCTAGGCCGTCGGTTTTTGTATGGGCATCAAAGAATCAAGCCAGCGATCCTCACGTTGGATTCCAAGTCTCTAACGGTGGCCAGTCTGGAACTTTTCAAGTTCTTTATTTTTTTCCTAAAGAATTAGAATTAGAATTAGAATTACAGCTTGGGCCCGGCAGTTGGGCTAACCTGGCATGTAGAAACTCAGAGGGTAATGGTTGGGTGTGAGTTTGTTTTTGTCAATGGATCTGAGAAGACTGTTGGGTCAAACGATTTGCGGGTCCCATTTGGTCAACTTTGTTAATTTGACCACACTGTGACAGATTCTTTTTTCTCAACGTCATTTTGAACACACACAGAAAAAAAACAATTAAAATTCTATAAATTGTATTGTTTTCCATAAAAGAAATCAGAAAATGGTTGGGAAATGTGGTACCCTTCTACCAATTAATAGAATGTGTATTTTTTTTAATCAAAAGAATAAAATTAAGAGACTTTTAATTGTATTAATCTCATAATTGGGCCGGATTATGTCAGCACTGATTATTTCTATGTAATTATCACATTGAGACATATATACCTAAAATTTATAACATATTAACTTTTTCGTTCATCCATATTATAACACATGTATATTTCAAAAAAGTTAAGAAAACAAAATGCGAAACAAATGATACAACTAGCCAGCAAGGCTTGATTGCTAGTTATTAAAATAGTAGCAAGAAAATCAATGTGATGTGATACAGCCAATAAAAGGCTTAAATTAAGGTACGTAGCAAGGAAATCCATGTGACTATTATGTGAGCCATGCGATGAAACCAGACAGCCAGCAAGGCTTACCTAGCTAGTTACTGGTTTTCTGGATCGGCAGTTTTTCCTTGGTGGAAGGACGTGTTCCAAAAACAGTGTTCCATAAGGAGGAGGCGACCCCAAATCCCTTACTTTGAATTCTGAAGTGATGGTTCAAGTGATTTCTCTGTCAAGCATAAACATAAGTGTTTGTCAAGTCAAGGCATAGAAATGCAGATATCCGTTAATCATGTATTTTCAATTGCATGGGATTTGGTGTTTGTAGTTTGGAAATTGTTCTAATTCAAAGACATCCGTTAAGTTAATTTCTTGTATAAGAGGATCACGTGAACAACACATATTGGAGGACAAAACTTACGGATTTCATATAAGATTAAGGGTGTCAAATGGAAAAGGAAATCGTTTTTGGACACCATTTAAAGCTTCTCATATTCCATTCACAATAGCACCCAAAAAACACACATTTTGGTTATATCCCAAGCCGGCTAATGCTTTTCTTATGTGTTTGCTTTGGACTACTTGAGACAAATTTTGCTTCACAGTTGAGACAATTGGCTGGAGAGAATCGAACTTTGGACGGCAAAATCAAAGATCTAGTTTGGAATGTAAGTTGCATTGCATCATTTGCTTCTATATATCAACTACATATAAATAGGAAGCTTTCTGCTGCTTTCTTTCACAACTTTTTTTTACTCTTAATTTCAGGCTGATCTCATCAACATGTTGGTTTCCCACGTCTTCTTTATCTTCTTCTTGATCTTCTTCGTTTTCGTTCCTAATTAAACGGAAATGAAAATGGCAAGAATATATGAAAATGGAAAATTTGGTAACCATATGCCATGTTCACCACCAACATTAGCTTTGAGTCTTTGACAATCTGATGAGAAATCTGGCTCATTGAGAAAGTTCTTCAATGTGGAAAACTCTGGTGCCATATCAAAGCTTACTACAATGGCTTCCAAGAGCACAAGGATATGTAAAAAATTTGGCAGGCCACAGAAATCAATTGTGGATGAGTTACAACAAGTAGTTAGGACACTTATATTTTTGTAAGTGAGACAAGGGCACTGTTTAAGTTTAAATGTCGTTTTCGATTAGCATAAATTATTTAAAATAGATTTTCTTCATCTTCTTCACAATACAATACCTCAGTTTAATCTCGGTCTCTTATTTCTACATGGGTTCTATGTATATGGTCCACTGAATTCAAGCTGCCAAAGCAAAATCCATGCAGTAAAAGTTTCTCCTTTGATTTGCAGCACATATAGAACTGTAGAAGTTTGGTATGGCTTCTCCAATCTTTCAATTGTAGAACACAAATATAATAATTGAATCACTAATTTTCAATCTGAAAAATAAGAAGAATTGGTTTTAATTGAAAATAAAAATATTTGAGTTTTGTTTAAAAAATTTGTATCCCAATAGACGGCCGGTCATGCTGATAACACAGAAATCTTATTAGGTCAGCTTTCTAACAAAAGGTTTCCTAAAATTCTCTAGCAAAATACCTTCTTCCTCATTTATATTGATCACCTTTGCAGCCTTACCTTCACATTTAACCATAAATTTTAGGGCTTTATATATATATATATATATATATATATCCATAATGCAGACAGAAAACACACTATGTAAAAGTACCATAATGCAGACAGCACATAGTCCATATATCCATGAGGAATTGGTAGACCTTTGAACTTTTCATTTCAAGAGAATTTGATCATCGTTTTCTTTATGCCTCTAGGCACTGCACCATATGAATAAATAATTCATGGTTCGAATTTGCCTTCGAAGGAATAGGCATTCATAGAGATGAAGATAAATTTGATTCCCTTACGATAATCCTTTTCACACTGTGACTTAGTCTTGGGGAGAAGCTGGCCAGAATCTGCAAGTGGACAGAGACATAGGGCAATATAACTTATAATCTCACCATATATCATCAGCCTCTGCCGGAGCAGGGCTTGTGCAAACAACTAAAAACATATGCCTTTCTAATTATTAGTTATTATTATTATATGGTTTCAGAATTTCTGTAAGCTGCTTCTGAATCCTACTTTTCTTGATATGGTTTTGTTATTGATTTTGAAAGTTTATTTTATTGTTACAAAATTAAATTGGACCCGGTTAATTTAGCAGGATACTTTGTCTTGATGTGTTTAACATTTGCAGAATGAGTATTTACTCAAATCACAAGGAATAGAAAATTAATGAAGGAACAATTCTTAGCTTAAGTGTACGTTCAGGAGACTTATCCAGTGTCTATAATGCAGGGCCGGCATAGCTTTGTCTATTATATATTTGTTCTTCATTCAGAATCAGAACCATAACCACCTTCTCTATAAATAACCAAGCTTCTACTTCAGTTGCTTCACATCTCTCTCCCTCTCTCTCAATCCTTTCCATTTCTCAATCCTTTCCATTTCCCATCCCATAGAAGAAGGTGAAAAATTAAGATGGCAAACCAAATGTTGCTATTGACTACTTTGCTAGCCATGACATGTGCTCTGGTCTTTGCTTTTGAGCCTAGTCCTTTGCAAGATTTCTGCGTTGCTGACACTACTAGGTCAGGTTTGTATCGAAATTACCGGTTTATGTATGATTTAATTTGCATTTTGAAAAATATGTATCTTTCTTCTTCTTCCTACTTGATCGTACAATGACTTTAACTTTATGTGCTTGTGTTATCAATTGAACTTGTGCATCACAGCAACAAGAGTGAATGGGCTACCTTGCTTGGACTCCAAGCTAGCACAGGCTGAGCACTTCTTCTTCAGCGGACTTCACATCCCTGGCAACACCTCAAACCCTGTTGGAGGAAAAGTCACCCCAGTCAATGTGGTTCAAATTCCAGGACTCAACACACTCGGCATCTCTCTGGCTCGCATCGACTATGCACCCTGGGGCGTTATCCCTCCCCACACTCATCCCCGTGCCACAGAGATTTTGACCGTCCTAGAAGGCAGCCTCTATGTTGGCTTTGTGACCTCAAACCCTGACAACAAGCTCATCTCAAAGGTCCTTTACAAGGGTGATGTGTTTGTGTTCCCTGTTGGGCTAGTTCACTTCCAGCAGAATGTCGGCAATGGAAATGCCATATCACTCTCTTCATTGAGCAGCCAAAACCCTGGAGTCAACACCATTGCTAATGCTGTTTTTGGAGCTAATCCTTCCATTCCAGATGATGTTTTGGCCAAGTCTTTCCAGGTGGACAAGTCCGTAATTAGCAGTCTTCAAGCAAAGTTTTAGATGTTTTCCCTGGAAAATAGTTTCTCATATTTCATATTATCCCTCTGTTTATTCTTGTGAATTTGCATCTTGTGAGCTGGATTTGTAGAAGCAGAAGTGTGTACTCCATGAAATCGAATTATTTTGTATGAAATTCTTTGATATCAATTCATATCTAAATTCCCCTTAGTGAAAATATGTCTAAGAAGCACTTGTTCATGACTTTTTAAAAGAAAAATATCTACCTGGATATTTTTTGAAAAAACACCTTAAAATTGGGTTTTGGTTGAAATTTTCTGCCACAGTTTTCCAACAAAGCCAACGCAACATAGACCCGGCAATCTGTGTGATACAAGACGCAGGGGAAAAGGAAAAATTTGTTAGCCTTGTATTTGAAAACAGCATTACTCCAGCATTTCATCTTCCAATTTTAGACAATAAGATCAGCAAATTCTTAGGCTAACAATAAGTTGTAACTTACTCACACTCATGGCCAGAGTTTTTTCCACTCCCTTGAATAACAAATAATAAATAAATTGTTCTTTAATAATATTTCACTTACAGCCCACTAACCAAAGCATGAAACAAGCACATTTGTGTTATGGGATTCACTTTACTTTCTGATGAAGGCAAGAACCTCTGCGTCCTGCATTTGTTTCTTAGCAGGACCTACCTGCATTTTTAACAACCCAAGAAGTGAGATTTCAGGACCAAAAAACAAGAGATGAATATGTGTTTATATAAACAGATACACTTGAATGTTTTTAAACTCAACAATGTCTATCAAGAGTCAGAAATTAGTGGCTGCAACTGGTTTTCATAACTTATGATAAGAAGGCATTGTTTTATGGAATTTAATGGTCCATGCATTCACTAAGACATGGTCTTTAAACAGTGCATGGAGAATTTCTTGGATATTAAGAATGCATATAACAGATATGATGGGAGCATATGTCATAACTCTGTTACTCTACCCAGCATGCTAGGAAGTTAAACATACAAGATGGAACATCTCCTCAGTATATCATCTGCAGCATTGTCTGTTTTTGTATATGAGTTTCATCTGTGCAATTCCTGGATGCAGAGCACCTCTGAACACCACTGATAGCGTTAACGTTAACTTCAGAGCCTCAGTTAGTGATAGCAACAACTTCTAGGTGAATAGTTTGCTGTGTGTGCGCGCGTATGTGTGCTTGTGTATTATCTACAATCTACAGCAGTGGGACAAGATATATTGCGGGGAAGAGCACTAATCTACAAGTACGTGAAGTGTGGGAATTCGGGGAATGAAAGTGAAGTTAATAGAGGCTGGCAATTACTTAATGAGATGGTGGGAAGTTACCCCATGCTTAATAAAGGCTGCACTGCAGAGAAGGGTTCTCATATCAGGAAATGTGTTGAGATTGAGAGTATAGGAACTGATGCTTTGTTCTTGAGTTCGTATGAATCCATGTCTGTTCCTACTTTACACTGTCCGGAGTTTCGTCCAGATTCCATATACATCATTGATCATGGGTATACATTTGTGCTACTCTACTCCGGAAATGGGAACATTGCTGGTCAAAGCTTCAACTGCGGTGCAGGGGGCGAATTACTTGGATTTTGCCCACTATAGTATGAGGAGATGGTTTCACTTTTCTTCTCTACTTTTTCATGTGATAAATTATTAAGCCCTATTCTCATTCCTCAAATGTTCGATTGGAACAGCAATTGTAATCTCATTTTGAGCTCTTTCATTTTGTTCTTATTTGGGAATTGAGATGGTATCACGGTAAGCATGCACGTACTCTCAGTTTGTGGCACTTCATTGTCAAATAAAAATCAATCATCAAATTTAAGATTTGCCACAGGACCAATGGATACAGCAAAGTGGAGAAAAACATAAAAAGGGTAATTTCCTAATCCAGATTCCAGATAGAGAAAGCACACTAAATAATGGCTATGCATACATCACATAGTTCATACATCTATCTATCGATGAGGAATCGGTGGACCTTTGAACCTTTCATTTCAAAAGAATTTGATCATCGTTTTTTCTGTAGCCTCTAGCCACTGCACCATATGAAATAAATAATTCATGCTTTGAATTTGCCTTCGGAAGGAGTAGGCATTCATAGAGATGAAGACAAATTTCATTACTTTACGATCATCCTTTTCACACTGTGACTTAGTCTTAAGGAGAAGCTGGCCAGAATCTGCAAGTGGACAGAGACACGGGGAAATATAACTTATAATCTCACCATATATCAGCTTTTGCCGGAGCAAGGCATGTGCAAACAAACAAAAATAGATGCCTTATTATTATATGGTTTCAGAATTCTGTAAGCTGCTTCTGAATCTTACTTTTCATGGTTTGTTATTGATTTTTAAAGTTTATTTTATTATTACAAAATTAAATTGGACCCGGTTAATTTAGCAGGATACTTTGTCTTGATATGTTTAACATATGCAGAATGAGCATTTACTCAAATCACAGGAATAGAAAATTAATGAAGGAACAATTCTTAGCTTAAGTGTACGTTCAGGAGACTTATCCAGTGTCTATAATGCAGGGCCGGCATAGGTTTGTCTATTATATCTTTGTTCTTCATTCAGAATCATAACCAAATTACTACTACCTTCTCTATAAATAACCAAGTTTGTATTCAATTGCTTCACATCTCTCCCCCTCTCTCTCAATCCTTTCCGTTTCTCATTTCCAAGAACTTCACTTAAAATCCCATCCCATAGAAGAAGGTGAAAAATTAAGATGGCAAACCAAATGTTACTATTGACTACTTTGCTAGCCGTGACATGTGCTCTGGTCATTGCTTTTGAGCCTAGTCCTTTGCAAGATTTCTGCGTTGCTGACACTACTAGCTCAGGTTCGGATCGAAATTACCGGTTTATGTATGCTTTAATTTGCATTTTGAAAAATAAGTATCCTTCTTCTTATTCCTATTTAATTTTACAATGACTTTAATTTTATGTGTTTGTGTTGTCAATTGAACTTGTGCATCACAGCAACAAGAGTGAATGGGCTACCTTGCTTGGACTTCAAGCTAGCACAGGCTGAGCATTTCTTCTTCAGTGGACTTCACATCCCAGGCAACACCTCAAACCCTGTTGGTGGGAAAGTCACCCCAGTCAATGTGGTTCAAATTCCAGGACTCAACACCCTTGGCATCTCTCTGGCTCGCATCGACTATGCACCCTGGGGCGTTATCCCTCCCCACACTCATCCCCGTGCCACCGAGATTTTGACTGTCCTAGAAGGCAGCCTCTATGTTGGCTTTGTGACCTCAAACCCTGACAACAAGCTCATCTCAAAGGTCCTTTACAAGGGTGATGTGTTCGTATTCCCAGTTGGGCTAGTTCACTTCCAGCAGAATGTCGGCAATGGAAATGCCATATCACTCTCTTCATTGAGCAGCCAAAACCCTGGAGTCAACACCATTGCTAATGCTGTTTTTGGAGCCAATCCTTCCATTCCAGATGATGTTTTGGCCAAGTCTTTCCAGGTGGACAAGTCCGTAATTAGCAGTCTTCAGGCAAAGTTTTAGATGTTTCCCCTAGAAAATAGTTTCTCATATTTCATATTATCCCTCTGTTTATTCTTGTGAATTTGCATCTTGTGGGCTGGATTTGTAGAAGTAGAAGTGTGTATTAAAATCTCCATGAAATCGAATGGTTTTATGAAATTCTTTGATATCAATCTTGAAACATATCTGAATGCCCCTAAGTGAAAACATTTTCCGAGAAGCAATTTTTCATTACTTTTTATTTTAAGGAAAAAAAAACAACCTGGACATTAAAAAAATAAAGTAAAAAGAAAACCCCTGAATATTGGGTTTTCGTTTAAATTTTCTGCCACAGTTTTCCAATGAAGACAACGCAATAGACCTGGCAATCCGTGTGGTTCAAGACGTTTTGGACAGAGAAAAATTTGTTATCCTTGTATTTGAAAACAGCAGTAATCCAACTACAAACCAGCAAATTCATAGGCTAACAAGAAGTTGTTACTTACTCACACGCTCATGGCCAGAGTTTTCTTCCCTCCCTTGAATAACAAATAATAAATAAATTGTTCTTTTATATATTTCACTTACAACCCACATACCAAATCATGAAATAAGCACATTTGCGTTATGGAATCCATGAATAGAACTCTATAAATGTTTTCATTATTGTGTTTCCCTTTACTTCCTGATGAAGGCAAGAACCTTTGTGCCCTAGACCTGCCTGCATTTCTAACAACCTAAGAAGTGAGATTTTAGGACCAAAAAACAGGACATAAGAGATAGATATATGCGTTTGTGTGTGTATACACACACTTGAATGTTTTTAAACTCAACAGAATTTAGTGGCTATAACTGGTTTTCATAACTTGCTTATGATTTGAAAGGCATTGTTTCATGGAATTTAATGGTTCATGCATTCACTAAGACAAGGTCTTTAAACAAGGTTTCGAGATTTTCTTGGATATTAAGAATGCGTGTAACAGATATGATGAGAGCAGATGTTTTAACCCTGTTACTCTAGCCCGCATGCTTGCATCCTCTGCTAGGAAGAAAAACCTGGACGATGGACCATCTCCTCAATATATCATCTACAACATTGTCTGTGCTTGTGTGTGCAATGACTGGGATGCACAACACCACTGATAGCGTTAGCGTTAGCTTCATAGCTCAGTTAGTGATATCAACAACTTCTAGGTGAATGTGTTCGTGTGTGTGTAGTGCTCTACAAGTACCTGAAGCATGGGAGTTCGGAGAATGCAAAGTGAAGTCAATAGAGGCTGCAAATTGTTTAATGAGATGGTGGGAAGTTACCCCATGCTGTCTAGTTGATCTTCTGTGCAGAGCAGGGTTCGCATATCAGGAAATGGAGTTCATAAGAGCATGCTTATCTTCCTTAGAAAAGACTCACAGATTAATCTGATTGAGAAGTAGGTGGCAAAACAAAATAAAGATGTCAGGTACTCAAACTCATTGAGCTCATGCCCTGTTATCAACTTCTGTGGAAAGGCAGCTCAATAAACTGCGAATTGCAGAAACACGAAACAAGAATCATAAAAATGCAGAAATCAGTCACCAATGTAGTGTTATCAAAAGAAAGGAATTGATGACAACATGGAAAGTGAGCAGCTAAATCAATATCTAGAGAATGGAATGAAAGACCACAGCAAATGGTACTAAATTAAATAAGGTGGAGAATAGATCCAAGGTTTTTGAGAAGCTTCCAAATGCTGGGTCCCTGTTATTTTATTGTTTTCTTTTTAACCAATTAGATTACAAGTGCCTTGACATAAAGCATAAAGAAGAATTTCCAAATAGAACTGCAGAAATTAGAATAAAAGGTCGATACATTATTAAAAGCACTCAGTGATGAGTTTTGATAGGTAAATCCATTTTCAACATTCCTGTTCAATAGAAGATAATGATTGTGTGAATCCCGTGATTGTATTTGAACAGGTGATCAACTATAAACGCGGTCGTCTTCTAGTATCATCATTTCTTTTTCTCACACTAACACTACTTAATTGCATTCAACTTTTCCAATCTTCTTCTAAAAGATTTCAACCCCAATCCTAATTAAAAGTTTCAATTTAGACTTCAGAAAATAAGAAAAAATGAGGATGATTTGAAAAAATTAAGCTTATTGAAGTTTCTCACCATCTGTGTAACAAAGTCGCTCAATACTTTCGGAGCAACTTTTGGGGCAAACGAGTGTCTTCTGGCCAGTATTTTCTGCACCCCAGTCTACAGCAGAACAACAGATATAATGAAAAAATGATTCGGCTATCACAAATAAAGGAAATCAATACAAGGAAACAAGAACTATGTACTATTGATTTGTATCTGTAACAATTTTACAGTTTTGAGTACAACACCTCAAGCTGGGTATCCAACGAAAAGGTTGGAATTTCTATCACACTGAGCTTTCACATTCAGACTACAATTCGAGACTTGAATTCAAGAACCCTATATCTGAAGGAACATCACTATAACAACCACATATATTCTAACTTGAGACTGGGACAGAACACCGGCATATTTTTACCGATCTCCTCAGGCTTCCAGCCAACTTCGGCATAAAGCAGCTTGTGATTGTAAGCATCAGGGCAACAATCCGACCTCCGAAAAGTCCAGCAAGAACAATTAGAAAGAGAACCAGATACCCTAAATTCCCTTCTCTTCCCTTCCTTTCAACAATCAAGGGTGTTTCTCCCCCAGCCAATGATCCTTCGCCAAGATCAGAAACTCCGTCAAATCCTTGGATTTCACTTTTCTCTTCTGCAGAAAACACTGACATGTTTTCGCTTTCCTGTTCCTCTTGTTTCACATCTTTATGGTCTTCATGTTCTTCACATCCCTCTACGTTATCATCTCCCATGTGACAAGAAACTTCACTGCTTAGGAGAGGCTCCAGCTCCGGTTCATTTTGCTTACCCTTTCTGCGCAACTTCTTAGGCACAAATTTCTTGATAAGTTTTGATTTAATGTTAGAATTTTTGCCACCCTTACTCTTCTTATCTGCTATAAATTCACCTCCATCTTCACCACCCTCCACTACCTTTATCTTCTTATAATCCTTACCAAGCAACTCAACCAAAGTTCTTTCACCGACTGCCTTTTCTGCACCCACTCTTCTCTTATCCACCACCGTCCTCTTCTCATAATCCATACCAAGCAACTCAACCAAAGTTTTATCACCAACATCTCTCTTATCCACGACCCTCTCCTTCTCATAATCTGCACCAAGTAAAGCAATCAAAGGTCTGTCTCCACCAGTTTCATCAACACACACACTTCCCTTCTTGTTAGACTCAACAATCTGAATCTCTCCAATAGCAGAGTCTGAATCACTCGTAGCATCAACCAATTCAAACACAACATCCCCAGTATTTTCACATACAATCACCCCCTTCAAATCCTCACTCTCATGAAAACCATTCAGAAACAATAAAAATGAAGACGCCCTCTGAGCCATGTTTTGCAAAACAGATTTCGCTTTCGAGCATGGTTTGAAGAAACAAGCCAAGTGCTTACCCGCGTATTCAAGAAACAGAAGCAGAAAAGCAGACAATGTGACCCCAACAGCGAGCTTCTTGGTACTCAAAGCCAAAACCACCACCGCGAACATCTTCAACACCGCCAGCAAAACCGCTCTCCAATTCCCACCGACGCATTGCTCATCATCAACAACAATCCGACTCTCAACTTGAGTCTCACCCAAAACCCGAAACTCACCACTTCAACACCGCGATCACCTTCTTCCCGGCTCAAATTCTTGACCTTTGGTGAACTGGGTTGCACCAAAATCCCGAAATTGCCCGAACCCAGTTCACAATTCGCCGTGATCCGATCGTTGACCTGGTCAGCCGACCGGTTATTCTTCTTCCTGTTCTTGTTCTTTTTCGACGGCTTTTTCAAGTGATCGCGGTTCTTGACGAAGAGGTCGACGAGGGAGGTCGGAAAACCAGTCTGGACCACGAGTGAACCGCCCCGTTTCGGTGATTGGAGATCGGCGACGAATTGGGAAATTCGGTTCACCCGCATCTTCTTCCACGGAAGCGGCATGGTCAGTGAAAATTTGGGAACAAAAAAACAGAGCTTAAGAATTGGTTTCCAGAGGAAACTCAATTTCTTATTTAGATGTGAGGAAAAAAGGACTTTACTTTGGCTTTATTTTATAGCAGTCCGTCGTCCCCTGTTTCTGAAAAAGAATTGAACTTTAATGTCAACAATTTAAAATTAATTAAAAAAATTCAGAAAAGGGTTTGCGAAAGTGAGAGGAAATTATGAGCAGAGTAGAGTGGTTGAAAGTTGAAAGGTTGAAACTTTGAACGCGGTACGGCTTCTTATGAGTGGGGAAGAGAGAGAGAGAGACTTGGAAATTCCTTTTCTGTCTTTTCTGTTTCTGCGTTTCGGGAATTTTATTTTGTTTTGTTTTGTTTTGGTCGTGGCTCTGTGGAAAATGGGATTGAATCCCGCAAATAATAAAAAGCTCTCGTTCGGTGACATTTCTGTTCCCGTCTTTCATTTTTCAGTTAAAAATTTTGGTTTTCTGTTTTCCTTTGGGTAAAAGAGAAGAGTGAGGATGGGATCAATAACAAAGAGAACTACAACAAACAAAACGGTTTCAAAATTGATTTTAGTTTTCATTGTAAAAATTATATGTATTTGTTATGTTGAATTGTAGTGAACCGTTAATTTAGTTATTTATTTGATCATAAACTTAAATTCTTAAAGTCCGATGATATACAAATGTTCGATTTGGAACCTTCATATTTACAGCGAACATTCACTTTAATAAGTAAGTCCACTGGGCGGTTTGAATAAAAAGCCCATTGTGGTGGTTTTTTCTAATTCATGGTTAGATTGAAGTTCCCCATCACCCCTTTTAATTTATGTTCTCAATCTAATCCTACCCGCTCCCCAACGTCGCCTATAGTGCTTATTATAAAAAAAAAAAAAAAAATAAATGTATTCATCAAAAAAAAAAAAAAAAAAAAAAAAAAAAACAAATACCTTCTTTCTAATATCTCTAAAATTTTGATTCTCATCTCTTGACTGAGGTTGCTGCAAATCACACCAATTGTTGTTTTTGTTTATTTGTTCGCTCTTATGCTCAGGTAGATAACTATAAATCATATTTTTCCCGGATCTGTTTTGGATGAGGTGATGGGTGTGGCCGCGATGGTTCTTTTTCAAGTAGTGGTGGTAGGGTTCATCTAAGCTCATGGGTTGTTTTAGGGTATGTTGGGTTTGTGAACTTTGTTTGGGCTTATGACTAATTGTGGTGATATGAGCTAGTAGTTTTCATGCGGCTTTTGTCCCGTGTTAGTTTTGCTTTTAGCATATTAGTTTGGCACCCTCTTGAGATTGAAATTTTAAATGTCTTGTTGATGTCTTTGATTATATTGTTAAGTTTATTTAATGAAGTTTCTATTTGATTTTTTTTTATATATTTTAAATTTATAATATATATATAATAATTTTTTTTTTTTTTTTTTTTTTTTTTAAAGGACACATATTAACCTAAGATGTAGTTTTTGAGTACTAGGAGGGCATGGATGTTAATACATGTCAACTTCAAAATATTAAATGAATTGAAATAGCACTTGAAATAGCAAAAGAAAAAATATCTCTTGAAATCTCCCTTTGGCCAAGTGGCTAACAAGTGTAATTTGTAAATAAATATCCCATCCAATTGAACTTCTTGATTATTTTATTATTGTTATTTGTTTTGCTATCCAAGAGTGATCGACCTAACCTTCGTCCAATACGCAATTCCCATCTGGTGCTTAAAATGATAGAGCCCCAAAATTATAGAAAACCTTTGATATTTTGTTTGTCTAGATAAGAATTTGCTTACCTCTTCTAAAACAAAAATAAATTATTAACAACAACAAAAAAGTCATCACATCATATAAAACTGCCATGTGTAGGAACAAATTTCACCCCCAAAAAAAGCCAATTTTATCACCTTTTCAGCCCTTCTCATGTCCCCCACTACACACTGAAAACCACTTAATAACATTGTTGGACTAGGTTAAGATATTTCTTAGATGGGACCCAATTACCGTGTTGTGATTAGAGAAATTTAGAATCCAATGGCAGCCATGCTTTTGTCACACAAAGATAAACAATAAAAAGAAAAGGGACAAGAGCGATAATGGCCAATAGGGTTTAGATCAATAGGAAAAGGGCATTAACTTATAGAAAAGAGGTCTCAGGTTCGAACGCTTCGCATCTTAGTTGTATGTTTGTGTGTAAAAAATCTCACTCCCCTTTAGTTTAGACTATCGCGTGTATTAAAAAAAAGACTAAAATGAGAATTGAAAAAAGAAATGAAACCTGGTCAATAATTCATCGTATAGATTCCATGCATTATTTACTAAAATAATGTAGTTTGTTACCATCAACTAAAGTATGACTACGATGGTTAGAAAACAAAACAAAAAATATAAAGTGTATGTGTTTAGTGTGCATGTATATTCTTATGTTTTTTCACATAAAGCCATAGACTCTTTCTGAAAAAGGGTTGATACTTCCTTGCACCAAAAAAAGCAAAAACAGCTCAATTGGTCTTAGCCTATGCTCGTGTAAAATGGGAAAATCTTACAAGTTTTGGTGGGATTCTAACTTTATCAAGTGCGTATTTGTTTATGGGTTTTGCATTAAACAACAGATTAAATTTCCAAGTTGGGGTTTTCTCTTTGAACTTATGTGAAACGTGTGCTTAATTACCCGTTCAAAAAATTTACACAAGGGAGAGCTTTGAGAGACTGTATACATAGACGCATCAAAAAAGAAAAACGCACGTTGAATTAATGATGATGTTTGACTGCATTTTTGTTGTTTTTACTCATTTGGTCACATGCTTTTTGATTTGGGACAGCTTGTTACAACTAGTTTACTTCTTTACTACTGCAAAGTACAAAACACAAAAGCAAAGTTGAAAGCGTGTAAATGAAACCAAGTTTGAAACTTTGAAAATAAAAACACATTAGAATGATGTTAGTTTTACATGCGTAGATAGGAGGTGGGTTTGTCGCTTACCAACATGATCAAATTTCATATTGAGCTTGAATTAGGGGGCTCAATCCATATGAATTCAACTTGGATCCGCTTGAATTCAAGTTCATAACTTCAATTAAGCAAGCTGAGTTAGCTTAGGTTATCCATCCAACCTGCTCGACTTGCATTTTTAGACAGGAGAATTTTCATGCAATAAGTATGTTATTGTGACAGTATCTCAAACCAATCACACAATGTAACGTGAAAGAGTTAAAATGTATTAGAATGCATGATTGATGTGGGAATACTCCACAATGACATCCCGATATAGGCACGTTTCTCTACCTAAAGAGAGCTAGGTTGGTAATTTAGAAACTACACACCACATAAATCTAACACAAAATCAAGAAAAGGGTTGTACCACCTAACCATGAACTCCCTTTATGGAAATCAAGCTGGAAAGCACACTTCACGGTGCCATTCTACATGGGCCTCTCCATTTTGTACTAGAAGCCTACAAGTGGAGATGAGCTAAGTTCCATATCAAGTGGGAAAAGATATTGACCATCTTCAAGTGAACAACAAAATCTCTTTTGTTTAACAATATCATACATACGCATTCATCATCTGACATCTGTATTCACAACGAGATTATAATTCCGAAAAAAAAGAAAAAGAAAAACGAAGCCAAAATTATAAAGTATGAAGCCCAAAACTTGTTAGGCCCATCAAGAAACAACGATATGGGCCTATAACCTAAGCCCAAGCTTCCAAGCCCAATATATTGAGCATGCATAAACTAGATGTAGATTAATAAAGAGAGAAATCTAATAACTAGTAGGTCAACAAACTTCAATTTGAAGAGTTTGATTTGCTACTAACTAAGACCTAGTATGAAAGATCGGGTGTCAATTTCATATTTTACACTTCAATTGCAATCCTATTAGTTTGTCCTCATATATTGGTTATATTTCCCTATTGTGTTTGTATAAGAACAGAGTTATGAATAAGATTGATTGGATCCCATCATCCATTGTTACAATGGCATCCATCAATTCCAGAACTAAAGCAACTAAGCTGGAATGGACCCCCTCAAATGATGGCAACCCTTTGCGTTCATGCCATTGTGGCTAGATCTTTGAGCAAATCCAATGTAAATTTTGAAAGGTATATTGTGGAAAGTGTGTGGGTTAGAGTTTTAAGTAAAGCTCTTTGGTTGCAATAGATGCTTGATGTTTGAGCATACAATTGGACGTCTATGGTTTTTTTATATTATAAATATGGTTGGGTTCTAATCAAGGATAATCATGATATGATTCTCTCTATATGAATGATGTCTCTTTTAAGTTGTAAAAGATTGATTGGTTTTCTTTATAATGATGTAATCATTTGATTTTCAAATGGATGATGGCACTTTTATCTTTTATCATAACATTATAGAAATTCAATAAGCACAAATTACATACATAGATAATTAGTCTTCCAGTAGATGAAGATATTTGTTGAGCCGTTACTGTAGAGGAAACATGTTAATATGCACTATTATAGGTAGAAAGAGAACCAATTTCTCAGTGTAACTCTAAGTAATTACCACCCATGACGATAATAGAATAGGAAATCACTTCTCCTAATTTGATCAATAAGATTTTCTGAATAATATTTATTAAACCATTTTAATAATAACTTACATAACACGTAGGTCATATAAGGTGGACCACATAGAATAGAACATTTACAATATATTCTTATAAGATTCTATATTGTCATTTGTTTTCATTGTTTCATCATATAACCAAATTTGCAATGTAATTTTCAATTACATAATTCAAATCTTACACACATTTGCAATCAAAATAGAAAGCACCAACTATAGCATATTAGGTGGCTCTCCCAAAATTCAAAAGAGAAACAATTGAAATGGATAACCTAAAAAAGCCACGTATCAGCTTTTATGGCTTTTCCCATTTTTGTTTTGCTTGAAGCAAAGGCAAAAATTTGGTGCGCAGTGGGCACTCCCTAATAATTCTACAAAAATTACAGCAATTCAATTTATTTTTAATTTTAAAAAAAAAAATCTTAATTTCACTATGTCGGACAACACATCACCCAAAATTAGAAATTCCGAATCCCCACAAAAAAAAAACATACCAATAATAATGCAGACACGATTTCCCCAAATACCCCTACATAGTCCCCATATTTCCACGCCACCCACCCTTTAAAATACAATCTGACGCCACATTTCCCCACTACCCGCTCCTCTCCATTCAATCGCGGCAAAACCAAACCCTGTCTCGTAATATTTTCCCTCCCATTTTCCCGGAAACCAAACGGAACTCAGACCAGCAAAAATGAGAGAAATTCTTCACATCCAGGGCGGCCAATGTGGGAACCAGATTGGGGCCAAGTTCTGGGAAGTGATCTGCGATGAGCACGGCATAGACAGCACCGGGAGGTACAACGGCGACTCTGAGCTCCAGCTAGAGCGAATCAATGTCTATTACAACGAGGCCAGCGGCGGAAGGTTCGTTCCACGGGCGGTCCTTATGGATCTGGAGCCTGGGACCATGGACTCGGTCCGATCCGGCCCGTTTGGGCAGATATTCAGACCCGATAACTTCGTCTTCGGGCAGTCTGGGGCTGGAAACAACTGGGCTAAGGGGCATTATACGGAGGGTGCCGAGCTTATTGATTCTGTGCTTGACGTGGTGCGCAAAGAGGCCGAGAACTGCGATTGCTTACAGGGTATGATGAAAATGATTTCCGGTTTCTTCGAAATTTAGTGGTTATTTGATTTTACTTTTGCGAGTGTGATTGAATATGATATTGTGGTGCTTAATTATGTTCCATGTCTTATATGGGTTGGCTTGAATGTCTTTATAGCGCTTAATCATGGTTAATTTTTGGAAATTGTAGGCTTGTAGCAATAATAATTGTGATGTTGCAATTAAAAATGCTTAATTTGTCTGACCGGATTGTGCTTCTGTTTGGTTTAGAATTTGAATGGCTGATTTGGATGTTATGATTCAAAATTTTATATTTCCATTTTGTTTTGAACAGGATTCCAAGTTTGTCATTCTTTGGGTGGTGGCACTGGCTCTGGCATGGGAACTCTTCTTATTTCCAAGATCAGGGAAGAATACCCAGATCGGATGATGATGACATTTTCTGTCTTCCCATCTCCGAAGGTGTCGGATACAGTTGTTGAGCCATACAATGCTACCCTTTCCGTGCATCAGCTTGTCGAAAATGCCGATGAATGTATGGTTTTGGACAACGAGGCTCTGTATGACATCTGCTTCCGTACTCTCAAGCTTGCCACCCCTACTTGTAAGTCCATATCTTAATATATATGTAGTAGCTGACAATGGTTATATGATAAATTAGTTTTCCTCGGAAATTGGCATCTTATAAAGAAACGATATAAATTGTGTGTGCACATACGAATCTTAAGTGATAATTGGAAGATATGCTATGTGATCCTTTTGACATATTTCTTTGCATTGTGATTGCAGTTGGTGACCTTAACCACCTCATCTCTGCCACCATGAGCGGTGTCACATGTTGTCTTCGGTTTCCTGGACAGTTGAACTCTGACCTTAGGAAGCTTGCAGTTAACCTTATCCCTTTCCCACGGCTGCACTTCTTTATGGTTGGGTTTGCACCCCTAACTTCAAGAGGATCGCAGCAGTATAGTGCTCTGACCGTGCCCGAATTGACCCAGCAGATGTGGGATGCCAAAAACATGATGTGCGCAGCTGACCCACGCCATGGACGTTACCTTACTGCTTCTGCCATGTTCCGTGGTAAGATGAGCACCAAAGAAGTTGATGAACAGATGATTAACGTCCAGAACAAGAACTCCTCATACTTTGTTGAGTGGATTCCCAATAATGTAAAGTCCAGTGTGTGTGACATCCCACCCAAGGGTCTGAAGATGGCGTCCACTTTTATGGGGAATTCGACTTCTATTCAGGAAATGTTCAGGAGGGTTAGCGAGCAGTTCACAGCTATGTTCAGGCGCAAGGCTTTCTTGCATTGGTACACTGGCGAGGGAATGGATGAGATGGAGTTCACCGAGGCCGAGAGTAACATGAACGATCTGGTGGCTGAGTACCAGCAATACCAGGATGCAACAGTGGAGGAGGAAGAGTACGAGGAGGAGGAAGAGGAGCTTGGTGCTTGATGTATCTTTGTAGTTTCTCAGTTTGTCTAAAAATTGGTATGTTGTTGGCTTACTTTGAAAGGGTGATTGTCTGGTGCTCAGTCAGTTTAGATTTGATATGATGTATGGATTGTGGGGGGTGAGGTCCTTGTATAAGAGATGGGTTTTTGGTAACAGCGCTTTTGTGTTGGATTTGTGTAGGGCTGTGAAGCTTATATTTCAATGATGGATTTTTCTGTCTTGTAACATATGGTTATTGTAATATCGATTCTCTTTTAAAGAGTTTTCTCTCTCTAAAGAGATTTTAAGGGAAGCCACGTGACACCTATCTTTTCCTTTGCCCTATTATGATTGAGTTTGGTTTTGTTTTGTTTTTTGGAGGAGGGAAGTATAGAAGAGAAAGAAGGGAGGAAGATGAGAGAGGTGGGGAAGAGACAACAAAAAATTTAAAAATAATTGAAATTGTCTTTACGTGTAATTTGCTTTTTTGGGTTAATTACTCAAATGGTCATCAAATTTATACTCAATTTATATTTTGGTCCTTAATTAAATTATTTGTTTAGATGGTTTATAAACTTTATATTATTCGGTCTATTGGTCCTATCGTTACATTCTGTCAATGTTGTTGTTGTTAAATGTAAGGGTAAAACTATCCATAACTATCATATGTTCCCCAAATAGGTGATAAAGTGGTGATAAATATGTGAGAAAATAGTGATACAGTGGTGATAAAGAGGTGATAGAAATTGCTGTTTGTGTTTACACTTCGTTTCATTTCTTCTATTTTTCTTTACTCATTTCTAGTATCTTAATTGTATTTTACCATTGTCCTATTAAAATCTCTCTGCAGTCCTGCATAATCTCCTTCACAAATGCTAGACCCTTTAGATTTGAAGTGATGTGGATGTAGCACGAAAGTTTCAAAGATTTTGTGACACAAAAATGGAGGCAGACTCTGTTTTTTGCGCTTGATAAGTCATATGGGTTAATTGCTCCTCTAAAATAGTGGAACCAAAATATTTTTGGCCACTTGAGCTCTTATTCTAGCTAGATTGGGTGGTATGTAAAAGACCAAATAGATTTTTATCTCAATTGGAGGATTTCTTTGTACTACATTATAATGCATTGCTTGATGTTGAATTAATAATTGGCAAGCACAAATTAATGTACTCATCATCCAATTAAAAATACACACAAGTGTACAAATCTATTGGAGTATAGATTTGTAAATACGGGATTGTTCCAATGAGGAACTGGAGGCTTATACAAAGTTCTAGTTTGAGTACGTAAAGAATATTTATTTAACACAACACAAAGGTAAAATACAATTAGGATACTAGAAATGAGTAAAGAAAAGTAGAAGAAATGAAACAAAACAAGAAACCAAAGGTAAACACAAATATCAATTTCTATCACTCACTTATCACTACTGTATCACCTATGTATCACTACTTTATCACCTATTTGGGGAACATAGGACGGTTATGGACGGTTTTACCCTTACATTTGACGGCAACATTGGCAGAATGTAACAGTAGGACCATTTGAATGAATAATTTAATTAAAGGACCAAAATGTAAATTGAGTATAAGTTTGAGGACCATTTGAGTAATTAATCCTTGTGTTTCCTTAAGAAAAGTATGCAATTTGTAGTTTCTTTCTTCCAATCCTTGCTGGGCAAAAACATAACACTAAAAACGAACAGCAAATACACAAAACTAAAAACATTGACAAAAGAAACTGAACAGGTCTCCTTAACTGAATCTCAAGAATAGGCCAAAGTAATTACTAAATTTTATGAGTAATACAAGCCTCCATTAACTTTGACTTGGCTATTCTTAATTTCTTCTCATAAACAGAAAGGGAATCATTTCAATGCAGGCACCGATGCCGTTGCCTGAATAAAACGAGGTAATAGATGACAAGCCTTTAGTTAAACAAATTGTCACACACGGTTACAAGCCTAGACTTTTTCTGTGCAGAGAAGAACACAAAAGGTACGAGCTAGCTACTTGTCTCTATAAAAGCAGCAACATATGGTGGTCTTTATCCACAGTTCAAGTTTATCCTTCTTCACAAAGTTTATGTGTGATAATAGAGAGCCAAAGAATTTCCAAATTACAATGGCCTCTCAGTTTCTGTTGTTGGCATTCCTTGCCATAACTTGTGCCATTGCTTCGGCATCTGACCCGAGTTCTCTTCAGGATTTCTGTGTGGCTGATTCAAAAGCCTCAGGTACCTAGCTAGCTAGAATCATATTCATATATTATCTATATTATGAAGATAATATCAATCAGCTAGCTGTAATTATATATGGTTTCTAATGTAATTTTCTCATTTGATTTCAGTACCAGTGAATGGCTTTGTCTGCAAGGATTCTAAGCTTGTTGATGCCAATGACTTCTTCTTCAGTGGGCTTCACCTAGCAGGAAACACCTTGAATGCAGTTGGTTCACGCGTGACCCCTGTTAACGCAGTCCAAATTCCAGGACTTAATACTCTTGGCATCTCCATTGTGCGTATCGATTATGCCCCGTGGGGTATTAATCCTCCACACACACATCCTCGAGCCACTGAAGTTTTGACAGTCCTGGAAGGGAGCCTCAAAGTTGGTTTTGTCACCTCCAACCCTGAAAACCGCCTCATCACCAAGGTGCTTCAGAAGGGTGATGTGTTTGTGTTCCCAGTAGGCCTTGTGCATTTCCAACAGAACGTTGGATATGGTAACGCAGTTGCCATTGCAGCTCTCAACAGCCAAAATCCAGGTGTTATTACCGTTGCAAATGCAGTATTTGGATCAAAGCCGGACATCTCTGCTGATATTCTTGCGAAGGCTTTCCAAGTGGATAAGAACACAGTCTACAACTTCCAGTCAAAGTTTTAGAGTCCAATTTGAAACCTCTGATTCAATCAAGAGGGACTAAAAAGGGTCATTTGAAGTGTGTATTGTAGTGTTTAGAGAATCGTTACGTTTCACTTAGGGGTGCAATCATGTTTGTCTTGTATTTTGTTTTTGTTATTTTAGGAACATGGTCTGTTATTTTGTTTGATGCTGATACTTCATGAAGATAATTTGTTTGTGCTCATACACCAGTATAATCAAAGTTGATCTATTATTTTGTTTCATTCTATTGGTTTGAGTGATAATCATGGACATTGATACTAACTTACCACACCCGGAGGTCATGCCATGAAAATAATTTTGAGTAGATTTGATTATTAATGTAATAATTTTACCAAGGACTTGTAAATTTCCATTTTTGCTGATAAGAAACCTCAGTGCCCTTCTTTCAAGAATTGGGTAAATTTTTCATTTTTGCTGACAAGAAACCTCAGTGCTCTACTCTATAAATGAATGAAATCTGATGGTTTGAACTACAGCACATTGAGTTTTATACATAATAATATGGTGTAGCCTTGAGTTCGGCTCTCGACGAATTGAGAGTTGAATCATAAACCTTGATCCCTAAATCAGCAGGAGATGGTATATTGAAGTATTGTTTAATGGCCTGTTTTTTTTTCTCCTTTTTCTCTCTGTTTTAGGGATCAAGTTTTAATGGCTTGTTTAGACTTGTAACTCATAACTTGGAAACTAAGGCATTGCTAAGACATGCATGGATGCGTCTATTTGGTTAGAGGATGGTCCTGCAGCTTGGCTTAAATTAATGCATTTCTGATGTCTCATGTACAAGCATGACTGAATGATGCATGTTAACCTTTTTTTTTTTTTATTATAATAAAGTTTCATACTTTTGTGTGGAAACTACACCAAATTGAATGAATCCACACCTGCTGTCCAGACATAATATATCCTTGTTCAAGTCAATGCAAGGCAACTGGATTTCAAACCAAATTTGCATGAAACAAAAAGAAGCCTCCAATAGATTATCTGATGCTTCCCAGCTGTATATAGAATATTACCAATTGTGTAGTATATAACTATAACATAAATTCTGAATGACAATAAAAAATCTATCTATTCATTGCAGAAAGAGCAGAGAAATAGGTGCCGAGAGTTTTATAAAATTTATTCTAGAAGCCCTTTTAAATTTGTGAGTAATATGATACGGCCTCCATCAAATCTGACCCGGCTAAAGATTCTTGTCACACAGAGAAAGGAACCCTTCCTCAATGGCAGCAGGCCAAGCACCAATGCCGGCACCAGAAAATTAAGGTGATCAGATAAGCGATGACATGCAGCTTTCTATGAAAAACTTGTACTATAGGGTTTAAAAAAAAAGACTTTTTCAGAGCACAGGACAACAAAAAACACGTAGAGAAGAGATCCCTCCCTCTATAAAAGCAGAGACATAGATATGGTTTCAATCCACAACTCAAGTTTATACATATCCTCACTTACAAAGTTTAAGCAAAGTTGCTCCATCTCTCCGCTTCCTGTCTTGAATCTTCGATATATAGTGTGACATTAAGATAGAGAGAATTTCCAATGGCCTCTAAGTTTCTCTTGTTAGCATTGCTTGCCATAACTTCCTCCATTGCTTTTGCATCTGACCCGAGTTCTCTTCAGGATTTCTGCGTGGCCGACGCAAAGAACTCAGGTAACTAGAATCATATTTTCATACATTTCTGCTTGTATTTGCTGAAAACATACATCTATAATATGATCAAATAGTCAACTATATCTGGATCTAATGTGTCTAATGTAACTTTCTCATCATGATTTCAGTACTTGTGAATGGTCTTGTCTGCAAGGATCCCAAGCTTGCTGAAGCCAATGACTTCTTCTTCAGTGGGCTTCACCTATCAGGAAACACATCAAATGCAGTTGGTTCGCGTGTGACCCCTGTCAACGTAGCCCAAATTGCAGGACTTAACGCTCTTGGTATCTCCATTGCGCGTATCGACTATGCACCATGGGGTATTAACCCTCCCCACACACATCCTCGAGCAAGTGAAATCTTGACAGTCCTGGAAGGGAGCCTCAAAGTGGGTTTTGTCACTTCCAACCCCGAAAACCGTCTCATCACCAAGGTACTTGAGAAGGGTGATGTGTTTGTGTTCCCTGTCGGTCTTGTGCATTTCCAACAAAATGTGGGATATGGTAATGCAGTTGCCATTGCAGCTCTCAGCAGCCAAAATCCAGGTGTCATTACCATTGCAAATGCAGTATTTGGATCAAAGCCCGACATCTCTGCTGATATTCTTGCGAAGGCTTTCCAAGTGGAGAAGAACACAGTCTACAATTTCCAGTCGAAGTTTTAAAGTCCCATTTGGAACCTCTATAGTTCACTGAAAAGGGATGTAAAATTCATTTGAAGTGTGTATTGTAGTGCTTAGAAAATTGTTTGTTACAGTTTATTTCGCTTTGCAGTCGTGTTGGTCTGTCATTGTGTCTGGTTCAGAATCATTTGTTTGTGACTCAAGTTGATTTGTTTTTTGTTTGATTCTATTGCTCCAAGAAATAAAAATTATGGAAGTTTGCTACCATATCTGGAGGCCATGGTTGAAGTACAGTAAATGAAATTTAGCCTGCTAGCAAACGTCCATGCATATCTAACATCTCATGAACAATTGGAAAGAGGTCAGGAAAAAACTTTTAGATTCCTGCCATGCCATAAAAGATTTAAGGGCTTAAACCAATCAATGATGATCTAGAAACGAAAAGACCAATGCAATTAAAGGAGAATAGAATTTCTGCTGAATGGAAAAGTGAAGTAACAAGCCTAAAATCAAAGAATGAGAGCAATTGGGAATCCTGAAGGTTACAAACTAAGCTAGGTAGCTGGTAGGTTGGCGGATCATGAACATGCCTCCAGCTATGAGACTGGAAGATAAGGCGGCGACAAAGTGGTTTGTTGCTAATTAAACACTTTTACTAATGAAATTCTGTTTTGTTGTGTCAGAATATACCTGTAGAGATGATATGGTGAATTCTTCTCTATGGATCATTAGACCAAAAAAAAAAAAAAAAAAAAAAAAAAAAAATTATCATATGTGAGTCAGGTAAAAGAATTTGTCATTAAAAATCTATGCAGGAAGTAAGCCTTTTGAAATAACTTTAGCAAAGTTTTAGCCGCATGCTAAATTCTTTGTCCGTTTGGGTAAGGGTGGATTTGGACTTGGGATCCTAACTCCAAATCCAATTGTTCAGTTTTGTATTAATTGACTGGATTTGGATTTAGGCCAAATCCTCATAGAATTTAATAAGCCAAAGTATTTCAAATACGTTTTAAAATTAGTTATTTGACAAATCCTCAGCCCATCTCGACTCACCGATTCTCTCTTCTTAACCCTTCAGATTACATTCAATTGTGTAAAAGGATTTGCATGGTTGTCTGATGCAAATGTTGACAGATTTGAAGTCTGGGATGAACTTCACTATTATTGGTCATGCATGCATATTTTACCTACTTTTGTGCCTATACAGTTCAAGGTACCAGGCCTACTCTTTTCAAAATTCATGTTCTGTTAGCGATCATTTAGTTTGTTTATAAAGAATGGTTAGCTGCTCAACAAAATTAATTAGAACAAGGGCAAGCTTTCTCAGGCTCTGATGATTTAATCTGATAGACAGAGGATTTCGGAAATCCTCAAGATAAAGCAATTTGGTGGAGCTGATTGCAATCGTGTTATTATGATGGAGTGATTTCCGAAATCCTCTGTCTATCATAAATCATAAAATAATATTTAATGATACAGCAGTTTAACAAATTTTTAAATGTTTCATACTTTTGTGTGCAAAACTACACCAAATTGAATAAGTCCACATCTGCTCCAGACATTATATATCCTTGTTTAAGTCAAAGCAAGGCAATTGGCTTTGCCTCTCCATCAAATCTGACCCAGCTAAAGATTCTCGTCACACAGAGAAAGGAATGCTTCCTAAATGACAGCAGGCCAAGCACCAATGCCGGCACCTGAAAATTAAAGTGATCAGATAAGCGATGACAAGCAGCTTTCTACGAAAATTTGTACTACAAGGATAAAAATGAAGACTGGACTTTTTCAAAGCATAGGACAACAACAAACACGTAGAGAAGAGATCCCTCTCTCTATAAAAGCAGAGACAGAGATATGTTGTCAATCCACAACTCAAGTTTATATATATCATTGCTTACAAAGTTTAAGCAAAGTTGGTCCATCTCTCTGTTTACTGCCTTGAATCTTTGATATATAGTGTGACATTAAGATAGAGAGAATTTCCCATGGCCTCTAAGTTTCTCTTGTTGGCATTGCTCGCCATAGCTTCTTCCATTGCTTTGGCATCTGACCCGAGTTCTCTTCAGGATTTCTGCGTGGCTGATGCAAAGAACTCAGGTAGCTAGAATCACAATTTCATATATTTTTTGTTGTATTTCTGCAAAACAAATACATGCATACTATGATAAAATGGTAAACTATATCCGTGTCTAATGTAATTTTCTCATCATGATTTCAGTACTTGTGAATGGTCTTGTCTGCAAGGATCCTAAGCTTGTTGAAGCCAATGACTTCTTCTTCAGTGGGCTTCATCTAGCAGGCAACACATCAAATGCAGTTGGTTCGCGTGTGACCCTTATCAACGTAGCCCAAATTGCAGGACTTAACGCTCTTGGTATCTCTGTTGCCCGTATCGACTATGCACCATGGGGTATTAACCCTCCACACACACATCCTCGAGCAAGTGAAATCTTTACAGTCCTGGAAGGGAGCCTCAAAGTGGGTTTTGTCACTTCCAACCCCGAAAACCGTCTCATCACCAAGGTACTTGAGAAGGGTGATGTGTTTGTGTTCCCTGTCGGTCTCGTGCATTTCCAACAAAATGTGGGATATGGTAATGCAATTGCCATTTCAGCTCTCAGCAGCCAAAATCCAGGTGTCATTACCATTGCAAATGCAGTATTTGGATCAAAGCCCGACATCTCTGCTGATATTCTTGCAAAGGCTTTCCAAGTGGAGAAGAACACTGTCTACAATTTCCAGTCGAAGTTTTAAAGTCCCATTTGGAACCTCTATAGTTCACTGAAAAGGGACAGACAATTCATTTGAAGTGTGTAATGTAGTGTTAAGAAAATTGTCACGGTTTATTTCTCGTTGCAGTCTTGTTGGTCTACCATAAATTTCGTCTGATTCAGAATCATTTGTTTATGCTCACTTAGAAATGTACTCAAGTTTATTTGCTATTTGTTTGATTCGAGGCTCCAAGAAATAAAATTATTATTGAAGTTTGCTATCATATATGGAGGCCATGGTTAAAGTACTGGAAAACAATTTTAGCCAGCTAGCAAATGTCCATGCAATCTCATGAACAACTGACAAGAGGTTAGGAAATTTTATTTATTTATTTGTAGAATTCTTGCCTTGCCTTAAAAGATTTAAGGGCTTAAACCAATCAGTTAAAGCAAGAATGATGATCCAGAAAGCAAAAGACCAATGCAGTTAAAGGAGAACATAAATTCTGCTGAACGGAAAATTGATGTAACAAGGGTAAAATAAAACAATGAGAGCAATTGGGAATCCTGAAGATTAGAAACTAAGCTATAGGTAACTGTTAGGTTGACTGATCATGAAAATGCCTCCAGCTATGAGCACTGCAAGATAAGGTGGTTCGCTGCTAAACACCTTCAGTAATGAAATCCTGTTAGTTGTAGTTTCAGAAGATACCTGTAGAGATGATATGGTGATTTCTTCTCTATGGATCATTAGCAAAAAATACTCGCTGATGGTATTTTACGTAGAAAATGTGGCCACGAAAAGAATTTGTGGCTAAAACTCCATGATGGAAGCAACCATTTTGAAATATCTTAAGCAAACTGTTGGTGGCTTGCTAAATTCCTTAATTTTTTCTCTTTATCTTCCAACAAGGTAAGTGACCCTTCATATTACACTCAATTGTGCAAAGGATTTGCATGGTTGTCTGATGGAATTGAAGAATAATTTACATAGAAAGAATTTCCTTTGTTATTGTTCGTAGTTTTTCATATATGAAAGAAACTTCTAGATTGATAAAATATCTCAAGACAGAGTTTGACAAAATCAAGTATTGTATAAATATAAAGGCATATAAGTTAGCTTCATAATGACCTGTTCAACTGAAGAAGTCTCCTGAAGCTCATCAAGTTAAGAATAGGGCCAAAATTTCCACTATAAAATAATAAGATAGCCTCCGTTCATTAACTTTGACCTGGCTAGCTATTCTTATCATACATACACAGAAAGGAACCATTTAAAGGCCGGCATCTGAGATTTGAGTCAGGTAATTGATGACAAGCTTTCAGTACAGAACAAATTCACATATGCAGATACAAAGACTAATAGACATTTTCGGTGCATATAGGACAACCCACAAGCTCGAGCTCCCTCTCTATAAAAGCTGCAGCGGCATATGTTCTCAATCCACAATTCAAGTTTATATACTTGCTTCCAAAGTTTACTGTCTTGACAGTGTGACAATATAGAGCCAAAGAATTCCAAATTCCAATGGCCTCTCAGCTTCTGTTGTTGGCTTTCCTTGCCATAATTTCTTCCATTGCTTTGGCATCTGACCCAAGTTCTCTTCAAGATTTCTGCGTGGCTGATCCGAAAACCTTAGGTAGCTAGCTAGCTAGAATCATATTCATATGTACATATATATGAGGATAATGTCAATCAGCTAGTGGAATTTTTTTATGTTTCTAATGGAATTTTCTCATCATGATTTCAGTACTGGTGAATGGTGTTGTCTGCAAGGATTCCAAACTTGTTGATGCCAATGACTTCTTCTTCAGTGGGCTTCACCTAGCAGGAAACACATTAAATGCAGTTGGCTCAAGCGTGACCCCTGTTAATGTAGCTCAAATAGCAGGACTTAATACTCTTGGCATCTCCATTGTGCGCATCGACTATGCACCATGGGGAATTAATCCTCCCCACACGCATCCTCGAGCAAGCGAAATCTTAACAGTCCTGGAAGGGAGCCTCAAAGTGGGTTTTGTCACCTCCAACCCTGAAAACCGCCACATCACCAAGGTGCTTCAGAAGGGTGATGTGTTTGTGTTCCCAGTAGGCCTTGTGCATTACCAACAGAATGTCGGATATGGTAATGCAGTTGCTATTGCAGCTCTCAGCAGCCAAAATCCAGGTGTCATTACCATAGCAAATGGGGTATTTGGATCAAAGCCAGACATCTCTGCGGATATTCTTGCAAAGGCTTTCCAAGTGGATGAGAATGCGGTCTACAATTTCCAGTCCAAGTTTTAGAGTCCAATTTGGAATCTAATTCAATGAAAAGGGACTTAGAATTCATTTGAAGTGTGTAATGTAGTGTTAGAAAATTTGGACAGTTTATTTTTCATTGCAGTCATGTTGTTGGTCAATTATTTTGTTTGATTCAGAAGATAATTCGTTTATGCTCACTTGATATGTTATCAAGTTGATCTGTTGTTGTTTATGTTTGATTCTATTGCTCCGAGAAAGAATAATAGTTGTCGAAGTTTGCTACCAATCCTGAAGTTCTGCCATGACATAGAGTTTGAAGGAAAAGATGAGTGCTTTGAGTTTTGGAAACTGTTTCTATAGTAGTTTTCATCACCAGTGATTTAAAAATAGCTATTTTTGGGAACTCATCTACATGGCTTAAAAGATTTATAGACTGAAAACCAAGATAACCAAGCAACAAAAAAACGATGATCTTGAAATCAAAGGACCAATGCAATGACACTAAAACATAAAGTTTGTTCTGTGTCGAAGAAAAAAACCAAAATTTGTTGAAACATAAAAAAATGAGTTAAAAAAGGAGTCCACATCTCTGAATAAAAAACAAGTTCACATTTATTTCTGGTTCTTTCGGACAATATTAAAAAAAACCCGAACCGGCTTTCCATTTAAATTTGCTTAAAACAAAAAGAAACCTCCAATACTAAATGCTGTCTACATTCTAAATCATGACTCCTTTTAATACTCCGAAGGTTCCAGCTGCATGCATACTCTAAGTACATAGCAAGTATGTGGAACAGTTAATAACTAATACATAGAATCTGAATGACAAAAATCTATGCATTATAAACAGAGCAGCAAAAGAGGTACGTACGTAGGAAGATTTTATAATCTGCATGCCAACTGCCAACTGCCAACTTTGCAGTTCAAGATTTGTGAGTAATATATTCAGAAAAAAAAACCATTTCAATGCCGGCACCTATAGATAAAGGGAGGTAAGTGATGACAAGCTTTCAATGATCACACACAAAGACTAGAAAATTTAACACTCTTAATCTCTATAAAATCAGAGACATGTAGTGGTCTTAATCCACAGTTCTTTCAAGTTCATCCTTAAAAAAAGTTTAAGAGAACTTGGAGTTGAATTATTTCCAATGGCCTTTCAGTTTCTATTTTTGGCATTCATCGCCATAACTTGTTCCATTGCTTTGGCGACTGATCCAAGTTCTCTTCAGGATTTCTGCGTGGCTGACCCAGTAAGATCAGGTAGCTATATATAATTACATATGTTACTGTATTTCCCAAAAAGGACTTCATATCAATCAGTCAGCTAGTGGTAAACTGGTAATTATATATATGTTTCTAATGTATTTCTCTCATGATCATATGATTTCAGTACCAGTCAATGGCCTTGTTTGCAAGGACCCCAAGTTTGTTGAAGCCAATGACTTCTCCTTCAGTGGCCTTCACCTAGCAGGCAACACATCAAACACGGTCGGTTCACATGTGACCCCAGTCAATGTAGCCCAAATTGCAGGACTTAACACTCTTGGCATCTCCATTGCTCGTATCGATTATGCACCGTGGGGTGTTAATTCTCCACACACACATCCTCGAGCCAGTGAAGTCTTGACAGTCCTTGAAGGGAGCCTCCAAGTAGGCTTTATCACCTCCCACCCCGAAAACCGTCTCATCACCAAGATACTTCATGTGGGTGATGTGTTTGTGTTCCCAGTAGGCCTTTTGCATTTCCAGCGCAATATTGGATATGGTAATGCAGTTGCCATTGCAGCTCTCAGCAGCCAAAATCCAGGTGTTATTACCATTGCAAATGCAGTGTTTGGATCGAATCCTGACATCTCTAGTGATGTTCTTACAAGGGCTTTCCAAGTGGATAAGGACACAATTTACAATTTCCAGTCAAGGTTTTAGACTCCAAGATGGAATCTGCTCTATTGAAGTCAAAAGGGACTGAGAGTTTATTTGAGAGTGTCTAATGTGTTTTTTTATTTATAAAGAAAACGCACGGTTCGTGTTTATTGTCAATAAGCAATCTAAACCAAGTTGATATATATATGTTTTCTTGTTTTATTATTTTGCTTGCCTTGTGTGGCCTGGTCAATGTTTTTACTACTTTGTTTAGGCCTTTGCTGTGGAGTGATCTGCTCTGTTTTGGCCTGGTTGCTCTTTGGGCCCGGCTCTGCTTCATTTAGGTTAACTTTGTTCATTTTTTTATAGCTCAATATACAACACCAACCAGGCTCCACCAAAGATCTTTTGTTTCCACAACCCCTCATTATAGCATTTCTGTGATCAATAGCCAAAGGCTTTTTCATGTGACAAAATAAGTAGATTCTCACACAACAAATAAACCACATGGAGAACAGATATCCCTGTTTTTATCTATACTTTTAAAAAAAGTAATTAAATCACATCAATATATAAGCAGACTTTGGTGAATGGTAGGCCAAAGATATCAGTTTTTAAAGCTAAACCAAAATGTGATTTCAAAGTGCGCATGGAAAAGAGCTATAACTCTGTCCCTTATATATAAAGACACTTGGTCAATGGTAGGACAAACATATACAAGGAGCCGACCACTTCAGCTCTCAAATTTAATTACACAAGAGAACGCTTGTCTGCATGAGAGCAAGCCATTATATCCCTTTGCTACTACTGTAGCACGCCGCTAGGCAACAAGCACTAATAAAAAAAAGAAGAAAAACAGAAAAGAAGGGGCCACAGACTTTATATATTTCAGTGCTTGAACTGCAGAGATATATACACACATATATATATGGTTGTAGTTGTTTTAGACCCTTGCAGTTCCTCACGTTCTTCCTGTACTTTTGCACAATTTTTTCCCATAACTTTAATTTGATCCACAAATTAGACACAACTTCAAGAGCAGCATATTAAAATACCAAATGGCCTTTTATATTTTCTTCTTTGGGTTAGTCTTATCTTTTTCTTTGTCAGTTGTCATTGCATCTGATCATAGTCCGCTTCAAGATTTCTGCGTTGCAGACACAAGAAGTCGAGGTATATATGATTTTTTTTGCTTCTCTGCTTGTGAAAAAAACTAACCAAAACACTCAAATTGGTTTGAATTCTATGTAATATGATGTTATTACCAAACTAACTTGCAAGTTAAATGTGGCAGTGCTGGTTAATGGCCTAGCTTGCAAGGACCCCAAGACAGTTGAAGCTGCTGATTTTTCATTTTGTGGACTTCATTTAGAAGGCAACACATCAAACCCAATTGGGTCAAGTGTAACACCAGTAACTGTGTTTCAGCTACCAGGACTCAACACACTCGGCATTTCTCTTGTCCGTATCGACTATGCACCATCAGGGGTCAATCCTCCGCACACTCATCCTCGTGCCTCCGAAATTATCACAGTCCTGGAAGGCAGCCTTGAAGTTGGGTTTGTGACATCGAGCCCCGAAAATCGTCACATCACCAAGGTGTTGCAGAAGGGTGATGTGTTTGTTTTCCCCATTGGACTTGTGCACTATCAGAGAAATGTAGGATCCGGTCACGCTGTTGCTATTGTAGCTCTCAGCAGCCAAAATCCAGGTGTGGTGATAATTGCTAGTGCTGTGTTTGGGTCCAAGCCTAGCATTGCCAATGACATTCTTGTGAAGGCATTTCATGTTGATAAAGGTGTTATCAATTACCTCCATTCTATATTCTGAATAAGTGAACCAACCTCATTTGAATATAAGGGGTGGATTTTTCCCCTGCTATTCAATTATTTTGTACTATGGTCATGAAGAGAAAACTATATAGACAGTGATTAAAGAACTCTATCCCAAAGTTATTGATTGTATTGTTATGGCTAAACTAGAAATTGTGCTTTTACCTGGTGAATGAAAAAATAGTGTGAAGAGAGAATTAAAAAAAAAAAAAAAACAAAAAAAAAAAAAAAAAAAAAAAAAAAAATAAATAAAGTTATACTGATAAGAAGTAGTATGGTATATTACATGGTTTGAATTTGATAGGACAGACATGACTATTTCGATTAAAATGGACTATTGTCGTGTTTCATATTTGGTGCTTGGAGATGGACAATTGTTCCCCATATTATCGAAAAAAAAGACCTATCCCCCATGATGAGAGGGGGGACTGGACCGGGTCCAACCCCAATCCTATCCTGGCTAGCTCATTAAATGTAGGTCGGATGAAGATGTTGGGGAGAGGGATTCCGAGCCTCTACATTTAGAAATGGTGCATTTACCCCCATTTCATAAAAAATGGACCATTCATCTAATCCAATGCTTGTAAATATGCCACATCAGCTGCAATAAGTTTGTTTCCTTTTTAAAAACTAACACTGTTAGTGGCTTTGACAACAACAACAAAAAAATTCCCTCCATCTCCAGTCTCGCCTACTTGTTGGGTTACACTACCCATCGTCAGCAAATAATGGAGTTAAAGACGTATGTGAGAAAGAGGAAGAAAGTAAAATTTTCCAAATTAACAATCCATGACTGTGGTACGACACCTGAACTTGGTAGGAGGCGATGGACTAGGAGAGCCTACTTGTTGTTCAAAACAGTTGGATGTATTGCCTCCTAGCACAGGAAATTTCCCGTCATAGTTTTCTGAAAACTTAGAACCAATTATGAGTCTACAACGTCTTGGTTGGCTCCTCTTGTAAGCCGAAGCTCCGAAATAAAGTAGAAGAAGAAGTCAAAAGACCAAAAAAAAGAAGAATAAGAATAGATTACAAATACAGAGAAAGAACTAAGACAGGAAAAAAAAACAGAGGAAGAACCAAGAGAGCGGTAGGTGAAACTAGAGAATTTATTGTCAAAGGGATTATTATTTATAAATTTGTATTTATTTTTTCTGTCAAATGCACTAAACAGGGTCAGTTTTTTAAAAAAGGACACAAATTTATTGTAACCGATGTGGCATATTCACAAGCATTTGATTAGTTGAATGGTCCAAGTTTTATGAAATGCGAGTAAATGCACCATCTCTAAATGTAGAGGCTTGGGATCCTGGGGAGAGTATTAGATTTCAAATTTGGAAGGGGAAATAAAACATTAAACCTGGCACTAACGGTTTTACATTTTGATTGAGATATCTTTTCAATTAAATTACTAAAGACATCTTTCCCTAATAATTAGTAAAGATCTCTTCCGTTAAATCCAAAAGATGATTATAGTAAGCCTTAGGATCAAAGCAATGGATCGGTCAACTCTTTCGTCAAATGATAGGTCCCATCCCTCATTCCACATAAAGAATATATCCCTACTTGGATGAACTGATTAAAAGATTGAGAAAAATTAGGGGTTGCCATTAAAAATCCAGCCATTGGTTTGATCGTGGGCTTGACATGAAAAATCCCTCCCATTCTTACACATTTGCCTAGGCAACAAGACATGGAAGGGATTTTCTTTCAGTCCTTACATGGGATGCCAATTGCGCGACTGATCTCATTGCTAATAATAGTTTTAGAGCTAGTGCTTGTATTACCAATTAGCACATCATCAACAACAGCAGCAGCACATGATCATCAAGCGCTCCTGCCTCAGGCCTTGCTTGGCTGCTCTGACCGCTGTGGTAATCTCACAATTCCATATCCATTTGGCATGGCTCCAGGTTGCTACCGCGGCCCTGAGTTCTTCATCAACTGTACTACTACTCACGACGACGAAAACCCGGTACCATATTTGACAAAGAGATCAGGCAGTGCTTATGATCTCATTCAGCTCCGCGTCACTAACATCTCTCTTGAGGAGGGTGATATGCATGTTTTGCAGCCTGTCACTCGATCTTGCGGTGAAGATCAGAATGACACTGACGGTGTGCTCCTCCTGCCCCCTCCTTTCACCTTCTCTGAAGACAAAAACTATTTATTCGCCGTTGGATGTGGCATTATTGCAGTATTTCAAGGTTCCCGTCCAAGCCAAGGCCTAGATGGAAACACGACCTTGCCCCATATATATCGCTATTGCGTCACCTATTGTGACGACAATTCTGATGGAAATAACACTGACCCAGTAATTAACGACGACTCTTGCTCTGGCTTTGCCTGTTCCCTAGCTCAACTCCCTGGTGGAGTGCAAAATCTTACGGTGATGTTGACTCCCATTAGTAATATTAGTCGAACTCGACATAGAAAATGGTACGCTAAGTACCCGTGCAGGTACGTCTTTCTTGTGGAACAAAGCAAGTTCACATTCTCCCCCGGAACAAGTTTTGAGCAACTCAACAACACAAGCCACCTTCCAGTGGTTGTCAATTGGGAAATTGGGGGTCATGGGACATGTGATGCTGCTCGAAAGAGCAAGAAGGACTTTGCTTGCAAGGGAAATAGCAAGTGTGTGGATTGGCTTAATGATAACATCCATGGCTCTACAGGTTACATTTGCAAGTGCAAGAAAGGTTACCAAGGGAACCCATACCATCCAGATGGCTGCCAAGGTGATCAAATCACAATGCAGAACATATTTATATACATGTGTATATATAAATATTTAAATGTTGGGATCTTAGTTATCTGAGTAATTTGTGATGAAAGGGTTTAATTTTGTGATTTTGTTTCAGATATTGATGAGTGCAAGTCAAATCCCTGCCCTGTCGGAAAGTGCGTAAATACACCTGGGAGTCACTCTTGTTTATGTCCCAATGGCACCAAAGAAAGAAGTTGCAAAGAGAAATCAAAGACCCTTCTCATGGTTATGGGTATGTGTTATATGTGTTTGACTAATAACATTGGATATTGGTTCTATGGTCATAGCACATTAAACACGCTATAGAAAATTATAGAATGAATGAAATACATTATAAATTCCAATTTGATAATGTTTAAGTGCAGGTATCAGTCTAATCTTGGTTTTACTTGTTGGAAGTTCAAGTTACATATGTTGGGGAATGAAGCAACGAAAGTACATCAGACTCAAGGAAAAGTACTTTCGAGAAAATGGCGGTTTGTTGTTACAGCAACAGCTTGCTCATCATGGAGGTGAGGCAACCAGAATCTTTACTGCAGTGGAACTTGAAAAGGCTACAAACAATTACCATGATAGTAGAGTCCTTGGCAGAGGAGCTTATGGAGTAGTTTACAAAGGAATATTACCAGATAACAGAACCGTTGCCATAAAAAAGTCGAAAGTTGCTGCCCCAACTCAGAGTGAGCAGTTTGCTAATGAGTTGACTGTTCTTTCTCAAATCAATCATAAAAATGTGGTGAGGCTATTAGGCTGTTGTTTAGAGGCAGAAGTGCCTTCACTAGTTTACGAGTTCATCACCAATGACACTCTTTTTGAGCACCTTCATGGTAAACAAAAGAAAGGATCATCGTTTGTATGGGAATTACGTTTGAAGATCGCAGCGGAAACTGCTGGAGCACTAGCATACTTGCACTCCTCCACTTTCATGCAAATCATACACAGAGATGTGAAAGCTATGAACATACTATTAGATGATAATTATACAGCAAAAGTGTCAGACTTTGGAGCTTCTGTATTGATTCCTCTAGATCAAACTCAAATAAAAACTTTGGTGCAAGGGACATTCGGATACTTAGACCCCGAATATCTTCATTCAAACCAACTAACAGAAAAGAGCGATGTTTATAGCTTTGGAGTTGTCCTAGCAGAGCTACTGACAAGCAAAGTGGCATTTTCTTATGATAGGCCCGAGGAAGAGAGAAGTCTAGCAAGACTTTTTGCTTGTGCAATGGAAGAAGAGCGCTTAGATCATATTCTTGATGGTGACATTGTCAATGAAGGAAATATTGAGACAGTAAGAAATGTGGCTCATCTCGCGAAAAAGTGTTTAATGTTAAAAGGGGAGGAAAGACCTACAATGAAAGAAGTAGCTATAGAGCTAGAGGGAATTATGAGAACTTTGGCAAACCACCATCCACGGGGAAACAATGTTCAATTGCATCCTGAAGACCAGACTTCGAATTTTCTGGGGTCACCTTCAAATGCTTCTGTTGCTGAATTTAGAAGTGATTGTGTTTCTAGTGATCATACTTTTTGTTGTCAAACGAATTCGAAGTCGTATTCAACCATTTAACTTGCAAGTTAATATGGCAATGCCAATCGTCACATCACCAAGGTGTTGCATAAGGGTGATGTATTTGTCTTTTCCATTGGACTTGTGCACTATCAGAGAAATGTAGGATCTGATTATGCTATTGCTATTGCAGCTCTCAGCAACCAACATACTGGTGTGGCTGCAATATTTGGCTTTCTGTGCAGGCCTAATATGGCCAATTCATTCTTGTGATGCAAAGTCATTTTGGTACATGTATCAATTGCCTCCATTCCCGATTCTAAATGAATAACTATAATTACAAAAAACATATGCAAGAAGACCAACCCCATTTAGTTATAAGGGGGTGTCATTTTAAGTTGATTTTGATTTTCCCCAGCTATTCGATTATTTTGTGCTATTGATCATCAAGAAAAAAAATTGAGAGACAGATTATAAGAACTCTATCCCAACATTAATTGTATAGTAAATGGTTGCACTAGAAACTTTGCTTTACCGTGGCTGCACTACTAATTCAGATATGTGTTAATTTGAGAAACTAAACATAAATCCCAGGACAAATGGTGTTGCATTTTGATTGTGATCATATCTTTTCCTTTTAATTACTCAAGATCTGTTTCTTTTAATTACTCAATATCATTTTCTTTTAATTACTCAAGATCGTTTCCTTTTAAAGATGCTTATTAAAGTCGATAAGGAGAATAGAACCATTTGATGGGATATTGAACATGTGTCTGGTCAGTATGGGTATCTCAGCAGGTCATGGAATATATTCTCCTAGGAGTTACATGGCTCAGCTTAATCACAGCCATTGATTTGATTTTGCGGTTGACACTCATTCCTACAGCCATTTAACCTCTTGCAACAGAGATGATCCTCTTCACATTTTTGCCCCAGCCACTTTATTTTGGCTAGTCCCAACTCAACTCCCAAACAAAACAAGACTATGAGGTTTTGCTTACAACCCTTACATGGGATGCAACTTATGCCACAGATCATCTCATTGCTAATACTAGGAGTACTAGTGGTGTTTGTATTACCAACAACAGCTGAAGTAGATCAAGCCCTCTTGCCTCAAGCCCTGCATGGCTGCTCCGACCACTGCGGTAATGTCACAATTCCATATCCATTTGGCATGGCTAAAGGTTGTTACCGGGGACCTGAGTTCTTTATCAATTGTACTACGGGTACCACTCCCGACGAAGAACCAATACCATATTTGACAAAGAGATCAGGCACTGATAATCTCATTCAAATCCACGTTACTAACATCTCTCTTAAGGGTGAGTTGCATGTTTTGCAGCCCATAACCCGAGCTTGTGATGCAGATCTGAATGTCGGTTTGGAAACTGATCTCCCCCTGCCCCCTCCTTTCACCTTCTCCAATACCAAAAACAATTTTTTCACCATTGGTTGTGGCTCTTCAGGAAATCTTTTAGGCTTCCGTCCAGGCCTTGGCCTAGACGGACACACCTTGTCCAATATCCATCGCTATTGCTTCACCTTTTGTGACGATAATTCTTCAGGCAATGACACCGACCTAGTAATTACTGACGACTCTTGCTCTGGCTTTGCCTGTTCCCTGTCTTCACTCCCTAGTGGAGTGCAATATATTTCTATTATATTGAGTCGCAGTATTCCTACCAACTGGGACTCTAGCTACCCGTGTAGGTATGCCTTCCTTGCCGAAAAAAGCGAGTTCACATTCTCCCCAAACACAAGTTTTCAGCAACTCAGCAACACAAGTCACCTTCCAGTTGTTGTCAATTGGGAAATTGGGGATCATGGTCCATGTGATTTAGAACAAAGGAGCAAGCATGTTGACTTTGCTTGCAAGGGAAACAGCACATGCATAAATTGGCCCAATGTCATCCGGCCTACAGGTTACATTTGCCAGTGCAAGGAAGGTTACCAAGGAAACCCATACCTTCCAGATGGTTGCCAAGGTGATGAGATGAGATCATCTTAGTGATTTTTTGTTGTTCTATTTTAAATATTTTATAAATTGGGTTATAAAATGTGACATGTTTTTTCAGATATCGATGAGTGCAAGTCAAACCCCTGCTATGCTGGAAGTTGTGTAAATACACCTGGGAATTACTCTTGTATATGTCCCAATGGCATGAAAGGAAGAAGTTGCAAAGATAAATCAAAGACGATTGTTATCATTGTTTTGGGTATGTATTGTTTATTTAACTAGTGAATTAATCCGAATATATTGCTTTTTTCAATACCTTGAGCTTAACATAGAGAGCAGTACATATATACAGAAAAGATAGATTAAGTAAAACACACTTCTTGCAACCAAAATCTTATTTTAAACATCCTGCCCCATGAAAAGTATAGAATGAAAAAAAAATAAAATTATGAAATCCAGTTGGGTATGTTTCACTTATGTGCAGGAATTAGTGTCATCTTAGCTTTACTGGTTGGAAGTTCATGCTCTATATATTGGGGGATGAAGCAGCGAAGGTACATCAAACTCAAAGAAAAGTACTTTCAAGACAATGGTGGTTTATTGTTGCAACAAAAGCTTGCTAATCATGGGGTTGAGACAACCAGAATCTTTTGTGCAGAAGAACTTGAAAAGGCCACAAACAATTATGATGACAGCAGGGTCCTTGGCAAAGGATCTTATGGAATAGTTTACAAAGGAATTTTACCAAATAACAGAACTGTTGCCATTAAGAAGTCCAAAATTGGTGCTCCAACCCAGAGTGAGCAGTTTGTTAATGAGTTGGTTGTTCTTTCTGAAATCAACCACAGAAATGTGGTGAGGCTGCTAGGTTGTTGTTTAGAGACAGAAGTGCCGTTACTAGTTTACGAGTTCATCACCAATGGCACTCTTTTTGAGCATGTTCATGGTAAAGAGAAGAAAAGATCATCGCTTACATGGGAATTGCGATTGAAGATTGCTGCAGAAACTGCAGGAGCTCTAGCATATTTACACTTCTCCACTTTCATGCAAATCATACACCGAGATGTTAAAGCCATGAATATACTTTTAGATGAAAATTACACAGCGAAAGTGTCAGACTTTGGAGCTTCGGTATTGATTCCTCTAGATCAAACTGAAATTGTAACTTTCGTGGAGGGAACACTTGGATACTTAGACCCTGCATATCTCCAATCGAACCAACTAACAGAAAAGAGTGATGTTTATAGCTTTGGAGTTGTGCTAGCAGAACTATTGACAAGCAAAGTGGCATTTTCATACGATAGGCCTGAGTCAGAGAGAAGCCTAGCAAGAATGTTTGTTTGTGCAGTAGAAGAAGAGCGCCTAAATCATATTCTTGATGGTGACATAGTCAGTGAAGGAAATATTGAGACAGTAAGAAATGTGGCCCGTCTCACAAAAATATGTCTAAAGTTAAAAGGGGAGGAAAGGCCTACAATGAGAGAAGTAGCTACAGAGCTCGAGGGAATGAGAATTATGGCAAATCATCCTCGGGGAACTAATGCTGATGACAATTTGGGTCCCGAAGATCAGACTTCCCTTTCTCTGGGGTCACCTTCAAACACTTCCGATGATGACGTTAGAGGTGATTGTGGTCCTTGTACCACAATTACTACTGGTACAACTAGCAGGTATGGCAGAATGCAAATTGAGATGTTAATCATGTCATTAATTGATTGAATTGTTGATTTTTATCTATATGAAAACTTTTTCCGGGTGTACATAAATACCAGATATATCCTGTTCAAATTAAGTTTTTCTCTTGGTATCAGTTGTAAATTTTTGAAGGAAAAATTAACATTAACTACAGAGATTTGAAGGAACATGAACTAGTTGCTACATTGTTGATGTTAGGAGGTACTATTGTGTTTAAGTAATTTTTATATAAACTCTGATTCTTGTTGCTGCTGCAGGAGTATTTAGAAGACACTGTCTATATGCATAAAGGGTGTGTTTGAGATTTTGGATTGGTAGCTAAGCATGACAAAAACAGCCCAACGAATTGAAACCGCTACAAATTGTTGAAGCCCCAAACACAAAAGATAGGAACACGCAAAGACGGCAGGTACCATGCCCATCTCTGGCGAAGACTTTTCGAATTGACTTGTTCCTGGTGATGTAGTATTATATGAATTGTAAACGCATATGTGGTGTTTATTATTATTCATTGCAATTTTTCTTTGCGTGTTGCAATAATATAATGTAAATGGTTAGAAATATATATATATATGTATATATATTATGCATCTGAGGTCTTGATCATAATAGAGATGCCCACGCCTCCAAAGTCTCACCGTGGACTTAGACTCAGCCAAGAAGGTCAGGAAAAATAAACATTAATAGATGTAGCAATCAACCTTCTTCCTCTAATTTGCACTTATTACTAAAGAAAAGCTTTCCTATCACTATCACCGGTTGTCTACACCCATGTGTCAATTGAACGAAACGAGACGAATATCTATAACACCAAGTACACCTAAAAATTTCTCCATTGACCAAATCTCTTCACTACAACTACTTCGCCTATATAGCCGAAAGAAAATGGTCTCACACTAGACAAGACATTATACAATTATACAAAATGGTCTTACACTACTGCTTAATCGGGGTGCTTATGCCACTCTCATTGCTAATTGCACAAGCAACTGCAACAACAGATGGAGCTCCATTAGCCCGCCCTAACTGCCCTGACAACTGTGGTAATCTCACAATTCCATACCCATTTGGGGTTAGAGAAAATTGTTACTTGAACTCTTCCTTTTTTATCAATTGTACTCGTGACGAATCCAGGGAACCCCAAATAGTACCATATTGGGGAAATAGTGGCATCATTGTTTCTAACATCTCACTTGAAGAGGCTGAGCTGCAAATATTGCAGTTTGTAGCCAAAGATTGTTATAACCAGCTGGGCAACCAAACCTACAACAACAACCCTTGGTTTTCAGTGCCTCCTTTCACCATCTCCCATGCCAAAAACAAGTTCATAGCTGTTGGCTGTGACACCATTGCTATTTTCCAAGGCTACCGCGCTTTCCCAAATGACCAAGAAAGTTACTTGGCCGGGTGTATGTCCTTATGTGATAGCCTTGACAGCATTGAATATGAGGACTCTTGCTCCGGAATTGGGTGCTGCCAAACTAACATCCCCAGTGGGCTGCAAAATCTAACTGTGACATTGTCTAGCACTTACAATCATACCAAAATAGTAGGGGACTTGACCAACTGCAGTTACGCTTTCCTTGTGGAAGAAACACAGTTCAAATTCTCCAATTCAAGTTTTCAACAACTGGAGAGCATAACAGAACTTCCAGCGGTTCTTAATTGGGCAATTGGGGACGATCCAGATCCATGTAATACGGCTCAAAAGAGGAAGGATTTTGCATGTAAATCAAGTAGCAAGTGTGTCAACCTGGTCGGTCGCTCTGCTGGTTACATTTGTCAGTGCTTGCAGGGCTACCATGGCAACCCATATCTTCCAGATGGCTGCGAAGGTTAGAACACTTTAAATTTGTTTAAAGACATGCCAGCACGCACGCACACACATGTAAAAACGTAACAAGGAATTTAAAGATGCATAAGTATGTGTTGGGTTGTAATGTATTATGTAAATGCTTTCTGTTCTTACCAGATATTGATGAGTGCATGATCACGAGCCCCTGCAGTGGGACGTGCATAAATGTACCTGGAAATTATACCTGTGGATGTCCACAAGGGTACAAAGGCGATGGCATGAAAAATGGAACCGGTTGCACCAAAGAGAATCCCATTCAATCAAAGAACCGTAGTCTTCTGCTTATTCTTTCAATGAGTATGTTTTCTTGCTCCTTTAGATCTTTAAAATTAAAGCTTAAACAAACCCAAATTCAAAATAATTAGGGGAATAGTTTCACGGTGATGCATACTATATACTCTTATATGCTTAAATCTCAACATCTATTTACTTCAGTGAAACTTTTGAGCTGAAACAGAGAAAGCTCTGTTTTTTGAAGCTCTGTTTTTAAGAAGCTCTGTTTTTAAGAAGCTCTGTTTTTAGGAAGTTCTATTCTTAAGGTTCTGTTTTTATGAAGCTTCTAAGAGAGTGAGAAAAATGTCAAGTGTGTTGAGGTTTTGGGAAAGATTGAAATTAGAGTAAAATTTTAGCGGGAGAGATGGAGCATGTTTTTGTTAAAGGCGTCACCGCATAATTCTCTCTCACTTTAAAACCTATGAAGCTATTAGGTTTGTACAAGTATTCTAATACCATGATGTTTTCCTTCAACATACCAAAATGAGTTTTAACATCTTGCCCAATGGAATTAGAGAATCCAATATGGTCCTTATGTTTAACTTCTAACGTGCAGGTATCGGTGTAGGCCTCTTAGTTTTACTGGTTGGAAGTTCATGGCCGATATATTGGGGAATAAAGAAACGAAAGTACATCGAACTTAAAGAGAAGTACTTCAAAGAAAATGGCGGCTTACTGTTACAACAACAACTTGCTAGTTATCACGGGGTTGAGAGCGTAGAGACGACCAAGATTTTTACTGCAGAAGAACTAGAGAAGGCCACAGACAATTACCATGAGAGTAGAATTCTTGGTGAAGGGGGTTATGGAATCGTTTACAAAGGAATACTTGCAGATAAAAAAGTGGTTGCCATAAAGAAGTCAAAAGTTGGTGTCCCAACCCAGAAAGAGCAGTTTGTTAATGAGGTGATTGTTCTATCTCAAATCAATCACAGAAATGTAGTGAGGCTTCTGGGGTTGCTGTTTAGAGACACCAGCGCCTTTGCTAGTTTATGAATACATCACCAATGGCACTCTTTTTGATTGCATTCATGGTAAAAAAGGCGAAGGGTCCTCACTTGCATGGGAATTACGATTGAAGATTGCAGCTGAAACTGCAGGAGCATTGGCATATTTACACTCCTCTACTTCCACACCAATCATACATCGAGATGTGAAAGCAATGAATATACTGTTAGATGACAATTACACGGCAAAAGTGTCGGATTTTGGTGCTTCGCGCTTAGTTCCTATGGATCAAACTCAAGTAACAACTCTAGTGCAAGGGACACACGGATACTTAGATCCTGAATACTTCCATTCTAACCAACTAACACAAAAGAGTGATGTCTATAGTTTTGGAGTTGTCCTGATGGAGCTACTAACAAGCAAAGTAGCGCTTTCTTTTGCCAGGCCTGAGTCAGAGAGAAACCTAGCAAGCTTATTTGTTTGTTCAATGAAGGAAGATGGCTTGAACCAAATTTTGGACGATACCCTATTCAGTGAAGGAAATATTGAGACCCTAAAAAATGTAGCGAATCTCGCCGAAAGATGTGTCAGTTTAAAAGGGGAGGAAAGACCTACCATGAAAGAGGTAGCCTCAGAGCTAGAGGGGATGAGAATAATGGCAAAGCATGCATGGGAAAGTTCTAATTTCTGTCCTGAAGAGACTGTGCACTTGCTCGGGTCACCTTCAAACACGAATTCTGTGGATGTTAGAGGCGATTGTGGTTCTAGTACTACTGGTGCAACTTATGGGCATGACAGCATGCAAATCCAAATGTTAATGTCATATAATGATGGGAGATAATTAAAACGTGATGCAGTGAAGGATGTAAATATTGTAAGAACTATATGAACCAAGGTTAGAATAGAAGTAATGTACATAGATGTATTGCAGGAACTACTACATGTGTGGTGTTTGCTTTTTTTCTTTGGTTACTTATAGCTCCAAGAACGTGACTGTTTATTCTTGCGAAGGCTATTCATGTTGATAAAGGGCGTTATCAACCTCCCTTTCATATTGTAACTAAGTATTAATAACTGCCAGAACCATATGCAAGAAAACCAACTCCACCCTAATGTAATGGGATTCTTCTTAAGTTGATTTTCCCGCTGCTTTCGCACTACTGTTGTGGAGAGGAAAAGATCACAACTAATGGGAATGAGCTTTTATAATGAGAGGGTAATGTTGAGGGCTAATAAGCATAAAAGCCCGAATACAAGGGTAGAATATGTTTAATTAACTAATTTATAGTATGAAGAAATCAAACATAACCTGCGATTTGTATGAACCAAAACTAAGGACGAATATTAGCCAAAAAAGGTAAAGTTCTGATATGGTTGAGCTGCTAAAAATATGGAATGTGAACCAGACTGGTAGAGTACGTAATTGGTTAATTAGGAGAATGATAAGGCTCAAATCGGTTGACGAGTTGTTCGGGCGCCATGAGTATGACAAGGTGTGTATGTGTTAGGCGGTTAAACAAGTACAAAATGATTTTGTCTCATTGCTTGACTTTGCACGCATTGACTCTTAATTACTATGATCATGATGAAGAGGAAAACTATGGACAAGTACAATGATTATATATATATATATTTGGTCGTAATCAAAGGTACAGCCCCAACATTAATTATTGTATTGTTATGGCTGAACTAGAAACTGTGGTTTACCTTAGTGAATTAACATTAAACCTATACTAAATGGGATTACATTTTGATTTGGAGGGGAGAGTATTACACTTCAAATTTGGAGTGGGAAATAAACATTTAACCTCATACTAAACGGGATTACATTTTGATTGAGGTATCTTTTCAATTAAATTACTAAAGATCTCTTCCCCTGAGAACTAGTAAAAATCTTTTCCTTCAAATTCCAAAGATGATTATAGTAATTCTTAGCACCAAAGCAATGGATTGGTAAACTCTTTCGTCAAATGGGAGATGAGCTGATTGAGATAAATTAGGAGTTTCCATAAATAAAAAACATCCAGCCATTAGTTTGATCGTGGGTTTGACATGAAAGATCTCATTCTTACTGCAATATTCTTCATTTTTTAGCCTAAAGGCTTTAGTCACTAAAAAAAGCAAAAAAGGTGACTGAAAGCCTTTTTAGTCACCAAAAAAGTCAAAAAAGGTGACTAAAGCCTTTAGTAACCCCCAAAACAGTCACCAAAATTGGTGACAAAATGGTGACTGGTGCCACTTTTTTTTGTAGTGTACTCCTACTACCACTACCAATATTAATTTTAAAGATGTTGGCCAACCCGAACCCTCAATAGGGCCAATCCCATATTTGATGATGGATAATCACACTTCTCTAAGGGTTACTAACATCTCACTTGACAGTATTGGTGATGAATATCAGACCAACAGTTCCCTCTACTTGCCCGATTCCTTCACCATCTCTGATACAAAAAACAAGTTCTTCGCCATCGGATGTGGTACTGCAGCAAGTTTTGAAGGTAGGCGCTGTAGCCCAAAACTTGGCCACGGAGGCCCTGGCAAAGAAAGGCATTTACATGTATCTGGCTACTCTTTTGCCTTATGCAACGACGACACTACTGAGAACAACGATGACTCTTGCTCTGGGGACGGATGTGGCCAAGCTTCCTAGTGGATTGTTCCAGTTTGAGATGGTATTGGAGCTATGGTACTCTAATCATTTATACTCATGCAGCTATGGCTTCTTTGTGGAACAAGGCGAGTTCACATTCTCCCCCAACATAAGTTTGCAACAACTCAACAAGACTAGCCACCTTCCTTTGGTTCTCAATTGGGAAATTGGGGATCATGGCCCATGCAGTTCAGCTAATAACAGCATGGATTTTGCATGCAAGGGAAATAGCACGTGAGTCGGTTGGCCCAACATCAATGGCTGGTCTACTGGTTACATTTGCCGGTGCTTGCCAGGCTACCAAGGAAACCCATACCACCCAGATGGTTGCCAAGATGATCATGATGATCGGATCATCAAATCATCTACTTTGATACATATATGTTGGGATTTTAATCAATTAATTACCACTTACACTAATGTGTGGTCATGAATTAAGTGGTATAATCTTGTGATGTCCTTCAGATATTGATGAGTGCAAGTCAGAGGCTTGCGAAAGTGACGAAAGGTGTGTAAACTTACCTGGGAGTTTCTCTTGTCTTCCATGTTTCTTCGGCATGAAAGGGACAAGTTGCAATCACATGCCAAAGAGTACGACTCCCATGTATCTCATTATTGTTACTATTATAGTTACGTATGTCTATTTAAAAATCCTGCCCCATGCCCCCCATGAGAATTAAATTAATGAAATCCATTATATATAAAATTCAACACCTTGTTATGTTACACTAGTATGGGCAGCTATAGGTGTCATGTTGGTTTTACTTGTCGGATCTGCATGGTCCCTATGCTGGGTAATGAAGCAACGAAAGTACATCAAGCTCAACGAAAAGTACTTTGAAGTAAATGGTGGTTTCTTGTTACAACATAAGCTTGCTAGTCATAATGGGGTTGAGACAACCAGGATATTTACTGCAGAAGAGCTGGAAAAAGCGACAAACAATTATCATGACAGTAGAGTCCTTGGGAAAGGATCTTTTGAAATAGTGTACAAAGGAATATTACCAGATAAGAAAATGGTTGCCATAAAAAAGTCCAGAATTGCTGCCCCAACCCAGACTGAGCAGTTTGTTAATGAGTTAGTTGTTCTTTCTCAAATCAATCATAGAAATGTGGTGAGGCTTTTAGGTTGTTGTTTAGAGTCAGAAGTGGCTTTACTAGTTTACGAGTTCATCACCAATGGCACTCTTTTTGAGCACATTCATGGTGAGAGGAGCAGAGGATCATCGCTTGTGTGGGAATTGCAATTGAAGATTGCAGCAGAAACTGCAGGAGCACTAGCATACTTACACTCATCCACTTTTATGCAAATCATACAACGAGATGTTAAAGCTGTGAATATATTATTAGATGACAATTACACGACAAAAGTGTCAGACTTTGGAGCTTCAGTATTGATTCCTCTACATCAAACTCAAGTAATAACGTTAGTGCAAGGGACACTTGGATACTGAGACCCTGAGTATCTCCAGTCGAACCAACTAACAGAGAAGAGCGATGTTTATAGCTTTGGAGTTGTCCATGTAGAGCTATTGACAAGCAAAGTGGCAATTTCTTATGACAGGCCTGAGGCAGAGAGAAGTCTAGCAAGACTGTTTGTTTGTGCAATGGAAGAAGATGACTTGGATCGTATTCTTGATTGTGACATAGAGTCAACGAACGGAATATCGAGACAGTAATAAACGTGGCCCGTTTCTCAAAAAGATGTTTAAGGTTAAAAGGGGAGGAAAAGCCGACCATGAAAGAAGTAGCTATAGAGCTGGAAGGAATGAGAATAGTGGCAACCCATCCATGAGGAAGTAATGTTGATTTGCGTTCAGAAGATCAGACTTCGCTCTTGTCGGTCACCTTCAAACGCTTCTATTGCTGATGTTAGAGATGATTGTGGTTCTAGTGGCACAACTTCTAGTCCAACTAGCAGGTAGGCTACCATGCAAATTAAAATATTAATGTCATATGATGGTCGGTGATTAATTAACTGACTTCTTGCTAGCCAGTGATGATTACATTAGTTTGTTCTTATTTGCTAGTTAGTGATCATAATTTCTTGTTGGATGAACAAGAAATTTTCTTAAACAAATTAACTTGAAAAATAATAATCACAATGCTAGTGATCAATGGTCTAGCTTGCAGAGGATCCAAAGTCAGCTGAAGCCATTGAAATTTTATTGAGTGGACTTCCTTTAGCAACAAGTCTTGAATCTGAATTTGTAACATATGAAAGATTGCAGCAAGCTAGAGTAATGCCTTATGGGGACCAAATCCCACTTAGCATGACCTAACCCTGTGGGGGTAGCATGACCTGCGGAGCGTGAAAGACATAGCCCGACCAACTTATGATTGGGGGGAGTGGAGGATGGGATGCACAAAGCTAGGGAAGTGGAGCTAAACCCAAAGGGCTTGAAGCGCTATAAAATCCTAACCATACCTCCAGTAAAGATACGAGAAATTCAATTAAGCACTAAGAGTTCGCTGCATAAACATTGACTTGAGCGTCGGAGTGGCTTTTGCAGGTACTCACCCCATTTCCATCTTTCATTCTCGGAAACGCCATCCGGAGTTCTTTTCAACCAAGGAAGTGTGCGGACTTCAGTCAAGAACCTGTGGAGGTATTTCTTCATGAAAGAAATCCTGCTCCAACAGTTGGCGCAATATGTGGGAACCGTACAAAAAGTCACGATGAGAAGCCATGAATACACTCTTTTCTTGGAAGCTACAATGGGGGCATGAATTAAATCCCCAACAGAGAAGAATTTCTAAACTCTCTTCTTTAGGATTTCACGAATTGACATGCAATATGAAATTTTATCACTCGCTAATAGAAGAGTCCTATATTATTCTGCAACAAACCAAATGAAAGGGGATGGACACATTTGCCCATAGAAACCACAATGGGGGCACGAATTATTGCCCCCAATAGTGAAGAACTTTTCCACTACCCGCATTTGTAGTTTCACAAACTACCATCAAATCATTACTTTCTATCATGGTGCTTTTGCGGGACGCAATCATATTATGTGGGTGAAGAAATCATAAACTGATGAATTTGGATTGGCTAACGAACCAATTTCTATGGGGTCAAGGGCTAAAATGCAAACAGATAAGTTTTTCTACTCTCTTTCATACCTTTCTAAAGTTTATCATAAATTTATATCATATATATTTATGCCGTAGATGAGAATGGGTTGCAATGATCCTTGATAGGTTGAATTTTACAATTTTATAGAGATTGGTGTCTAAATTTTAACTAGAGCATATGCAGTCATATTCCATTGTGCAAAAGCAATAACTTTGTGATTGAATCTCTAAATTAGGGGCAGGGGTTAAATCCTACATAAACAAGGGTGGCACATGATTGTGCGACACCGAAAAGATCCGGTTGAGACTAAAAATGGAATGAACATGGGTGATGCCCTTCTATGCAAGAATTTGTGGAATACATGGTACCCGTACTTCAATGGTTTGATTTTCATACTTATTTGATTAAAAGCATGTTCCCATGGTAACGAAATGAATTTTTATTGTTATTTTCTTGACAATCATAGCCATGAGTATTTTAATTTAATTACATTCAATAATTCATTGTTTGATACACCTCGTGCGTTTGGTATCCTATTCAAATAGGGAACTCAAAAACTTTGATTTTTCTTAAAAACAAGGAGTTCTTAAATCTATTTTTAAGATTCAAAAAATTGTTTGGTATGCAACTTGAAAATTGTTTTCAAATCTTAAAAATTTGAGAACTTGTGGGTTGTTAGAAAAAAAACTGAAAAAACAGATATTTTTTGTTTTTAATAATTGGAGTCTTTTTTAGTTGTTCTTGAGTTTGAGTTTTTAAAAAAAGAGCTATCAAACAGGTTTTCTTTATTTTAGACTCAAATTCTATTTTTGAGTTTAAAAAATTGGATTCAAGTTGAATACCAAACAAGCCCTAAGCTTCCCGTAGTTGTGACTAAAATGGTTTTTCTAATTGTTACAATGAGTAGAGAACCAAGAGAGTCACATGCGATGGTTATATTGTGCATATAAATCAGCTACACTCAAAAACATAAATTCTCTAATTTAAATGCCTATTTGCAGCATTATTATGTGAATTTATCTATATGTGAGAGAAGAAATTATCAATCTTCTCAACAGTATGACTTGCTATTGCTGTCCACTTGGAGCTTGCTTGGACATGATATATGTCTTTTGAAATTACTACTTGGCACATGGTTTTTTCCACACTAACGTCATTGATTCTTATATAGAATGCTCAAAAGGCATATTTATCAAGGCCAGCGAAGTGCTGGCACAATGCCTTTGGGCTCAAACATTGTCGCCGTTGTTATTCAGCAGCGAATTGTGTGATTTGCAACAAGCCAATAGCGAAGCTATTAGCATTTGAGTGATAAAGAAAGATGATGCTGGTCTTATGACTCATGAGCTAATGGTATGTCTAGTGCGATTTTACAAACAGCTAATTTTTTTGTTGTTGGTGAAGCCATGGCCTGTAACACCCCAATTTTTATTTATTTATTTGGGAATGTGAGGTAAAAGAAAATTTAAAACTAAAAACTTAAATATCAAGAAACATGAAAATTGAACATAAACTTTTATTTAAGTCAAAGTAATTTACATTGTACTATTACAAGCAAAATAACAAGAGAGTAACAAACTTTCAATAAAACACTCAAAACTATCCATAATCCGTTCTTCTTGTTTCCTCAGCAAAAACTAAACTTCAAATTCAAAGCTTGCAATAAATTCAATAAGGGGTGAGCATTACATGCTCAGTAGGGGTCCTATGTCTTATGTGATTAGTGAGATTTATAATATACAAATTATGCAATGAATGAACTTCATTTCTACTCAACCCGTTAATTTATATAATAGGGCAAGCAAATTTGCATGTACCATACCATGCATTTTACCACTGTGATTCCGAATGCCCCATTATATAAACTAACACCCGTCTCAGTTATCCCATAATTCCCCTTTTGCTAGTCATCTTGTCAACACCATTGATCTCCAAGCCCAAATCACCCAATCGACAATTATATCACCGATTTCCTAATCTACTGTGCACACGGGCTCGCCTGAACTTGGTCCCTACAATGGTTAGACTCAACTACACAAAAGATTCTTCCCATTATCCTCTTTTCCATAATTTCTTTTTCAACCCAAAAATTCCAACCACCACCAACAACATATGAATATGTCAAAATTAATCAAATTATAATGATAATTGACAATACGTATATATCCAATATCAAGGATAACAATCAAACAATATAACCAAGCATAATATAGGATTTACAATAATAATCAAATAATATTACCAAGCATAATATAGTATTTACAATATTTAATTAAATCAATGTATGCAAAACTTCCCCATGAAAAACCCCTACCTCAAATCCAAAGCTATTGTATAACTCCCAGTTGTAAGTTCAAACACCTTGAGTTCCTTCAACGAACTTCTTGTTCTACACTTTCTAATATTTCTCCTTTTCTTTCCTCACTCTATTGCTTCTGTGAAACCCCATATTTTTAAATACATATATTAATATTTCATAAAATTAAATATTTACAATTATTAGTCTTCAAAACTATATAATATATCTATATATATAAATATAAATTGTATGGCAAGTTACGTGAAGTTAGCTATTAACTAGTATAGCCAATCAAATGTTATTGCATGGCTTTAATTATTTCAATTCATTTCAGTATTATTTATTATTATATATATATATATATATATATATACTTACTTTACAAAAACTGTTAGAAAGACATTTATGCTTACTAAGCATTGTTGAAGACTGACGTGTTGCAATGTAGTGTCCTCAAAACCAATTAAAGCATGAGGTGTAAGAATGATAGTTATTCCTATATATATAAACTTGATAGGAGAGTGCTCACTAAGCACTCTACAAAGCCAACACAAAAGGCTATTTGAGAGTCTAGGAACCTATAGACTAATTAGGTGGCACAACATTAAGCTTCATCTAACCGACTCTAGCTTACTATAAATAGGTCTACTCAATAGTTCTTTGATCATAGGTACTTCAAGTGTGTTAGTCTCCTAAAAATCATAGACAGAAGAAAGAAAGAGTGAAGTGTGGTGAGATTTTGGAAAAAGCTCAACTGGGAAGTGTACAATAGCTTTGGATTTGAGGTAGGGGTTTTTCTTGGGGAAGTTTTGTTTTGCATACATTGAGTTAATTAAATATTGTAAATACTACATTATGCTTGATAATATTTGATTGTTGTTATGCTTGGTTATATTGTTTGATTGTTATCCTTGATATTAGATATATACATGTTGTCAATTATCATTATAATGTGATGAATTTTGACATATTCATATGTTGTCGGTGGTGGTTGGAATTTTGGGTTGATAAAGAAATTATGGAAAAAAGGATAATGGGAAGTATCTTTTGTGTAGTTGAGTCTAACCATTGTAGGGACCAAGTTCAGGCGAGCCCGTGTGTATAGTGGATTAGGAAATCGGCGGTATAATTGTCGATTGGGTGATTTGGGCTTGGAGATCAATGGTGTAGACAAGATGACTAGCAAAAGGGGAATTATGGGATGATTGAAATGGGTGTTAGTTTATATAATGGGGCATTCGGAATCACAGTGGTAAAATGCATGGTATGGGACATGCAAATTTGCTTGCCCTATTATATAGATTAACGGGTTGGGTAGAATTGAAGTTCATTCATTCATTGTATAAATTGTACATTATAAATCTCACCAATCACATAAGACATAGGACCCCTACTGAGCATGTAATGCTCACCCCTTATTGAATCTATTGCAGGCTTTGAAACTGAAATGTAGTTTTTGCTAAGGACAAGAAGAACGGATTATGGATAGTTTTGAGTGTTTTGTTGAAAGTTTGTTACTTTCTTGTTATTTTGCTTGTAATAATACAATGTAAATTACTTTGACTTAAATGGAAGTTTACGTTCAATCTTCATGTTTCTTGATAATTAAATTTTTAGTTTTAGTTTTTTTTTTTCTTTTACCTCACATTCCCAAATAATAAAAAATAAAAATAATAATAATTGGGGTGTGACAGCTTCCTATCATGCATTACCATGCATGCTGTTTACAACAAGTTAAGAGAATTGGTTTCCTATTTATAGTAGTAAAAGGCGGTAACTTGATGGTTTGTGATTGCTGGAGTGTAGGTTTGGTGATATGCTTGATTTCCTTGATTATCTCACTTCTCCTAAGGCCAACAGCTCATGCTTCAACCAAAAGCTTAGTCATCTAGGTAAGGGCTTAGTCATCTAAGTTTACACCTGTGAAGAAACTAGAGTGGTAAGTTTTCCTTATGTAAATATCTTGGTACGTGGCATTACTTAAATCAACCAAGTAAGTATTCTTTTACAATAGTACCATTCCTGATAGTTTGTCATGAAAGTAATAACTATGTGCACTGGCGAATCTAGTAAGGCGCAAGGAGGTGCAGCTGCACCTCCCCTAGCCGGAAAAACCATTGTAAGTGCTTCAAATTGCCCCTTTGCTCAACTATTGTATAGATTACCTTATTTTCATCGTCTTTGTCCTTTTACTTTTATTTATTTTTATATTACTCCATTTACTTAAGTTTACAATGTAAATAAGGAAGTACCCTCCATTTGGATTCAAATAAAAATACTAGAAAATCAAATTCCCACCAAATCAAAATATGAAAATTCGATTTTAGTGCAAAATATGATTTAGGCTAAAAATGATGGCTCATTAAGTCAATATATACTTCATACTAAAATCCCATAAAATCAAGTTTTCTTATTTGATGTGTAAGGAATAAAAGCCGCCAAAAATTATCTTGAGAAAATGATTATTCCGAAAAACCATTTTTCATACTTAGTCAATATTGCACCTCTGCTAAAAAAATTTTGGGTCCACCAGTGACTGTGGTCAAACTATTATATATGGGGGGCGGATCCGTGACACCATATTTTTACACAAGTTTTGACACAATTTTTGGGCCATTAGATTACTCCATTTTAATGGTTGAGATTAAATCTGACATGACAAATAGTTTTAATGTTTTAAATAAACAATCATTAATTTTATTATCTCTCTCATAAAAATAAAATAAAATAATTTTCTCTCTCCCTTTTTTCTAGTATCCTTTTTTACTTGGTATATACCTCTCTTTCTCTTTTCTGGGATCAGAAAAAAAACCTCCATCTTTTCTCTCTCTCTCTCTCTCTCTCCAGTAACTGCAAACCAACCGTCTGAATACAGAATTCTAGTGCAAATGTGCCCCATTCAACACCTATGTGAAAGTAAGACATGTAACATCTTGTTTCTAAACAAGCTTATCTTCACCAGCTGAACATCTGTCTTGGGTAATTAATGATAATGACAATGGAAGTAAAGACATCTCCGAGATCTAGAAAAAATTCTACACAACCACGGTATACAGAGAAACAGATGCGGCAAACATAAACCCAGCTACATCTGGTGCAGATTCAAACTCTAGCTTGAGCAACAACCACCTTTCTTCACAGCCGAAACATCTTTACTGATATCGATTTTCTCTCCCTGGGAAGGAACAACTGAAGCAGCAGCTTCATCTCCAGCCTCCATGGCCTTCTTGCTCACGACACGAAAGATCTAGGAAAGGACTTCAGCAAATGCATTGTCAACATTGGTTGCTTCGAGTGCATTGTCTCTCTCACTCAAGACAACTGTATTCATACAGTTGGTTTGCAGTTACTGGAGAGAGAGAGAGAGAGAGAGAGAGAGAGAGAGAGGTATATACCAAGTAAAAAAGGATACTACCAAGAAAGAGATTACATTTCCAAGAAAAAGGGAGGAGAGAGAAAATTATTTTATTTTATTTTTATGAGAGAGATAATAAAATTAATGATTGTTTATTTAAAACATTAAAACTATTTGTCATGTCATATTTAATCTCAACAATTAAAAGTGAAGTAATCTAATGGCCCAAAAATTGTGTCAAAACTTGTGTCAAAATATGGTGCCACGGATCCGCCCCCATTATATATATATAACTATAACCCATATACATATATAATCAATTTAAACGAAATTTTAACTTATAAGCAAAACATTTGATTTCCAAATATATATATATATATATTTAAACCGGACTTCACATGGCCTCAAAGACGTATGATATCAGAAGCTTTTAAATTGATTATATATACATCTGACACATGCCAAGAATTTGGCAGCTTGTTAACCTCTTGACTACATTTGCGTGGTGGGGCCAGCTACTGCACCACTCAAGAGAAGCCATAAGCCTATTTCTATATGGCAATTTATGAAGCCCAACTAACGACAAAATCAACATAAACAGAGGCTGAACGAGAGCCACAATGTGCAGTTAGTAAACACATGCACTCTAAACCAATGCATATGCCAATACTCAACTTATGCTTGCGACTGAAAGTCAAATTCAAGTGGTCGAAGACCATGATTGTGAATGAAATTCAAATTCATGTGGTCGAGACCATTGTTAGATAAAAACTGTAAACCTTCAAACATAATTTTACCACCACTAATCAATTAATGGGGTTTTATTATTTTAGGTTCGACCCATTCGAGACGCAAGTCTCTTAATTACAATCCCTTGCTACAAGGGAAATGACAGGACCCGCCCCGAATTTCCCGAAACCCGAGACGAACCCTGTGGAGACCCCGGCATCACACCCACGCCGGGTTCACTCCTTAAAACTATGTCCTCTTTTACCAGAGAGGATTTAGGGCACTAGACTTTCTGCCAAAATTTCGGCAGAGTCTCCACTGTAAATTGAATATTCCCCAAAATTTCCACCTGCATAAAACACATTTTATAACCCAACCAGCAGCACGCACAATATAATCTCATGCAATTTACATAAATGGCCTCCGGCCTTCAAATGATTCTAGCAGAACTGCCCACACTGTCTTTAAAATAACTTAATGCATTAAACATGCATATATCCAATTCAAGATCCATCTATGCACACCTTCGCTCGCACAGTCCACCGGACAAGCCTCAATTCAACCAAGTGTCGAGACCAACCACGAGGTCCGCATCATACTCGATAAAACCACCTAAGTGGTGTCTAGGCCGTGGCTGCACCTAGGCGCTATCCCAGGCTGCCTACGTACCCTACTAAGGGATCAAGCCACACGTAGCTCTTTCCTATCGATCCTGGCTCCTGATATCAATTAAACCATTACATCCATATAAATTCATACATTCTCGGGTTTATCCATCACAACACACCAAACATAATCACATAGCTCCCCTCATACGTCGGGACGCACCCGGCCACGTACGGGGTCTGTCAACACGCCGGCTAATCCAAAGGCGCGTGCGACCTCACACTGGGCCTGGCTACATTTTCACCAGCCATCTTACCATCATATCTCCCACTCATACGTCGGGACGCACCCGGCCACGTACGGGGTCTGTCAACACGCCGGCTAATCCAAAGACGCGTGCGACCTCACACTGGGCCTGGCTACATTCTCACCAGCCCTCATACCATCATATCTCCCACTCATACGTTGGGACGCACCCGGCCACGTACGGGGTCTGTCAACACGCCGGCTAATCCAAAGACGCGTGCGACCTCACACTGGGCCTGGCTACATTCTCACCAGCCATCTTACCATCATCTCACCACCATCTTACCATCATATCTACGTCGGGCCACGTCTGTCAACTAATCCAAAGACGCGTCACACTGGCTACATTCTCACCAGCCATCTTACCATCATATCTCCCACTCATACGTCGGGACGCACCCGGCCACGTATGGGGTCTGTCAACATCCGAGGAGGTACATAGGGTAGTGCATATAGCACTGCAAACTAACATTCAATCATAAAATCCATACATACTTTTTATACATTAATTTCTAATAATATAAACACCTTAGTAAACAACTAGCATCCGATAATTCCCCATAATCCCCATAACATCAGGACCTGTCTCTATGGTCATTCTAACCCTCCTGGGAAGGTAGAACTATCCCAAAGGTCTCACAGTCAACCTAGGGTCAAACGGGCCTGCGGGGCCCACAACCTCCAATTTCCGATCCGAAAGTTCCATAGGTTCTACAAGCTCTAAGATGCACGTCCTGCAAGTTTGGTCCAAATCGGACGGTCGGATCGCTCACGATCACACAATCGAACGGTTACTAAAACCCTAACCCCAGGGTTGGCATTTCCGGAGTATCCGGGACTCCGTTTTACGATCCGTCGAATCCTACACGATCCTGGTAATACTTAGATCAACATAATATAACTTCAGGACCATCCAACGGTCCAAGCCTAGCGATCCCGGAAAATACGCGATATGCGATATCCGTTCGGAACTCTAACGGTACCCAAAATGAGATCCGAGCACACCTACGCGCTCGTGAGAACCAGGAGATCATTTTAGAACCTCAAGCCGGTCCATTTTCCTAGCCCACACGCCGCCACACGCCGCCACACGCGCCGGCAGCGCGTGGTTGCCTTGAGTAATTTCCGGCGGCCGGAAAACTCCAAACCGTCGGCCAAGCTTCCTATCCTAGATGTAAAACCCTATTCTGAGCCACTTTTGTTCTTGGGCATACCCCAAAATTTGACCGGAAGTGGCCGAAATCGCAAACCCAAAACCGGCCGAACCCTAACTCGAAAATCAGATAATCTAGGCTCAAAATTACTGAAATCCTACCAATCCATCAGCTAGATCATGAGGAAAGGATAGATTTCCATACCTGGATCGCCAAAAATGGCGGCCGGACGACGGAGAACGAAGCCGGCGAAGTTTCTATCAAAACCGGAGCTTTTCTCCTCGTTTTCCGGCGAAATCTCGACGGCTGACGGCGAGACTTGGCTGGGGTAGGAAGAGGACGGCGGCCCGGTCATTTTGGTACCGGCCCCGTCGACTTTGGTGGCCGGACGAGAGCACGGCCGGCCAAAACGTGGCCGGCTGTTCCAGCCGTCGCGAAAACCAGAGAGAGGGAGAGACGCGCGCGGGAGAGAGAGAGTGTGAGAGAGACGGGGGCAATTCCGTCTTTTAACCAAAAATCTATTTTCCAAATATTTACGATTATGCCACTGAGCTTCTTTTGATCATATCTCTCTCGTTACAACTCCGATTCGAGCCCACTACGTGTCTACGAACTCATCTCGCCGTGCTCTACGCAACGGTACATCCGGAATTCCCAAATTCATTCCGGGTAAGAAAATGACTAAAATACCCCTATCCCACGGGTAAATTCTTAATTTCACTCAAATTAATTAAAACAGGGGATAAATTTGGAGTCGGGGTGTTACAAGAAAACCCTTTGATTCCATCATAAAGAAACAGAATGTATGTGTTTGGTTTTGCGGCTGCTCCCAAGTTCAACCTCAGGGTGCCTACGTATCCTTTGTAGGAATCAAGCCACTCGTAGTTCAAATATTCGCAATGAATAGATGACTCATTGCAAAAAAAAAGGAATTTGAATGAATTTGATTGAGGAGTGTTTGAGTGAATTTAACTGAATAAGCCAGGGATTCGATATGGAGTTGTATTTGGGATGGTTGCATCTAGATTGAATCTCTAGATTGCCTACGTACCCTTTCAAAGGGATCAAACCAACGTAGTTCGGACTTGATTTGTGTAAAGGTAAATATTTAATTTGTGGAGATTTGGTTGCGGTTGCGTCTATTGGGATGCTAGACTGCCTACGTACCCTTGATGGGATCAAACCGGCGTAGTTCCAAAATGATTTTTGTGGAGATTTGATTGATGAGAATTTGGTTGTGGTAACCAGTGATTCAAATTTCGTTGCGGTTGCGCCTATTGGGATGTTAGACTGCCTACGTACCCTTGACGGGATCAAACCGACGTAGTTCCAATAATTTGGTTGGTCTTTCAAAGAATGAATGACCCTTTGAAAGAATTTGTGTGTTTGAGAAATTTAAATTTGATCTCATTGAAATTTGCAGGGTAAATGACCCATGTGAAAATTTGGAATGGTTTTGTACCATCTTTTTATTGTTAATGTCCAAAGAAAATTAAAAGGCATTTTAATGAGCCTATTAATTTACTCACATATGGTTTTAAGGATTTAAAAATTAATCCATTAACCACATAATTTATTTGGACCACCCATAAAATATTTTGGGCTTTTGTGAGTCAATGGGTAATTTGTTTTGTCAACCCATCAATTTGTCTCCGGGCCTTGATATTTCCATCAGTTGGCCCATAAACAAATAATCCATGTCAGAAAAGCTTTGAGAACCAGTTGAATTTTGAAACCGATATCTATTTGGAGTAGTAGAGATTAATCCAAACTGAGTCACTCCCATCTTTATCTGGAGTAGTTCAAATCAATTATAACTGGACCAAATTATATATCTCTTCAACTACTCATCTGCCACAATTAATACAGAGCCTTGAGTCGGAGACGCCAAAACCAAGGCAAGACCTTTCTTTTGCTCATGTCTGTCAAAGCAGACCATGTAGTCCACTAAACATGAATTGAAAGTCATCCCAGGCGTCATTCACTTTGCTTTGGCAGGTTTCTTTTATTTTATTTTTGTCTTATTCCCCTCTCTTTGCTTTTCGTTTCTTTTCTTCTTATTTGCTTTTCGTCACTTTTCTCTTTCAGCATCTGGGACTTCTTCAACTTTTAGGCTTCTTTGTCTTTGGCTTATGTTGCTTTTGGATTCTTCAACAGCCGCAATACAAGAGGCTTCTTGGTGAGCCATTTTTCCTTTTGTTTTTTTGCTTGCTTTGTGCATCCTTTTCTTTCCAATTTGATTGGAGTTTCTAAGGCTTTACATATTTTCCTTTGCAGACTCATATCATTTGAGAGGACCATCGTACTGCCAATTGAGGTGCTGGCTTTGCTTTGTCTCAGTTGCTTCATATTTCGCCAGCAACAAATTGAGAAGCTTTTATGATATTTGCATTTTGCCACAGAGGAGTGCTGGCTTAATAATTTTCGTGGGCTGTCTGGCTTGGGATTTTTTCTTTGTTGGCAAACTTTGAAGCACAGAACGTGGGTGTGAATCATCAGCTTTTGTGAGCTTTCTGGCACTCTATAATTTCAGCATCTCCTTTAATATATTTTCTTCTGTTTATGCCAATCTGTGAGACTAAAACAGGATTGTTGATTTCTCCATTTGCAGCACGCTTTGCCATCTTTTTGTCTTCCAATTTGCAGACTTGGAATTTCGTTGTGCTGAAGGTGGGTTGGGCACAAAGCAGTTGGGATTTTGTGTTTTCTGTTTTTGGTACTCAAGAACACTCGCAAGGTCTTCTTTGAGTACCACAATGTGCCTATGGACACTCTCAAGGTGATCACAGCACTTAGTACAGTGGGGTTCTTGCAGAAGCCCATCTGTAATTCACAACAGAGAGGTCCTTGTGAGAGCTCTCTTTGTGTAAGTGGCACAATTATTGCCAATTTGGGAGGATTTGTTCACATTTTTCCACTGCTGAGGTCTCTGTTGATATGATACACTTCTTGATATCAAACATGGAGGAAGTTCAGGCTTCTGTACAATGGCCTCACATACATATATTTTTTTGCCTGCAAGTCAGTTGTACAAAAAAGGATACTCAGATGAATTTGTTTATACCTTCTCAATGGTATTGTGACAGAGCTTCGTATCTCTTTTGCTTGCTTCTATTCTTTTGATTTCTGCAGCAGTTCGGTGTCTTTTCCTCCTTCCCCCTTCCTTGCCTCCTTTGGTCCCTTTTTATAGACCCAGAGGAACTGACAGAGTGGGATCAGTTAAGGCCTCACGTACTGTGTGGGTGGGAGTAACTTCCCATTACAGTCACCCCCTCAACTCCACACTTCACGTACATGAAACTGTTTCTGCTTTCAATATATATTAATATTTCCTTGTAAAAATATCAATATTAATTCATTTGGGCCTAAACCAATTTACCAACAAGTCCACAAAACCATTTAGCTATGAGCCCAACTTCTTTAAACTTGGGCTAGCATTTAATTTGGTGTCAATGAATTTTTTATTTCAACAACCATGTTTGTAACTGAAGGCCAAATTCATGTCGAAGACAAAACTTGGTGGAAGACCATAGTTAAGGTCGAATGCCAAATCCATATCGAAGGCAAAATTCAAAATAATGGTAGAAGACCATATTTGTGGTCAAAGGCCAGGCTTAAAATCATGGTCAAAGACCAAACTCTTGGCCTAAGGCCAAATCCAAAGACGATCAAGCTTAAGGTTGAAGACCATACTCATTGCCGAAGGCCACCATATCCATGAAATTTCACATGCTCAAGATCGAAGTGTTCTTCCCACAAAGAATATTTTCTCTCTCTACACCCTAGAACCACCCCCCCTCCCCCGGATTCCTAGGAATCCGGGATGAATCCTTGAAAGTTCCGGCATCTTACCGATGCCGGACCCACTTACTAAAGACCGAGACTTTCTGCTGAAATTTCGACAGAGTCTCCCCTGAAAATTGGACGTTTCCCAAATTTTCAACTTGTTAAAAACACAGTTTATATCCCAACATGCAGCATGCTTCAAAAAACAATTAACCAGTTTACAACAAAGGCCTCTAGCCTTACAAATCAAACCCTAGTACGAGCGATAACAGAGCAATCTAAGAATTTAGTTTACAAAAGAAAAGGAAGTTCAACAGAGAGAAAAGAATAAAAGTGTCCTACGAAAGCTTGGGATTCGGAAGCTCGCCACCTGGCTCTGCTACTTAGTTTAGTCAACTACTGGCTGGGGGCGCAAAACAGAAAAGTGTGAGTGGACAAAAACAAAGTTTAGTTCACAGTTGAAATCAACATAATATAACCCAATCGTTTAGAAAACGATGCCGAAAACATATGCAATCAAACCATCAAGGATATATATATATATATATATATATATAATTTGGTCAAAACCATAACGAAATCCAAAATCCCATAAAGGTACTTTGTTTCTCAACCCAATCAAACTTTTTAAAAATACCTGAACCATTCTCTTGAGATGCATGCCCGTTGGCAAGGTGGGCGAGGAAGTATCCTCACCGATAAATAATAATGAACGAATTATATATAAGTAAATAATATGAAATATATAAATATATAAATAAATATAGAAGTATGACATCACCTAGTTTGTATCGGGGAAACAGTCCAACCGGAGGATTGTTTGACTAGTCCACATGGAAGAATCCTCAATTGACCATGTGGCTAGGGAACGAGACGTCCAACCGGGGACTAACTCTTCCAACATGTATAGTAGAAACCCTCAATACTCGTACACCTGTGACAAGTCCTATGGGCGCAGACTACTTGGCTAAGGGTCTACGAAACACCCCATCAAGGGTGTCCGGGTTCCAATATATCCAAGTATCTCAATAATCCAATTCCATTCCATAATATCCGTAACAGGGGAGGTACATAGGGTAACGCGTATAGCACTTCAACTGACATACTAAAACCCACACTCTTTCCATAATCTCACATCAACACCCCACGTACGCCACACATAACTAAACATAGATAGCAATTCTCGAAAATATTATATATCAACTCAAGATACTTGCAATATGCCAAAACCCAAATATATTTAGAAAATATATAGAAATATCAAGTTCAACAATTAATAAAAATAACAAACTCATTAAATCATCATGTGTAGTTTTCCATCATAAAACAATGCTTATTATTTGAAAACAACGTCCACTCACAAGTAGTTCCACATTGCCTGACCTTAAGAGGGTCTCGCCTGCTGCGTACGCATGGTCGGAGTACCTATTTTAGAATACGAGCACGAGATTAACAAAAGTGCTTCAAATGAGGACTTTAAATTAAAAAACCTAGTTTCCCAGGTTTCACGTGCTTGCACGAGGAACGAGACATTCATAAAGTCCAACTATGTGTTTCAGATGAAGAGATAGCCTCGGAAAATGCTCGGTTAATCGGGCAGTCAAACTTTCCAAATTGTGTCAACCGGGCCCACGACCTCCGATTTCCGATCCGGCAGTTCCTAAGGGTTCCACAAGGTTTAGAATACACATCCTGCAAGTTTGGTCAGAATCGAACGGTTAGATCGCTCGCAGTAGCACGATCGGACGGGTATCGTTTAACGCAAACTTTAAGTTATTGAATCGGAACATCTGGGGCTCCGACTCACGGACGACATGAGGAATATTTTAGGACCAAGAGGGACACCAAAACAGTGCCCACGCACCAGCAGCGAGTGGGTGTCCAAAGCGACTCCAGCTATCAGAAAATCTCCAAACCGCTGGTCAAGATGTATACCTATATGATCAGGACATTGAGTGGAGCAACTTTTGTTCTTGGACCTACCCCAAAAAGTGGCTGGAATCGAGGGCCGAAAACTTGCCAAACTTCAATTGCTTATTTAGCCACCAAAACGCAGAAATTGATCCTAAATAACACAACCAGCAGCTAGAACACATTGAGAGGATGAGAAAGCATACCAAGTTCGAAGGAAATGGTGGCCGGAGATGTCCGAACGAGCTCCGTGAGTTTTTACATAAAAACATACCGTTTTTCTGCAGTTTTCGACCATGACAACGGCGGATCGTGGCAGCTGAAGGGTGGGGTTGGTAGAGGGAGAGAAGCCAGTTCTTTTGGAACCAGTGCCTCCAAAAATGGCGGTGTGTGGTGCCGGTGGCGGTGGAAAAACCGCCATTGCTGTTTTGACCACCGGGGGGGGGGTCGCACGGGAGGGGGAGAGAGATAGAGAGAGAGTGTGTGTGTGTGTGTGTGTGTGTTTTTTTTTCAGATATTTAAAAAACATTTTCGAAATAATTATGATTTTGCCACTGAGCCTATTTTGATCGTAACTTCTTCGTTACAACTCCGATTCGAGCTCACTACATGTCTACGGACTGATCTTGGTATCATCTACGTAAAAGTACCAATCGTTTCCCCAAAATCTTTCCGAATTAAAAATTGACCAAATTATCCCTACTCCCGAGGACAAAATTGGAATTTCATAATTAATTAAATTAATTAGATTAACGAATAATTTTTATTTGGGTCGGGATGTTAAACTAGACACGTTTCTAGAGAGAGAAAATGGGGCATCTGTGGGAGCAAAAATTAAGGCCCAAGTGACAAGCCACTTCGCATGAACCCTAAATTTGAGGAAGTGGAGGGAATCAAATAACATGATATCCACTACCATAGAATATGGAGATAAATATGGAATATGAGACTTGGAGTTTAAGGGTTCAGTGCCTATAAAAGGCCTATTAATTTCCTAGCGTAAGAGGGGAGAGGTATGATTGATTCTACTGCAATATTCATGAAAAACACTTATTTGAGTGTCAGAGTGTTTTCTTGCAAGTACCCCCCTTCTCACTCAATGGTGACAATTGAAGATGGTGTTCAACTTCTCAACAAGGAATACAAAATCACTTGTTAGAGGAGCCGAAATTTTCCGCTCCAACATGCCTCAACCATCGAGCTCCAAAAATCGTCACATCACGAAGGACTTGCCAACAAGATTAATTCTTGTTGCTCGTGAAGCCCAAATACCGCATAGTGTTGAAGCCCCCAAATACGATCGGTAGGAACTAACAACGACTGCAGGTAGTCTCTGGCGAAGGACTTGCCAACAAGATTAATTCTTGTTGCTCGTGAAGCCCAAATACTGCATAGTGTTGAAGCCCCCAAATACGATCGGTAGGAACTAACTACGACTGCAGGTAGTCTCTGGCGAAGACTTAACCAATTGACTTGTTGCTGGTGACCATTTATATAGCATGTCGGAATAATATAATATAAAATATTTGTTTCTTTTTTGTAATGTTTATTTCTGATTTGAGATTTTCCCCTCTTAATTAAGTCTGAAATGGTCTGAGGATGACAAGGTTTAGGCTTGTACCCATAAATGGTGAGACTCTCATGTATGTGGTGGTGCTTAAACAAAGGACATATGGACTTAGTCTTGTTTGCACGCCATGACTATTAATTACCATGCAATTATTTAGGTCCCAATTAATAGACAAAGACCTGAGGTCCCTCCAGTCCCACCGTGGACTTAGACTCAGCAAGTCTAGAAACAAGAAACATTAACAAATGTAAGAATCAACCTTTTCTCTGTAATTTTCACTTCTTCACTGAAGAAAAGCTTACCTGTCACCGATTGTATTACCCGTTACACTTCAAATTTTCTCATTTGACAAGTCTCTTCACTACGGCTACTTCGCCTATAAAGGCAAAAGATAGGTGAGTCTCCTAGTTACCACATTCTTTACTCCCAAGTATCCCAAACAAAACGATACACATTACACAAAATGGCCTTACACTACTGCTTACTTGGGGTGCTTATGCCACTCTCATTGCTAATTGCACAAGCAGCTCCAGCAACAGGAGGACCTCAATTAGCCCTCCCCAACTGCCCTGACAACTGTGGTGATCTCACAATTCCATACCCATTTGGGGTTAAAGAAAATTGTTACCTGAACTCTTCCTTTTTTATCAATTGTACTCGTGATGAATCCAGGAAACCCCAAATAGTACCATATTGGGGAGGTCTCATTGTTTCTAATATCTCACTTGAAGAGGCTGAGCTGCAAATATTGCAGTTTGTAGCCAAAGATTGTTATAACAAGCAGGGCAACCAAACCGACAAGAACGACCCTTGGTTTTCAGTGCCTCCTTTCGCCATCTCTCATGCCAAAAACAAGTTCTTCGCAGTTGGCTGCGACACCATTGCTATTTTCCAAGGCTACCACGCTTTCCCAAATGACCAAGAAAGTTACGTGGCCGGGTGTATGTCCTTATGTGATAGCCTTGACAGCATTGAATATCAGGACTCTTGCTCCGGAAATGGGTGCTGCCAAACTAACATCCCCAGTGGGCTGCAAAATCTAACTGTGACATTGTCTAGCACTTACAATCATACCAAAATAGTAGGGGACTTGACCAACTGCAGTTACGCTTTCCTTGTGGAAGAAACACAGTTCAAATTCTCCAATTCAAGTTTTCAACAACTGGAGAGCATAACAGAACTTCCAGCGGTTCTTAATTGGGCAATTGGGGAGGATCCAGATCCATGTAATACGGCTCAAAAGAGGAAGGATTTTGCATGTAAAGCAAATAGCAAGTGTGTCAACCTGGTCGGTCGCTCTGCTGGTTACATTTGTCAGTGCTTGCAGGGCTACCATGGCAACCCATATCTTCCAGATGGCTGCGAAGGTTAGAACACTTTAAATTTGTTTAAAGACATGCCAGCACGCACGCACACACATGTAAAAACGTAACAAGGAATTTAAAGATGCATAAGTATGTGTTGGGTTGTAATGTATTATGTAAATGCTTTCTGTTCTTACCAGATATTGATGAGTGCATGATCACGAGCCCCTGCAGTGGGACGTGCATAAATGTACCTGGAAATTATACCTGTGGATGTCCACAAGGGTACAAAGGCGATGGCATGAAAAATGGAACCGGTTGCACCAAAGAGAATCCCATTCAATCAAAGAACCGTAGTCTTCTGCTTATTCTTTCAATGAGTATGTTTTCTTGCTCCTTTAGATCTTTAAAATTAAAGCTTAAACAAACCCAAATTCAAAATAATTAGGGGAATAGTTTCACGGTGATGCATACTATATACTCTTATATGCTTAAATCTCAACATCTATTTACTTCAGTGAAACTTTTGAGCTGAAACAGAGAAAGCTCTGTTTTTTGAAGCTCTGTTTTTAAGAAGCTCTGTTTTTAGGAAGTTCTATTCTTAAGGTTCTGTTTTTATGAAGCTTCTAAGAGAGTGAGAAAAATGTCAAGTGTGTTGAGGTTTTGGGAAAGATTGAAATTAGAGTAAAAATTTTAGCGGGAGAGATGGAGCATGTTTTTGTTAAAGGCGTCACTGCATAATTCTCTCTCACTTTAAAACCTATGAAGCTATTAGGTTTGTACAAGTATTCTAATACCATGATGTTTTCCTTCAACATACCAAAATGAGTTTTAACATCTTGCCCAATGGAATTAGAGAATCCAATATGGTCCTTATGTTTAACTTCTAACGTGCAGGTATCGGTGTAGGCCTCTTAGTTTTACTGGTTGGAAGTTCATGGCCGATATATTGGGGAATAAAGAAACGAAAGTACATCGAACTTAAAGAGAAGTACTTCAAAGAAAATGGCGGCTTACTGTTACAACAACAACTTGCTAGTTATCACGGGGTTGAGAGCGTAGAGACGACCAAGATTTTTACTGCAGAAGAACTAGAGAAGGCCACAGACAATTACCATGAGAGTAGAATTCTTGGTGAAGGGGGTTATGGAATCGTTTACAAAGGAATACTTGCAGATAAAAAAGTGGTTGCCATAAAGAAGTCAAAAGTTGGTGTCCCAACCCAGAAAGAGCAGTTTGTTAATGAGGTGATTGTTCTATCTCAAATCAATCACAGAAATGTAGTGAGGCTTCTGGGTTGCTGTTTAGAGACACCAGCGCCTTTGCTAGTTTATGAATACATCACCAATGGCACTCTTTTTGATTGCATTCATGGTAAAAAAGGCGAAGGGTCCTCACTTGCATGGGAATTACGATTGAAGATTGCAGCTGAAACTGCAGGAGCATTGGCATATTTACACTCCTCTACTTCCACACCAATCATACATCGAGATGTGAAAGCAATGAATATACTGTTAGATGACAATTACACGGCAAAAGTGTCGGATTTTGGTGCTTCGCGCTTAGTTCCTATGGATCAAACTCAAGTAACAACTCTAGTGCAAGGGACACACGGATACTTAGATCCTGAATACTTCCATTCTAACCAACTAACACAAAAGAGTGATGTCTATAGTTTTGGAGTTGTCCTGATGGAGCTACTAACAAGCAAAGTAGCGCTTTCTTTTGCCAGGCCTGAGTCAGAGAGAAACCTAGCAAGCTTATTTGTTTGTTCAATGAAGGAAGATGGCTTGAACCGAATTTTGGACAATACCCTATTCAGTGAAGGAAATATTGAGACCCTAAAAAATGTAGCGAATCTCGCCGAAAGATGTGTCAGTTTAAAAGGGGAGGAAAGACCTACCATGAAAGGGGTAGCCTCAGAGCTAGAGGGGATGAGAATAATGGCAAAGCATCCATGGGAAAGTTCTAATTTCTGTCCTGAAGAGACTGTGCACTTGCTCGGGTCACCTTCAAACACGAATTCTGTGGATGTTAGAGGCGATTGTGGTTCTAGTACTACTGGTGCAACTTATGGGCATGACAGCATGCAAATCCAAATGTTAATGTCATATAATGATGGGAGATAATTAAAACGTGATGCAGTGATGTAAATATTGTAAGAACTATATGAACCAAGGTTAGAATAGAAGTAATGTACATAGATGTATGGCAGGAACTACTATATGTGTGGTGTTTGATTTTTTTCTTTGGTTACTTATAGCTCCAAGAGCGTTTATTCTTGTGAGTAGTAATAATTGTCAAAATCATATGCAAGGCAACCAACTTCACCCTATTGCAAAATGGAACCGAAGAATAAAAAGCATGGCAGGGCCCTAACAACAGAAGGGCTAGGCATATGCCCAGTTAAGCACAACCTTTGAATGAACCAAGATTAAGTAAGAATATTAGAAAGAAAAGTAAAATTATGTTCTAGACACGAGCTACTAAAAATTATGTTCTAGACTTGAGTTCAAAGTCATCTCCTCTGTGTTGATTGTAACAGTGACTCAGCGAGATAAGGGATAGGGAGATCAAATGATAACTCTACAAGTGACAATGTCGGAATTAACCTACAAGCTGAAATCAACCAAAGACATACTAGAGAAATTGAGTAAACCTCAGATATATTGATTAAAAATAAAATAATTAAACTGACAAATACAACGCCAAGAGTTGGCTTAAATAGAAAACAAAAAAACACTAACATCGTAGGAAACCTTAGATTCTAGAATATTCCTAAATTTAGTTAACAAGGAAATAATAAAAATTATAGCTAAAATCATATTAGGAAAATAATATCCTAATACATAACATATTCTTAAAAATATAACATAAAATAATAAAAAATTGACAGACTCATAATTGTTTCAAACTTTTTCAATCAATTAGAAAATCCCAACGATATGCCTTCCATCTTTTCCTAGCGCCATAATTGACATTTAATTGAAATTTTCCTCTCTTGCACGATTTCCTTCCAACTTTGAGCCACTTTATTCTAATTAATTTTTCACGCCATAATTGACCAATATTTCGTCCTACCTCAAATAGAAAAAGGGTGACAACGGAGAAGTCATTTAAATAGGAATAGGAGACAATTAATCAATTTAAAGCATGAGCATGTTATTGTGTGCCACAGTAATACCATGTGACATGCAATGGGGTGTTACAGCTGCACTCAAATTATAGCACCTATTGATTAACAAGTTTATATATTTTAGAATTAATTATTAATTATTAATTATTATATATGTGGCATAATTTAGATAGATTAACAACATAATATCTTGACAAAGAATGAGTAGAAAATTCAATCTGAATGAGGAGCTCGACCTTTTACTTGTTTACAGATGTGATATGAATAGACGTGGATGGGTGTATACAGAAAAATCGAAAGTAAAAACTGAATGATATGAACATGTTCATTGCAAGGTCAACTTAATTTATTCAATGAAGAGTAATTGATTTATTAAGGGTTCGTTTAGCAACACTCATTATATATATATATATATATATATATATATTATAAAGACATTGAGGCATGAAGTGGCAATTTGGGGGAAAACATTGTTTTGCAAGATCAACTGGATTAGTAATATTCTCAAAAACAGACTCAATTATGAAAAGGTGAGTAGTATCTTTTGGGAAGTAGGGAGACAACTTTATATATAGGGTAAACTACAGTAAACTCCCAACCTATAGGGTCATTTATGAGTACATACCCGATTTTGGGGACATTTACGAGTACATACTCAACATCGCGGAAAACCTACAATTTACCCCCTGCGTTAGCCAGATTGTTAGTCAGTCTGTTAAATGCTGACGTGTCAAAAGTGGGACCCCTTTTTTTGATGACGTGGACTTCCACGTGAATTAAAAATTAATAAAAAATAATTTTACTGTTTAAATTATTTTAAAAGATCTCTCTCTCTCTCTCTCTCTCTCTCTCTCTCTCTCTCTCTCTCTCTCTCTTTACCCAACGAATCTAGCTACTCCAGCCACCAAAACAACCACCCAAACTACCACCCATCACCTCTCCTCCCCAACACAGCCCAACCCTCAAATCCCCAACTCCTGTAACTTTAGACTTCGCGAACTTGGTCACGTTTTGAAAAACAATTGGTATGGTTTCAGATTGATAGAAACCATAGATTCGCATCACCTACTTGCTGAAAGCACAAATAGAATTGTAGATCTGTATTGCTTGAATGAAGACACCCGACCGCCCCGACTTTCCCAAATGCCCGACATAGGCCCTGCTCCTTTCCGAGTTGATTTTTTCAAACCAACAAAATTTATTAGACTGATAGATAGATCTAAAACACCAAACTTTACATAAATGGAAATAACGGGGCATACCATGGTCTGGGGCCAAACCGGAGTTGAAACGCGGCTGAGCTTAATTGTTCATGTCCTCAAAGTTCAAGTTGAGGGCTTGAACTACCTTGGCTGGAGCAGAACAATTGGGAAACCTGTAATTTAAACACAACATGTTAAACAAAATAGTTCCAAATTGAAATAGAACGATCCTAATCACAAATAGTTGAGTTTCAGAATCTCAATTTCAAAATGCAAAGAGTTCCCATTAGTACCTGCTTTCTTGCGAGGCTCAGGAGCAAGGTTGGTGTATCTGCGAGGCAAGAACACGCCTGTTACTGGGAGGATTATCGGATCAATGGCGGAGATTTCGTCCTGAAGCGGTCGCACTCGTTCGGATTTGAGCGGAGCTCGGCGTCAGCGGAGAGAATGATGGTGACGGAGCCAGCGACAACGTCATCGTGGCAATACCATAGAGGAAGCTTCTGGAGCAAGCGGTTGTCGCCCTTCGGGTCGTTGATGAAGGCTCGGGTCTTCTCCTTTAAGTCAACGTACAGAGGCGGCGTGAATATGAAATCGTCTTTCTTCCACCGGAAATTCTTCTTCCCACTGACGGAGCCGAGCGTGAGATTCTCCGATGGCAGCGTAAGAGGATCGTCTTAGCGGAGCAAGTCGATGACGAGTCCAATGTTCATGAGATGTTCTGGGTCTGGGTTCTCACAGAGAGAGAGAGAGAGAGAGAGTGTGTGTGTGTGTGTGTGTGTGTGTGTTTTTTTTTATAAAAAAAATAATTTAAAAATAATTTAAACAGTAAAATATTTTTTTATTAATTTTTGGTCCACGTGGAAGTCCAAGTCATAAAAAAAGGGGTCCCACTTTTGACACGTCAGCATTTAACAGTCTGGCTAACGGAGAGGGCAAATTGTAAGTTTTCCGCGACGTTGAGTATGTACTCATAAATGTCTCCAAAATCGGATATGCACTCGTAAATGACTCTATAGATTGGGGGGTTTACTGTAGTTAACCCTTATATATATATATATATATATATATATATATATATATAAAGATAGAAAGTTATGTTGGAAAATTGTTCTCTGGGTTTGATTTGGAGAAGGGTTAGAGAAATTACCTCAAGTCACCATCCTAACTTAATCAAGTCCACTATTTCTAACTTTCTAGAAACCAATCAAGATCGATATATTCTTGTTTAACGCTCATAAAAGTTACAACAACAACAAAAATCCTTTCTTGAAAAAACAAAGTCAACAAATAAAATTTATTTGTTTAATGACTTGGACATTACATGGTATCAAGCAAGAAAAAGACACATGAAGGAGAAATATTATATATTTATTTGACTGAGTATTTACCAAACACAACGACTATCTAAAAAGTTTTAATGGAAAATGAGAAATAGAACCAACGACAACAACCATTTTCTTTTCAATTTTCTATAGATTCCATTGAACCAAAGACATCGAAGATACTTAAATGACGATGTGAAACAATTAATCTATGTTTAAACAAGAGTATGAAAAATTATTGCATGTTATGGTAACACCGTATCCATTTTTTATTATAACTCCACTCAAATTTATAACGCATATATTGACAAAAGAGTTCATACCTTAGAATTTATTATTAATTGTTATACACGAATCATAATTTTATTGGATTAATAACATAATTCTTACAAAGAAAATTATATATATCCCTGCTTGTCATTGTCTTTGCGTTGGCTTATTTGTGGCTGGATGTGACTGCGCTTGTTTCCCCCTTGGCTTATTGACTATAACCACGTGGGAGTTTTCCATTGCATTTACTAAGAGGAAATAATACCCCAACATGGAAAGGAACATTTTTTTGGGTCCAACAAACAAACTTATAAGCTTGTGGACATAGCTTTTTGTTTCTTTTTTGCAATCTTTAATTTATTTCTGATGTGCCCCTCTCAATTAAGTCCCATTTGTTTCAATGACAGGTCCAGCAATGCATGATCATTTTGAGAATGCAGGTGAAAATGTCCCACACATTAGAAAATTAACAAAAAACAAAATGGTTTATAAAAAGTTGGACTACTCCTGTTTATTGCCAATTAATTTTGGAGTGGAACCGCAACTTCCTTCAAGCATAACAAGGTGTAGATGGTGACCCTCGTGTTTGTGGTGGTGGTTACAAGTCTGCATTGAGTATTATTAATTGCTTCCTAGCTACCTCAACATAATAGAGAAGACTCAAACTCCAGATCAATAAGGCAAAATGAGCTTATAAAAGAAGCCCAAATACAAGTGTAGACATGTATGTATGAGTGATTTCTTTCATCTTACTTGGTTGATTTTTATTTTATCACTTGCTCATACTTATGTAACTACCAACTGGTACTTTTTTAAACAAAGAAGATTCTATATATATGTACTTACTTACTATCAATTTGTTTCTTGCATGATTTAATATAGTGAAGTCACCATCGTGGCTTGCCCTAGTGACAATACAAGGACTATCTAGAACGTTTAAATAGTGCATATATATATATATATATATATAATTCACATATTTCTTATTAAACAAAAATCCACTCGTCTAGTTGCGAGATCGTAAACTCGATAATAAATCAGGAGTAAGAATTCATAGGATAGAATGCCAGATCATAATTAATTATTTATTATTATATTAACCCTGCTTGTCATTGACTTTGCTGGTGGATGTGACTGCGCTTATTTACCATATATAAAAAAAGACTTTGCCCCTTGGCTTGTTGACTAGAATCAAGTGGGATTATTCATCAATAAAAAGTGGGGCTCATTTTCAATTGCATTTTGCTAAGAGGAAAATAATAGATACTATTAGAAGACTCTGCCCATTTCACTTGCCTATTGACAAATAAAAAAGACAGATGATAACCATAGGTAGAGGAAGACGTTTCCCCTAACCCTATGAGACCCTCTATCTATAAAAGGCCATGCAGGGTACCACTTACTTTTATCACAAACAATACAAATATTTGTGCGAGAAAGAATTATTGAGTGGTGCATATACAAATATTTGTGCCATGGCCTTACATGAGAGGATGCTTAGAGCACTTCCAGCAATTTGAATGCAAGGATTATCTAGAACGTTAATTAAATGGGAAATAAAATGGGACGAGACCAACTACAACCACCATTTTCTTTTCAAATTGCAAAAATCTCTGTAGATTCCAAGTAAACCGAAAATAGAGAGGGCATTTAAATGAGAAAATGAAACAATTAATCTAGCTTTAAGCATATGGATGAAAAATCATTATGTGTCACGGGAACACAATGCACCATGCTGTAACACCCCGACTCCAATTTATCCCCTGTTCTAATTAATTTGAGCGAAATTAAGAATTTACCCGTGGGATAGGGGTATTTAGTCATTTTTTTACCCGGAAGGAATTTGGGAATTCCGGATGTACCGTTGCGTAGAGCACGGCGAGATGAGTTCGTAGGCATATAGTGGGCTCGAATCGGACTTGTAACGAGAGAGATATGACCAAATGAAGCTCAGTGGCATAATCGTAAATATTTTGAAGTGGGATTTTGGTTAAAAGACGGAATTGCCCCCGTCTCTCACACACTCTCTCTCTCCCGCGCGTCCCTCTCTCTCTCTCTCCTCTGGTTCGCGACTGCGGAAACAGCTGGCCACGTTTTGGCCGGCCGTGCTCTTGTCCGGCCACCAAAGTCGACGGGGCCGGTACCAAAATGACCGGGCCGCCGTCCTCTTCCTACCCCCGGCCAGGTCCCGCCGCCAGCCGCCGTGATTTCCCCGGAAAACGAGGAGAAAAGCTCGGTTTCGCCCGAAACTTCGCCGGCTTCGTTCTCCATCTTCCGGCCGCCATTTTTGGCGATCAAGGTATGGAAATTCATCCCTTCTACATGATCTAGCTGATGGTTGGGTAGGATTGCATCAATTTGTAGCCTAGATTATCTGATTTTCGAGTTAGGGTTCGGCCGATTTCGGGATCGCGATTCCGGCCACTTCCGGTCAGTTTTTGGGGTATGCCCAAGAACAAAAGTGACTCCAAATAGGGTGTTTTACCTAGGGTAGGAGTCTTGAGCCGTGATTTGTGGTTTTTGCATTCTCAAAATGATCATGCATTGCTGGACCTGTCATTGAAACAAATGGGACTTAATTGAGAGGGGCACATCAGAAATAAATTAAAGATTGCAAAAAAGAAACAAAAAGCTATGTCCACAAGCTTATAAGTTTGTTTGTTGGACCCAAAAAAATGTTCCTTTCCATGTTGGGGTATTATTTCCTCTTAGTAAATGCAATGGAAAAGTCCCACGTGGTTATAGTCAATAAGCCAAGGGGGAAACAAGCGCAGTCACATCCAGCCACAAATAAGCCAACGCAAAGACAATGACAAGCAGGGATATATATAATTTTCTTTGTAAGAATTATGTTATTAATCCAATAAAATTATGATTCGTGTATAACAATTAATAATAAATTCTAAGGTATGAACTCTTTTGTCAATATATGCGTTATAAATTTGAGTGGAGTTATAATAAAAAATGGATACGGTGTTACCATAACATGCAATAATTTTTCATACTCTTGTTTAAACATAGATTAATTGTTTCACATCGTCATTTAAGTATCTTCGATGTCTTTGGTTCAATGGAATCTATAGAAAATTGAAAAGAAAATGGTTGTTGTCGTTGGTTCTATTTCTCATTTTCCATTAAAACTTTTTAGATAGTCGTTGTGTTTGGTAAATACTCAGTCAAATAAATATATAATATTTCTCCTTCATGTGTCTTTTTCTTGCTTGATACCATGTAATGTCCAAGTCATTAAACAAATAAATTTTATTTGTTGACTTTGTTTTTTCAAGAAAGGATTTTTGTTGTTGTTGTAACTTTTATGAGCGTTAAACAAGAATATATCGATCTTGATTGGTTTCTAGAAAGTTAGAAATAGTGGACTTGATTAAGTTAGGATGGTGACTTGAGGTAATTTCTCTAACCCTTCTCCAAATCAAACCCAGAGAACAATTTTCCAACATAACTTTCTATCTTTATATATATATATATATATATATATATATATATATATATATAAGGGTTAACTACAGTAAACCCCCCAATCTATAGAGTCATTTACGAGTGCATATCCGATTTGGAGACATTTATGAGTACATACTCAACGTCGCGGAAAACTTACAATTTGCCCTCTCCGTTAGCCAGACTGTTAAATGCTGACGTGTCAAAAGTGGGACCCCTTTTTTTATGACTTGGACTTCCACGTGGACCAAAAATTAATAAAAAAATATTTTACTGTTTAAATTATTTTTAAATTATTTTTTTATAAAAAAAAACACACACACACACACACTCTCTCTCTCTCTCTCTCTCTGTGAGAACCCAGACCCAGAACATCTCATGAACATTGGACTCGTCATCGACTTGCTCCGCTAAGACGATCCTCTTACGCTGCCATCGGAGAATCTCACGCTCGGCTCCGTCAGTGGGAAGAAGAATTTCCGGTGGAAGAAAGACGATTTCATATTCACGCCGCCTCTGTACGTTGACTTAAAGGAGAAGACCCGAGCCTTCATCAACGACCCGAAGGGCGACAACCGCTTGCTCCAGAAGCTTCCTCTATGGTATTGCCACGATGACGTTGTCGCTGGCTCCGTCACCATCATTCTCTCCGCTGACGCCGAGCTCCGCTCAAATCCGAACGAGTGCGACCGCTTCAGGACGAAATCTCCGCCATTGATCCGATAATCCTCCCAGTAACAGGCGTGTTCTTGCCTCGCAGATACACCAACCTTGCTCCTGAGCCTCGCAAGAAAGCAGGTACTAATGGGAACTCTTTGCATTTTGAAATTGAGATTCTGAAACTCAACTATTTGTGATTAGGATCGTTCTGTTTCAATTTGGAACTATTTTGTTTAACATGTTGTGTTTAAATTACAGGTTTCCCAATTGTTCTGCTCCAGCCAAGGTAGTTCAAGCCCTCAACTTGAACTTTGAGGACATGAACAATTAAGCTCAGCCGCGTTTCAACTCCGGTTTGGCCCCAGACCATGGGTATGCCCCGTTATTTCCATTTATGTAAAGTTTGGTGTTTTAGATCTATCTATCAGTCTAATAAATTTTGTTGGTTTGAAAAAATCAACTCGGAAAGGAGCAGGGCCTATGTCGGGCATTTGGGAAAGTCGGGGCGGTCGGGTGTCTTCATTCAAGCAATACAGATCTACAATTCTATTTGTGCTTTCAGCAAGTAGGTGATGCGAATCTATGGTTTCTATCAATCTGAAACCATACCAATTGTTTTTCAAAACGTGACCAAGTTCGCGAAGTCTAAAGTTACAGGAGTTGGGGATTTGAGGGTTGGGCTGTGTTGGGGAGGAGAGGTGATGGGTGGTAGTTTGGGTGGTTGTTTTGGTGGCTGGAGTAGCTAGATTCGTTGGGTAAAGAGAGAGAGAGAGAGAGAGAGAGAGAGAGAGAGAGAGAGAGAGAGAGAGAGAGAGAGAGAGAGAGAGAGAGAGAGAGAGAGAGAGAGAGAGAGAGAGAGAGAGAGAGAGAGAAATAATTTAAACAGTAAAATTATTTTTTATTAATTTTTAATTCACGTGGAAGTCCACGTCATCAAAAAAAGGGGTCCCACTTTTGACACGTCAGCATTTAACAGACTGACTAACAATCTGGCTAACGCAGGGGGTAAATTGTAGGTTTTCCGCGATGTTGAGTATGTACTCGTAAATGTCCCCAAAATCGGGTATGTACTCATAAATGACCCTATAGGTTGGGAGTTTACTGTAGTTTACCCTATATATAAAGTTGTCTCCCTACTTCCCAAAAGATACTACTCACCTTTTCATAATTGAGTCTGTTTTTGAGAATATTACTAATCCAGTTGATCTTGCAAAACAATGTTTTCCCCCAAATTGCCACTTCATGCCTCAATGTCTTTATAATATATATATATATATATATATATATATAATGAGTGTTGCTAAACGAACCCTTAATAAATCAATTACTCTTCATTGAATAAATTAAGTTGACCTTGCAATGAACATGTTCATATCATTCAGTTTTTACTTTCGATTTTTCTGTATACACCCATCCACGTCTATTCATATCACATCTGTAAACAAGTAAAAGGTCGAGCTCCTCATTCAGATTGAATTTTCTACTCATTCTTTGTCAAGATATTATGTTGTTAATCTATCTAAATTATGCCACATATATAATAATTAATAATTAATAATTAATTCTAAAATATATAAACTTGTTAATCAATAGGTGCTATAATTTGAGTGCAGCTGTAACACCCCATTGCATGTCACATGGTATTACTGTGGCACACAATAACATGCTCATGCTTTAAATTGATTAATTGTCTCCTATTCCTATTTAAATGACTTCTCCGTTGTCACCCTTTTTCTATTTGAGGTAGGACGAAATATTGGTCAATTATGGCGTGAAAAATTAATTAGAATAAAGTGGCTCAAAGTTGGAAGGAAATCGTGCAAGAGAGGAAAATTTCAATTAAATGTCAATTATGGCGCTAGGAAAAGATGGAAGGCATATCGTTGGGATTTTCTAATTGATTGAAAAAGTTTGAAACAATTATGAGTCTGTCAATTTTTTATTATTTTATGTTATATTTTTAAGAATATGTTATGTATTAGGATATTATTTTCCTAATATGATTTTAGCTATAATTTTTATTATTTCCTTGTTAACTAAATTTAGGAATATTCTAGAATCTAAGGTTTCCTACGATGTTAGTGTTTTTTGTTTTCTATTTAAGCCAACTCTTGGCGTTGTATTTGTCAGTTTAATTATTTTATTTTTAATCAATATATCTGAGGTTTACTCAATTTCTCTAGTATGTCTTTGGTTGATTTCAGCTTGTAGGTTAATTCCGACATTGTCACTTGTAGAGTTATCATTTGATCTCCCTATCCCTTATCTCGCTGAGTCACTGTTACAATCAACACAGAGGAGATGACTTTGAACTCAAGTCTAGAACATAATTTTTAGTAGCTCGTGTCTAGAACATAATTTTACTTTTCTTTCTAATATTCTTACTTAATCTTGGTTCATTCAAAGGTTGTGCTTAACTGGGCATATGCCTAGCCCTTCTGTTGTTAGGGCCCTGCCATGCTTTTTATTCTTCGGTTCCATTTTGCAATAGGGTGAAGTTGGTTGCCTTGCATATGATTTGACAATTATTACTACTCACAAGAATAAACGCTCTTGGAGCTATAAGTAACCAAAGAAAAAAATCAAACACCACACATATAGTAGTTCCTGCCATACATCTATGTACATTACTTCTATTCTAACCTTGGTTCATATAGTTCTTACAATATTTACATCACTGCATCACGTTTTAATTATCTCCCATCATTATATGACATTAACATTTGGATTTGCATGCTGTCATGCCCATAAGTTGCACCAGTAGTACTAGAACCACAATCGCCTCTAACATCCACAGAATTCGTGTTTGAAGGTGACCCGAGCAAGTGCACAGTCTCTTCAGGACAGAAATTAGAACTTTCCCATGGATGCTTTGCCATTATTCTCATCCCCTCTAGCTCTGAGGCTACCCCTTTCATGGTAGGTCTTTCCTCCCCTTTTAAACTGACACATCTTTCGGCGAGATTCGCTACATTTTTTAGGGTCTCAATATTTCCTTCACTGAATAGGGTATTGTCCAAAATTCGGTTCAAGCCATCTTCCTTCATTGAACAAACAAATAAGCTTGCTAGGTTTCTCTCTGACTCAGGCCTGGCAAAAGAAAGCGCTACTTTGCTTGTTAGTAGCTCCATCAGGACAACTCCAAAACTATAGACATCACTCTTTTGTGTTAGTTGGTTAGAATGGAAGTATTCAGGATCTAAGTATCCGTGTGTCCCTTGCACTAGAGTTGTTACTTGAGTTTGATCCATAGGAACTAAGCGCGAAGCACCAAAATCCGACACTTTTGCCGTGTAATTGTCATCTAACAGTATATTCATTGCTTTCACATCTCGATGTATGATTGGTGTGGAAGTAGAGGAGTGTAAATATGCCAATGCTCCTGCAGTTTCAGCTGCAATCTTCAATCGTAATTCCCATGCAAGTGAGGACCCTTCGCCTTTTTTACCATGAATGCAATCAAAAAGAGTGCCATTGGTGATGTATTCATAAACTAGCAAAGGCGCTGGTGTCTCTAAACAGCAACCCAGAAGCCTCACTACATTTCTGTGATTGATTTGAGATAGAACAATCACCTCATTAACAAACTGCTCTTTCTGGGTTGGGACACCAACTTTTGACTTCTTTATGGCAACCACTTTTTTATCTGCAAGTATTCCTTTGTAAACGATTCCATAACCCCCTTCACCAAGAATTCTACTCTCATGGTAATTGTCTGTGGCCTTCTCTAGTTCTTCTGCAGTAAAAATCTTGGTCGTCTCTACGCTCTCAACCCCGTGATAACTAGCAAGTTGTTGTTGTAACAGTAAGCCGCCATTTTCTTTGAAGTACTTCTCTTTAAGTTCGATGTACTTTCGTTTCTTTATTCCCCAATATATCGGCCATGAACTTCCAACCAGTAAAACTAAGAGGCCTACACCGATACCTGCACGTTAGAAGTTAAACATAAGGACCATATTGGATTCTCTAATTCCATTGGGCAAGATGTTAAAACTCATTTTGGTATGTTGAAGGAAAACATCATGGTATTAGAATACTTGTACAAACCTAATAGCTTCATAGGTTTTAAAGTGAGAGAGAATTATGCAGTGACGCCTTTAACAAAAACATGCTCCATCTCTCCCGCTAAAATTTTTACTCTAATTTCAATCTTTCCCAAAACCTCAACACACTTGACATTTTTCTCACTCTCTTAGAAGCTTCATAAAAACAGAACCTTAAGAATAGAACTTCCTAAAAACAGAGCTTCTTAAAACAGAGCTTCAAAAACAGAGCTTTCTCTGTTTCAGCTCAAAAGTTTCACTGAAGTAAATAGATGTTGAGATTTAAGCATATAAGAGTATATAGTATGCATCACCGTGAAACTATTCCCCTAATTATTTTGAATTTGGGTTTGTTTAAGCTTTAATTTTAAAGATCTAAAGGAGCAAGAAAACATACTCATTGAAAGAATAAGCAGAAGACTACGGTTCTTTGATTGAATGGGATTCTCTTTGGTGCAACCGGTTCCATTTTTCATGCCATCGCCTTTGTACCCTTGTGGACATCCACAGGTATAATTTCCAGGTACATTTATGCACGTCCCACTGCAGGGGCTCGTGATCATGCACTCATCAATATCTGGTAAGAACAGAAAGCATTTACATAATACATTACAACCCAACACATACTTATGCATCTTTAAATTCCTTGTTACGTTTTTACATGTGTGTGCGTGCGTGCTGGCATGTCTTTAAACAAATTTAAAGTGTTTCTAACCTTCGCAGCCATCTGGAAGATATGGGTTGCCATGGTAGCCCTGCAAGCACTGACAAATGTAACCCAGCAGAGCGACCGACCAGGTTGACACACTTGCTATTTGCTTTACATGCAAAATCCTTCCTCTTTTGAGCCGTATTACATGGATCTGGATCCTCCCCAATTGCCCAATTAAGAACCGCTGGAAGTTCTGTTATGCTCTCCAGTTGTTGAAAACTTGAATTGGAGAATTTGAACTGTGTTTCTTCCACAAGGAAAGCGTAACTGCAGTTGGTCAAGTCCCCTACTATTTTGGTATGATTGTAAGTGCTAGACAATGTCACAGTTAGATTTTGCAGCCCACTGGGGATGTTAGTTTGGCAGCACCCATTTCCGGAGCAAGAGTCCTGATATTCAATGCTGTCAAGGCTATCACATAAGGACATACACCCGGCCACGTAACTTTCTTGGTCATTTGGGAAAGCGTGGTAGCCTTGGAAAATAGCAATGGTGTCGCAGCCAACTGCGAAGAACTTGTTTTTGGCATGAGAGATGGCGAAAGGAGGCACTGAAAACCAAGGGTCGTTCTTGTCGGTTTGGTTGCCCTGCTTGTTATAACAATCTTTGGCTACAAACTGCAATATTTGCAGCTCAGCCTCTTCAAGTGAGATATTAGAAACAATGAGACCTCCCCATATGGTACTATTTGGGGTTTTCCTGGATTCATCACGAGTACAATTGATAAAAAGGAAGAGTTCAGGTAACAATTTTCTTTAACCCCAAATGGGTATGGAATTGTGAGATCACCACAGTTGTCAGGGCAGTTGGGGAGGGCTAATTGAGGTCCTCCTGTTGCTGGAGCTGCTTGTGCAATTAGCAATGAGAGTGGCATAAGCACCCCAAGTAAGCAGTAGTGTAAGGCCATTTTGTGTAATGTGTATCGTTTTGTTTGGGATACTTGGGAGTAAAGAATGTGGTAACTAGGAGACTCACCTATCTTTTGCCTTTATAGGCGAAGTAGCCGTAGTGAAGAGACTTGTCAAATGAGAAAATTTGAAGTGTAACGGGTAATACAATCGGTGACAGGTAAGCTTTTCTTCAGTGAAGAAGTGAAAATTACAGAGAAAAGGTTGATTCTTACATTTGTTAATGTTTCTTGTTTCTAGACTTGCTGAGTCTAAGTCCACGGTGGGACTGGAGGGACCTCAGGTCTTTGTCTATTAATTGGGACCTAAATAATTGCATGGTAATTAATAGTCATGGCGTGCAAACAAGACTAAGTCCATATGTCCTTTGTTTAAGCACCACCACATACATGAGAGTCTCACCATTTATGGGTACAAGCCTAAACCTTGTCATCCTCAGACCATTTCAGACTTAATTAAGAGGGGAAAATCTCAAATCAGAAATAAACATTACAAAAAAGAAACAAATATTTTATATTATATTATTCCGACATGCTATATAAATGGTCACCAGCAACAAGTCAATTGGTTAAGTCTTCGCCAGAGACTACCTGCAGTCGTAGTTAGTTCCTACCGATCGTATTTGGGGGCTTCAACACTATGCAGTATTTGGGCTTCACGAGCAACAAGAATTAATCTTGTTGGCAAGTCCTTCGCCAGAGACTACCTGCAGTCGTTGTTAGTTCCTACCGATCGTATTTGGGGGCTTCAACACTATGCGGTATTTGGGCTTCACGAGCAACAAGAATTAATCTTGTTGGCAAGTCCTTCGTGATGTGACGATTTTTGGAGCTCGATGGTTGAGGCATGTTGGAGCGGAAAATTTCGGCTCCTCTAACAAGTGATTTTGTATTCCTTGTTGAGAAGTTGAACACCATCTTCAATTGTCACCATTGAGTGAGAAGGGGGTACTTGCAAGAAAACACTCTGACACTCAAATAAGTGTTTTTCATGAATATTGCAGTAGAATCAATCATACCTCTCCCCTCTTACGCTAGGAAATTAATAGGCCTTTTATAGGCACTGAACCCTTAAACTCCAAGTCTCATATTCCATATTTATCTCCATATTCTATGGTAGTGGATATCATGTTATTTGATTCCCTCCACTTCCTCAAATTTAGGGTTCATGCGAAGTGGCTTGTCACTTGGGCCTTAATTTTTGCTCCCACAGATGCCCCATTTTCTCTCTCTAGAAACGTGTCTAGTTTAACATCCCGACCCAAATAAAAATTATTCGTTAATCTAATTAATTTAATTAATTATGAAATTCCAATTTTGTCCTCGGGAGTAGGGATAATTTGGTCAATTTTTAATTCGGAAAGATTTTGGGGAAACGATTGGTACTTTTACGTAGATGATACCAAGATCAGTCCGTAGACATGTAGTGAGCTCGAATCGGAGTTGTAACGAAGAAGTTACGATCAAAATAGGCTCAGTGGCAAAATCATAATTATTTCGAAAATGTTTTTTAAATATCTGAAAAAAAAACACACACACACACACACACACACTCTCTCTCTATCTCTCTCCCCCTCCCGTGCGACCCCCCCCCCGGTGGTCAAAACAGCAATGGCGGTTTTTCCACCGCCACCGGCACCACACACCGCCATTTTTGGAGGCACTGGTTCCAAAAGAACTGGCTTCTCTCCCTCTACCAACCCCACCCTTCAGCTGCCACGATCCGCCGTTGTCATGGTCGAAAACTGCAGAAAAACGGTATGTTTTTATGTAAAAACTCACGGAGCTCGTTCGGACATCTCCGGCCACCATTTCCTTCGAACTTGGTATGCTTTCTCATCCTCTCAATGTGTTCTAGCTGCTGGTTGTGTTATTTAGGATCAATTTCTGCGTTTTGGTGGCTAAATAAGCAATTGAAGTTTGGCAAGTTTTCGGCCCTCGATTCCAGCCACTTTTTGGGGTAGGTCCAAGAACAAAAGTTGCTCCACTCAATGTCCTGATCATATAGGTATACATCTTGACCAGCGGTTTGGAGATTTTCTGATAGCTGGAGTCGCTTTGGACACCCACTCGCTGCTGGTGCGTGGGCACTGTTTTGGTGTCCCTCTTGGTCCTAAAATATTCCTCATGTCGTCCGTGAGTCGGAGCCCCAGATGTTCCGATTCAATAACTTAAAGTTTGCGTTAAACGATACCCGTCCGATCGTGCTACTGCGAGCGATCTAACCGTTCGATTCTGACCAAACTTGCAGGATGTGTATTCTAAACCTTGTGGAACCCTTAGGAACTGCCGGATCGGAAATCGGAGGTCGTGGGCCCGGTTGACACAATTTGGAAAGTTTGACTGCCCGATTAACCGAGCATTTTCCGAGGCTATCTCTTCATCTGAAACACATAGTTGGACTTTATGAATGTCTCGTTCCTCGTGCAAGCACGTGAAACCTGGGAAACTAGGTTTTTTAATTTAAAGTCCTCATTTGAAGCACTTTTGTTAATCTCGTGCTCGTATTCTAAAATAGGTACTCCGACCATGCGTACGCAGCAGGCGAGACCCTCTTAAGGTCAGGCAATGTGGAACTACTTGTGAGTGGACGTTGTTTTCAAATAATAAGCATTGTTTTATGATGGAAAACTACACATGATGATTTAATGAGTTTGTTATTTTATTAATTGTTGAACTTGATATTTCTATATATTTTCTAAATATATTTGGGTTTTGGCATATTGCAAGTATCTTGAGTTGATATATAATATTTTCGAGAATTGCTATCTATGTTTAGTTATGTGTGGCGTACGTGGGGTGTTGATGTGAGATTATGGAAAGAGTGTGGGTTTTAGTATGTCAGTTGAAGTGCTATACGCGTTACCCTATGTACCTCCCCTGTTACGGATATTATGGAATGGAATTGGATTATTGAGATACTTGGATATATTGGAACCCGGACACCCTTGATGGGGTGTTTCGTAGACCCTTAGCCAATTAGTCTGCGCCCATAGGACTTGTCACAGGTGTACGAGTATTGAGGGTTTCTACTATACATGTTGGAAGAGTTAGTCCCCGGTTGGACGTCTCGTTCCCTAGCCACATGGTCAATTGAGGATTCTTCCATGTGGACTAGTCAAACAATCCTCCGGTTGGACTGTTTCCCCGATACAAACTAGGTGATGTCATACTTCTATATTTATTTATATATTTATATATTTCATATTATTTACTTATATAATTCGTTCATTATTATTTATCGGTGAGGATACTTCCTCGCCCACCTTGCCAACGGGCATGCATCTCAAGAGAATGGTTCAGGTATTTTAAAAAGTTTGATTGGGTTGAGAAACAAAGTACCTTTATGGGATTTTGGATTTCGTTATGGTTTTGACCAAATTATATATATATATATATATATCCTTGATGGTTTGATTGCATATGTTTTCGGCATCGTTTTCTAAACGATTGGGTTATATTATGTTGATTTCAACTGTGAACTAAACTTTGTTTTTGTCCACTCACACTTTTCTGTTTTGCGCCCCCAGCCAGTAGTTGACTAAACTAAGTAGCAGAGCCAGGTGGCGAGCTTCCGAATCCCAAGCTTTCGTAGGACACTTTTATTCTTTTCTCTCTGTTGAACTTCCTTTTCTTTTGTAAACTAAATTCTTAGATTGCTCTGTTATCGCTCGTACTAGGGTTTGATTTGTAAGGCTAGAGGCCTTTGTTGTAAACTGGTTAATTGTTTTTTGAAGCATGCTGCATGTTGGGATATAAACTGTGTTTTTAACAAGTTGAAAATTTGGGAAACGTCCAATTTTCAGGGGAGACTCTGTCGAAATTTCAGCAGAAAGTCTCGGTCTTTAGTAAGTGGGTCCGGCATCGGTAAGATGCCGGAACTTTCAAGGATTCATCCCGGATTCCTAGGAATCCGGGGGAGGGGGGGTGGTTCTAGGGTGTAGAGAGAGAAAATATTCTTTGTGGGAAGAACACTTCGATCTTGAGCATGTGAAATTTCATGGATATGGTGGCCTTCGGCAATGAGTATGGTCTTCAACCTTAAGCTTGATCGTCTTTGGATTTGGCCTTAGGCCAAGAGTTTGGTCTTTGACCATGATTTTAAGCCTGGCCTTTGACCACAAATATGGTCTTCTACCATTATTTTGAATTTTGCCTTCGATATGGATTTGGCATTCGACCTTAACTATGGTCTTCCACCAAGTTTTGTCTTCGACATGAATTTGGCCTTCAGTTACAAACATGGTTGTTGAAATAAAAAAATTCATTGACACCAAATTAAATGCTAGCCCAAGTTTAAAGAAGTTGGGCTCATAGCTAAATGGTTTTGTGGACTTGTTGGTAAATTGGTTTAGGCCCAAATGAATTAATATTGATATTTTTACAAGGAAATATTAATATATATTGAAAGCAGAAACAGTTTCATGTACGTGAAGTGTGGAGTTGAGGGGGTGACTGTAATGGGAAGTTACTCCCACCCACACAGTACGTGAGGCCTTAACTGATCCCACTCTGTCAGTTCCTCTGGGTCTATAAAAAGGGACCAAAGGAGGCAAGGAAGGGGGAAGGAGGAAAAGACACCGAACTGCTGCAGAAATCAAAGAATAGAAGCAAGCAAAAGAGATACGAAGCTCTGTCACAATACCATTGAGAAGGTATAAACAAATTCATCTGAGTATCCTTTTTTGTACAACTGACTTGCAGGCAAAAAAAATATATGTATGTGAGGCCATTGTACAGAAGCCTGAACTTCCTCCATGTTTGATATCAAGAAGTGTATCATATCAACAGAGACCTCAGCAGTGGAAAAATGTGAACAAATCCTCCCAAATTGGCAATAATTGTGCCACTTACACAAAGAGAGCTCTCACAAGGACCTCTCTGTTGTGAATTACAGATGGGCTTCTGCAAGAACCCCACTGTACTAAGTGCTGTGATCACCTTGAGAGTGTCCATAGGCACATTGTGGTACTCAAAGAAGACCTTGCGAGTGTTCTTGAGTACCAAAAACAGAAAACACAAAATCCCAACTGCTTTGTGCCCAACCCACCTTCAGCACAACGAAATCCCAACACAGCCCAACCCTCAAATCCCCAACTCCTGTAACTTTAGACTTCGCGAACTTGGTCACGTTTTGAAAAACAATTGGTATGGTTTCAGATTGATAGAAACCATAGATTCGCATCACCTACTTGCTGAAAGCACAAATAGAATTGTAGATCTGTATTGCTTGAATGAAGACACCCGACCGCCCCGACTTTCCCAAATGCCCGACATAGGCCCTGCTCCTTTCCGAGTTGATTTTTTCAAACCAACAAAATTTATTAGACTGATAGATAGATCTAAAACACCAAACTTTACATAAATGGAAATAACGGGGCATACCATGGTCTGGGGCCAAACCGGAGTTGAAACGCGGCTGAGCTTAATTGTTCATGTCCTCAAAGTTCAAGTTGAGGGCTTGAACTACCTTGGCTGGAGCAGAACAATTGGGAAACCTGTAATTTAAACACAACATGTTAAACAAAATAGTTCCAAATTGAAATAGAACGATCCTAATCACAAATAGTTGAGTTTCAGAATCTCAATTTCAAAATGCAAAGAGTTCCCATTAGTACCTGCTTTCTTGCGAGGCTCAGGAGCAAGGTTGGTGTATCTGCGAGGCAAGAACACGCCTGTTACTGGGAGGATTATCGGATCAATGGCGGAGATTTCGTCCTGAAGCGGTCGCACTCGTTCGGATTTGAGCGGAGCTCGGCGTCAGCGGAGAGAATGATGGTGACGGAGCCAGCGACAACGTCATCGTGGCAATACCATAGAGGAAGCTTCTGGAGCAAGCGGTTGTCGCCCTTCGGGTCGTTGATGAAGGCTCGGGTCTTCTCCTTTAAGTCAACGTACAGAGGCGGCGTGAATATGAAATCGTCTTTCTTCCACCGGAAATTCTTCTTCCCACTGACGGAGCCGAGCGTGAGATTCTCCGATGGCAGCGTAAGAGGATCGTCTTAGCGGAGCAAGTCGATGACGAGTCCAATGTTCATGAGATGTTCTGGGTCTGGGTTCTCACAGAGAGAGAGAGAGAGAGAGAGAGTGTGTGTGTGTGTGTGTGTGTGTGTGTTTTTTTTTATAAAAAAAATAATTTAAAAATAATTTAAACAGTAAAATATTTTTTTATTAATTTTTGGTCCACGTGGAAGTCCAAGTCATAAAAAAAGGGGTCCCACTTTTGACACGTCAGCATTTAACAGTCTGGCTAACGGAGAGGGCAAATTGTAAGTTTTCCGCGACGTTGAGTATGTACTCATAAATGTCTCCAAAATCGGATATGCACTCGTAAATGACTCTATAGATTGGGGGGTTTACTGTAGTTAACCCTTATATATATATATATATATATATATATATATATATAAAGATAGAAAGTTATGTTGGAAAATTGTTCTCTGGGTTTGATTTGGAGAAGGGTTAGAGAAATTACCTCAAGTCACCATCCTAACTTAATCAAGTCCACTATTTCTAACTTTCTAGAAACCAATCAAGATCGATATATTCTTGTTTAACGCTCATAAAAGTTACAACAACAACAAAAATCCTTTCTTGAAAAAACAAAGTCAACAAATAAAATTTATTTGTTTAATGACTTGGACATTACATGGTATCAAGCAAGAAAAAGACACATGAAGGAGAAATATTATATATTTATTTGACTGAGTATTTACCAAACACAACGACTATCTAAAAAGTTTTAATGGAAAATGAGAAATAGAACCAACGACAACAACCATTTTCTTTTCAATTTTCTATAGATTCCATTGAACCAAAGACATCGAAGATACTTAAATGACGATGTGAAACAATTAATCTATGTTTAAACAAGAGTATGAAAAATTATTGCATGTTATGGTAACACCGTATCCATTTTTTATTATAACTCCACTCAAATTTATAACGCATATATTGACAAAAGAGTTCATACCTTAGAATTTATTATTAATTGTTATACACGAATCATAATTTTATTGGATTAATAACATAATTCTTACAAAGAAAATTATATATATCCCTGCTTGTCATTGTCTTTGCGTTGGCTTATTTGTGGCTGGATGTGACTGCGCTTGTTTCCCCCTTGGCTTATTGACTATAACCACGTGGGAGTTTTCCATTGCATTTACTAAGAGGAAATAATACCCCAACATGGAAAGGAACATTTTTTTGGGTCCAACAAACAAACTTATAAGCTTGTGGACATAGCTTTTTGTTTCTTTTTTGCAATCTTTAATTTATTTCTGATGTGCCCCTCTCAATTAAGTCCCATTTGTTTCAATGACAGGTCCAGCAATGCATGATCATTTTGAGAATGCAGGTGAAAATGTCCCACACATTAGAAAATTAACAAAAAACAAAATGGTTTATAAAAAGTTGGACTACTCCTGTTTATTGCCAATTAATTTTGGAGTGGAACCGCAACTTCCTTCAAGCATAACAAGGTGTAGATGGTGACCCTCGTGTTTGTGGTGGTGGTTACAAGTCTGCATTGAGTATTATTAATTGCTTCCTAGCTACCTCAACATAATAGAGAAGACTCAAACTCCAGATCAATAAGGCAAAATGAGCTTATAAAAGAAGCCCAAATACAAGTGTAGACATGTATGTATGAGTGATTTCTTTCATCTTACTTGGTTGATTTTTATTTTATCACTTGCTCATACTTATGTAACTACCAACTGGTACTTTTTTAAACAAAGAAGATTCTATATATATGTACTTACTTACTATCAATTTGTTTCTTGCATGATTTAATATAGTGAAGTCACCATCGTGGCTTGCCCTAGTGACAATACAAGGACTATCTAGAACGTTTAAATAGTGCATATATATATATATATATATATATAATTCACATATTTCTTATTAAACAAAAATCCACTCGTCTAGTTGCGAGATCGTAAACTCGATAATAAATCAGGAGTAAGAATTCATAGGATAGAATGCCAGATCATAATTAATTATTTATTATTATATTAACCCTGCTTGTCATTGACTTTGCTGGTGGATGTGACTGCGCTTATTTACCATATATAAAAAAAGACTTTGCCCCTTGGCTTGTTGACTAGAATCAAGTGGGATTATTCATCAATAAAAAGTGGGGCTCATTTTCAATTGCATTTTGCTAAGAGGAAAATAATAGATACTATTAGAAGACTCTGCCCATTTCACTTGCCTATTGACAAATAAAAAAGACAGATGATAACCATAGGTAGAGGAAGACGTTTCCCCTAACCCTATGAGACCCTCTATCTATAAAAGGCCATGCAGGGTACCACTTACTTTTATCACAAACAATACAAATATTTGTGCGAGAAAGAATTATTGAGTGGTGCATATACAAATATTTGTGCCATGGCCTTACATGAGAGGATGCTTAGAGCACTTCCAGCAATTTGAATGCAAGGATTATCTAGAACGTTAATTAAATGGGAAATAAAATGGGACGAGACCAACTACAACCACCATTTTCTTTTCAAATTGCAAAAATCTCTGTAGATTCCAAGTAAACCGAAAATAGAGAGGGCATTTAAATGAGAAAATGAAACAATTAATCTAGCTTTAAGCATATGGATGAAAAATCATTATGTGTCACGGGAACACAATGCACCATGCTGTAACACCCCGACTCCAATTTATCCCCTGTTCTAATTAATTTGAGCGAAATTAAGAATTTACCCGTGGGATAGGGGTATTTTAGTCATTTTTTTACCCGGAAGGAATTTGGGAATTCCGGATGTACCGTTGCGTAGAGCACGGCGAGATGAGTTCGTAGGCATATAGTGGGCTCGAATCGGACTTGTAACAGAGAGATATGACCAAATGAAGCTCAGTGGCATAATCGTAAATATTTTGAAGTGGGATTTTGGTTAAAAGACGGAATTGCCCCCGTCTCTCACACACTCTCTCTCTCCCGCGCGTCCCTCTCTCTCTCTCCTCTGGTTCGCGACTGCGGAAACAGCTGGCCACGTTTTGGCCGGCCGTGCTCTTGTCCGGCCACCAAAGTCGACGGGGCCGGTACCAAAATGACCGGGCCGCCGTCCTCTTCATACCCCGGCCAGGTCCCGCCGCCAGCCGCCGTGATTTCCCCGGAAAACGAGGAGAAAAGCTCGGTTTCGCCCGAAACTTCGCCGGCTTCGTTCTCCATCTTCCGGCCGCCATTTTTGGCGATCAAGGTATGGAAATTCATCCCTTCTACATGATCTAGCTGATGGTTGGGTAGGATTGCATCAATTTGTAGCCTAGATTATCTGATTTTCGAGTTAGGGTTCGGCCGATTTCGGGATCGCGATTCCGGCCACTTCCGGTCAGTTTTTGGGGTATGCCCAAGAACAAAAGTGACTCCAAATAGGGTGTTTTACCTAGGGTAGGAGTCTTGAGCCGTGATTTGTGGTTTTTCCGGCGATGGGTTATCGCTTTGGACACCCACGCGCTGCCGGCGCGTGTGGCGGCGCGTGGGCACTGTAGTTGAGGGGCATTTTGGTCCCACTGTGATCCTCTCGATGTCACGAGCACGTGGGTGTGCTCGGATCCCAATGTGGTTACCGTTAGAGTCCCGAACGGATATCGCATATCGCGTATTTTCCGGGTTCGCTTGGTTTGGACCGTTGGATGGTCCTGAGATTGTAATATGTTGATATAGGGATTACCAGGATCGTGTAGGATTCGACGGATCTTAAAACGGAGTCCCGGATACTCCGGAAATACCAACCCTGAGGTTAGGGTTTTAGTAACCGTCCGATCGTGCGATCGTGAGCGATCCGACCGTCCGATCTGGACCAAACTTGCAGGACGTGCATCCTAGAGCTTGTAGAACCTATAGGAACTTTCGGATCGGAAATTGGAGGTCGTGGGCCCCGCGGGCCCGTTTGACCAAGGTTGGGTAGTTTGACCCTGGTTTGTCCGTGGGACTTCCTAGGTAGTATTACATTCCTAGGAAGATTAAAATGACCGTGGTGACAGGTCCTGATGTCACGGGGATTATGGGGGATTATCGGATGCTAGTTGTTTGTTAAGGTGTTTATATTATTAGAAATTAATGTATTAAAATTATGTGTGGATTTTATAATTGAATGTCAGTTTGCAGTAGCCAGGCCCCCAGTGAGGTCGCACGCGTCTTTGGATTAGTCGGCGTGTTGACAGACCCCATACGTGGCCGGGTGCGTCCCGACGTATGAGGGGAGATATGATTGTGTGAGAATGAGGGCTGGTGAGAATGTAGCCAGGCCCAGTGTGAGGTCGCACGCGTCTTTGGATTAGCCGGCGTGTTGACAGACCCCATACGTGGCCGGGTGCGTCCCGACGTATGAGGGGAGATATGATTGTATGAGGGATGGTGAGAATGTAGCCAGGCCCCCAGTAAGGTCGCACGCGTCTTTGGATTAGCCGGCGTGTTGACAGACCCCATACGTGGCCGGGTGCGTCCCGACGTATGAGGGGAGATATGATTGTATGAGGGATGGTGAGAATGTAGCCAGGCCCCCAGTGAGGTCGCACACGTCTTTGGATTAGCCGGCGTGTTGACAGACCCCATACGTGGCCGGGTGCGTCCCGACGTATGAGGGGAGATATGATTGTATGAGGGATGGTGAGAATGTAGCCAGGCCCCCAGTGAGGTCGCACGCGTCTTTGGATTAGCCGGCGTGTTGACAGACCCCATACGTGGCCGGGTGCGTCCCGACGTATGAGGGGAGATATGATTGTGTGAGGGCTGGTGAGAATGTAGCCAGGCCCAGGGTTGAGGTCGCACGCGTCTTTGGATTAGCCGGCGTGTAGACGGTTACGAGGCCGGGTGCGTCCCGTCGTATGAGGGGAGCTATGTGATTGTGTTTGGCGAGTTGTGATGGATAAACCCTAGAATGTATGAATTTGTATGGATGTAATGGTTTATTTGATATTAGGAGCCAGGATTGATAGGAAAGAGCTACGTGTGGCTTGATCCCTTAGTAGGGTACGTAGGCAGCCTGGGATAGCGCCTAGGTGCAGCCACGACTTAGACACCACTTAGGTGGTTTTATCGTGTATGATGCGGACCTCGTGGTTGGTCCCGAAACTTGGTTGAATTGAGACTTGTCCGGTAGACTGAGTGAGCGAAGGTGTGCATAGTTAGATTTTGAATTGGTTATGTGCATGTTTGATGCATGAAGTTATTTTAAAAACAGTGTGGGCAGTTCTGCTAGAATCATTTGAATGCCGGAGGCCATTTATGTAAATTGCTTGAGATTATATTGTGCGTGCTGCTGGTTGGGTTATAAAAATGTGTTTTATGCAGGTGGAAATTTTGGGGAATGTTCAATTTACAGGGGAGACTCTGCCGGAATTTCGGCAGAAAGTCTCGTGCCCTTAATCCTCTTTGGTAAAAGAGGACATAGTTTTAAGGAGTGAACCCGGCATGGGTGTGATGCCGAGGTCTCCGCAGGATTCGTCTCGGGTTCTGGGAAATTCGGGGCGGGTCCTGTCAATGCAATGGGGTATTCCAATTAAATTAACGAGTATATACGAGGCATAATTTAGATGAATTGATAACATAATATCGCCACAAATTAAGAAGTAGAAAATTAAATGTGAATGAGCAGCTCGACCTATGTGAATGGGTGTATAAACAAATCAGAAGTAAAAGCTGAATGATATGAACAGATGAAGTTAATTTAATAAATGAAGAGTAATTGTTTAAATGCAACTTTGCTAAAAACCCAAAAATTTATGTCAAGCTGATCAAGTTGTGTTATTAGTTTTATTTTGGCAAAGGCATGACGAGGTAGATGTTTAGGTGGAATCAAAGACAAATAAAACACCACTTGCCTTCTCATCGCCAATCATATGCACGTCCAAAGTCCAATCTATCAGGAATGTAGTCGTGTAAGCTTGTCATTGACTTTGACCTTAATTAGTAATATGCTGGATGTGACTGCTCTTATAATTACCATATAATTAAGAAAAGAGTTTGCCGCTTGGCTTATTGACCATAACCAAGTGGGAATATTGAGTAATACAAAGTGGGATTTTCAACTACATTTACTAAGAGGAAATAATAGACACCACCCCAACATGGAGAGGAACATCACTATCAGCGGTAGGTAAAGAGGTTAACATTTCCCCTAATTAACCCCATGCACATGCAGATTATAAAAGACCATCCTGGGTAGCACTTAATTTTCTCATCACAAGCAATACATGCAATTTTTAGTTTTATTAATTAAATCCTCGGAAAGTACTACCATGGCCTTCCATGGGAGGGCTCTTATTATTCTGCAACTGATCATCTCTTTGGTTGTAATTGTATTATTAGGGGATGGAAAAATAAAAACAGCAAGAGCTCAGATTTCCAAGCCCAGCTGCCTAGACCACTGTGGCAATCTCACAATTCCATATCCATTTGGGCTCACCGATGAATGTTGCATGGGAATTGAATTTCGTATCAACTGTACGGATGACGGAAAAGCATATCTGTGGGACAGTAACATTCGTGTTACTAACATATCGGTTGACCTGGGTGAGATCCAAATTCAGCAGCGTTTGGCCCGCGATTGCTATGACGAGGAGGGCAACAATGACTACAATGTTCCTGAGTTGAGGGTGACGCCTCCTTACACCATCTCCGGTGCCAAAAACAAGTTCATGGCCGTTGGTTGTGACACTTACGCCACATTCGAAGGCTTCCGCTGGAAAGATGAGAATCCCTTCTTTGCCGGGTGCATGTCTCGGTGTCTCGCCCTTGACAGCGTTGATCAGACCTCTTGCTCGGGCATCGGTTGCTGCCAAACTTCCATCCCTGACGGGCTGACAAACCGTACGGTGGTCTTGGGTAGCTTCCAAAATCATACCCGTATATTGGACTTTAACAAGTGCAGCTACGCTTTCATTGTGCAAGAAGGCCAGTTCAGCTTTTCCAACAAGAGCTTTGACCAACTGGCTCAAATAAGCAGGGTTCCCATGATTCTTAATTGGGATATTGGGGAGCAGTCGTGTGAGAGTGCAGCTCAAAACAAGAGCCACAGTTTTGCATGCAAGGTAAATAGCAAGTGTGTAAACCGGACCATGGGCAATGCGGCCCCGTCTGGTTACATTTGCCAGTGCTCGCCAGGTTATCAAGGGAACCCATACCACCCAGACGGTTGCCAAGGTACGAACTTATCATATAAAAATATGATATGTAGACCTCTTATATGTAATATGCATGCTATAGTTGTTGTAGCTGGAAGTGGAAATTGATTAACTAATTAATTAATGTGTGTAACATTTGTTTTCCTGTTTCTCTCAGATGTGGATGAGTGCAAAGACCCGAACCCCTGCGAAATGGGAAAGTGCGTAAATACACCTGGAAATTACACTTGTACGTGTCCCAAAGGGTACAGAAATACTGAAGACCTGAAGAAATGCATTAGCGCATCAAAGAACACTTCCCTCAAAGTTTCATTGGGTATGCATTAAGCCTTGCTACTTACATACTAACATGCATCCTATAACATGAAATAGTTTAGGCATATGCCTGCTTAATATATAAATTGTATGTAAAACCCAAGAAAGTTGATCGCAATTTTTCGATTTATATATGCAGGAGTCATAGTTTTCCTCGTTCTAACTTTTTGGCTATATTGCGGAATGAAGAGGAGAAAATTCAAGAAAGAGAAAGAAAAGAACTTTAAACAAAATGGTGGCTTGCTTTTGCGACGAGAACTAGCAAGTTACAATGGCACCATTGACGTAGCCACAATCTTTACTGAAGAAGAATTGAAGAAGGCCACAAACAATTACGATGCAAAGGTAAAAATTGGTGAAGGTGGCTATGGAGAAGTCTACAAAGGAACTGTGTCCGGAGATCGTAAAAAAGTGGTTGCCATAAAGAAGCCTAAACTTAGCGCCCCAATTACTGAGAGTCAGCAATTTGCTAACGAGATTATTCTTCTTTCTCAAATCAACCACAAACATGTTGTGAGGCTCCTTGGTTGTTGTTTAGAGACCCAAACGCCTATACTGGTTTACGAGTTCATCTCAAATGGCACTCTTCATGATCACATTCATGGAAAAGACAACAAACACTCACCACTTTCATTAGAATTACGGTTAAAGATAGCAGCAAATACAGCGGAAGCGCTGTCGTACTTGCACCACTCTACCTACCCACCAATTGTACACAGAGATGTGAAGGCGATGAATATACTGCTAGATGAGAACTACAGGGCAAAAGTAGCGGACTTTGGAGCTTCAAGGTTGGTTCCTCAAGAGGATCAAAACAACATATCAACTTTAGTTCAAGGGACGCTCGGGTACTTAGACCCTGAATATCTTCAGACGCACATACTAACAGAAAAGAGCGACGTCTATAGTTTTGGAGTCGTCCTGGTGGAGCTACTCACAAGCCAAAGGGCACTTATAAGTAAAAAGAATGAGGCACATACAAACCTAGCAAATGTCTTTGTTTGTGCAATGAAAGAGGGGAGCTTGGATCAAATTCTTGATGCTGAAATAGTGAGGCAAGGACTTAACTCTGAGAAAATCATAGAAAAAGTGGCCGGTCTGGCAAGGAGTTGCTTGAGCTTAAGAGGGGAAGAAAGGCCTTCCATGAAAAATATAGCCATCGAGCTCGGGGTATTATTGCAGGTCATGGGAGTTCATCAGGCTGATTTCAAACCATCTCCGGAAGACACCGACTACTTGCTTGGGTCACCTGCTTACGTTGTAGATGTTAGAGGTGACGATGGTAATATTATAAATAGTGCAGAGTACGACCAGAGCATGCAATTCATTCAACACATCCAACTGGTAAAGCCTTATGGTGATGGACGATAGTTAATTAGCTCCTTAATTCCTAGTCACATTTATCGTCTATTGAATTGTAGTTTGTTTCAATTCCAGTCATCAGTACGTACTGCTGTAATATGTTTGTCATAAAGTTAATTCTCTGGTATTTGATTATGTAACCCTGTGATTATGAATTTCTTTAATTTGGTTGTAACCTTGTGATTACTGTCTATTTAGTCGTGTTTTGATCTCATTTCAATAGAATAGAACAATCTTTTGTTGATCGGAGCCGGATGTAAATCTTAAGGATCATTAATCACTCCAAAAGAAAAAAAAACATAAAGAATTGAATCTGATAATTTCATAAACTTACGTTTTCATAATAAAAACCCATATTATTATTGTTTTTCAACATCTGTGTTTGTGCAAATAATCTCACGGGAGAATATTCGCTTCTAGATCCTTCAACCTTCGATCTTCCTTCTCTCTCTTCCTCGATTCCTGTAAAACAGATTGGAGTAAATAGACCACACCCGGGGGGTGTTGGCCAAAGGCCCTCCGATGCCTAAGTTAGTTCGAGTGTTTGTAGAAAACAATAGCTAAGCAAAGGGTACGGAGTAGTGTTTATGTAGGTTGTGAACCGGGTGGCCGGAGCCGTATGTGGTGGCCGGAGCCGTGTGGAGAAAATATGGAGAGTGGAGAGGGAGAAAGAGCTTCGGATATTGTTCTCGGGTATAAGGAGTAGGTTTAGATGTACCTTGAATGATGAATGAAGTCATCTATTTATAGGAGCCTCGGGGCTAGGGTTTCGTAGAGAATATGCTGAGTTTATTCTCTACCCAAATTCGTAGGGATCGAGTCGGACTGAGATAATATCTGATTTAATGATATTATCTCTTTTTATGGAGATAATATCTGAATTAAATGATATTATCTCTTTTTATGAAGATAATATATGAGATAATGACATTATCTTCTCTTTAATAGGATAATATCTTAATTAATGATATTATCTTATTAAATAAAGATAATATCATGTTAATTAAGATATTTATCCCAATTAATTAATTGGCCAGATAAACTGGTTCAATTAATTAATTAAAAGAGATAATCTTCTTTTCCACGTGGCGCGCTGTGATTGGAGACGAAAATATTTGCTCCCACAAATGCCCCCCAGCTTCTGCATGGCGCTTGTGTGGCATGTAGGAGATGAAATTATTTTTTTCGGGCTCTCCAACTGAGTCTGGGCTTTCTTCTGTGAGTTGGACTCCTTTTGCAGATCGGATTCTCAATTGGTGTAGGCTTCTGACTGTTGTTGGAGTTGGATTCCCAGTAGGAAAGAGCTTGAGATTCCTTCTTGACCCGGGTTGTCCAACTTGTATAAATACAGGGCTTCTCTTCACTCTTTCTTACATCGCAAACTTAACTTCTTTACTTTCTAGCTTGAGAAAGATCTTGGAGAATTTTGTACTGCTTGTCGAAGAGAGGAGTTGCCGTGCATCCCAAAGTAAGTCGAGCACGTAAATTTTCCTTCGTCTTCTTTTTTTCAAGGCGAGGACCAGTTGGGTGGGACCAGGTTGGTTGTCATCGTTACTGGCGCCAAAGACGATTGGAGCGGCGGTGGCTGCTGGCGGCTGCTGAGCAACGATTAGGAGGAAGTTGGTGGACTACCCCATGCTAAGGAAGTCGATAGATGGAAGCAGGATGGTTCGAGCCTTGATGATCTGCCTGCTGGACATGAGGAGTGTTTTGCTAAACTCCCCTAAAAAAGGAAGGCTGATGTCAAGTCTTTGAGAGCTCAAGCCTGATGAGTTTGGAGATCGTGATATGCTCAGTTAAGTAGTCCGTGCACGATCTAGCTCACTTGTTGAGAGGCAAAGAGATGCGGATGCTCCTTTTCGAAATTCGAGTCGTTTGTACCAGTCGAAGATTGGAAGTCGATCTGGGCAGTCTGCTCATCCATCCAACCATCATGTTTCAACTATTGAGTCATGAGCAATCAAGCATGGAGTTGATTCGACGTCGCAAATTCCTTTGGAAGTGAGGTTGGCGGAGGCTAGGAAAGCAAGAGAGTTATCTGCCCGGACAAAAGGTTCTTCTGCAACGTCAGCGACTGATCCAAAGGTGGACAAATCTAGCCCTGCAGGGGATGCAGGCGTGTCTGATCTGCTAAAGACGCAATTTCTATCAAGTCCATCCTCTTGTGCTGAGCTGGTTGACCAAATCCGTCAGGCTGTCGATCTTGGTACTTTTTCAAGTCTTTCCTTGGAAAAGCAAAAGGAAGCGACACTTCATCTGCTTCAAAAGGGAATAGTTTTTGCTGCTGAGACCATTCAGAACTCGTCTGCTGTTGCCCCATCTTCTGTTCAGCTCAGCGAGTTGGAGAAGAAGAATGCCGAGTTAGTTAGCAAACTTTCCGCCGAGCAGACCCGTTATGAGAAGAAGACGTCTGATTTGCGGGCGATGATATCTGAGTGGAAGAGCTCCCTTGCTGAGAAGGATTCCGAGCTTAACTCTTCTGCTGCTGACTTGGCAAGTCGAAAAGATGCTTACTTCCACCTTGAGCGCAAGAATGCCGACATCTCTCATAGCTATAACAAGCTTTTGGCTAGATTTCACGCCTATCATGAGTCTGCTGAGGAATCCAAGTCCGAAGTTGCCATGGACGCGTACAAGTTGGGCTACTTGGACTGCACAAAAGGATATGATCCCCTCTACGCCATTGGAGATGAAGACATCGAGATGCTCTATCCAGACTTGCCCCCTGCGAAAAGTGAGGAGGCTAATGCTGTGAACACCGAAGGAGCTGATGAGCAGGTGGCTAAAGAGGCGGTAACTGAGGAAGATGGAGCAGAGGAGGATGCAACCGATGAGGTGGTGGCAGACGTCATATAAGCTGCTGAAAGCGTGGCTGATCAAGCGGACGCTGAAGAGGCTGTAGATCAGGGATCTCCTGCTGGCGCTTCGGAGTAGACGAAGACTCCTTTATTTCTTTTCAACTTTTGTAGTCTGCTTTTGTTTAAAATAATTGGTCTTGTTGACCATCTTCTTTTTGTTTGAACTTGGCCGGTTGGTCGCTTTGCTATGAAAATTTCAGTCTTTATTTTTCAACTTCAATTTGCATATTGTCTTGTGAACTGCTTGAGTAACCAGCTAGTGTCTTGATTGCACATCTCCTTTTGGAGATTCATGAGTGTCAGGGTTCCTCTTGAAGGACTTCGGACGTGTTCTGCATATCTCTTAGGTTGGCTTGGTCGTCGCCCTGCGTCTCCCGAAGGACGCTGCTTATGGGCAACTGTGTGACTATCCTGCCTCCCTTAGGAAACGGATAGGAACCTGGATACTTCCCGCAAGAGGCATGAAGACCTCCTTTTAAGAAATTCCTGGCGCACCCTGCGTCTCCCTTAGGACGCTTTTTTAGTGGGCTGCGTCTCCAAACGGACGCTTTTAGTCGTCGCCCTGCGTCTCCCTAAGGACGCTCTTATGGGCAACTGTATGACTATCCTGCCTCCCTTAGGAAACGGATAGGAACCTGGATACTTCCCGCAGGAGGCATGGAGACCTCCTTTTAAGAAATTCCTGGCGCACCCTGCGTCTCCCTTAGGACGCTTTTTTAGTGGGCTGCGTCTCCAAACGGACGCTTTTAGTCGTCGCCCTGCGTCTCCCTTAGGACGCTCCTTATGGGCAACTATATGACTATCCTGCCCCCCTTAGGGAACGGATAGGAACCTGGATACCTCCCTTAGGAAATTCCTGGCGCACCCTGCGTCTCCCTTAGGACGCTTTTTATGGGCTGCGTCTCCCGAAGGACACTTCTGGTCGTTGCCCTGCGTCTCCCGAAGGACGCTGCTTATGGACAACTGTTTGTTTTGTGGGCAGATGATATTTCTCCAGATGAATCGCTCCACATCGGCTTCTTTAGTAGAGGATAGAGCTTCGGCCTCGATCCATTTAGTAAAGTAGTCGGTGGCGACGATCATAATTTCTTTCTTGGCAGGCGTCGGTGGCAAGGGACCCACTAAGTCGATGGCCCATTGCATGAATGGCCATGGACTGTTTTGCGGATGGTAAACTTCGGCAGGCAGATTAGGGAGTAGCCATGGACTGGGTGTCCAGTGCTGATCCTAGGCTCGCCAACGCATCTGCATGAGTGTTCTCTGCCCGTGGAACTTGTTGGATGGTGAAAGTAGGGAATTCTTTCAAAAGTCCTTGGACTTTGTCGAGGTACTGAACCATTCTTGGGTGCTTTGCCATGTACTCGCCTGAGGCTTGATTCGTGATCAGTTGGGAGTCTGAGTAGACGGCCAGTCTCTTGATCGACAGTTCTTTCGCTAGGCGTAGTCCTGCAAGCAGTGCCTCATATTCTGCCTCGTTGTTTGAAGCAGAAAAGCCTAGTGTGATAGCTTGTTCCAACAAGGTTCCGTCTGGGGTGATTATGACGACTCCCGCTCCCGCTCCCTTGTGATTTGATGCTCCGTCTACATGCAACTGCCACATGTCGTTAGGTAGGTTCGAATCGGTGGGGGAGGTGTCGTCCGCTTTTTCCTTGCTTTTCGTAACCATCTTCTCTTCTTCGGCTGTCGGAGTAAACTCTACAACAAAATCTGCTAAAGCTTGGGCTTTTATAGCAGTCTTCGGCCGGTAGAGGAGGTCGTATTGACTGAGTTCGATAGCCCATTTCATGAGTCGCTGAGAAGCGTCGGGGCTGTGAAGGATCGATCTCAAAGGAAATTCTGTTATGACAATTATCCGGTGTGCTTGATAGTATGGCCTTAACTTTCTCGCAGAAACCACAAGCGAAAAAATGAGCTTCTCCATTTTCGGATAGCGAGTCTCTGCATCGAGGAGAGCTTTTGAAGTGTAGAATACCGGATGTTGTGCCCCCAGCTCTTCTCGGATGAGAGCTGAGCTGACAGCTGAGTCGGACACCGCTAGGTAGATGTACAAGTCTTCGCCTGGCATCGGCTTTGAGAGCAATGGAGGTGAAGTGAGGTAAGTTTTCAAGTTTTGAAAAGCTACTTCACACTCGTCATCCCACTTATCTTTGTGTCCCTTCTTCAAGGCTTTGAAAAATGGTTTGCATTTGTCGGTAGATCTAGAGAGGAATCGGTTGAGAGCTGCCGCCCTACCCGTTAGACTTTGTATCTCCTTTGTTGTGGCAGGTGACTTCATGTTGAGTATAGCCTTGATTTGATTTGGATGTGCCTCAATTCCTCTTTGGGTGACTAAGTATCCAAGGAATCGGCCGGACGAGACTCCAAATGTGCATTTGCTCGGGTTCAACTTCATGTTGTATTTTCGGAGTATGCTGAATGCCTCGGCAAGATTCTCGATGTGGTCTGCTCGCTCGGGAGCTTTGACTAGCATGTCGTCTACGTAGACCTCCATAGTCTTGCCGATTTGCTCCTTGAAAATTTTATTCACCAGCCTTTGGTAGGTTGCCCCGGCGTTCTTCAGCCCAAAGGGCATGACCTTGTAGCAGTAGGTACCTCTTTCGATGATGAAAGAGGTCTTTGCCTTGTCGTCTTCATGCATCATGATCTGGTTGTAACCGGAGTAGGCGTCCATGAAGCTTAGCAGTTGATTGCCGGAAGTTGAATCGACGAGCTGGTCAATTCTCGGCAGTGGAAAGTTATCTTTAGGACATGCCTTGTTGAGGTCAGTATAGTCGACGCACACTCTCCACAGGCCTTTATCTTTCTTTGCTACTAGAACAACGTTCGCCAGCCATTCTGCGTATGAGACTTCTTCAATGAAACCGGCAACTAGAAGCTTGTCGATCTCGGCTTCAATGATGGCGACTCGCTCGGGGGCGAAGTTGCGTCTCTTCTGCGCTACAGGCTTGATGGCTGGGTTGACGTGTAGGCGATGGCAGATGATCTGGGGATCGATGCCAGGCATGTCAGAGGGTGACCATGCAAATACGTCTTTGTTGTTCTGGAGGAAGGCTACAAGCTCTGCCTTTTCCTCCTGGCTTAGGCGCGAGCCGATCCGCGCTGTTCTCTCTGGCTTGTCAGGATCAAGGGGTACTAGCTCAACGTCCTCCTCGGGCTTCCATCCTTCTTCAGGATAGACCTCCGGACGGATTCCCTCGACTTGGTCCTGATTCTTTGATTGCTATTGGGGAGTAGTTATTCCCTTTCCTTTTTGGCCTGCTCGGCCGTCAGGAACGGGATCTGCTTCCTCATCTGCTTGTTCTACTCCCTTTAGATCTGCTTGATTCACAGGGAGGAACTGTGTTTGCTTGCCTTTCTTCAGCCCTTGAGCTGAGCATTTCCTCGCCATCGCCTGATCGCTGTTGATTTGGCCGATCCCACCCCAAGGAATTGGGTAGCGAATCTTCTGATGCGTGGCGGAGGTGATGGCATTGATCTTGCTGATCCATGGCCTGCCTAGGATGCCATTGTAGGGTGAGACTTCATCAATGACCATGAACGTTTGAGAGCTGATTACAGGTGGGGCGTAGACGTCGAGCTCTATCGTGCCTACGGTGACCGTTGTTGCTCCATTGAAACCAGTCAGCGACTTGGCTGATTTATTGATCTTTGCCTCTAAGCCCATCTGTTGGATAACTGTCAATTGTAGGATGTTGGCCGCACTGCCCTCGTCTGCATGGATTCGGCCGACCATGGCCTGAGCGATTTGAATGCTGATGACAAGAGCGTCATTGTGTGGTAGATCAAGGCCAATTAGATCTTTCTTTTGGAAGCCGATTATAGGGTCGTCTTCTGCTAGCGGAATGTCGGTTGAGACTTGGGAGATCATAGTGGCTTGTTTGATCTTCCTTTTTTTTCCTTGCTGGTCAACCCAGATTCCTCGGAGTCGGCTAGGATTGTGTTAATCCTTATGACCTTTTGGGGCGGCTCCTTGGCGGTGTCGCGATCCTCTATCTGTTGGATAGCCTGCTTAGCGACGAATTCCGTGCAGTGACCTTCCTTCACGAGTTCTTCGAGGTGTGCTTTCCAAGCGAAGCACTTGTTCGTAGTGTGTCCATGCGTCCCATGGAAGGCACAGTATTTGCTAGTATCCCTTCTGTCTGGATCTCCTTTCAAGGGTGGCGGTCTTCTTACCCAAGGTTTGTTTTTCACTTGCTAGGATTTGATGTATAGGGATAGTGAACTTGGTGTAGTTCTCTCCTGCCTTAGCGTCCTCTTGTGGGTGTGACCTGCGCTTGTCCTTGTTCTTGTTGCTAAATCCATCGCTTCTTAGGCCCGCCCGCTTGGCCTGCCGATCTCCCTGCTCAGTGGACTTCTTCGCGGCAATTCGATCGTCATCCCAGAGCGCGTAGCGTTCTGCGGTCGCGAAGACCTCTGCTAAAGTCTGGCTGGGAGTGATAGTCAGCTCGCGGTATAACTCGTGTTCTGCTGGAAGACCTTTCTTGAAGGCAGATGATGCGATTTGGTCGTCGCACCCTACGATGTTGGCCTTTTCTGCTTTGAACCTCTTGATGTAATCTCGAATGGATTCGTCGGGCTTCTTGCGCAGGTTGAACAGATGATCTGGGTTCTTCTTGATCGTCCGATAAGAAGTGTATTCTTTAGTGAAGACATAGGCAAGCTCCTTGAAACTGTTGATCGACCCAGATGGCAGGGTGTGGAACCAGTCCTGAGCTGCTCCTCGCAATGTCATTGCAAATGCCTTGCACATCAGTGCGTCGTCGGCCTTGTGGAGGATCATGACACTTTTGAAGTGTTTTAGGTGGCTCTCGGGATCGGAATCTCCCTTGAAATGCGTAAAAGAAGGCGTTGAGAATCGCTTCGGGGGAGTAGCCTGCTCGATTTCAGGGGTGAAAGGAGTAGAGATCGCTTGGTCCATCTCCTTACGTAGTGCATCCTCGAGGTTCCCGCTAGTCTTCAAGTCTCGAAGTCGGTCATTCACAAGCTTCTCAACGTCTTCCACGCGCAGTGCTGGTCGATCACGTTGGCGCCTTTTGCGATTCGAGCGACGCTGATTGACCTCCTCGTTGGTCTGCAAGGGTCGGTCCTCTCGTCCGCGATGCCTAGGAGGCGTGTTGGTGGACTGTGATTGCGAGGGATTTTCTGCAGCTTGACGGCGAGAGTTGGTTCTCCGAGAGCGGGCAATGGAGTGCCTCTCTTCACGATCCTCATTGCGAGGGTTACCGGGTTGACCTCCCTGGGAGCCTAGCCTTTCGTGAATATTTCTCTGCGAGTGGGCAGCGGAGCGCCTCTCTTCACGATCCTCATTGCGGCGATTGTCAGTTTGATCTCCCTGGGAGCCTAGCCTTTGAAGTACATTCCCCTGCGGGCCCAGGCGAGCACGGACGTCAAGTCGTGGGCCGAGCCTTTCTCGCACATTGCTTTGTGTGTGGCTTGCAGATGCTCGCGACATGTCGGCAAGCTGATCACGTGGTTGTGCATCCCCTTGTCTGCTCGCTCCTGCTCGACCCGCTTGGTGCCCGTTGAGCTGCCCACCGGTGCGTTCGTCTATTCTTCTCACTTCGCCTGGTTGTCCAAGGCCAAGATTTTGAGCCACGCTTATTTGATTAAGGAGCTGCCTCATAAGAGCGTTTTGGTCGTCCACTCTCTGAGCTAGCTGGTCAACTCTCATGTTGAGATCTGCTTGACTTTGTGGATCGGGAGGAGATAAGCGTGTGGAGCCCAATTGCACACGGGCTAGGGTTTCACTGGAGGTGTACGCGAGAGCGTGCGTCGAGCGTGAAGGCAATGGAGGGAACGCTTGAAGTTGCTCCAAGACCGAGCCTAAGTCGGTGGTGGTAACGAGCCCACCTTGATGGGAGGTTCCACCATGTTCGGCGGCGGTGCCACGGAGGTTGCTAGATTCGGTCGCGGGTCCGGTAGGTGGCACGGTGGCGAGAGGTGGTGGTGCCACCATGTTGATCGCGGGATCGTGGGTGGAGTGGCTTTGGGCCGTCACGGATTGAGCCATCGCGGCGGTTTTACTCCTCGTGCGCTTGCTTCCAACCATGGTTGTTTGAAAGGCTTCGGTGGATTGGAAAATATGAGGAACGGATTCCTTGAGCACGCGTTGAGTATAACTCGTGCTCTCAATGAAAGCACCAAATGTTTGTGCAAATAATCTCACGGGAGAATATTCGCTTCTAGATCCTTCAACCTTCGATCTTCCTTCTCTCTCTTCCTCGATTCCTGTAAAACAGATTGGAGTAAATAGACCACACCCGGGGGGTGTTGGCCAAAGGCCCTCCGATGCCTAAGTTAGTTCGAGTGTTTGTAGAAAACAATAGCTAAGCAAAGGGTACGGAGTAGTGTTTATGTAGGTTGTGAACCGGGTGGCCGGAGCCGTGTGTGGTGGCCGGAGCCGTGTGGAGAAAATATGGAGAGTGGAGAGGGAGAAAGAGCTTCGGATATTGTTCTCGGGTATAAGGAGTAGGTTTAGATGTACCTTGAATGATGAATGAAGTCATCTATTTATAGGAGCCTCGGGGCTAGGGTTTCGTAGAGAATATGCTGAGTTTATTCTCTACCCAAATTCGTAGGGATCGAGTCGGACTGAGATAATATCTGATTTAATGATATTATCTCTTTTTATGGAGATAATATCTGAATTAAATGATATTATCTCTTTTTATGAAGATAATATATGAGATAATGACATTATCTTCTCTTTAATAGGATAATATCTTAATTAATGATATTATCTTATTAAATAAAGATAATATCATGTTAATTAAGATATTTATCCCAATTAATTAATTGACCAGATAAACTGGTTCAATTAATTAATTAAAAGAGATAATCTTCTTTTCCACGTGGCGCGCTGTGATTGGAGACGAAAATATTTACTCCCACAATCTGTATATGATAATTTAACTTATAAGCACGCATCCCAAATAAACTTATAAGCTTTTTGTTTTTTGGTCCAACAAATAAACTTATATTATATAAGCTTGTGGACATAGCTTTTTGTTTCTTTTTTGTAATATTTAATTTATTTCTGATGTGCCCCTCTCAATTAAGTCCCCTTTGTTTCAAATTCAATGACATCCAGCAATGCATGAGCATTTTGAGAATGTGTAGGTGAAAATATTTCATGCATTAGAAAATTAACAAATCTTAGAATAGCTTATAAAGAGTTGGACTATTTCCCGTCATTGCCAATTAATTTTGAATTGGAACTGCAACTTCCTTTAAGCATAACAAGGTGTAGATGGTGACCTCATGTTTGTGGTGGTGGTTAAACAAGTCTGCATTGAGTATTATTAATTGCTCCCACCTCAAAATAATAGAGAAGACTCAACGTCCAGATCAATAAGGCAAAATGAGCTTAATAAAAAGAAGCCCAAATACAAGTGTAGAAAAGGGCTTAGAGCCTAACTTATATTATCAACCCGTAGAAATAAATTTAATAAATAAAAAATAAAAAAGGACAGATGATAACCATAGGTAGAGGAAGACGTTTCCCCTAACCCTATGAGACCCTCTATCTATAAAAGGCCATGCCGGGTACCACTTACTTTTATCACAAGCAATACAAATATTTGTGCGAGAAAGAATATTATTGAGTGGTACATATACAAATATTTGTGCCATATCGTTACATGAGAGGATGCTTATTGAGCAACTCCCATTGGTAATATTAATGGTGGGAGTGTATGTGATGTTAGGGTCTGTAATTACAACAACAGTAGCACAAGCCTTGTCTCAAGCCCTGCCTGGCTGCCCAGACAAGTGTGGCAATCTCACAATCCCATACCCTTTTGGCAGGCTTTCACATCACCTGCAACACATCCACCGAACCCCCAACAGCACTCTGGGGCAACATCATTGTCACTGCCTTTTCCCTTGATGAGGCTGAGATTCAGGTACTGCAGTACATAGCCCGAGATTGTTACGACAAGCAGGGTAACAACACGTTTGACAACGACCCTTGCCCACCCAAATGGTTGCAAAGGTGCAAAAAGTATCACCTTGGCAACCTTTACTATTTGTCATGTCATATTTAATCTTAATTATTAAAAATTAAGTAATCTAATAACCCAAAAATTGTGTCAAAAGTAAATATAGTGCCACGAATCCGCCTCTTACATATATATATATATATATATATATTATAATATATATGTATTTTGTTTTTTTAAATTTAACTGATTGAATTTCCTGATTTTCTTTTCAGATATTGATGAATGCAGCTTTCCAAACATTAATCCGCTGCACTAATGGAACGTGCTCCAATTTACCTGGAAGTCACACTTGTTTATGCCCCACAGGGTACACAATCGACAGCGTGAATGGAACTAGTTGCTTAAAAAACCCTCCTACATCAAATAATAATTCCCTGAAAATTTCAGTAGGTATGTATTACTAGCTACCTATTAATTAATGTGCAGCCTATAACATGAAATAGCTACCTGCTTGCATTCCTGCTTGGTAAAACAAACATAAAGTATAAATAAAAGGAAAACAATAATTTTCTCAAAATAAAAAAGTAAAAATCTCCCAAGTTTTTGTTTAGACAGACTAAATGTAAAATTAATAAATAATTTCACAGTGACATACATATTATAATCTATGCTATTATTTAAGAGAACCCCTTTGTACCTTTGCCTCCGATATCCATATAAAGTAAAATAACTATAATATTAGATTAGTGCTGTTATTTCCACTCCTGTCCTATTTCTCCAGACACATTGTTTTTTCACCCTCTAGTTAATTTCATAACATATTGATATACTTTTCCTAAGCCCAAATTTCCTATAATACCCTTGAAATCTAGAGTCATTAAAATTTTAAAACAAACTTATTAAATTTCAACGGCTATGACCATGCCATGATATGAGCTTACGATATTTTCCAAATAATTGTAATTAAGTTGATTGTGATTTTTCAACTATCTATCTGGCTGTATTTTTTTGCCTGTACTGCGGAATGAAGAGAAGACAGTTTAAGAAACAACAAGACAAGTTCTTTAAACAAAATGGTGGCTTATTTTTACGACAACAGTTGGCTAGTTACAATGGATCCGTGGATGCGGCCACAATCTTTACTGAAGAAGAACTGAAGAAGGCCACAAATAATTACAATGAAGAGAGAAAAATTGGTGAAGGTGGCTATGGAGTAGGTTACAAAGGAAATTTGTCCGCAGATCATCATAACAAAGTGCTGGCCATAAAAAAGTCCAAAGTCAGTGCCCCAATTACTGAGACTTAGAGTCTAGAGTTTGTAAACGAGGTGATTGTTCTTTCCCAAATCCAACATAAAAATGTTGTGAGGCTCCTTGCCATGTTTAAATACCAAAAAAAAAATAATTAAAAAAACTAAAAAGTTTAGGATTTTTTTATATAAATACCTAGCCATGTTCTTCACTTACCACACCAAAATCCATACAAATTACTCTCCTCATATCTCATGTAAATAATAGTTACCCTTGGGTTGCCATGGCAATGCATGGGAATTAATGCATAAAAAAATAACTAGGGCAGTCACTATCAAATATTTAATTTTAGGCACTTCAAAGTTGACCCAGAAATTCATATTAATTCATCATGAGTTTTGAATTAATTTCTTCTTATTTTCCGGTTACATGATTAATTTCTTTCAAATAGATAATAATCACAGTTAGCCCATGACAAAGGTTAGTCTGAATGATCAACCTCCTGACTTAACAACTCCACTATTTCTCAAGTTTCTAGAAACCAATCAAGGTCGATAATTTCTCGTTCTACACCACTTGATTATTGCAGTGACTCTTTCATAAAAAATGACAACAAAAGAAAAATTCCTTTCTTGCAAAAACATAATTCACAAATATCTTTGGTCATTACCTTCGCCAATCTTGATTAGCATGTGAACTGGTCTTAGCTTAAGCCATCGTTTTCACTCCTAGTACGCTTGACTTTGCCCACCACACCATCGCTTATTTGAACGAGTATTTACCAAATCAATACACACCAGGAAGACTTTATTTATTAATTCCCTCCATATAAAATCCCACTTTCTTTAGTTACAACACAATAATACAATTTCCAGTCCAATATTAATTCTTTACATATGAGTATGATTATAATTATGCAACTCTCTCTGGTTGTGATATTAGGGGCTGCAATATTTACAACGATAGCAGCAGCTCCAGCCCTGCCTCAAGCCCTGCCTGGCTGCAGAGACAAATGTGGTGATCTAACAATTCCTTTCCCATTTGGCATAGGTGATGGCTGCTACCTTCGACCCGAATTCAACCTCACTTGCGACCAATCCACCACGCCGCCATCGGCAAACTTGACGGGCCACACAATCCGCATTTCTGACTTTTACCTTGCTGAGGGAGAGTTGCAAGTAATGACCTTCACATCCAGAGATTGTTATGACACCAAAGGTCTCAGAAGCTACAGGAACACCCCCATACTCTGGCTGCCTCCTCCTTATACCATCTCCGACACCAAGAACAAGTTTGTCGCCATTGGTTGCGACACATACGCGCTTTTCAAAGGATACAGAGGAGAAGAGAGGTTCATAACCGGGTGTATGTCCTTATGTGACAGCCTAGGCAGCGTCGAATACCAGGACTCTTATTGCTCCGGTATTGGGTGCTGCCAAACTTCCATCCCCAGTGGACTGAAAAACTGTACTGTCCAATTGAGTAGCTATTACAATCATACTTTGATAATGGACTTCAACCCCTGCAGCTATGCTTTCATTGTGGAACAGGGCCAGTTCAAATTCAACAGTACAAGTTTTCAACAACTCAACAGCATAAGTCAAATTCCAATGGTTATAAATTGGGAAATTGGGGATGAGACATGCGATTTTGTATGCAAGGCAGATTATAGCAAATGTGTCAACAGGAACACTAACATCAATGGGTCTGGTTACATTTGCCAGTGCTTGCCGGGTTACCAAGGGAATCCATACCTCCCACATGGTTACCAAGGTAATTGATTTTCTATATCTTCGCTTCGCATATGATTTATATGCACACAATCTAATAAATATTTGTAAATGCTAGTTTAAGTTACTGGTAAGCTTAAACTTGGCATTTTTACCTGATGTTCATGGATTTAATTCCTTCTTCTCAGATTTTGATGAGTGCAAGGCTTTGAACCCCTGCAGTATTGGATCCTGTGAGAACTTAGATGGAAATTATTCTTGTAGATGTCCCAAAGGGTACAAAAACGACGGCATGAATAAACAGAGTTGCATCAAAGACGACCCCAACAATCTCCTGCTGATTATTTCATTGGGTATGTTTCATTTACATGTAACAGGAATGATCATTTTAATGGTAATATATATTTGATCATATACTTTGTCAAAAACCATTCTGCTAAAAAAGAAATCACCAGCTAGACAACAAAAACAAGACCTATTACTATATATATTCTTTCTGATCAATCTATCCTTTCCTTTACATCTTACCCCAAAAAGGTTGCATAGATTATATACGTATATAAGCAAATTATAAAGGCAACTTAGTTGTGATTTTTCAACTATATGCAGGTGTAAGTGGAGGTTTCTTGGTTTTACTGGTTGGAATTTCACTGATATATTGGCGAATGCAGAGAAGAAAGTACACCAAGCTCAAAGAACAATACTTTATACAAAATGGTGGCTTATTGTTACAAGAACAACTTGCTAGTCAAGTAGGTTCTGTGGAGACAACGAAAATCTTTACTGCAGAACAACTTGAGAAAGCCACAAACAATTACCATGAAAGTAGAATTCTCGGTGAAGGAGGCTACGGAATAGTTTACAAAGGAATATTGCCGGATAGCGACAGAGTAGTTGCCATAAAGAAGTCCAAAATTGGTGTCCCAACACAGAAGGAGCAGTTTGTCAATGAGTTGATTGTTCTTTCTCAAATCAACCATAGAAATGTGGTGAGGCTATTCGGTTGCTGTTTAGAGACATCAGTGCCTTTACTAGTTTACGAGTTCATTGCAAATGGCACTCTTTTCGAGCACATCCACCATATAAATGGCAGAGGATCATCTTTTTCATGGGAATTACGATTGAAGATAGCAGCAGAAACTGCAGGAGCATTAGCATACTTACACTCCTCTGCTCTCATGCAGATCATACACCGAGATGTGAAGGCAACAAATATACTATTAGATGATAATTACACGGCAAAAGTGTCAGACTTCGGAGCTTCACGACTGATCCCTCTAGATCAAAATCAACTTACAACATTAGTGCAAGGGACATTTGGATACTTAGACCCTGAATACTTCCTTACAAATCAACTAACGGAAAAGAGTGATGTCTATAGCTTTGGAGTTGTCCTTATGGAGCTCCTAACAAGCAAAGTGGCACTTTCTTTTGCCAGGCCCGAGGAAGAGAGAAACCTAGCAAGTTTCTTCGTTTGTTCAATGGATGAAGGTCACTTGTATCAAATTCTTGATAATGACATAGCCAACGAGAGAAATATTGAGACACTACAAAACGTGGCCGAACTCGCAAAAAGATGTGTAAGGTTAAAAGGGGAGGACAGGCCTAGCATGAAAGAAGTAGCAATGGAGTTAGAGGGAATGAGAATTGCAGCAAAACATCCATGGGGAAAAGATGATATCTGTGCAGAAGAAACTGAGTACTTTCTCGGCTCACCTAATTCAGACACTTATCTTTTGAATGTTAGAGCTGATTGTGGTCCTAGTGGTACCAGTAGTGGATATGACAGCATGCAAAACCAACTGTTGATGCCAAATGATGATGGCCGATAACTAATAACCTATTGCTAGGGCCTTTGTAAATATCAAACAGAGCTTGTAGGATTCTTCTTTGTAAAAGAGGATAAGATGGTTATGGCAAAAGAAGTTAAATTATAAAAACAATTTGTGTCACTGCTAGAATTTTTTCGTGAATCACTATGTTGGTCCGCTTGGACTTCCTGGAAATAGTGATTACAAATCTCATTTTTTATTGTCTGACACGACATTTTAATTATTATAATCTTCTTTTTTTGGTTGGCCGGACTTCAATTAGTTATAATATTTGTTTTAATCTCGCCGGACTTAACAGAGAAATAAACCAGTAAATATGAGGACGACAAATTAAACCAGTACTATCTCCTTACTTCATTCCTCTTAATTACTCAAAAGTTTAATTAAGTGGTGAACATATGCCATGGCCTTACGTGGGGATGCGAGGATGCTCGTTATGCAAGTAATGATATTGATGAGACTGGTTGTAAATGCAACAGCGGCAACAGCTCAAGCCCGGCCTAATTGCCAAGACAAATGTGGTAACCTCACAATCCCATACCCATTTGGCATGGATGAAGGCTGTTACCTTCGACCAGAATTCAACATCACTTGTGATCAATCCACCCAACCGCCGTCAGCCTACTGGACGGGCGGTATGAACAGGATTACCGACTTTTCTGTCGCTGATGGCGAGTTGCAAATAATGCTAGATGTAGCCATGGATTGTTATGATGATTCGGGTGAGGAAACAGCAGACAGCTCCTCTACTTCGCTACAGCTACCTCCTCCTTACAGCATGTCCCATACACAAAACAATTTCACCACAGTGGGCTGTGACACTATAGGAATCTTTTTGGGTGAGCGCTCAGGGGATGGAGGCCCAAAGAAAGAAAAGGTCAAAGTCGGCAATAGCGTCACCTTGTGTGATGATATTCTTGGCGACGCACTTCCAGACTCTTGCGCTGGATTTGGCTGTTCCCAAGCTTCCATCCCTGGTGGACTGCGAAACATTTCCACTTTTCTTTTAAGCCTGACTGTCAGCAATCGATCGGGGATTGATAATCCGTGGTACGCTAAGTACCCTTGCAGCTATGCCTTCATTGTGGAACAAGGCAACTTCTCATTCAACCCCAACACAACTTTTCAAGAACTCAACAACTCAAGGCAGCTTCCAGCAGTTCTGAATTGGGCAGTTGAGGGTGAGTCATGTGATGCAGCACAACAGAACCCCAACTTTCCATGCAAGGAAAATACCAAGTGTGTCGAACGGACGACCATCGGTGGTGGTCCGCCTGCTTACATTTGCCAGTGCTCGTCAGGTTATCTAGGGAACCCGTACCTCCCAGATAGTTGCCAAGGTCATCTCTATAGCATACACACACACACACACACGAATATATAGATATGTGTCTAATGAATTAATAATGTTCACTTGCCTGACTATGTTTTGTTTAACTATGAATATGAACCATCGATAAGGCTCACGCCTGAATATGTGACCTAAATTCACAGTTGTCCGGCAACATAAATTTGACAAGAGAATTATTATACTGTCTTATAATAACATGTGAATGTGTGTGTTAGTTGTTTTTACAGGAAAGCTAAAGATTGGAATTTTGCATGATGTTAATTGTGATAAATTTGGTTTTCCTTACTATTCAGATATTGATGAGTGCAAGGATTCAAACCCCTGCAGTATTGGAACGTGCATAAATTTACTTGGAGATTATTATTGTAAATGTCCCAAAGGGTACAAAAACGACGGCAAGAATAGAAGGAGTTGCATCAAACACAATCCCAGGAATCGATGGAAGATCATTCTTCTGGCTGTTATTTTATTGGGTATGTTTTATGTACATGTCAACATCCACCCCTATGAGAATATATCCGAAAGTTCCAACCTACGTATGTTTCCCCCTTCTCAGTACTAAACATTGATTAATCTCACAAACCAGACCCAAATTAAACTGAATAAATATCCTTCATTGTGATACATGTAATCTTATTTCGTCTTAACATATTACTTTCTCAGAAGCATTTTATCCTAGAAAGTAAAGCACAAGGTAGACAACAAAAACATCTATTAATACTTTTCATCAATCTATCTTTAACACTTTTTTTTTTCTTTCTAATTTTTTTTTTTTATGACTAGACTTGCATAAAAACTTACGACAATTTTCAATTATGTGCAGGTGTCAGTGCAGGCCTCTTGGTTTTACTAATTGGAATTTCATGGATATATTGGGGAATGCATAGAAGAAGGCTCATGAAACTCAAAGAAAAATACTTTAAAGAAAATGGTGGCTTATTGTTACAAAAACAACTCGCAAGTCAAGGAAGTTCCATGGAGACAACAAAAATCTTTACGGCAGAAGAACTTGAGAAGGCCACAAACAATTACCATGAAAGTCGAATCCTTGGTGAAGGAGGATATGGAACGGTTTACAAGGGAATATTACCAGATAACAAAGTGGTTGCCATAAAAAAGTCCAAAATTGGTGTCTCAACTCAGAAGGAGCAGTTTGTTAATGAGATGATTGTTCTTTCTCAAATCAACCATAGAAATGTGGTGAGGCTATTGGGTTGCTGTTTAGAGACACCAGTGCCTTTACTAGTTTACGAGTTCATCACCAATGGCACTCTTTTTGAGCACATTCATAATACAAAGGGCAAAGGATCACCACTTTCATGGGAATTACGATTGAAGATAGCAGCAGAAACTGCAGGAGCACTAGCATACTTACACTCCTCTACTTCCATGCCAATCATACACAGAGATGTGAAAACAACTAACATACTATTAGATGGGAATTACATAACAAAAGTGTCAGACTTTGGAGCTTCAAAATTGATTCCTCTGGATCAAACTCAACTAACAACTTTAGTACAAGGGACACTCGGATACTTAGATCCTGAGTACTTCTGTTCAAGTCAACTAACAGAAAAGAGTGACGTTTACAGCTTTGGAGTTGTCCTTATGGAGCTACTAACAAGCAAAGTGGCACTTTCTTTTGACAGGCCTGAGAAAGAGAGAAACCTAGCGAGCTTCTTTGTTTGGTCAATGGAGGCGGATCTCTTGAATCAAATTCTTGATGATGAAATAGTCAAGGAGGGAAATATTGAGACACTAAAAAACATGGCCGATCTCGCAAGAAGGTGTGTAAAGTTAAAAGGGGAGGATAGGCCTACCATGAAGGAAGTAGCAATGGAGCTAGAAGGAATGAGAATAATGGCAAAGCATCCATGGGGGAAAGCTGATTGTCCAGAGGAGACCGAGTACTTGCTTGGGTTAGCTAAGTCATATCGTGCTAGTGGATATGACAGCATGCAAATCCAGATGTTAATGCCATATGGTAATGGTCGATAGTCGATAATCTATTGACTTGTTTCTTTAGTGTTGTAGTCTAGAAAATGTAAACCTATGTCCTCTTCTTTGTTGGCATTTTCAGTTTATTTGGATGTTTTTAATTCGAGATGTCCTTCTGCTAGTGATATATGATCAGTTGAGAATTGAGTTTATCTTTTTTCAATTAGAGATGTCTTTGCATGCAATTATTGCAAAATGTCTAGAGTGAGTTTTGTCTGAATTTTTGATTGCAAACATATCTTCTTAACATTGCAACCAAGACAAACGGAGAAATTATTTTAGCAGCCCTAGACATGAACAACAACGACACAAGGTTTTCACTGTATTGCAATGCTATTATCAAATCCTCATCCAAAGAGTGCATATGTAGCTGTATCAAAGATCAACACAAGGCAATATTAAATAGGCTCTTAGGGTATCCCAACTTATTGTTTCCCCCTTCTAATTAAATTAGAAGCAGACATAGGTTGACAAGTAAAAAGAAGTACCAGAAATAGACTTTTATCACAAGCAGAAATTCCTGTGAAAATAATTGAATCAACCAGATGCATAGTAAAGGGACATATAAATATCAACCAGATGCCAGTGGAATTGGGAAGCCACATGGGAAGGAAGCAAAAGACTTACACAACTAGTAAGTTTAAGCAGCCCCATTCGGACATATCAAACACTTCACTAGCTAGATCCTTGCTAATACCCCATCTTGTCAAAATAACTTACCAGCAATTGAAATTAAGACTCAAAAAAGGGTAAGAATTTCCATTTGCACAAGCTTATTGAAGTATTCAAATTTCATGAAATTCCAAGTTCGAATTCTTTGAAATTTAATCACGAACCAGTTAATTAAATTTTTAGGAACTTAATGGGACAGATGGAGCCCAAATACAATATACAATTTAGTCAGAATTAAGAAAATCTTTGGGTTGTAAACATAAACACTGCAAAATAAGCAACCAATTAAACAGAATCTGTCCTTTTCTTGCAATCAGTTCAGTCTACTGACTACTATTGAAGGTTGTAGCCCCACCTCACTCTTCTCCTGGCCCAAAAAGAAGCGTGTTCATATGATTCTGTCTAGAGACTTGTCAAAAGAATCTCCAAAACGTGCAGGTTGGAGCAGCCAGATGCTTTCAAATTCCATCTCCATGGACCATGCATCTGTTGTGCACGGCGAAAATGGATTGCATTGGATGGTGGATATGAAACCATTGAAACAACAAGAGCAAAATATGAAATACATAAATTTAAATGACACCAAGGATTTATACAGATTCAGCCTGTGTGTAGCCTGCATCCAGTTCGAAGACAACGAGAAATTCCACTAGTATCCTAAAAGATATTACAACCAAAGGAGATCAACCCTACCTATCCTAGGAATTACAGAATTTAACTCTCACAGCCCAAATCTCAAATACAACCAAGTCACTCACACCAATACCAAAAGAGAGAACAAATATTACCACACCCAAAGACCAATAGAGAAATGGATTTTTCTCTCCCATTGATCAGACAGGAAACTGTCATCAAATGTGCAGCTACAACAAAGAGGAGCAGCAGCTGCTTTATATCCCTCTCTCACATGGTGCAAACGGCACCTCCAAAATGGTGAGGCACACTACGCACCCATTCAAATGCTGCAGCAGCAGCACTCTGATTAAATAGCCAAAGTAGGCCTGGGCACAGTTTGGGTCGGGTCAAATTTTGACTGACTCATGGGCCAAACCAACCAAAGTGAGGTAGGGTCAAAGATGAAACCCAAAAATGGACTGACCGGAACATACATGGTTCGGTTCTGTTTTTTTTGTTGGTTATGGCTTGAGCCCAAATGTCAGTTTGGGTCAAATCCACCGATTCAAAAAAATTTAAACTCAAAGACCGAACTGTTGACTTCGGTTTGAATCAGGTCTAGTGTTGACTTTTTTCGGTTTAGTCAAAAAACTTTATTTTTCGGTTCAATTTAATTTGGTTTCAATTTTATGCCCATCCAAAGAATAATGCTTTCAATCACCAAAAGCCAAAGCCACCGAAAGCACCAAAAAAAGCCAATCCAATTTGTCTCCCAACCAAATAACAAAGCCATCCCATGCATTTGACAAAGATGGCAAGCCATCGTTACTCGTGTGAAAACTCCTCCAAAGTCAACAATGGCTGCTACTAAAGTTCACAATTTGTTGCCAATTTTCAACAACATCGTCCAAAAAATAGGCACAATCAATGCGTAAATTTTCCACGGCATGTGGCCATGGACTGCAACATTATTGGAACCCGCCACATGACTTTCGCTGGCGCAATGCCATGCGCACCAGTCTTTACTGCAGAGGAATTTGACATGCATATATCGTTTTCACACCCTTGCTGTTTTGCTGTATAACTGTTGTACTCTTTTAAGGCAGTTTGAGAGCTATCAAATTCATCATATTCATATATGCACAGAGAAGAACTACCTTGCTGACCAGAGTCGGTCCATTGATTTTGGAGGCCCTGTGCAAATATGGATGTCGAGGTCCTATATATACAAGTAGGAAAAAAAAAATCCATATAGAAACAAAAATTTCTGACACGGGAAGAACACATTCGGAAAGAGCTTCCTAGAAAAATTTCTTTAGTCACCCTTCCAAATCACAGAGCTGATAAATTGATTTTCCAATTTCAATGCTTAGTGAATTCTCATGTGAATAAGGGAGGGAGAAAAGAACTATGATTTTGGGGAAAGGGCTAAAGCTTGGGTTTTTACAATCCAAAATGTAAGACCCGTGTCTTGGGGAAACAAGAACGGTGAGCAATCCCACATCGCTCGGGGAGGGAAAGGTGAAGTGCTTAAATGTGTGGGCACTTCTCTTCCTAGCACGAGGTCTTTTGGGAGCTCACTGGCTTCGGATTCTTAGGAACTCCGAAGTTAAGCGAGTTGGGGGCTAGAGCAATCCCAGGATGGGTGACCCACTGAGAAGTTGCTCGTGAGCTCCCAGAAACAAAACCGTGAGGGCAGAGAAGGGGGCCCAAAGCGGACAATATCGTGCTAGGGGAGTCGGGTCGTGACACAAAATTTGATGGAAGAGGGTGGTACACTGGTATTGAAGAGAAATGACTTTATTTTGATGGAGGAGAGTGAGAAAGACTTACTGAAAGAGAAAATAATATTAGAATGGTTTTGCAGCTTGAGAGTTGGGAAGAGGAAAACACAGGTTTCAAACCATAATAAATAAATAAAAAGAAGAGTTGCAGTGTGAGAGTTGGGAAGAGGAAAATCAATTAAATTAGAATTTGTTGATAATTAATATTCAATTCAATTTTGGTTTTGGTGCTTTGCATGTGGTGTTGTGGGGTGATATTTAATATTTCATTTTTATTTTCATGTTTTAGTTAATTTAATGGGTTGACTTGGAAAAATTTGGAGGCCCCTAAATTTTGGGAGCCCTGTGCAGTCACACACCTCACAAACTCCATGGGCCGCCTCTGTCTGACTGTCTTGCAAAATGGAGCTACAATCTGAATTTGGGCATTTGCTTTTTTTGAAAATACCCCTCTGTGGGCTAGTGATGTGCTGGTTGATGACTTGCTAGGAGTCTCTCATGCCCGTCAGATCTTTAATAAAGTTAAGCTGTTCTTTGGGGTTTCATTTCATAAAAAAAAAGCTCCACTTTTTAAGTAATTGGAAATTATACTGACGACTTCAACATAGAAAAACAGGAATGGTACATTTGCATCAACGGACAAATTACTAAAGATAAGAAGGAAATTTCCTCTAGGCTAGCCCCCTGAGCCACGGCGTGACCTGCCAGTCCTCATTCCTTACGTGGCTAATTTGCCTACAAACGGCCAGGCTTGTTAGCAGTTTATTCACTTATAATTCAACGAACATATAGGTTTGTAGAATATAGACCATACTACACGGAATTAAGTTGTGTGCCATTCTTACATGAGAGGATGCTTATTATGCAAGTCTCCTTGGTAATGGCGGTGCTGGCCGCGGCTGCAGCAGCTGACTTTGCCCTGCCAAACTGCCCAGACAAGTGTGGAAATCTCACAATTCCATACCCATTTGGCGTTACAAAAAATTGTTACATGGGACCTGACTTCTTCATCAATTGCACCGCCAACGGAACAGCGTTCTTGAGGAGAACCAACATTCTTGTTACCAACATATCCGTGGATCTCGGTGAGATCCAAGTACAGCAGTATAGGGCCTATGACTGCTACGACGAGATGGGCAAGAGAAACCACAACATCCCGTGGATCTGGGTGGCTCCTCCTTACACCATCTCCGGTACCAAAAACAAGTTCATGGCCATTGGTTGCGATACTTATGCAACTTTTAGAGGCTACCGTGCAAACCAAGAAAGATTCATCACCGGTTGCATATCCTTCTGTGACCGCCTCTACAGTGGTGAGCAAGACTCTTGTTCTGGCATCGGGTGTTGCCTAACTTCCATCCCCGACGGTCTCAAAAATTGTACTGTGACGTTGGCAAGCTATTACAATCATACGTATATTAGGAGCTTTAACCCCTGCAGCTATGCCTTTGTTGTGCAAGAAGGCCACTTCAGATTCTCCGATTCAAGTTTTCAACAACTCCACAACAAAGAGCTGCTTCCAATGATCCTTAACTGGGAAATTGGAAATGAGCCATGCGATGCAGCTCAAGAGACCACCCAGAATTCATCATGCAAGGCACATAGTAAGTGTGTCAACCCCAATAATAGCTCTACAGGTTACATTTGCCAGTGCTTGCCAGGTTATGAAGGGAACCCTTACCACCCCAATGGTTGCCAAGGTATGTACCAGATTTTACAAAGAAGGAGATCCCTCTTCTAAAGCTATATGTATTACATAGATAGTTTTGCAGGGTGTACACGTAGTCCTTTAAGTATGAACTCAAATATAGATGGTTTCTATAGTTCAAATGCAGTGTAAAGGTAGAAAATCTTTATATAGGATAGTCCTAGAAAGGATGTGTGCATTTTCTTACAATAAGGGGCATCCTTAATATAGAAAAACTCTATCGGACGTTAAAGCTCAAAATTGGGATTTTACATGATGCATATGGGTTTTATTTTATTTTCAGATATTGATGAGTGCAAGGCTTCAAACTCCTGTAGTATTGGAGTGTGCGTAAATTCCCCTGGAGATTATTCTTGTAAATGTCCCAAAGGGTATAAAAACGACGGCATGAATCCAAAGAGTTGCATCAAAGACAATCGATCAAAGACCATTCTCCTGCTTATCATTTCATTAGGTACGTATGCTTTATTTACATGTTAACATGCACCCTATATATGATCACAGTAAAAAATTCGAACTTTAATCTATTTTATTTTTAACGGCTAGCACCCATATTTATGTTATTTATCTTCTTTATCCTAAATTCTAACCTAAGCACTAGCTAAACTATCATTGAAAGTTGAAACAGCCCAATTAATGTGCCTCATCAAGCGCTAGGTGAAATTGATTATTCGATTCCTAAGATTTTTTCACTTTGTTTGGTGATCCGGTTTAGATTGAATTCAAGTTGAGTCTAAGGCCGTCCTAATGTCTCACCCTTCTAGGTGGGACTTGTAAGACATAATATGTTGGCATGCATGACTCTTGTCTATTTTAAGTTAAGTTCAGTGTGTATAGTTAAACTCAAAATCCAAACACAGGTGAGAGGAGGTGCTGGAAAGTGTAATTGTATATTGATAGAGTTGAACTTAAATAGAACGTTACATCACCAGACTATGCTAAATTCAAGGACATAACTCCTACTAACTTAATCCATTACTGACACTACTAACAAACTGCTCCACGAATGGGAGACTCCTAAAGACTTGGTAAAACATAACAACGTGCAACATAACTTCCTATAAAATAGGATAATCAGTTTATTTAATTAAAACAACTGCTGTAACTAGATAAAATCTTAACACCCTCCCTTAAACTAAATGTTCCTTGAACAATCAATTTAGAGAGAAACCTTTAACATGCACTATAGCTTCTGTCTTCAAGCAATATTTTTCACAGAGCAAACTCCTAACAATCTCCTTAGCTTCGAGAACACCGGTAATTTGAGAGGCTTGGTTAGAATATCAGCTACCTGATCTTCACTTATGCAGTAGATTAGATCAATTATTCCATCCTTTGTGAGGTTATATAGGAAATGGTAGAGAAGATCAATGTGTTTTCTTCTGCCATGTAAAACTGGATTCTTGGACAACTTGATTGCTGAACTGTTATCACAATAAACAGGAGTTTGACCATCTTTCAAACCACGTAATTCTTCAAGTATCCTCCTCAACCAAATAGCTTGACAACTGCAGGCGGTTGCTGCAATAAACTCAACTTCGGTGGTTGACAGAGTGACAATCTGTTGTTTTTTGGATGACCATTAAATGGCTCCTGCTCCTATCATATATGCATAACCTGAGGTGCTTCTCCTATCATCTGGGTCTCTTACATAGTCACTATCAGTGAAGCCAAACAAACCTGATTTAGCTCATTTATTGTATAATATTCTAAAATCAATTGTGCCCTTCAGGTAACGAAAAATTCTTTTTGCTGCCGCCAAATAAGACACTTCTCGACACTCCATAAATCTGCTAATGAGACTCACTGCATGTTGTATGTATGGCCTAGTCGCTGTCAAATACATCAGACTTCCTACAATCTGTTTGTAAAGAGTTTGATCAACCTTCTTCTCTTCAAAATTCTTTATTAGTTTCAAACCAATTTCAATTGGTGTATAAACTGAATTGCAATCTTTCATCTCAAACCTGTCTAAGATCTCTTGAACATATTTCTTCTGTGAAATAAATATTCCGACACTAGATTGTGCTACTTCTATACCAAGAAAATAGTGCATCAATCCAAGATCAGACATATCAAACTCATGCATCATGGATTTCTTAAAATCATTAAACATGACCACATCATTACTTGTATGGATCAAATCGTCCACATACAAGCACACGATGAGTATCTGCCCTTCCTCTCCAAATTTTGTAAAGAGTGTATGCTCATATGGACATTTTTGAAATCCTTATCTTGCAAAATATGCCTTTATGCTGTTGTACCAAGCTTTGGGAGCTTACTTCAGCCTATATAATTTAGCATGTAAACTTGCATTTCCTTCCCTGGATGAACATAACCTACTGGCTGCTCAACATCAACCTATTCTTGCAACTTACCATGTAAAAACGCAAACTTCACATCTAGCTGGAAGATAGGCCATGAGTTCTGTGCTGCCATTAAAATCACCAGTCAGATTGTGTCATGCCTTGCGACTGGCGCAAGCAATTCTGTGTAATCAACGTTGTACTCTTGCTTGTAACCTTTCGCCACCAAGCGTGCTTTGTGCTTATGACTCTCACCCTTCTTATTCAGCTTTGTCTTAAAGACCCGTTTGACACCAATTATCTTATGCCATTGTGGAAGCTCTGTCAACTCCCAAGTATTATTCTTCTCAATAGATTTGATTCCTCATCCATGGCTTTCTACTACTTTGGTTCTCTGATGACATCAGAAAATGACACAGGATCAGAATCTACAAACAAAGGAAAGTGAACAAGTGGATCATCATCACTTCCTTTAGTTCCACTAACGGAATCAAACACCCATTCAGAATCTATCAAACAAAGGAAAGTGAACAAGTGGATCATCATCACTTCCTTTACTTCCACTAACGGAATCAAACACCTATTTAGAATCTATCATCCATGCAAGCCGCTTCTTTAAACGTTAGGGTTGTGCACTAGATGAACTTGCAGCATGAGCTCTAATTGGTGGAACAATTGAAAAAGTTGGTGTCGGAACTACTGAAGAAGTTGGTGCTGGAACAACTAAAGAAGTCAATGCCAGAATGTACTGTTGTGGCTGCTACTGTTCCAGTTGTTGTTGTTCCATGTTGTCATCAAAATTGACTGGAATCTTCTGCTGCTGTTGAGAAACATCATCACTCTAATTCCATGTCTTCTCTTCATTAAATACAACATCTCAGCTAATAATAATCTTTTTGGACACATGATTGAATAATTTATACGCCTTGGAAACTTCTCTTATGCCAAGAAAGACACATTTTTCACCTTTGTCATCAAGCTTCTTCCTTTTCTGATCTAGAATACGTGCATATGCAATGCAGCCAAAAACTTTGAAGTAACCAACTGCTGGTTTATGGCCGCTCCATGCCTCTTCAGGTGTCAAATCTTGAACAGCAAAAGTTGGATTTTAGTTCAGTATGTGAATGCTCCAGTTTACAGCTTCCGCCCAGAAACTCTTTGGAATGCAACTCTTTGTCTGCATACTACGTACCATATTTAAAATGGTACAATTCTTCCTCTCTGCCACACCATTCTGTTGTGGTCCATAAGTTGCCGTAAGCTGTTGGCGAATGCTATGTATAGCCCAAAAATTTTCAAAGGCTTTTGAATTGTATTCTCCACCACGATCAGTTCGAAGAACCTTGATCGTTTTCTCTATCTCATTCTCTGCAACCACCTTAAAGTGTTTGAATGCATTTAAGGCTTCTGATTTCTCATGTAAGAAATAAACCCATGTTTTTCTGTTGTAATCATCAGTGAACATTTAAAGTACCTTTTTCGGTGTTGGAAGCTGAAGTTATTGGCCCACAAATATCTGAATGGACCAGCTCAAGAGGTCTTCGAGCCCGCCATGCTTTTCCCTTCGGAAAGGTTTCCCTATGTTGTTTTCCAACAACACAAACTTCAGTTGGACAAGTTATTTGAGGAAGGCGAATTACCATCTCCTTATCATGTAGCGTCTTTAAACCTCTAAAATTCAGATGACTATAACGTAAATCCCACAACTACGCTGGATCATTGACCTTGGTAGAGAAACACGTAGGATCATCACTCTGAATATGTAATGGAAACATTCGATTTGTCATCATGTAAGCCTTAGCAATTAAGCCCCTCTTTTGGTCATGTATCTGACAAGCTCCTCCTATAATCTTGATCTCATATCCCTTTTCATGCAGTTGTCTCAAGATCAGCAAATTGCTCTTGAAACTCGGGACAAAGAAAACACTAGAGATGGTATGGACAGTGTTATCTTTAGCCCAAATTTTGAAATCTCCTTTTCCCAAAACAAAAACTTTGGTGTTGTCTCCAAATTTGTAGTTGTGAAACTTTCATCGAAGGTAGAGAAAATTGACTTTTCTCCACACATGTGATTACTGCAACTTATATCCAAGTACCACACGTTCTTTTGTGGGTTTTCCATGGTTTGACACACCATTAGAATAGCCTCTTCTCTTGCTCTACAAAATTCGCCCTTGTACCCTTTGCTTTATTCATATTTGTGTAACATTTAGACTGGTAATGACCATAGTTGCCACACCTGAAACAATCGACGTCTGATTTGCCGACATTCGAACCATGATTGTAGGATTGCCTTCAGCCTCTGCTGCTTTTGCCCCCATAATTATAATAGCTTTTACTGTTACTGCTGGAATCATGAGTGTCTTTGTTCCCATCTCTGCTACCTGGACCTCTTTCATGGCCGCCGCCTCTACCGCGTCCTCGTCCACAACCACCACAACCTCTTGTTGCCGAAGAATCAATATTTGTTGAAACTTTTAAGGCATGTTCCTCAGATGTACTCTGATTGATCTTCTGCTCATGGACAAGCAAGGAACTCTGCAGCTCATCAATTGAAAGCTGCTCAACATCATTTGACTCCTCAGTGGAGCACACAATGTAATCAAACTTTGTAGTCATAGATCACATGACCTTTTCTACGATGGTCACGTCTTCCATATTCTCGCATCTTGTTTGCAATTGCATGCCATTGCTTTTGAAAAATAGTCATTGACGGACTCTCATTGTTTCATCTAAAGAGTCTCAAAATCTTTCCTTAGTGCTTGCAGCATTGAACACTTCACCTTTGTTGAGCCTGGTACTTTTTCTTCATGGAGTCCCAAATTTGCTTGGAAGTATCTTTTTGGAGAATGGTCTCCAAGATGGAATGATCAATAGCTTGGAATAAGTAATTTTTCGCCTTCAGATCTTTCAGCTTGGATTCATCCAATTTCTTTTGTTGTATCTCCGTCAACACCACTCCACTTTCCGGTTCTACTATACCGGTTTCTGCGAGAGTCCAGCATTCTTTAGACCTCAGGAAATTCTCCATCAACATGCTCCAATGATCATAATGACCATAAAAGCATGGTATGGCTGGCTGCACATAGTTGTCTGTAACCTTGTTAGACGCCATAGAAACTTACTGCCGTAAGTGCAATAATAACTTACTGCTTTTGTGGGAAATTTTTCATCAGGCCCCAGTGGGGAGCTCTGATACCAAATGTAGAGTTAAACTCAAAATCCAAACACATGTGAGAGGAGGTGCTGGAAAGTGTAATTGTATATTGATAAAGTTGAACTTAAATAGAACGTTACATCACCAGACTACGCTAAATTCAAGGACATGACTCCTACTAACTTAATCCATTACTGACACTACTAACAAACTGCTCCACTACTGGGAGACTCCTAAAGACTTGGTAAAACATAACAACGTGCAACATAACTTCCTATAGGATAATCAGTTTATTTAATTAAAACAACTGCTGTAACTAGATAAAATCTTAACACATGCCACACAACATGGAGTATCTCAATTAATATGCGCTCTCTCTTTCTCTCTCTATATTTACTATCTTAACTCCCCACCCTCAGAAATATTAGATAAACACATAAAAAAAAAAAAAAAAAAAAAAAAAAAAAATAAAATAAAATTAGTTGATTTTCAATTATGTGCAGGTGTCAGCGCAGGGTTATTGATTTTACTGGGGGCAATTTCATGGTTCTATTGCTGTCTGCAAAGAAGAAAGTTCACCAAACTCAAAGAAAAATACTTTAGAGAAAATGGTGGTTTATTGTTAGAACAACACGTTGCTAGCCAAGGAGGCTCTATGGAGACAACCAGGATCTTTACTGCAGAAGCACTTGAAAAGGCCACAAACAATTACCATGAAAGTAGAGTCCTTGGCGAAGGAGGCTATGGAACTGTTTACAAAGGAATATTACCAGATAACAAAGTGGTTGCCATAAAGAAGTCCAAAATTGGTGCCTCAACCCAGAAGGAACAGTTTGTTAATGAGATGATTGTTCTCTCTCAAATCAACCATAGAAATGTGGTGAGGCTATTAGGTTGCTGTTTAGAGACACCAGTTCCTTTACTAGTTTACGAGTTCGTCACCAATGGCACTCTTTTCGCCCACATTCATAATATAAGGGACAAAAGATCATCACTTCCATGGGACTTAAGAATGAAGATAGCAACAGAAACTTCAGGAGCACTAGCATACTTACACTCCTCCACTTCCATGCCAATCATACACCGGGATGTCAAAACAACGAACATACTGTTAGATGAAAATTACACAGCGAAAGTGTCAGACTTTGGAGCTTCAAAATTGATTCCTGTGGATCAAACTCAACTAACAACTTTAGTGCAGGGGACACTCGGATACTTAGACCCTGAATACTTCCTTTCAAATCAACTAACGGAAAAGAGTGATGTTTATAGTTTTGGAGTTGTCCTAGCAGAGCTACTAACAAGTAGAGTAGCACTTTGTTTTGGCAGGCCTGAGGCTGAGAGAAACCTAGCAAGCTTCTTTGTTTGTTCAGTGGAGGAAGATCGCTTGAATCAAATTCTTGACGATGACATAGTCAACGATGGAAATATTGAGATTCTGAAAAATGTGGCCATTCTCGCGAAAAGATGCTTGATGTTACAAGGGGAGGAAAGGCCTACAATGAAAGAGGTAGCCTTGGAGCTAGAAGGCATGAGAATTAAGGCAAAGCATCCATGGGGGAAAGCTGATTGTCCAGAAGAAACTGAGCACTTGCTTGGTTCAGGCAAGTCAGATGCTTATTGTGTGGATGTTACAGCAGCAGATTGTGGTCATCCTAGTGGTACAAGTAGTGGATATGACAGCATGCAAATCCAGATGTTAACGTCGTATGGTGATGGCCGATAATCGATTGCTAGGGTCTAGTTGCGATGTATATGCTAGAAATAAACCAATATGTTGTTCTTTGTTGGTCTTATTGGTTATGTTATGAATTCAAGATGTGTTTTCTGTCGGTGATATATGATGAGTTGAGAAATTATACTTTTTCAAAAATGACCCCGGACTTAATCAAATCTACCATTTTTTTCAGTTTCTAGAAACCAGTAAAGGTTGATAAGTTCTTGGAGGTTTACCGGTCAACCTTTTCCTTCATTTATAAACATCACAAAAACTTTTCAGCAATTCTTATTTATAATTTTAAAAGAAAAAAGAAACCAACTCTAATATAACGAGTCGGGGTTAAAAAAAACATTAACAGAGACAAATGAGTTAATTAGAAAGACCGTTTCCCACATAAGCCGAAATGCCAACACGCGTCTTAATTCCTTCCACATAAAAGGCCAGCGTTGTTGGCTGTTTTCTTCACTCAAAAATCATCCCAAAACATTAGCACAATTTAATTGCTGCAGCCTGCATGCATACAATATGAAGAGGATGCTAATTATTTTGCAGCTCTCTTTGGTCATGGTGGAATTGGTTGTGATATTACTATTAGCAACTCCAATTGCAACAGCAGCTCAAGCCCTGCCTGGCTGCCAAGATCATTGTGGCAATCTCACAATCCCATATCCATTTGGTATAGGCCCTGGCTGCTACCTCCAACCCGAATTCAACATCACTTGCAACCAATCCACCCAGCCCCCAACAGCAAATTTGAAGACAAGCAATATCAAAATCACCAACATATCCCTTGAAGAGGGTGAGCTCCAAATTCAGCAATATGTAGCCGAAGACTGTTACAACGCTCAGGGCAACCGGACGGACAGAAACGTCCCCAGGCTCCGGGTGTCTCCTCCCTACACCATCTCCCATACCAAGAACAAGTTCTACGCCCTTGGCTGCGACACGTTAGCGTATTTTACTGGCTACCGGGGCAACCAACGGTACACGACGGGGTGCGTGTCCATATGTGATAGTCTAGATATGGCTGTTGACGAGCAGGACACTTGCTCCGGCGTAGGCTGTTGCCAAGTGTCCATCCCTAGCGGACTGAAAAATCAGACTGTCATGTTGACAAGCCCTACAAATCGCACGGGCATATGGGACTCTCACCCTTGCAGCTACGCGTTTATTGTGCAAGCTGACCGCTTCGAATTCAGTCGTACGAGTTTGCAACTGATGAACAACAAAAGTTTGCTTCCGGCGGTTCTTAATTGGGAAATTGGGAATCAGTCATGTGAAGCAGCTCAAAAGAGCGAAGGTTTTGCATGCAAGGGAAATAGCACCTGTACTACTGTTGGGTCGGCAGGTTACACTTGCAAGTGCATGCCAGGTTACCATGGGAATCCATACCACCCAGATGGTTGCCAAGGTATATATATATATGTTTCAATATTTCCTGCTAAATATTCGAACTTTTTTTTCTTCTAAGAATACTACATTCGGTTTTTACCTAAGTTACGTTGATGCTGGAAAAGCTAAAATTGGCATTTTACCTGATGTTTGGCTTTCCATACTATCTTTCAGATACTGATGAGTGCAAGGATTCAAACCCCTGCCCTATCGGAACGTGCATAAATTTACTGGGAAATTATTCTTGTAAATGTCCCGAAGGGTACAAAAATGACGTCATGGATGAAAAGAAATGCATCAAAGACAACAGTCGTTCAAAGATCATTCTCCCGCTCGTTATTTCATTGGGTATGCCTCTTAATTTACATGGTAACATGCATCATAAAATCATAGCCTAAATTTATTTTAACTGACAATTTCGGATCCGAATCCAAAATTCTCATAACGTTTTTCCGTATTATTACAGAATAAGAAATCCACACATAAGTCATGCTAGCTAGCCTGTTCCAATTTCAGTCTTTTTAATATAATATATATTGGAAGTTTTCCCTTTTTAGTACTAAACATTTTTAACAACTTATACATATTGATTAATCTCAGTAAGAAGACTTATGAAATTTTCATTGTGATATAACATATCACTTTGACTAAAACATTAATTTTTCCTAAAAAGAAAGCTCTAGCTAGCTAACAAACTCTTAAATCAAATGAGGTAGTTGTAATGCTATTTAATTATCTGCAGGTGCCAGTGGAGGCTTCTTGCTTTTACTGGTTGGAAGTTTATGGATATATTGGGGTATGCAGAGAAGAAAGTTCCTCAAACTCAGAGAGAAATACTTCAAAGAAAATGGCGGCTTATTATTACAACAACTCGCTAGTCAAGGAGGCTCTATGGAAACAACAAAAATCTTTACAGCAGAAGAACTTGAGAAGGCCACTAACAACTACCACGAAAGTAGAATCCTTGGTGAAGGAGGCTATGGAACGGTTTACAAAGGAATATTACCAGATAACAGTGTGGTTGCCATAAAGAAGTCAAAAGTTAATGGTGCGCCAGCTCAGAGTGACGTTTTTATTAATGAGGTGATTGTTCTCTCTCAAATCAAGCACAGAAATGTGGTGAGGTTATTAGGTTGTTGTTTAGAGACACCGGCGCCATTACTGGTTTACGAGTTCATTGTTGAGGGCACTCTTTCTGAGCACATCCATAAAAATATTGACAAAAGATCATCACTTTCGTGGGAGCTGCGATTGAATATAGCGACAGAAACAGCAGGAGCACTAGCATACTTACACTCCTCTGCTCTCATGCAAATTATCCACCGAGATGTGAAAGCAACAAACATACTATTGGATGAACATTACACGGCAAAAGTGTCCGACTTTGGAGCTTCAAGATTGATCCCTCTAGATCAAACTCAACTAACAACGTTAGTGCAAGGAACATTTGGATACTTAGACCCCGAATACTTCCTTACAAATCAACTGACGGAAAAGAGTGACGTCTATAGCTTCGGAGTTGTTCTTATGGAGCTATTGACAAGCAAAGTGGCACTTTCATTCGCCAGGCCCGAGGAGGACAGAAACCTAGCCAACTTCTTTGTTCGTTTCATGGAGGAAGATCGCTTGAATGAGGTTCTTGATGATGACATAGTCAACGAGAGAAACGTTGAGACACTAAAAAAGGTGGCAGAAGTCGCAAAAAGATGTGTAAGGTTAAAAGGGCAGGACAGGCCTAGCATGAAAGAAGTAGCAATGGAGCTAGAGGGAATGAGAGTTACACCAAAGCAACCATGGGGAAAATCTGAAGTTTCAAGTCCAGAAGACACTGAGTACTTACTTGGTTCAGCTATGAATTCAGACGCTTATTTTGTGGATGTTAGAGGTGATTTTGGTTCTAGAGGTGCAACTATTGGTACAACCAGTGGGTACGATAGCATTCAAATCCAAATGGTAATGCCGTATGATGGACGATAGTTGACTGACTTCATGTCGCTAGCGTCTAATGATGTAGTTTAAGGAATCTAAACCACTATTAATTTGTTCATTGTCTCTTGTAAATATTTTTTGTGTGTGCATAAATATATACTAGATGTATATCCTGTTCTTTGTTGGTCTTATTGATTTATTGATTCTTTGAACTCAAGATGAGCACACAGTATTTACATGTTATATCAGTTAGGAATTTGTCACTTGTCAGTTCAAGATGATTTTGCAAATGTCTATGGAATGAGTTGGATCTGAATTACAAATGTCTAAAGACGAACTTTTGGTAACCTGCACTATTCGTTTCTCAATAAATGTAGCAGTATTCCGCTATAAACCAACATTCTTGATTGGACTGTGAACTTCGGACCCAAGTCAGAATCAGATTTACAGATGGAAAAACAGTTCAATCAGCAAAAACTAAGGTCATCTAATTTTAAACCACGGTTTCAAGTCTTTTGCGGCGACTTGCAACGTTTCATGGACATTTCGTGACGAAATTAAGGTGGATATTTTTCAAACATCATTTAGCGGCGATTTGTTTCGCCGTTAGCCATCGCCAAATTACCTTTTAGAAGCGGCTATCAAAGTCGTCGCTAAAGATCCATAGGATAATTTGAACAGCCCCATTCCTGTGCCTTTACAGTGTTTTTCTTTACCCAAAACACCTTGATTTGGGTAATCTTGAGTGGTTTCTCTCTGTACAGATTTTACTAAAGCTTATTTTTTGGTTTTATGAAAAGATTGTGCATATATAAAATACTTAGACAGGCTTGATTTCTAATGCCAAATTCCCCCAGCACCCTTTCTCATTTGGGTAAGTTTCACTACAATAGATGGAATAAACACCATTTCCAAAACTACACGGAATAAACACATTGTTTTAAATTAAGCGAGAAACAACTAAATTGCCACCCATCCAAAGCTTTAGGAATTAAGTACTGTTAAACACCATAACATTTGCTTTGGTTCGGTCAGTGTCTTGCATAAGCTGCTGATTCGGAGTAGAAAGCCTGCTGAAAAACTTCACCATTGAAACGCAAATGTAAGTTCTATGACATTTTCTATATGAAAATAAACTTAAATCACCTTAACCTTTCTTTCAAAATCCACTGGGTAAACCTAGCAAAAGTCCAGGAACAGCTACAAAGGCATTTTAAAAACCTCCCTTCCCCCTTTTGCCAAGGAAAGCCTTTAAAGCAGGAAAACATTTCAGGAAGCAGTTACGAATTTACAAAATTGGACTGCATTCTCTTGATTAAGAGCTAATTATGACTTACCATTGCTTATATGGCGGCCTGATTAGTATGGTTCACACACCCCAACCCACACGAAACCATTTCCATGGCTACGAGATTTTCAAGTTCTACAGTTTACAAATACTGTAGGGACAGTGAAATGGTATTCCAAAAGTAATTTCATGCTTTAGTGCACATGAACAATCAAGACTGAGGTAGCACATGCTTTTCGTTTCAATCATGATGCACAAAGAATTGAATTTGTGCAATGTGAACTTAAGAAGATAAACATGTTGACTTTGATTTGTCCCCCACAATATGCACAAGTAATATCCCTCCCCCTTCTCAACCAATGACACTTAATGCCATGTTCTTCCCCTTTCATGCAACCAGTGGCAACTCTATCTTGGCATACACTTTCAGATATACAGGTCACCAAGACATGATTAATTTCATGTTTTCCTAAATGACAAAGGCATGTAGATCGAATAACAAAATAATTGAAATACCAATCATCAAACTAAAAGAGCCAAGAGGTCATCCAAAAACTATATTAGGGAATAAGCTTCTTCGTTTCATCAAACATTCTTAAACTCCATTAACATATGAACAAAATTGATATTGGGTAATCCAATCTTGAACCAGGGAACTTCAAAAAAGGGCAGAGTTAAGGGTCTATCACCAAATCTTAATTGTTCATAGGGAGCAACGTTCCTCTTCACAGTACTTCAGTGCTAAGAAGTAACCCCTAGCTTCTGTTTCAACCAAGAAGATGGCTTTCAAGAAGGTCATTTTCGAAACGTCCAACTTAACTGAAATTGAAACTCAACTTCATTGAATTAAAATGCAAAAGATCGAACCATAGGATTGAAGTTTCCACAAAACCCAATTAGCAACGACACAACACAAGTGGAGGCTGGAGCCCATAGAATCTCATACCCACAATATTCAAAACCAAGTTTAAAATATATCAAAAACATACTGAAACTCTATTCAAATGTGAACAAAATTGACAATGGTACTCCAATGTTTAAATAGGGAACTTCCAAAAAGGGAAAAATTAAGGGCCTCTAAAACAAAACTAAATTCATGAACGATAGCATAAAGTGCAGCACAAATACTATCACCCAAAAAAAATTCTGTTCAAAGGGATCAACTTTCCTCTTCACAGTAGTATTTCAGGGCTAATTTATAACCCCTACCTTCTTGTATCCTAATATTGGTCCAGACACAGATGAAATTCCTCCATTAACTAATCATCTAATTAGCTAATTAGATGGTGACTTAGCAATGGGACATATAAATAATTTCAATTTTAATTGAAATTGATATTCAACTTCACTGAATTAAGATGCTCAATATTCAAAATGAGATTTTACCTGAGAGATTAACCGCTGAAACTCGCAGGCCGGAAACCCTCGAACAGGATGCTCGCAATTTTCCCCTTCCAAGTTCTGGAGAGGAATTGATTCAAAAGAATAAAAGAAAAAATCTAATAAAAAGTTGAAAACGGTTCGTTTTGAATAGGAAAAGAATATGTGAGAGAGAAATTGGATTTTCTTTGTTTGGGCCCAAATATCTAGTTGGACTCGGTAACGAGCCCATTATTTGTTTGGTTTTGGACTTTGGGCCTAGCTTTTTGAAATACAGACTCTCTCTCTCTTTGTTTATATTTTGACACTTTTTAATACATACCCAACAAATGTCATCAAATAATAGTGACTGTGACTACTTTTTTCTGTAGTGTGTGTTGCGATGCCAATGTCACACACTTGTCCCAACAACGTGTTAAGTTGTAACAACATATACAAGGGAGGCAATACTAAAATGGGCTGTTAAGGCTCTCTTGGTTCATAGATTTTGTGATGTCCAGCTATACTCAATTAAATTAGTTAGTCTGATCCAACAGTTAAGATATAAGACCTCACCTAAGTACCATAGATAAAACCCTCACTATAGAATGACTCTTGTTGGCAAACACACATATATACCACCAAAGCTACGCCACACATATGGTTCAAATGTTTTGTTTTTAATTATCTTTTTCTTTGTCTTTGTTTTGACTTCAGAGTCGTTGGTAGGGTTCGATTTGAAGTCTACCATTTTTTTAATTTTCTAGAAACCAGTAAAGGTTGATAAGTTCTTGGAGGTTTACCGGTCAACCTTTTCCTTCATTTAAACATCACAAAAACTTTTCAGCAATTCTTATTTCTAATTTTAAAAGAAAAAAGAAACCAACTCTAATAAAATTACTTGACTTCACTTCGCCCCCGCCGTCGAGAAATTACCGTCGCCTGTTGATTATTTATCGATTCGGATGTTTTCTTGCATTTATTTATACTAATTCCGACTTAATCAGGTCCACGATTTCTAATTTTCTTGATTATTGCGTGGACTTGGTCATTTATTTGTTTAATGACTTGGTCATTACACGGTACCAGCAATCAAGAAAGAAAAAGGCCCATGAAGGAAAAATATTATTTATTTATTTGACCGAGTATTTAACCAATCCGTACACACCAGGAAGACATTTTTTATTTATTTATTAATTCCCTCCCTAAAACATTAAACCAATTCTTAGTACAAGGAAAAATCAAGTGGTGCAAGCCATGGCCTTACTTGGGAGCATGCTTATTATTGTGCAACTCTCTATGGTTGTGCTATTAGGGGCGGCAATATTTACACCAATAGCATCAGCAGCTAAAGCCCTGCTGCCTCAAGCCAAGCCTGGGTGCCCAGAGAAATGCGGTAATCTCACAATCCCCTACCCATTTGGCATAGGTGACGGCTGTTACCTCCGACCCGAATTCAACATCACATGCAACCAAGCCAGCACACACCCAACATACTTGACCAGAAACAACTTGAGCATTACTAACTTCTACTTTGATGAGGCTGAGCTGCAAATAGCACATGATGCAGCCGATAGCTGTCATGACGCCCTTGGTAATCCCAGCAACAGCACCAGCAACAACGTATATTACCTGATGCTGCCTCCTCTTTACACCATCTCCGAAACCAAGAACAAATTGTTTGTCATTGGCTGTGAAGCTTTTGCACTTTTGGATTTGCAGATCGCAGACCCTACCCCAGACAAAACAAAATCCACCCAGGGCTACAGTGTGGCGGCATGCGACAATATTTTAACAAGCAACAACAAAGTTCCCGACACTTGCTCCGGCATTGCGTGCACCGAATCTGGCCTCGTTGGTGGATTGGTAGTCTTTGAGATGACCCTGATTTACTATAGCTTTGGGGAGCAGAACAGGAATGAAACCAAATGGTTCTACGAGGAGTACCCGTGCAACTACGCCTTCCTTGTGGAAGACTCCAAGTTTACTTATGCTCCCAATACAAGTTTTCAACAGCTCAGCAACAACAAGCAGCTTCCGGTGGTCATAAACTGGAAAGTTGGGGATGAGCCGTGTGATGTAGTTGAAAAGAGCAATAATTCTTTATGCAAGGGAAATAGCAAGTGTGTGGACTGGTCCATTGTCCATGGTAAGCCTGGTTATATTTGCAATTGCTCGGAGGGCTACCATGGGAATCCATACCTCACAGATGGTTGCCAAGGTACTGATGATGCTTTCTTCTCTTTTCTTTTTTTTATAAATCAAATATTTCATACATCAACATCGCCACAACATATGAAACATCATATTGTGAATCTTGACTATTGATCATTAACTTGATTCTTACCTAATTTTATTGCTTGACATGGGATTATTTTTCTTTCCGTTTCAGATATTGATGAGTGCGAGACTTCAAACCCCTGCGACAATGGAACTTGCCATAATCTAGATGGAAGTTACTATTGTAAATGTAATAGTGGGTACAGAAACCACGACCCCAAGACCTGCATCCCCGGAACAAAGAGCACTGCCCTCAAAATTTCATTGGGTATAATTTCATATTGCTAGCTGCTATTTACATATAATATGTATCGTAATTAACAGGCATACATGTTATACACTTGTTCATAAATAGGTCAACACGTTTGTCTAAGAAAATTACAATAAGCTGCTTTTATTTGACCAGTAATAATATAATTAAAAATAATAATAAAAAATTGAATAATCAATTTCATTGTGATAATAGTCCCACCATGTCATATATATAAAAAGCAAGTTTGACTTGGATTTTGCAGGTGTCTGTCTGAGCTTCTTAGTTTTACTGGTTTTAGTCTTTTGGATATATTGCGGAGTCAAGAGAAGAAAGTTCAAGAAACAACAAGAAAAGTTCTTTAAACAAAATGGGGGCTTACTTTTACGACAACAACTGACTCGATACAATGGATCCATAGAGACAGCCTCAATCTTTTCTGAAGAAGAACTGAAGAAGATGACAGACCATTACGATGAAAAGAGAAAGATTGGTGAAGGAGGATATGGACTAGTTTACAAAGGTACATTGCCTGCAGATAAAAGAGAGGTTGCCATAAAAATGTCCAAAGTCAGTGCCCCAATTACTGACAGCTTGGAGTTTGCTAACGAGGTGATTCTTCTATCTCAAATCAACCATAAAAATGTTGTGAAGCTCCTTGGTTGTTGTTTAGAGACCCAAACACCTATTCTCGTTTACGAGTTCATCTCCAATGGCACTCTTTATGATCACCTTCATGGAAAAGACGGAAAAGAAAAACTTTCGTTGGAATCGCGGTTGAAGATAGCATCAGGTACTGCAGAAGCTCTCTCGTACTTGCACCACTCCATTTCTAATCCAATAATACACCGAGATGTGAAAGCAATGAATATACTATTGGACAAGAATTATGTAGCTAAAGTAGCAGACTTTGGGGCTTCACGGTTGGTTCTGGAAGATCAAAATCAACTAGCAACTTTGGTGCAAGGGACGCTTGGTTACTTGGACCCTGAATATCTTCAGTCACACATTCTAACAGATAAGAGTGATGTTTATAGCTTTGGAGTTGTCCTAGCGGAGCTACTCACAGGCAAAAAGGCACTAATCAAGAAAAAAAATGAGGCAGAAAACCTGGCAAACGTCTTTGTTAGCGCAATGAAAGAGGGCCGGCTAGCTGAAATTCTTGATGCTGACTTAGTTAAGGAGGAACATAATTTCGAGACAATCGTAGAAAAAGTTGCCAATCTGGCAAACAAATGTTTAGCGTTAAGAGGTGAAGAAAGGCCTCCCATGAATGAAGTAGCCGTGGAGCTCCTGGGATTAGTGCAAATTATGGGAAAGAATACGGCTGGGGAAAAGGCTGATGATATCCAACGGTCTTCCAAAGATTCCGACCACTTGCTCGGGTCACCTGCTGCTAATTATTATAATTACGTTTTGGATGTGAGAGGTGAAGTTGGTGATAGTGATTCAATTGCAACCACTACTGCTAGACGACCAAAGCCAAATGGTGAAGCCTTACGATCATGGTCGTTGATTTGAATTTCAGTTTGTTACATTTTGAGTGAGTGCCTCGTAAAATAAAAGTGTGCAATGCAAGCAATACTTCTGTAATTGGCTGGTTTGTATTCGAAATGTCCAAGTTATATAACGTTGATTTCTAACACTTTCCGTAATCATCGTAATTCCTTTATAATATGGTCTCCCCTCAAAGAAAAAAAAGGAAAAGAAAATCATTATTCTTTTTCTTCTTCCAAAGTTATCATCAATTTAAAAAGTGATGTACATGATTTGGGACATGCATTCATGTTGGCCGTGCTTGATGAAAAGGCGATATAATTTTTTAATTTTTCAACTATTTTTATTATTTTTTTGGAATAGTTATACTTAAATGTTTTTTAAAACAATAAAAATCTTGCTTCTTACTTGATGTTAGCCAAAAAGCCGAGAAAGGTATAGAGGTGATTTTGGCCCTGGAAAATGATCAAGACACCCATTCCACCTAAGCTTTTTTCTTTCCAAATCTGCCCAACCCACATTAGCTAGGGTCTCATTACCTGTCAAAAGATTATAGGAGCATATTTTCTAATGTTTGGTACATATATTTAATTAATTTAATTGAGGTCATTCATATAGCTGGACAAATAATTTCAAATATAATTATGTGGAAAATGATCTGCAACGTCTCATTGACGAGACATTATTTGCTGAATAATAGACTCTAATATTACTTCATTGTTTTTGTGCTAAAATTAATGCTTCATTAAGTGTTTCCACCAAATAATAATATGCCTCTAGCCTCTCTGATTGATTCAAATATGGGCCCCGCTCTGAACTGAAGGCTCATTTATTCTTATTTTTCTTTACTCAGAACAACTGTGACTTCAATCCACGATGGATAGAGCTCAAAACTAATTTGTTGAGTTGGGCAGGAAAAAATTACATTAAGTGTCCGTTTGACAATGCTTATTTGGGGTAATAAGTGATTTTTTTTAAATTTTGGAAAGCTCAGCCCGTTTGATAAATTATGACAAAATCACTTATATATTGTTCAAAAATTGTTGTGAGAGAAAGCTATAAGGGAAAGCAACTAATGAGGTGCTTTCATTTTCTTATTATGTATGAATCAGTTTCGAAGAAGTGTTGTGTTTAATGATTATTCGGGAATCATTTTTTTGATTATGCGGGAATTAGTACCAACAACACTTTAACAAAAAATTTACCAAACGCCAAACTACTTTCTCTCACAACTGATTTCTGTTACAGCAAATCTAACAGCAATTATTTTTACAGCACAACAATACCAAACTGGCCCTGAGAGACACAATCTAACCAAATAAATATTATTTTCTAAATATCCTAGCACACAAGGAGATTATAAATACATATAGCCACACAAGACCTTCAATATAATTTTAAAACTCGACAAAAATCTCTATGAAATTGGTACTTAGGTGACGAGGGGTAAATTTTACGACACAACCAAGACACAACAACCTTCACACACTTTAGAACTTTACCGAAGACACTTATGACTAGTCAACAGCTAGTCATGAACAACCACAATCAAGGGTGCACATAGAGCATGCCACAAAGTACCTGCAACCCTAGAAGATTACTAGTGACAACCTAGGCACTCAAAAGGACCCATTAATCTAGACATCCTTTGTGCTAGCAACAACTATGGTGAAAGTGTGTGAAATCATTATAATCAAGTATATACCAAACAGCAGATAAAGATGACTAGTCAATCACCAAGAACACAAACCCAAAAAAAAATACAGATATGTAAAACATAAATTGTTCACCTAGAAACCCACCATTGGGAAAAACTGGGAGTCATCAATCGACCAGGCAATCCACTAAGTAGAAAAAGATTCTTACAAAGGAAACACAACTAAGCTCAAGAAACACCTAGATCTATTTAGGAATATGAGCTATACCTCCTTCGTGCAATCTTCTTCTCCAACTTAGCAAAACTTGAAGCTCAATTCTTCATATCAATGGCAGCTCATTCTCCAGCTCGTTCATCCCATGGCACTAGCTTGCAAACTCCAACTCAAACCGAAACCAAAATTTGGCTTCATAGGAGAATGACCAATTTCTTCAAGAAACCATACTCTTGAAGAAATCAGTCTTGAATCTGACCTAGATATAAATGAGAGAGTGTTTTATGAAGCTAGATGCATATTAGTATTTCAAATGCAGTTTTTCAAAAAGAAATCAATGGGAAAAACTCATAGATGAAATATTTGGTTCTCTCTTGAGGAAGAAGAAGAGAAAGATAGCAAGCCAATCTTTCCAAAACTTCCACACAAAAGAGACGGCTGCTAAAAGAGGAATTCACTAGCCTTTACAAACAAAAATCCCTTAGGTCAAAATGACACATGGCAATAGAGAGAGAAAAGAGAATATGACAAAAAAGTTGGTTAACCAGCTGGAAATCCTACAGAGCAAGGATGACTTGGCATATGAGAAACAGATGACTAGTCATCATTTTATGAAAACAATTTAATGCAATGATATGCAATGCACAATTTACCTTTAACAATTTGCTTGAGCCTCCATAGGATAGTTGTTAGTTAAGAACACCTAGAGAAGCTATTCTTAAACTAAACATGAGCTTGATAAACACAATAACAATCCTATTACAAAGATGTCAAGGGAAGCCAAAAGAAAAACTCATAAATGCATACATTAACAATCTCCTTTTTTTTTGGCTTTCCTTGACAACACTCTCTAAAAACACTCAACCCAAGACCAAACCTAAGGAGATGATGAAGTGAAAGTACTTGCAAAAACAGCCAATCTCCCAAGCACAAAAACAAGCATATTATATCACATAATTTAAAATAATATGCAATATGGGGGGTTGAGAGTGTGCTCCCCCTAGTTGATAAGGAAAGTGCAAAAAAGGCAAGGAATTAGAAACAGCACACAGTAGGTTTAAACACAAGGCAGAGAATCTGATTTGAACAAAGTTAAAAACAATTAGCATAGATTGATTACAAGGAAAATAACACTTGTTCAAAACAGTACAACACAATTCCCCCTAAACAAGATGCACAGACTACCCAAGCAAAACCAAAACCCTCACAATGTGATTACAATGATATACACCCAACCTGTCCAAAAATACTCCCCCTATCTAGGACACTTCCTATGTAGAACACTGCAGCTAGAAAACAAGAGAATCAGCAAATTCATCATAATCTACAAAGTCATCTGAGTCCTCCGTGGCAGGAGTTGGTTGAGCATGTACTTCAGCAGCAGCAGCAGGAACCGAAAAGGATGGAATTTGACTTAACAGATGTTGAATGTGTCTCTCCTTGGCAGCAAGCTGAGATCTGAGGGAGGCATTTTCAGAAGTAGATGACACAGATGTCAGGAAGGGTTTTGACACCTTTTGGCTAAGGGCAGCAGAGGCCTTGCCAAACGGAGCAATGGGTGGATTCCACTGATCGGAATCAAGAAAGGCCACTTGGTTGCTCTCACAGAGACACTAGATAAGACAGGGGAAGACAAGAGTCCCCTTGTGTTTTGTACCATGACCAATAGTTTTGCCAAGAATTGCATGATAAATAATATCCCCAAGGGGAATTTTATCATGATTCACCATTGAAATCATGAGTTGACAGCCAGCCAGAGTGGGATTGGAATTGTTTCCAGTGGGGAGAACATTGTGACGGATAAAGTCCCATAAAAATTTGTAAAATGGTGAGAGATAAGACTTGATAAGGAGGCCTTTAGAGGTCAGAGGCATAGTTTGATCAGTATAGGCCATGGTTTTAAACAAATCAACATTGTACTGAAAAGAAACACGAGCAAACTTCTCATAATCAAAACCAGGGTAAGACCTAAAACCTAAGACCCGATTGATGACAGATGGGATATATCAGTTGGGATATATATATATATATATAATATATATATGTCACTTTTCAATTCAAGGTGATTTGTATGTTTTTTTAAAAAAAAACTTTAATTGCAAATGTGTTGAATAAGTCGTTGGATCTAGAATTGTTGTTTGTCACATCCTCGTTTAAAAGTATTTGCTGACCCTTATATGTCCGGAGTCATTTCTCCATCCATATATATTATAATCCTAATAAACTAATAAAGAGATGAAACTGATGTTGTGCCTACAGGCTACAACACACACAACTATATATATTATGCTCTGGTTCAACTTACTAAATTAAATTTATTTATGTCAAGGGGACACGTAGTTACTTATAAATCTACATATATAGGATTAATCAAAGAAAAATTCTACGCCTTAACCAACTGTTTTTTCACTGCCACTATCTCCAATCTTAAAATTTCATTTTATATTTAATTAATAGCGCTAGTGGGATCATATTCACTTAGGTATATATTTTACATATAATGTCATATTCTCTCAGTTTCAACGGAAAAAAATTAATAAAATAAAAAAGAAATGTGACAATCCCATCCCAGTAGTTGCTTGCTATTTTAGTAGTTGTTGGAAATAGTAAGACGGACGACTTAGATGTCGGCATACAATACAAGTCTTCATTCGTTCCATATCTATAGAAAGGCCAGGCTTGCTAGCAGTTTCTTCACTTGCAACGTAAACAATACAACTTGTAGTATACGTAGCTACCATAACCATTCAAAAACCAGGGTTGTTGGCTGTTTTCTTCACACTCGAAAACCATCCCAAAACATAAACACAATTTGTAGCATATAATATGAGGATGCTACTTATCCTTCAACTCTCTTTAGTAGTGGCGGATTTGGTTGTGATATTATTATTAGCAACTCCAATTCCAACAGCAGCACAAGCCCTCCCTGGCTGCCAAGACCATTGTGGCAATCTCTCAATCCCATATCCCTTTGGCATAGGCCCTGGCTGCTACCTCCAACCCCAATTCAACATCACTTGCAACCAATCCTCCCAGCCCCCAAAAGCACAGTTGTTGACAAGTAATATCATAATCACCAACTTTTCCATTGAGGACGGTGAGCTCCAAATACTTCAGTACGTTGCCGAAGACTGTTACGACGCTCAGGGCAAACTCGACTGGCCACAACGTCCCCAGGCTGTGGGTGCCTCCTCCCTACACCATCTCTCATACCAAGAACAAGTTCTACGTCCTTGGCTGCGACACTTACGCGTTTTTCAGCGGCTACAGAGAAGACCAGAAGTTCACGACGGGGTGCTTGTCCATATGTGATAGTCTAGGCAACGCTGTTGACGAGCAGAACACTTGCTCTGGCGTTGGTTGCTGCCAAACTTCCATCCCTGGAGGGCTAAAGAATCAGACGGTCACGTTGAAAAGCTTTAGAAATCACAGCGATATTTTGGGCTTCAACCCCTGCAGCTACTCGTTTATTGTGCAAGATGGCCAGTTCGAATTCAATGGTATAAATTTTCAACAGCTCAACAACAGAATCTTGCTTCCGGCGGCTCTTAATTGGGAAATTGGGAATCAGTCATGTGACGCAGCTCAAAAGAGCGAAGGTTTTGCATGCAAGGGAAATAGCAACTGTACTACTGTTGGGTCTGCAGGTTACACTTGCAAGTGCAAGCCAGGTTACCATGGGAATCCATACCACCCAGATGGTTGCCAAGGTATTTGAGTTTGACAATATCCTAGTCTCACAACACGAGAAAAATTAGTATACTGCAATAAACATATGTTTGTGCGTGTGCTAGTTAACTATTGTTGCTCAAAATTGGGGATTCTTCTTAATTGATACGTGATATATATCTATATATGTGTTTTTCCTATTTCTTTCAGATACTGATGAGTGCGCTTTGAATTCGACCCTTTGTAACAATGGAAAGTGCAAAAATCTACCTGGAAATTACTCTTGCTCATGTAATAGTGGCTACAAAAACCAGGACGCAATTACATGCATCAAATCTGCAATTTCATTGAAAATACGCTGCATCAAACGCATTTCTTGGGTATGTATAACCAGCTAGCTATTTTAGATATAAGCATGCATCCTATATATTTTATAGCAAATTAATTCAACACGTTGGCCATACAAAACATACAACACACAAACAGTATATGCTATGCATGGTAAATTATTCATGATTCTGAAACAAAATAGCAGGGAAACAAATTTTATTACGAGGAAAAAAAAAAGAGGTACCTATGGAGAGTTCATTACAAAATAGTTAGCATTACTTTCAAAGTTAACAAATAGTTGGCTGATATATTATTAATCTAGTTTATTAAATATGAGTTGATGAATGAAGAGTTATTAGAAGATTTGTTAATACCCTATATATTTCTGTTTTTAATTAGAAATATAGTTTTGACACCTGACCCAGGATACTATAAAAATAGCATAAATAATTAAAGGTAGTCACTTTTGATCCGTGTAGTTTGACACTTCAAACATTTTTGACCATATAGTTTCAATTTCGTCAATTTTGCCATTGTAGTTTCGTAACTGTAGCAATTTAAGAACAATCCTCAAATTTGGCCATTTTACCATTTTTTACCCTGAATGGATGACAGAAATTAGAATAATTTGATGGAAATTAGAATTTTCCTCAAATTACTACAATTATAAAACTACAATGGAAAAATTGATGGAATTTAAACTACATGGTCAACAGTGGTTGAAGTGCAAAATTACGGGAAACAAAAGTGACTTTTAGTAATAATTAAATTACGAATATCAGCTTTGACTATGATTTTTAATTTCTGCAGGTATTCCTTTGAGCATCTTGGTTTTAGTGGTTGCGAGTTTTTGTATATATCAGGAAATGAAGAACAGAAAGTTCAACAAACTCAAACAAAAATACTTTGAAGATAATGGTGGCTTATTTTTAAAGCAAGAACTGGCCAGTTATGCTGGATCTGTTCGGACAGCAGCCAGAATTTTTACTGAAGAAGAACTTAAAAAGGCCACAAACAATTATCATGTAAGCGGAAAAATTGGTGAAGGAGGCTATGGAACTGTTTACAAAGGAATACTGTCAAATGAACAAGTGGTTGCCATAAAGAAGTCCAAAGTTAGTGCCCCAATTACCGAGAGTAGGCAATTTGTTAACGAGGTGATTGTTCTTTCTCAAATCCACCATAAAAATGTTGTGAGACTGCTAGGTTGTTGTTTGGAGACCCAAACACCAATATTGGTTTACGAGTTCATCGCCCATGGCACTCTTTATGAGCACATTCATAGGAAAAACAACAAAGGAACATCACCCCTTTCATTGCCATTACGATTGAAGATAGCATCAGATACAGCAGAGGCACTAGCTTACTTGCACTACTCCACTTCTACCCCGATCATACACCGAGATGTGAAAGCAACAAATATACTATTAGACGAAAACTACACGGCAAAAGTATCCGATTTTGGAGCTTCACGATTGGTTCCTGATCAAGATGAAGACAAACTATCAACTTTTGTGCAAGGGACAGTCGGATACTTAGACCCTGAATATCTTCAGTCAAACATACTAACAGAAAAGAGTGACGTCTATAGTTTCGGAGTTGTCCTAGTGGAGCTACTCACAAGCCAAAGGGCTCTTAGTTTTGAAAAGCCTGAGGCGGAGAGAAACCTAGCAAAAGTCTTTGTTTCCTTGTTGGACTCAGATCGCTTGGGTCAAATTCTTGATGTTGAAATAGTGGAGGGACACTTTGAGAGAGTCACAAAAGTGGCCGATCTGGCAAAAAGATGCTTAAGGCTAAGAGGGGAAGAAAGGCCCTCCATGAAAGAAGTAGCTGCAGAGCTCGATGGATTAGTGCCAACTATGGAACTGTATCCAAGTGGAGGAAAGCCTAATTTCCCTCGAACTCAGAAAGATACCGACTACTTGCTTGGGTCACCTGTTTCAAGCTCTTCCTTTGTGGATATCAGAGGTGAGGGTGATGCTGCTAGTTATAGTAGTATTTTAATCAGTGCAGATTATGAAAGGAGCATGCAAAATCAAATCCAGATGGTAACGCCTCGTGCAGATGGGCGATAATCAGTTGACTACTTGTTCCTGGTAATATTCCTCTTAAAATAAAACTATGTCATCAGCATATATCTATTGCAACTTTGTTGTGTGCTTGCAGAAATAAGAGAACAAAAAGGTCCCTCGTTTGTTTCCCACTAATTTTATCACCAATCTTGAATTTATAATTTGATATATCAAGTACAAGCTTATCATATATGGTCTCTCCACCAAAAAGAAGAAAACAAAAATTCATTCTTCTTTACATTTTTCATCAATCCTAAATGGCATTTGCGCACTAATTTTAAATTTGAAACAGAGCAAAGTTGTTGGCTGGCATTACCCATAAGCTTCTTGAATTCGTTCTTCTTTGCGAGTGTTCTAAAAATTGTAGCATATTGGTTTTCTAGAGTAAGAGGGTAAGATGAAAATGGAGACAGGGTAATAGCTAAGAGAACAAAAACATGTATCACAGCCACAAAGACTGGAACATTATGGGATCAGACAAATTTGTAGAGGAAGATCATATATTACCCCTAATCCATGACTTAGAGCCACCCCATACCAGTCTTTACTGCGCAAGAACTTACAAATGCCACAAACAATAGATTGACTTGCTGCTACTGCTACTGATGTATCCATTGTAGTTTTTCGTGCATAATACTACATTTGTCATGTTCCGAGTTGGTCTTCTATATTTATGGATGTTATGAATTGAAGATTTTCAGATTGAAAAGCATGTAATCGTTTAAGAAGTTAACATAATTAAATGAGGTTTAGGGAAATGAACTACGGAGAAAGGTTGATTTATGTGCAGAAGAGACTTGATTTATGCGTGCTTTGGCGCAGTATTGCCAGTGATTTATCAGTTGGGAATTTGTCACTTTTCAGTCCGAGATGTCTTTGGGTGGTTTTAAAATGTCTAGCTAGGATGAGTTTGGATCTGCATTTGTTTGCAAAAATATCTAAAACTTGCAACAAAGAGAACAAAGGAACTATTTTAGCAGCCCTAGACGTCACACCCTTGTCCAAATAAAATGTGGTAACAACATACATATATAAGGTAATGCTAAATGGAGTCTTAAGAATATATAAGACCCTTTCTTCAGCAATAGAGTTAAATTTTAATCACCCTTTCTTCAATAATCAACATTGTTAATCATTCTCTCTCGCCATAGCAAGGACTTGCAGATTCCAACCCACTGACCAAAGCATTAATATATCATTCTCTCTCACATTGTTAATCAGATTTCGCTTTCTTTTCCTTTTCTACTCAATTTCTCAGCAGCTAAACAGAGAAAAAGAAAACCCCTCAAAGCATTAGTATATCAACAATACACAGAGCGAATAGAAACATTTCTCCTTAACGCCACATAAAGTCTCTGTCTTTGTTTTGTGTGTACAGAGTCAGTCTACTGGATCATTGATGCTTCCCTCTTGTTTCGTCAGAAGATTTCGTCCATCGTAAGAAAATTGAACAAAAATTATATATAAATAAGGGTTTTTTTTTGTAGGAATGGTCCTTAAACTATACCCGTAGTTACATTTTGATTATTCAACTCCAAAAATAGCTGCAAAGGTCCCCCAATTATGTATGGTGTTGTATTACTAGTCCCTTTCGTCAAGTCTGTTTACTTTTCCGTTAAATCCATGGGTAAACTTAGAAATTCATAAAAACAAAATAACAAATAATAAATAAATAAGAGTTATTTGTACCAATGGTCCCTCAACTATACTCAAAGTTACATTTTGGTCATTCAACTCCAAAAATAGTTACAGAGGTCACTCAATTAGGTGTTGTGTTCTTGACCGTAGGGACTAATGGTGCAACACAATACCTAATTGAGTGATCTTTGTAACTATTTTTTGGAGTTGAGTGACCACCAAAATGTAACTCCGAATATAGTTGAGGAACCATTACTATACAAATAAAAAATAAATAAAAAAACCCTATAAATAAAGAAATGATTGGGCCTAAAAGCTATTCGAGTCGAGTTATGGATCCGCCGGTGGCCCAATCTTATGGGAAGAATTAGCGAGGCAAAAAAAGATGACGGGTTGTGTCCATGATGTCCATGGAGGAATATTATATACCCTACACATTAGGAGATTTCTTTTTTTGTTTTTCCTTTTATTCATACCATTGAGAGATTAGTATTAGTATTCAAAGTTGTACATAAAAAGTCATCTCTCCTAATACGCATGCACATTAGACGGGGCCACGTAGGATCCAGTGATGACAACAACATTGACTTCATGCAATGACATCGCACTACATGTTGCTTGATAGCAACGTGTTTGGAACAGCCACGTGGACGCTCATCTATCCGTAGACTGCATGTCAATGCATGCATTCCTTATATAGTGGGGTCAATTATTGGAGAAATTATATAATAGTACGGTATTACCACGTCAGCATATGATACTCCCATTCAAAATTTGCCATGTGTCATATTTAAAAGAAAATTAAAACTATTTATACAACTGGAGTTTGACTTCCAATTTTACCCTTTGGAATAAAATAAAAAATGAAGAAAATAAAAAATAAAAAATCCTTCAACTGGGAATCCTCCTCCACCCCCAATCTCCGTTTATTTCTCCATTTTCCTTTTCAGCTTCCTCTGCTTTTCTACAATGAAGCTGATCCAGTTTGAGATGCAGTACCGCGAGCCTTCTGGATATGCCGTATCCTGAAGGCATCTCTTGGGAGTGGGTGGCTCTGGACCGAAGCTTCCTTCCTCCTCTTGCCCTACCATTCATAAGAAATTTTGTTACTAAGAACTTGTCAATACTCTCCATATAACATTTAGGAATGCACGCATGCGCAGACACATTAAGACAGCTTGATTTGTGCTTAGCATAACTCATTAGAAGCGGTACTCATAAAATAATGATTTCAATTAGAGGTCTCTGTGGCTCATGCAAATACTATGACCTTCCTAACAAATTCACAAAACTAATGCCTAAGTGCATACACAGCCACAGCTACTACGATTTAGTAATGTCAAATCCATGAAACCAGGGCACTTGGGAGAGAGAGATGGAGGGTAGACTGTATAAAAGGAAGATGGATTCAATGATACCGTCGAGAAAAAAAAAACAAAAAGAAGAAGACTTCAATTGGCGGAGATAAGGGAAAGAGACGGTGGAGGAGGCAGGGTAGGGTTACTGCAGAGATTGACTGGAGTATTCTTTTATTTTATTTTATTTCTAATGTTATTTTAAAGGGTAAAATTGGAGGTCAAAGTCCAACTGTACAAGTATTTTTAGTTTTATTTTAAATGGGACACATGGCAAATTTTGAATGGGAGTATTATATGCTGACGTGGTAATACCATACTATTCTATAATTTCTCCAAAAACAGCTACAAAGGCATTTAAAAAACCTCCCTTCCCCCTTTCGCCAAGGAAAGCCTTTAAAGCAGGAAAACATTTCAGGAAGCAGTTATGAATGTACAAAATTGGACTCCTTAACGAGCCCATTATTTGTTTGGACCCAAATATCTAGTTGGACTCCTTTTCTAGTTGGCTCAAATGTTTTGTTTTTAATTATCTTTTTCTTTGTCTTTGTTTTGACTTCAGCGTCGTTGGTAGGGTTTGATTTGAAGTCACCATTCCGACTTAATCAAGTCCACGATTTCTAACTTTCTTGATTATTGCATGGACTTGGTCATTTATTTGTTTAATGACTTGGTCATTACACGGTACCAGCATGCAAATCCAGATGTTAATGCCATCTCCATGGACCATGCATCGTCCAAAAAATAGACACAATCAATGCGTAAATTTTCCACGGCATGTGGCCATGGACTGCAACATTAAATTGGAACCCGCCATATGACTCTCGATGGGCCAATGCCATGCGCACCAGTCTTTACTGCACAAGAATTTCACAGGCACATAGAAAATTATACAGACGACTTCAACATAGAAAAACGGGAATGGGACATTTGCATCAACGGACAAATTAGTAAAAATGAGAAGGAAATTTCCTCTAGGCTAGACCCCTGAGCCACGGCGTGACCCTACCAGTCCTTATTCCTTACGTGGATAATATGCCTACCAAACGCCAGGCTTGTTAGCGGTTTATTCACTCATAATTCAACAAACATATAGTTTGTAGAATATAGACCATACTATAATATATAATTCCTTCTAATTTCTCAGGAATTAAGTGGTGCATATATACAGTATGCCATGGCATTCTTACACGAGAGGATGCTTATTATGCAAGTCTCGTTGGTAATGGTGGCGGTGGCGACTACAGCAGTTCAATTAGCCCTGCCAAACTGCCCAGACAAGTGCGGAGATGTCACAATTCCATACCCATTTGGCATTACTGAAAAGGGTTCCATGGGACCCGAGCCCCACCTCACTCTTCTCCTGGCCCAAAAAGAAGCGTGTTCATATGATTCTATCTAGAGACTCGTCAAAAGAATCTCCCAAACGTGTGTTAGCTTGTGTGTGAAAGCAACAAATGTTGGGAGTGTGAAAGCAGGAAATATTGGCTTGACTTTGGTAGCTAGTAGGCTACTGTTTGGTAGTCATTGGCTGTTCTAGGTGGCTGTTGGTGAAGCTATGATGTACAGCTGCAATCACCAGGATTAGGAGACAAGACCACCTGCTGCCTGTAATTAATATATGGCTGCAACAACTTAGAAAAACAGGAATGGTACATTTGCATCAACGGACAAATTACTAAAGATAAGAAGGAAATTTCCTCTAGGCTAGCCCCCTGAGCCACGGCGTGACCTGCCAGTCCTCATTCCTTACGTGGCTAATTTGCCTACAAACGGCCAGGCTTGTTAGCAGTTTATTCACTTATAATTCAACGAACATATAGGTTTGTAGAATATAGACCATACTACACGGAATTAAGTTGTGTGCCATTCTTACATGAGAGGATGCTTATTATGCAAGTCTCCTTGGTAATGGCGGCAGCCGCGGCTACAATAGCTCAATTAACTCTACAATTACATGCAAAACTATTTTGAGAGTTTATCATTTGATGACTACTCTTCACAATACACTTACTCTACATGTAGAGATGATGAAGATAGTAAAAAATTTGAACCTCATAAGAACTCTGTGTAGTACTAAGTCACTCATGTATCTTACCATGCAATGTATAAAGTGTAAAATATTGTAGTAAATCATTATATATAAATGATTATGGTGTATTTAATCTTCTTTCACTAATTACTACATACTTTTTATACTCACATTGTTTGTCAGTTCGCTATATAATTAACTTAAATCACTTAACCCATCATGCAATGCATTTCCTTCCAATTTTTTATGATAAACTAATAAATAATTGAATGAATAAACATCCTTCAAAGTTTCAATAAAAATTTCCAAGTTTTTCTTACAATTTCCGTGGTTTTTATTCAATTTTTACCGATATTTCCATCGAAATTTTCGTGTTTTTGGACCACCGATATTTCTGATACCATCGATATTTTAGACCTTGGTTGGGATATATATGTTTTTTTTTTATTTTTTTTTTGTTTTTTTTTTTTTTTTTTTTATATTTTAATTGCAAATGTGTAGAATAAGTCGTTGGATCTAGAATAATTGTCATTTGTCACGTCTCTCGTTTAAAAGTATTTGGTCCCTGGTCCCTTATATGTTAGGAGTAATTTCTCCATCCACATATATTATAATCCTAAAAAACTAATAAAAAGATGAAATTGATGTCGCAAGCAGCAGTCCATACCTTCAACGGAAAAAAATTAATAAAATAAAAAAGAAATGTGACATTCCCAGTATTTGCTTGATATTTTAGTACTTGTTGGAAATAATAAGATGGACGACTTAGATGTCGGCATACAATACAAGTCTTCATTCGTTCCATATCTATATAAAGGCCAGTCTTGCTACCAGTTTCTTTACTTGCAACGTAAACAATACAACTTCTAGTATACGTAGCTACCATAACCATTCGTTCCTCTCTCTTTCAATTACTCGTAGGACCTTAGGGCATTAGGCCATGGCCTTACAAGGGAAGGGTATGCTTATTATGCAACCCTCTTTGGTGATGGTTGTACTATTGGTTGCAGTTGCGGCTGCAATTACAGCCGAAGCAGCAGCTAAACCCCGGCCAGGGTGCCCAACCCAGTGTGGTAATCTGACCGTGCCATTTCCATTTGGCATGGAGAAAGGTTGTTACAAGGACGATAAGTTTTTTATCAATTGTTCCAAAGCTACCAATCCCCCAACTGCATATTTGATGAAAGGTAATCTCCCTGTTACTAACATATCCCTTGAGGAAGGAGAGCTGCAAATACAGCAGTCAGCTGCCCGAGATTGTTATGACGAGCAGGGCGGCATAGACTTTGAGCTCTGGGTGTCTCCTTACAAAATATCCAGTACCAAAAACAAGTTCATCGCCATTGGTTGCGACACTTACGCACTATTTGAAGGCTACCGTGCGGATGAAGAAAGGTTCATCACCGGTTGCATGTCGCTGTGTAACAGCCTCGACAGCGCTAAGAAGGACTCTTGCTCTGGCATCGGGTGCTGCCAAACTTCCATCCCTAGCGAACTCAAAAATCAGACTCTGAAATTGAGTAGCTATTACAATCATACATTTATTAAGGACTTTAACCCCTGCAGCTACGCCTTTGTTGTGCAAGAGGGCCAGTTCAATTTCTCCCCGGAGACAAGTTTTCAACAACTGGAATCCAATAATATGCTTCCAATGATTCTCAATTGGGAAATTGTGAATGAGTCATGTAGTGCAGCTCAAAAGAGTGTGGATTATCCATGCCATAACGAAACTACCAAGTGTGTCGACCGGATGATCGATAACACATCTGTATCGTCTGGTTACTTTTGCCGGTGCTTGCCTGGATACCAAGGGAACCCTTACCTCCCAGATGGTTGCCAAGGTATATTATATGTACCATCTTTATATACAAAGCCATATAATATAACACACAGTCTGAGTTTGACAATATCCTAGTCTCACAACACGAGAAAAATTAGTATACTGCAATAAACATATGTTTGTGCGTGCTCAAAATTGGGGATTCTTCTTAATTGATACGTGATATATATCTATATATGTGTTTTTGCTATTTCTTTCAGATACTGATGAGTGCGCTTTGAATTCGAACCTTTGTAACAATGGAAAGTGCAAAAATCTACCTGGAAATTACTCTTGCTCATGTAATAGTGGCTACAGAAACCAGGACGCCATTACGTGCATCAAATCTGCCTCTGCAATTTTATTGAAAATTAAGTTGGGTATGTATAACCAGCTAGCTATTTTAGATATAAGCATGCAAAACATACAACACACAAACAGTATATGCTATGCATGGTAAATTATTCATGATTCTGAAACAAAATTGTAGGGAAACAAATTTTATTACGAGAAAAAAAAAAATGAGGTACCTATGGAGAGTTCATTACAAAATAGTTAGCATTACATTCAAAGTTACCAAATAGTTGGCTGGTATATTATTAATCTAGTTTATTAAATATGAGTTGATGAATGAAGAGTTATTAGAAGATTTGTTAATACCCTATGTATTTCTGTTTTTAATTAGAAATATAGTTTGACACCCAACCCCAGGATACTATAAGAATAACATAAATATAACATAAATAATTAAAAATAAAAAGTCACTTTTGGTCCCTATGGTTTAACACTTCAACCATTTTTGACCCTATAGTTTCAATTTCGTCAATTTTGCCATTGTAATTTCGTAATTGTAGCAATTTAAGAACAATCCTCAAAATTTGCCATTTTGCCATTTTTGACCCTGAATAGATGACAGAAATTAGAATAATTTGATGGAAATTAGAATTGTCCTCACATTGCTACAATTATGAAACTACAATGGAAAAATTGATGGAATTGAAACTACATGGTCAAAAGTGATTGAAGTGCAAAATTACGGGAAACAAAAGTGACTTTTGGCGATAATTAAATTACGAATATCAGCTTTGACTATGATTTTTAATTTCTGCAGGTATTCCTTTGAGCATCTTGGTTTTAGCGGTTGGGAGTTTTTGTATATATCAGGAAATGAAGAACAGAAAGTTCAACAAACTCAAACAAAAATACTTTGAAGATAATGGTGGCTTATTTTTAAAGCAAGAACTGGCCAGTTATGCTGGATCTGTTCGGACAGCAGCCCGAATTTTCACTGAAGAAGAACTTAAAAAGGCCACAAACAATTATCATGTAAACGGAAAAATTGGTGAAGGAGGCTATGGAACTGTTTACAGAGGAATACTGTCAAATGAACAAGTAGTTGCCATAAAGAAGTCCAAAGTTAGTGCCCCAATTACCGAGAGTAGGCAATTTGTTAACGAGGTGATTGTTCTTTCTCAAATCCACCATAAAAATGTTGTGAGACTGCTAGGTTGTTGTTTGGAGACCCAAACACCAATATTGGTTTACGAGTTCATCGCCCATGGCACTCTTTATGAGCACATTCATAGGAAAAACAACAAAGAAACATCACCCCTTTCATTGCCATTACGATTGAAGATAGCATCAGATACAGCAGAGGCACTAGCTTACTTGCACTACTCCACTTCTACCCCGATCATACACCGAGATGTGAAAGCAACAAATATACTATTAGACGAAAACTACACGGCAAAAGTATCCGATTTTGGAGCTTCACGATTGGTTCCTGATCAAGATGAAAACAAACTATCAACTTTTGTGCAAGGGACAGTCGGGTACTTAGACCCTGAATATCTTCAGTCAAACATACTAACAGAAAAGAGTGACGTCTATAGTTTCGGAGTTGTCCTAGTGGAGCTACTCACAAGCCAAAGGGCTCTTTGTTTTGAAAAGCCTGAGGCAGAGAGAAACCTAGCAAAAGTCTTTGTTTCCTTGTTGGACTCGGATCGCTTGGGTCAAATTCTTGATGATGAAATAGTGGAGGGACACTTTGAGAGAGTCACAAAAGTGGCCGATCTGGCAAAGAGATGCTTAAGGCTAAGAGGGGAAGAAAGGCCGTCCATGAAAGAAGTAGCTGCAGAGCTCGATGGATTAGTGCCAACTATGGAACTGTATCCAAGTGGAGGAAAGCCTAATTTCCCTCGAACTCAGAAAGATACCGACTACTTGCTTGGGTCACCTGTTTCAAGCTCTTCCTTTGTGGATATCAGAGGTGAGGGTGATGCTGGTAGTCACAGTAGTATTTTAATCAGTGCAGATTATGAGAGGAGCATGCAAAATCAAATCCAGATGGTAACGCCTTATGGAGATGGGCGATAAAATAGAACTTCTTGTTCTTGCGCTTGCTGAAATAAGAGAACAAAAAGAAGAAAATAAAATTCATCAATCTTGAACTTTGTTTGTTCCTGGTGTATTCTTGTTCCTCGTTTGTTTCCCACTAATTTTATCATCAATCTTGAATCTACAATTTGATATATCAAGTGCAAGCTTATCATATTAAGCTTTATGGTCTCTCCACCAAAAAGAAGAAAATAAAATTCGTTCTTCTTTACATTTTTCATAAATCCTAAATGGCATTTTCGCACAAATTTTAAATTTAAAACAAGAGCAATGTTGTTGGCTGGCATTACCCGTAAGCTTCTTGAATTCGTTCTTGTTTGCGAGTGTTCTAAAAATTGTAGTATATTGGTTTTCTAGAGTAAGAGGGTAAGATGAAAATGGAGACAGGGTATCACTGCCACAAAGACTGGAACATTATTGGATCAGAAAATTCGTAGAGGAAGATCATATATTACCCCTAATCCATGACTTAGAGCCACCCCATACCAGTCTTTACTGCGCAAGAACTTACAAATCCCACAAACAATAGACTGACTTGCTGCTACTGATGTATGTTTAGGAAATCTAAACCAATATTAGTTTGTTTCAGTTCGAGCCAGTGCCTCAGGAAATAAATCTATGTTAATATCTTGTACCGTGGGTTGTAAAGTTATATGGTCCTCACTTGTAATCCCTTGTAGTTTTTCGTGCATAATGCTACATTTGTCATGTTCCAAGTTGGTCTTCTATATTTATGGTTGTTATGAATTGAAGATTTTCAGATTGAAAAGCACGTAATCGTTTAAGAAATTAACATGATTAAATGAGGTTTAGGGAAATGAACTAAGGAGAAAGGTTGATTTATGTGCAGAAGAGACTTGATTTATGGGTGCTTTGGCTCAGTATTGCCAGTGATGTATCAGTTTTCAATCCGAGATGTTTTTGTGTGGTTTAAAAATATCTAAAACTTCCAACAAAGAGAACGAAGGAACTATTTTAGCAGCCCTGGACATGAACAACAGTAACAACAAAAAGATGTGTCACACCCTTGTTCAAATAAAGTGTGGTAACACACTACAAGAAAAACAGGTATTAGTGGCCACCCACTTGGTCACAGAAACTACTCTTTTTGGTCACTTAATGCAATCAGTGTCCAATTATTGGTGGTCACTGGGTGGTCACTGGAAGCTCGTCACAAATTCTATTTAGTGGCCAATGTCAACTATTGGTCACTACAACACAAAGAATCAATGGCCAATGTCAACTACTGGTCACTAATAAAAACGCTATTAGGGACCACAACTTCGGTCACTAAAGGGCTTACAATTTGGTCACCAAAACATGCATTTTGGTCACTGAAACTGGGTCACGTGCCCACACTAGTGACCTACTTGCTTGGTCACTAATGTGTTTCAAAAAGTTGGTAACTAATTAGGTTTACCTTTCCATGTTCTTTAATTATTGTATTACAATATGAAATCACAATTAATTTTTTTAAAACAGTGTTGTAGATAAAATTTATAGCATCAAATAATTCATTGCATTCAAAAGCAATCCATATATCTAACATTCTTCCAACAAATTCACAAGATGTCTCAAAAACAAAATGCTACATATTTAAGTTCAACCTAAATGTCAAGTGATTCCCAAAAACAAATAACATAAGATTCATCACTAGTAGATTGTCTTCTGCCTTTTATTCATCAGACCTGCATCAAACAAAGAATAATATCAGTTCTTACTTGGGATGCACTAAACCGGGAATTAACTAAATGCAAGAATAATTAAACTCAAGAGCTAGCTAACGCATCTCTAATTAATTAGTTGCTTAAAGTTTATCTAAATATGCTCAGTCAGGTTCATATAATGCCTTGGACAAAACTGCAGGGAGGAGAACACTGAGACAGAAAAATATCAATTACCAAAACTTTTCTCAAAATGGAATCACTAAATGAATGAAGGCATGAGCATAATGCCAAGAAGAGGAACTAGATAGTGTCTCACCTTCCACTCATCTTTTTTCCATAATTGAACTAGATAGTTCCAATCATCCTCTCCCACTGTTTGAGGTCAATGCTCAAGTGCCTCCTCCTCAGATCCATATGCTAGAAATTTCTGATGCAAACAAAATTGGTCATGGTTTCCAAGTTTCCACACCAGGGCAAACCAAAGGCTAATAACTAAGAACAATTTTAGAGCTTGCCCCACGAAGCACTCTAATTAAGTTTCAAATGGCTGTTAATCTGTCAATACTAATTTCAGATTACAATCAAGTAGAACTCAATGTAATAGGAATAAGACTAAAGAAAAAGCAAGAATGAAGATGAAAACAAATTAGTAATCAAACAGCCAGAGATCGAAGATTTCTTACCAGAGAAGCAGAGCATGTTTTGAATGCTCTGTATCTCTGGTTTTGTATTTTGGATCATTGATTGTATATTTTGTGTTATGAAAACAGTCAAGTTGTGGGATGGCCATACACAGCTAGCTTAAGCTGAGGAAAGTGGATTTGTGAAGTTGTGTATGATATTAATTCCTAATCTCAGCTAGCTTAAGCTTGTCTCATCTCACTCACTAGAATCATCTTTGCTACTTACTTGTATGGATCAATCCAACATTTATCATCCTTGACAGCTCGTTCCCATTTCCTTTTGAACACCTTCATTTCGTTGTACGATTCTCTCCTCACCTACACACAAATACACAACAAACAATTTTAATCCAAGTAAAATCCTAATAAACTGAAAAAATTACATGTCAAGACTTGCATCAACTCTGGTCCTTTCCACTAGATTTTGATGATGATTCCTGCAAAATACCAATAACACATTAAATAGTCAGCCTCAAATAGACTGGAAATTTTCATCACGAAGACAGCAAACATTTTCTCACCTCATTTTCATCTGAACCTCCCAATGTAGGACGACCATAATGGATTATGTACTCAGCATCCACAGCACCAACATTTTTAGTTCGATAGTTCTATTTAAACACCAAAACCATAAAGGCCTCTTTAGGAAGCATTAAGGAAATCCTTAGAAAAGAAAGCATAAAAAAAATGACATAACAAGTAAACTGAGAAGCTTGCCTGTGCACAATAGCCAAGCTGCATATCCACCCCATGCATGAATAAAGTCATTCTGCAAAGATCAAATCACAATTAACACCATTTCAATGTAATTTAGATTTGTTGTTTCTGTGATCCTATACATGAAAGGGAGAGTGAATGTGTGTTTATGAATCAAGCTTGATTTACAGAGTATTAGGTATATCTTCTAACAACTTAAAAATTTTCTGATCAATGACAACTTAACGCCATACACCTGACTAAAATATGAGCCTCATATTAGTTCGACTAATTTGTTGTGCTTTCTGCTCTAAGGCCAATAGAAAAGCTATCTTGAAGTTACAGGACAGTAGAAATAACACACCTGGATCATATGACAAAAACATTACTGAATTTCTGAAAATAAAATCATAGTTAGGGAAATTGATATCACAGTGGAACTCAAAATCACAGTGAATAGAGAACTAGGGAATTAGGGAATAGAGAATAGAGAATCAGAATCAGAGTCATAATCGCACTCAAATCAAACTCAAATGAAATCAAAACATACATCGAAACCAAAGAGAAATAGAAAGCTCACATGAAATTGGGAGAAAACCTAGAAATCGAAACCACAGAGACGAAAAGGACGACGAAGAGGACGCTCGCTCGACGAAGAAGATGGTCTCGGTCGCACAGGTCTCTCGCTCTTGTCTCGCTCGCTCTGAGCTCGTGCTGGTCTCGTTCGGATTTCGCTATTGTCTTGTTTCGTCTTTTTTCTTTTCCTTTTGATGTGGTACGCTAGCGCGTTTTGAAAAATACAAATAAAAAAGTTTTAAAAAATTTAATTGGTCACTGATGTATTAAATGAGAGAAGTAAGGATATCTTGACATATGTGTTCGTCACTAACTATATAATTGAAGGTGTTTTCAGTGACTAATTTAAATAATGGTAAGAAAATTTGGTCATTAAAACTAAAAAATAGGTGTCAATTATTTTAGTGACCACGTAGTATTATTAGTCATTAAATTCACTATATTTGTGATCATTATTTATGTGGTCACAAGGGAATTGGTCACTACTGACCTTTTTTCTTGTAGTGACAACATGTATAAGGTAATGCTAAGTGGGGTCTTAAGGATGTCGTGGTTCCTCTTACACGCCCAATTGATGTAGAACAAATGAGGAAAGCAATTAAAGATGAGCTGAAGCGACGTGCGCGCAAGGACAAATCATACAAACTGCAAATTTTAGTTCCGAGCTCAGAATTGGACCCATGACCCATCGATTTGAAGAGAATGGCGTCACAAGTAAAACACATGGCTTAGCCATGTACTATGGACTTTTTCGAGCATCCGAGATCGTTTAATAGCCCGAAATCCAATTTTGAAGTTTTTACTGTTTTTGGAAACTCTGTTATTTTCCTATTTTAATTCCTTTGTTTATTCCTAGGGCTTCTATGAGTATTTTTTTATGTTCCTTTTTATCCAAATAAACCTTGAGGTTTCCTTATATCTTCTTGGTTGATTCCAGAGTTTCATGTTCTAAGCTAAAGTTTTAACCATTTATTTGTCACGCTGCGCCACCAACTTTCATTTGCTTCCATGTTTTTGTACTTCATGCAAAGCAAGCAGAGCAAAACATTAATGAAAATTATTGGAAAATTCCAATAGGAGACCAGAATATAGCGTAGGTTGACAAGTAAACAAGAATATATAAGACCCTTTCTTCACCAATAGAGTTAGATTTTAATCACCCTTTCTTCAATAATCAACCCAGTTAATCATTCTCTCTCACCACAGCAAGGCCTTGTAGATTCCAACCCACTGACCGAAGCATTAATATATCATTCTCTCTCACATTGTTAATCAGATTTCTTTCTTTTCCTTCTCTACTCAGCTTTCTCGGCAACCAAACAGAGAAAAAGAAAACCCCTCAAAGCATTAATATATCAACAATACACAGAGCGAATAGAAAAACGGAACATTTCTCCTTAACGCCACGTAAAGTCTCTGTCTTTTTTGTGTGTGTACAGAGTCAGTCTACTGGATCGTTGATGCTTCCCTGTTGTTTCGTCAGAAGATTTCTTCCTTCGTAAGAAAATTGAAAAAGAACCCCAAAAAATTATATAAATAAAGAAACGATTGGGCCTAAAAGCTATTCGGGTCGAGTTATTGATCCGCCGGTGGCCCAATCTCATGGGAAGAATTAGTAAGGCCAGGTATGAGTGAGTGACGTTGCAAGATGATGTCCATGATGATGGGTTTGGTGTTGACCAAAAACAGATGATGGGTTTTGTGTCCTTCTCAAAGATCATAGGAGCAAATTTTCCACTTTTTGGTAATTATTTAATTTAGATGACCAATAAATTATTATTATTTAATTTCGCTCTGTTTTTCTGTCCTCAAGTGTCTAAGCACCGAAAAAAAAAAAAGTCTAAGCACCATCCTGAATTTGCCTGTTTTACCTTTTACCTACCCATCACCATCCTGAAAGAGTTGTGCATGAATTATATTGGATAGCTCGTGGACTTCCAACAAGTTAGAGACGACCTAGACGTATTATATTATTGCAAGGGACAAATTTGTACCACTGGACTGGAGGAGGACCGTCATGCGAATTGTGCAATCCCAATGTCATGATCACTCAGAAAATATTGAAGCTGTACAAAACACGTAGGGCATGAAATAAAGACGACCCCAATTCAGACAAGTTGCTTTTAAATTTATTCAATCGTCATCATCGACGACAGTGCCTGCATTATTTCCTCACTTTTAGTAGTGAGCAGCTTTGGCCCATGATTGTGACTCGAGTCTTCATCCCTTATCTGAAGTCTTGGTCAAGCCACGCCTCTTTATCATTTAAGTCCAATCACCATAATATTGTCATCAATTTTAGCAACAACCAAATATTTTCACATACTCACATATTTGGAGATATTACATTTTGTCTTTCATAAAACAAATAATAGGTATTTTATTCAGAGAAAAAAGGGTACATTATTTAGATAAAAAAATAGGAACATTATTTAGAGAAAAAAATAGGTTCATTTAAAAAAAAATGTTTTTCATAAACAAAAAATAAATAGATTATCAAAATATTTTTCAACATAATTAGAATGTACACTATTATTCATTAAAACTATAATAAAATAGATTACTAGTAGTATAATTTATAGAAGGAAAACAACAACAAAAATTTATTAAATAAACTAAAATGTTACTAACACGTTAATGTTGAATTTAATATTTAATTTCAAATAAGTTTCTAAATTAATTCCTACATTCATTATAATCATTTGAAGATGTTTCCAAATTCAATGTATGTCATTAGTTACGCCCCCCACATAACACATTAACTTGTAAATAGGGGTAGTTTTGGAATCCAAAAAATAGAATAAATCATATTTTAAGCTAGATTAGGTAACTTGCTTACTTGGATCCTAGTCATCGGGTTTTATTTGAAAAAATTGGGTATTTTAAATAGAAAAATAAAGGTGATTAAAAATGAATTTTATGGGTCTAAGCTCATTTTAGCATGATATATTATACAATTACTCATATATAATATATTTGAAAGGAAAAACTCAAAACTAGCCACTTATTATTTTCTAATTTATTTCAGAAATTTTATATGCGGAGAGATTATAAAATACTACAGTAGTACGACCACGTGGTACATCTTATACATGTGTTAATGGATATTTATAAATACTAATTCCTCTAAGTAATTATATAATACCTCATGCTAAAATGACCCTATTAATCAAAAAAATCATCGTAACATGCACATGAGACGGGGCCACGTAGGATGCAGTGGATGATGACACCAAAGTGGCTTAACGCGATGACGTAGTATTACATGTCGTTTGCTGTTTAGAACAGCCACGTGGACGCTCATCTAGCCGTAGACTACATTTCAATGCATTCTTTCTATAGTGGGTTAATTATTGTGACTCGACTGTTCATCACGATTATGAAAAAGCTGTCTATTAAGAAAGTCTTTTAGTCAAGCCACGCCACTTGGTCACCAATTTTAACAACCAACCAAGCCAACCAAATATTTTCGCGTACTTTCATATTATCGAAAAAGGGTTTCAAGGTGGAATCTTTTCTCACTCGTTAATTAAAATAAATAAAACGGACGGATGAGTGTTAACAGACAAAAAATAATAATTATAGGTTAGTAAAGGCATTTCCTATCTATATAATAGGCCAGGCTTTGCCTCAGTTTCCTTAGGAAACAATTTACCACATAACATACAGTGCATGCCTATACCACATATGGCCTTTCAATATGGGATGCTTATGCAACTTTCAATAAAGTTGCTCGTAGTACTTGTACTAGCGGCTACAAATTCTGTAGCAACAACAAGAGCAAGCGCAGGAGGAGCAGGAGAAGAAAATGAAACAGCTATAGCCCTGCCCGGCTGCAAACCCAAATGCGGTAATGTCACAATTCCATACCCATTTGGCATTGGTGCCGATTGTTACTTCGGACCACGATTCGAAATCACCTGCGAGGATAGGTCCACAGAACCCCGATTGATGAAATCCCGTATGCTTGTCAGCAACATATCCCTTGAAGAAGGTGAGCTGCAAACAATGCAGTTAGTAAACCGAGTTTGTTTTGACAGCCAAGGCGAGCAAACCGGCACCGAAGACCAAAGCGTAGGCGGGCTCAGTGTGATTCCTCCTTACACCATCTCTGGTGCCAAAAACATGTTGGTTGCGGTTGGTTGTGACACGTTCGTGCGCTTAGTTGGTAGCCGGGATGATCAAAACTACACAACCGGCTGCTTCTCCCAATGTCAAAATAATATTAGTAGCAACGCCATTGATAAGAACGACCCTTGCTCTGGCATGGGGTGTTGCGAAACGAAGATCCCCCCTTTAATGCACAACCTGTCTCTGACGGTGTTAAGCTTTAGACAACATGAGCCTGTATGGGACTTTAACCCCTGCGGCTACGCCTTCGTTGTGGGAAGGGGCAACTTCACATTCAGCAATACAAGTTTTCAACAACTCCGCAATACAACCCGGCTTCCCCTGGTTCTTGATTGGAAAGTTGGGGACGAGTCGTGTGAAAATGCAAAGAAAAGCAACAATTATGCATGCAAGGGAAACAGTGACTGCCATAACACGACTTCTTCAGGTTACATTTGCCGGTGTAAGGACGGCTACAAAGGGAACCCATACCTCGAAGATAGTTGCCAAGGTATAATATGTTTTTATTTTAATTTCTTAATTACCTAGTAGAATTGAAAATTGTTTAACCATACAATTATTATATATCATGGACAAACACACACACACACATATATATATATGCTTGTTTGCTTGTGTGTGTGATAACTATTATACAAATTTATAAATAAACCCAATTCTAGACATGTATTTATAAAAAAACCCAAGCACTATTTAAACATAGAAACACAGCCAAAATCAACAATTGTATATTTTTTGGGTGTGTTTATAAATGGATTTTAAGTGTGTGTAATGATGGGTTTTGGGTGTGTTTATAAAGTGTTTTGGGTGTTGGGTTTTTTTATAATTTCAGCCCCCATTTTGGGTGTTTTAGTGAAACTCCCTAATTATTATTGCAGCTATGATATTCTTCTTGATGGATCTATGATATTTGAGTTTTACTATTTCTTTCAGATATTGATGAGTGTGCTTTGAATGCGACCCTCTGTGAGAATGGGAAGTGCATAAATAAAGTTGGAAATTACACCTGTGAATGTAATAGTGGCTACCATAATCTGGACGATATTACGTGCATCAAAGCTACCAATACAAAACCCTTGAAAATTTCGCTCGGTATGTATTTATTTTACATATAAGTCATCAATGAAACATATATTCAACACACAAGCAGTAATGCATAGTTAATATGGTTTTCAATTTATTGCAGGTGTGTCATTGAGCTTCTCTGTTTTAGTGGTTGCGATTCTTTGGAAATATAGGAAAAGTAAGAAAAAAAAAGAAGAGTATCTCAGAAGAAAATACTTTGAAGAGAATGGCGGCGAACGTTTAAGGGAAAAACTAGGGGATAAAGCCAGAATCTTTACTGAATCAGAAATTAAGGAGGCCACAAACAATTATGCTGTAAGAAACGAAATTGGTAGGGGAAGGCATGGAATTGTTTACAGAGGGGTACTAGATAGAAAAGACGTTGCCATAAGGAAGTCAAGAGTTAGTGCCCCAATTGATGACCAAAATCAAAGTACCGATACTGCCCCAACTGCCCAAAAACAAAGCAACTCCGCCCCAACTGACCAAAATCAAAATACCGACGCCCCAACTGACCAAAAAGAAATTACCCCCCAGGAGCAATTTGTTAACGAGATGACTGTTCTTTATCAGATCAACCATAATAATGTTGTGAGATTCGTAGGTTGTTGTTTAGAGACCAAACCCCCAATATTGGTTTATAAGTTCATCCGCAATGGCAGTCTTCATGCGCGTATTCATGGAAAAGAAGGCGAAAAACCGCCACCACCACTTCCATTGGCAACGCGCTTGAACATAGCAGCCGAGACGGCAGGAGCCCTAGCATACTTGCACCACGACGGTTCGAATAAAATCATACACGGTGATGTGAAAACAGCTAATATACTATTAGATGAGAATTTGACGCCAAAACTGTCCGACTTTGGAGCATCAAGACTACTGGTTCCTGAAGATGAGAATCAAAAATCAACTTTAGTCCATGATTCGGACGGATACGTAGACCCTGAATACCTTGACTCAAAGTCAAAGAAGCCCCTAACAGAAAAGAGCGACGTCTATAGCTTTGGAGTTGTGCTAGCGGAGCTGTTAACAGGCCGAAAGGCAGAGGAAAACCTAGCAAATGACTTTGTTGACTCGGTGGAAAAGGATACGTTGGGTCAAATTCTTGATGGAAAAATAGTGGAGGAACATCTTGATGAAGAAGTCAGAAAAGCTGCTGATCTGGCAAAAAGATGCTTGAAGCCAAGTGGGGAGGAAAGGCCTTTCATGAGACAAGTAGCTCCAGAGCTCCAATTATTAGTGCTAACCATGGCACTACGTCCAAGTGGATGAGGAGAGGCTAAAGACACCGGCATCTTGGTTGGGTCATCTGCTTCCGCTGTCGATATTACAACCAGAACCAGTGCAGAGTGCGAGAGCAACATGAAATAATGCCTCATGGAGATGGAACCAATAATTAGTTGACTTGTTTGTTGTTCCATGTAAATTTGTTGTGTGCTTTACTTTTTTTTTCCAGGTGTTGTGTGCTTTACTTGTTATATATATATATTGTAAATTTTTTTTCTTTCGTATGTGACTAGATTTGCATCCTGTTCAAAGTTGGTTTTCTATATTTGAGGATGTTATGAATTCAAGATTTTCTGATTGAAATGTATGTAATCATTTAAGACATTAATCTATATATATAGCAAAAGACAAAAGACAGAGAACAATAAAATATTCAAAATGTCAAAAAATACCCTTTGTTAATTAGGTTTATAAAACAAAATAAGAGATAAAATAGTAAAAACAAAATGTTGAATTTTTTTATATAAAAAAGAAAAAAGAAAAAAAAAAGTAGTAGTTAATTGAACAATCTGATTTTGTTTTTGTTTTTGTTTTTAATTTTTCATTGCTCCTTATTTTTTAAAATTATCTCAAACATATTGCTTCTAAAACAATATATTACATATTTAAGGCTAAATGTCACTTTTGATCCCTGTAATTTGGCACTTCAACTACTTTTGACCATGCAGTTTCAATTTCGTCAATTTTGACAATGTAGTTTCACAGTTGTTGCAATTCAAGGACATTTTAATTGCACAATCTGATTATTATTATTTTTTAATTTTTCATTGCTTCTTATTTTTTAAAATTATCTCAAACATATTCCTTCTAAAACAAGATATTAAATATTTAAGGCTAAATGTCATTTTTGGTCCCTGTAATTTGACACTTCAACTACTTTTGACCATGTTCTAATTACTAAAATGTCCTCGTTGTTTGATTAAAGTAGATGTCAAATCCAATTTTTTTTATTTAAATTGTGTGAGGATATAATAGGTAAAAAAAAATATATGAATTTCTAATAGGTTAGTTCACCAAGAATTAAAATACCACCTCCTATACAAGAATTGAATTCCTCAATTCCTATTTTGTGTGGGCCTCACTTACTTTTTAATTCCTTGATGTGAATGAAGTTCATGCAAAAATCCTCCATAATTGAAATTCAATTTCTAATTTTAATTCCAATTCTTGATTAATAAACACTCCAAAATAAAAAGACACATTACCTTTCTCTTTTTCCTTTCCTCAACTTGTCTACTTTTTCTATTTTTATTACATTATTTTCTTGCACTCAGATATTCACAGCTTTAGGCCGTGATTGTGACTCGAGTCTTCATCACTAATAAAAACAAGATCCTTCATGATGATGCTTTGTTTGAAATAAGATTATATGAGCAAAATAATAGATAAGCAGGAGTGAATTCTATCTCCAGCCAGCGAAAGAGACTTTCATGCAACATGTATAGCAGTTTTTGCTATCCTTCACACAATGACATATGAGATAACTTTTCTACGTACAATTATATTATTAGGCAAAAATAACAAAATAATGCTATCTCCATTACAAGTAAGTTTTTCTACCAACTACCATTGGTCCAGTCAAGATTAGTTGTCAACAAAGATTCTATAGAGATATTACTGGCATGAAGCACGAGGTCGTGAAGTTGCTTTTCATTTATATGTGCAGGAGAAAAGACACATTACTTGTCTCTCTTTTCCTTCCCTTTCCTTTCTTTTCTTCAACATGGCTCTTCTTTTTATTTTAATACATTATCTCTTATGCCTTTTTTTTCTTTTGATCATGAGATTTTCTACTAGTAAAGTCACCATCCTCATAAAATTAGCCTTGGCTTGGTTGGCTAGCAATTCCTTTAATGAAGACATATCAACATCGGCAGACTGATTTGTGTCGCTCATAATCATATCTCTTATTAAATAAAACTCAACATTACTTTGATTGCGTTCTTTTAGTAAGGTCACTTTCGATTATGGGTCATATGCCAAATATAACTATAAAATAATGCAAAACTCATTTCCAGTTATGGGCTACAAAAAATTGGCCAAATTTGGAGCAGCCATATTTAGCCATTTAGCCATTCAACTAAGCCACTTGTAACCCAACTATAGTGCCTTTTTTTTTTTTTTTTTTTTGTTTTTTTTTTTTTTTTTTTTTTGTGGCCAGTCCATTGCCCTTGCATTTCAAGTAAAGAAAAGTATCGCAAAAGGGCGTGAGGCATGAAAACATCTCATGCAACTATAATCACAAATGCTAAAATTAAAGGCGTGTAGATGTTAGCTAGTCGTTAGTTATTATTTTTAATTTTTTTATGTAACTTTTTAAAATATCATAACCATTTGAAACGTTAAGTATTAATTTTTTCTTTCTTTCTATTTTTACATTTGAAATGTATGTAAATTTTTTTGAAAAAAATAAAAATGATAAACAATTGGTTCAGATCCGTCACCCATCCCTAGGGTTTAGGGAAAATAATATCATCCCTATTCGCTTATCCTCTTGCCACATGGGTGGGACTAAACTTTATTGGATGTTGCATGGACTTGTGAGAAGTTAGTAGTGACGACCCACACAACATTATTGCAATGGACAAATTTGTACTAATGGAGCACTAGGTGAATTATTTAACCCCACAATATAAAAACGAAAGGTAGATCAATTGTGAAATAATATCATCAGCTTTTAGATAAGCATATTCTATCTCCAGTACTAAGGGGGCTTGGCTTGGAAGATGGTGGTTAGAGAAGTGGTGAGATTATGTATGAAACAACATATGGACCAAGAAAAAAAGCTACTTAAATAGGTTTTAGTTTTAGTTTTATTTAATGTACCATTAATTCTAGAAGTACTTCTTATATATAAACATGTTTGTTATATTTGAACTATATTTATTGACTATATTATTGACCAATGACTGCATCTCTAATTAAAGTAGATTCCACATGTCTCTTCTTTTTATTTTAATACATTATCTCTTATGCCTTTTTTCTTTTTCCTTTTTTGTCTTTTTGATCACGAGATTTTTCTACTAGTAAAGTCATCATCCTCGTAGAATTAGCCCTGGCATGGCTTGGCTGGGTAGCAATTCCTTTATTGAAGACATATATCAAATCATTAATTAATATGAAAATTAATATCAAATCATTAATTAATCTAACAAGAATCAATATCAATTAATCTAACGAAAATCAATATTAAATTATCAATTAAACAAACAAATAATAATTGATCATACCTCGAGTTTGCTAATCATACAAGTACAGAGATAGTCAAATAAAAATATTTTAGTTATCTCAAACGTATTCCTTCTAAAAAAATATTTAAAATATTTAATTTTAGGAGGCTAGTGGGAATAGAGGAAGTATTTTAGCAGCATTGTCCAAACAAGGTGTTATTTATTTTTATTTTTTTTGAGGGGTCAAAAAGTGTAAAGTAACAACATATATGGATGTCTCCATATGTTCCATGACACGAAGCCAGCCATGCCATGGACTTCCAAAACGTATATACAGCTATAATAAAACCCTGAGTTGCCTGTTTTACCCTTTTACCAACCCTGCATCGACAGTCTCTTTTTCCTTTCCTTTTTATTTTTGCCAATCTCTTTAGATACCAACTTGTAAATCATTTCTCTTCATCTATTGAAGTTTTATTGACCTAAAGAAAAGGAAAATAATATCATCCCTATTCTCTTATCCTCTTGCCATATAGGTGGGACTAAATTGTATTGGATGTTCCATGGACTTGCAAGAAGTTAGTGACGACCCAGACAACATTATTGCAATGGACAAATTTGTACCGATGGAGGATCATGTGAATTATTTAACCCCACAATATAAAAATAAAGGGAAGACTACATCAATTGTGAAATATCATCAGCTTTAGATAAAGCATGAATCAATTCCATCTCCAGCACTAGTCAAGATCAATTATGAATAAAGATTCTATGAATGGAGATAGACTGGCGTGATGCACGAGGTCGTGTGTCGAAAGTATTTGTAGTGTTCTCTCCATTTATGCAAAGGGGAATGCTAGCAATTATCTCTCTAACCTTTTTTTTTGCACATTCTCTCTTTTTGTCATGACATGTGTTTGTTTATTTATACTTAAAACAATGTCATTAATAATCAAATAAGCTAATTTTTATTTTCCGAATTTACTCTTAAATTAAATATATTGACTTCCCTAATTTCTTCAATTTAAAAAATATTTTCTCTCTCCATCTCACTCTCAATCCTCTCTATCCTTTGCAGCGCCCCTCAACCCTTCCTCTACCTCCCCACTTCTCCCCAAAACAAACACTTATACCCAGCAATGACCCATGACCGGTACCCAAACAAGAACATGAAAGTAACCCACTTCCTCTCCCCCCCATTACCACCAAACATCTCCCACATCCCCACCCAACAGCCCCCCACCTTCCCTCGTTCTTAGCTTTCTCTGTTGTTTGTAATTGAACAATTTTTTATTTTATTTCTCAAATCTCACCACCAAACCATTATTATTATTATTATTATTATTTTAATATTTGATCTTGTTTATAAAAAAAAAGTGTTTGAACTTTCATGATTTGGGAAGCAAAGGGTCTATAGAGGTTAGAGAGAGAGAAAAAATCTTGGATTTTTTTTTTCTCATCGCACAAATGTGTGTGAGAGAGAGAGGTTGGGTTGTGTCGTGTGTCAAGGGCATATATGGAAATAGAATTTAATGTTTTATTAAAATTAAAAACATTGTTTTGAGTGAGAGAGAAGTGTCACATATCATTAGGAAATTGGAAAAAGTTCAAACGAGAATGTTAAAATAAAAATTGCTAGCATTTTTCCTATGAAAAAATTTTTTTTTTTTTGTTTTAACGTACATGCAACTTAAGGCCATGCACCATAGTTTTCTCTATTATTTTTTTAAATGTTGCGAAAAGAGGTCTTGTCAGTAATAAATCAGTTCTAGGTCTTTTTTCAAGAAACAAAGTCTTGGTCAGTCAACGAAGGTAAACAGAAGTCATTGCCCCTGTTTATAATTACTTCACGAAATTGCCTAGTAAGCCCACAGCTTTTTTTGACTAGCAGAATAACGGCCTCTCTCCTCACAGATCCTTATTCTCTGCATCTGATGAAGTTTTATTGACCCAAAAGAGAAAACGAAAAAGGAAAAAAAGATCATCGCTATTCTCTTATCCTCTTGCCATTGCATCCGGTAAATAGCGTGGTAAGTGTTTTTATCAGTTGAAGCTTAATTTCCTGAAATAAATATTTGTAATCTCTCTCACTATCTACGTTCAAAGGCTTCTGTAGGCTCTTGAAGTTATGTCTGTACAGCGCTGTGTTGATGATCTGACCAAAATCATAAGGTTAGTTTTTGCAAGATGTAACCGTTTAATAATATAAGATGACTATTTGGCTATTTGTACGATATCATCTCGTTTTCTACAATATCGTAATGTATTTTAATTGACTTGTCATTTGATTTTGGGTTAGATATACTCTAATTTGTTAAGTCTAGACTTATCTCAATTTTCTGATTGCACTTTTCTTTTAATTAGCGACGCACCAGGTAAACTGGCACAATGTCTGCCATCCGAAGTCAGAGAATTTTTAAACAATGTCTGCCATCCGAAGTCAGCTTCTTTTTCAGCTTCTTTCTGGAACAAGATGATTGTAATTTCATGTGCTATTGCAATTTCCCTAGATCCCTTGTTCTTATACATTCCATTCATCGATGAGGATAACAAATGCCTTGGAATGGACAAAAGTTTGTGGAATGTGGCTCTGATTTTGCGATCTCTGACGGATATCACTTTCGTGGTGGATATTATATATCAAATCTATGGAGGGCTTAATAAAGCCTACAAGGAGATCAACCAAGGGAAGCCAGAATGGCAAGTGGATTGGCAAACGACGTTAATAAAAAGAGATGAGATAATTCCATTTGCTAAGAATTTAGCTCGGGAGTTGAAGTGGTGTTGTTTGGTGACTGACCTTCTCTCTGTTTTTCCCATGCCACAAGTAATAAGAGAAATTTAAATTTTTGGTGTAAATTATGAGCTAGGCAGCTTTAATTACAATGGACTTCTAACCCAATACTATTATTCTTTTGTGCAGCTTCTAGTAAAAGGTTTTTTCAAAATGTGGTCGGGATATTCAGAACCAACAAAGGCTGTCAACTTTTTTCTTCTCAGCCAGTATCTGCCAAGAATTTATCGAATTATTTTATCTTCTACCGAACTTACAAGGACCATCGGAATATGGCTCAAAGCCCTATTCAATTTGTTTTTATACATTATTGCTAGTCATGTAAGTTTCACTTCCATATCCTTTTATTTTAATACGGACTTATTTTGGTAATCGATAAATGCTTGATGAAGGTTAGTTGGATTTACAATAAACGCATGATTAATGCTTAGATCTATCAATTAATTAATTATGTTTTCATAGGTTCTTGGAGCCTTTTGGTACTTCTTTTCCATTCAACGAGAGACCTTCTGTTGGCACCAGGCTTGTCAAAATCAAACAAATCCTGGGGGATGCATGAGTACCTTTTATTGTGATCATCACAATGCTGCCAAACCAAATATCACATTTTTTGATGAACATTGCAAAATAAATGTCCCATACAATGCTATAGAGCCGTTTGAGTATGGAATATTTCTTGATTCCCTTAAGTCTGGTAATGCGGCGCATATAAATTTTCCAACGAAGTTGTGCTACTCTTTCTGGTGGGGTCTGAGAAATTTGAGGTTTGCTTGCACATGTATATCTTTTTTAAAATTTCAATATTTTATTTTGTATCCTCTGTTAATCACAGATTTTTTATTTTTATTTTTTATACTAGATTAAAAAAAAAAAAGATTCACTATTATACCTAATATAGAAGTCCAAATTAAAAAAAATATATATATATATATATCTAATATAAAATGGACTTTAGGAACACACCCAAAATCCATTTATAACATAACAAAGAGGCTTCAAATTTCCTATACAAGACTACCATCGATATCTTAAAATAAGCCCAACCCCCAAAGTCTCATAAAAAAACTCAAAATCCTTGATATGGCATCAAAGTAATTTCATAATAAAATTAAATTCTATAGGGTCAGTTGTAAAGATAGGGCATCAAAGTAATATAAAGATTAAATGGTGCAGGGTTTATTTATATCACTAGTGCTTTGAATGAATATATAACTAAATATCTCATAAATAAAAAAAGTCTTCAACAAAATATGATATCCTATTCCTCCTCTTCTTCTCTATTTTATAAATAATATATATCATATTCCAAAGTACTTCCCAGTGCTAGTCTTGCTACATTTTTTATACTACTTGATATGCATTGTAAAAGTCAGTAAATAAAGGAACGGTTGTAAATTTTCTCTTTACTTACTCCTATTGTATATGATATATTTTAAATAAGACTACTTTTCCTTTTATGTGGTAACTAAACTTACAAGGAGGATCCTTTTAGGAATCCCCCATTCCTCTGATCATACAAAAGCTTAATAGAAGAAGGAAATAATTGTTAGAGAACCAAATAAGTGTTGCTTTTGTAACTACTTTCTTCTGCCATTCATTAGTATCTCACATTTTTCTTGGTCCTTTACTTACTTTTTGCAGCAATTTTGGCACGAATCTCGCAACAAGTAATTATGTGTGGGAAAACTTGTTTGCAATTCTAATTTCTGTCACTGGCTTGCTATTATTTATATATCTCATTGGAAATATTCAGGTTAGTAGTAAATCTCTCTCTTAGATATCTATTTGGTTTACTTTCAATTACTTCCCTTCAGCTTTCAGGGGCGAACCTCCATCTTATGTAAATGTATATTCTCTTCTATTGATGGATCTCATGCATAATTTTATTTGAGATAACGTTGTGAGGTTCACTAAGAATTTTATTTTACTATATGAACTGTTTGCCTTCGTGTCCTTAAAAAATTTGACCTTGAAAACCAATAAGGCATCAAATGGTTTTAGAATCAAGTGATTTTTTACATAGATTTTTTTAGGGAATACTTAAAAGTTAGATGATTGGATCATTGATATACGCTTCTAATTCACTATTTGTGCTGAAATGTACCTTTCAGACATTCATTCAGATGAGAACCACACAATCGGAGGAAATTAGGAAGAAGATTGAATTAAAAAAAGGAGATATAGACGAGTGGCTGAAGAAATATCATATTGATGATGAAAAGAAGGATGAAATCATGAAAAACATAAATAAAAAATTGGAAGAGGACAAAGATGCTGAGCTGGAGATTCTATTCAATGTTCTTCCCAGTTATATGAAAAAACATCTAAAGCATCTTCTTTGCTTCAAAACTCTATCACAAGTATGTTTCTCAACCTCTCTCTTTCAAGTATTTGTATGTATATTATTTATTAAAAAAGAAAATTCTGACCACCTAAGAAATACATGAGTTGCCTTGGCCTTCCGTCACTCATACATCTCATTTGATGGTTCAGTTTGGTTTAGATTGAGACCAAGGCAGTTCTTATAAATCGCATTTCCTTAAATGAGATTTAAGAAATAATATGTTGGATTGTCATCTAACTTAATCAGTTCAAATCCAATATTTATAGATTTATCAAATAGAGACCAGGACATTAGTCTAATTTACACGGAATTAATTTGTACTGTTGAACTTATATAAATGAATGAATCTTGGTTTGTGTTTAAATGGCGATTGATTTTAAATACAGGTTAAACTCCTTCAATTTATAAATGAGAATGTGCTGACAATGATGTGCGACTGTCTGACGCCAGTGACGTACAAAGAAAATCAGATGATATTTACAGAGGGGGAACCAATTGATCGCATGCTTCTCATTATAGATGGAACTGTATTTACCTACTCACGTCGTGAAGAAACAAGAGAAGATTCTGGTGTCCCATCCCCAAAGGACAAGGAGGAACCTGGAAAAAGTGTTTATGGAGAAAAGCTTCTGAGGTGGGCATCCCCCTACAAATCTGGGTTTAAGGATCTTCCTCCCTGGACCGAAAATGTGAAATGTCTTACGAAAGTAGAAGGTTTTACTCTCTCAGCCCAGGACTTGCAAAGGGTAGTCTCCAAACACGAACGGTGGTGGAAGTTAAACTTTGAACCTTGATCTCCCTCCCACCTTCTACGGCGGCTGCCAGGCTGGTCATCTGTGTGTGTGTATATATATATATATATGTATGGTAATTTAGGTAACCTTCCAAGTAACAAGGATATCCAGTTTTTTTTTTACTTGTGTTTTTGAGTGCTTGTATCGTACTTATGTCTAGAATTATCTCGTTTTTGAGTGCTTGTATCATACTTTTTTTTTTTTTTTTGGTAAATATTTAATTTATGGATGACCGAGAAATTGTTATTAATCATATGGTTTTTGGGTTAAATAATTTCAGATAGTTATTGAAAATCTTCTACCAAGATTCCATTTCATGATTATGCTGCATGCAGGCCTACAACCTTATTTTGGTTGTTTTTTTTAACTCTACATTCCATAAAGAAGAAAAACATCAACTTGAAATTAAATCTTGTATATGTCGTAAACAGCTTGAGGTTTATATTCCAAGGTTTGCATAAATCTATAATGGGTTGGATCTATCTGAAATTTATATACGTGAACAGTCATTCCTTCGTGCACAAAATTATATATATTCCAGAATAACCAACAAATAGATGAGAAAGCTGATGAAACTTATTGATGTATGAAACGATTGATCAATTATATTTAATAACCAGTGGATAAACTTAGATGTGGACTTGGAACGTAAGATTAATAAGCTAACTAGATCTTAGTCTAGTGGTTTCAAGTTAAAATCTCCCCATATCTGTTGATTAAAAAACAAGACTAATGAAGATGAGAGGTGGACAGAGAAAAAATCATTATAGATTAGTAAGGCATTTCCCCTATAAAATAGGCCAGGCTTTGCCTCACTTTCCTCATAAACAATACAGTGCATATACATGGCCTTCCAATATGGGATGCTTATGCAATTTTCTATGTTGCTAGGACTTGTACTAACAGCAGCAAGAGGAGGAGAGGAAAAAATTGAAAATTTGCCAGTGTTCGTCAGGCTTCCAAGGGAACCCATATCTCCCAGATGGTTGCGAAGGTATATATACGTACCGTCTTTATATTAGCCACTAAAAAATTGAAATTTTTTTACTATTTGATTATTATCAGGAACAATTAATACTATGTGTTTATGAAACACTATGTTCAGTCAAACAATATGGGTAGAATATTTTTTAGGTTATATTTCATTCTCCAAAAGGAGGTATTTATAATATAAGGATGTAACCCTAGTAAGGTCAAACTAGGAAACAAGATAAAATCATAATTACACAATATTTGTACA